TCAAGCTAAAAGGATAAAGTTATAATTAATCAAAACAGAGGGATCAACAGTTTTTAAATAGTTTTACTGTTTTGACTAACTTTTATTATGTTTTACTGTGTTTGTTAACATAATTTTTAAATTAATTTTTAAAATTTAAAATAATATTTTATAAAAATTTAACTCTGTCGAGCTTTTATGGATTGTTTGGATGAAGGTAAAATATATAAAATAAAAGTATAAATGCCTTGGATTCTCAAAATTTCTTGTTTGATTTGGGTGAAAATATTAAAAAAGATGTAAAATTTTATTTTTACTCTATTTTGAGAGAAAAGAAGAGAAAAATTTTACACTCTTATTTTACTTTCATTTTTTTTTTTTTTTTAAATTATTACACTCTTATTTTACTTTCATTTTTTTTTTTTTTTTGACATTTTTTACTTCATTTTCTATTTTACGCCTTTCTCCCTCTTTTGAAATATATATTAATAATTTATAAAAAAAAAACTAATAAATGCAGTTTAAACAGTTAATAACTAAGTTTTTCAATAAAACTTTTAAACTTAAACCACAGCCTAACAGGCAAACTACAGGTTTCGTATTTTTTTTTTTTTTTTGACATTTTTTTACTTTCATTTCTATTTTACTTTCTCCCTCTTTTGAAATATAATATTAATAATTTATAAAAAAACTAATAAATCAGTTAACAACCGTTAAAATAACTAATTTTTCAATAAAACTTTTAACTTAACACAGCCTACAGGCAAACTACAGTTTCGTTGGTTGAAACTGGAAAACACAAATGATAGTGCAGGGGTAGGCAAATGGGGCTACCTTGAAATAATTTTTATTTTTCGTGAGTTTTAATATAGACCGTAGGATTGGTATTGGAAGTCGCGCCAGAATGAGATACGAAGCAATCAAACGGTGCATGATTAATAAGGGGTGAAAATACAGTAGTTTTAGCAGTGGGAGGAAACAAAAAATAGTTTAATTTGTCAGTTAAATTGCCCGCTAAAATGACCCAAAATTGATAAGTCAATCAATCAATCCATCAATCAATCAGTCAATTTGACAAGAACCAAACAGTTGCTTACAAGCAAAAGATCAAAAGCGCCGAAGAGCCGGGCACTATGTTTCAAACCTTTGTGTTCTTCAAAGCTGGTGACTTATTTACCTTGAGCAATTATTACTTTAAAAAGAACAAATAGTAGAAAAAGATTTACTGCGGAATCCTAGATATATTTTTTCAAAAACAAAAGATGAAAAATACTCGTGTTGTTCAATTATTGCTGATGAAATTCAAAGTAAAAAAAAAAATTTTAGTTAAATTATGAGATAAGTATTATTTATCTTTTAAAATTTGACCTAATTACTATTTCATTCATCTTTTTTTCTTTTTATTAAAATGTGAGTGATCAAATAGTCAATTATTATAATATATTTATTATTTAGGGGTTAAAATGATATGTTTTTATAGAAAATTTGAATTTAATCTCATGGATTACTCAATGTATTCATTAAAAAAAAAAAAAGAATGGAATTGTAATTAGAGCTAAAACTTTAGAGACTAAATAATATTTGTCCCTTTAATTAATAATAGATTATGAAAAACAAAAGTGTAATTTAAAAAATAAAAGTAATTGGCGTAATTTTTAACATGTTATTAGGAGATTTAAACTCATATATACCTTATAAACATATTTATAAAATAATAATTCAATTTACTAATTTAAATTAATTGTTCGTTTTTGTTTTATTTTAATTAAAAGTCTGAAGATCGAAGTAATTGTTTTTATAAATTCACATAAGGATATAATTTACTTGCTAGCAAATTACAATAAAGTTTTAGGTTTAGCTGTGATTTAATTTATTATCATATGCAACAATAATTTAATTTCACCAACTCATTTTTCTTTTACTCCGATTTTCTCCCTATTGCAATAGTTAAATTGTTAGGTCAAGTTGGGTAGTGCGGAAAAAAAATGGACCGTTCAATTTTTTTCCTTTTCTTTTTTTTGAAAATGACATGATTGGCTACATCTTGATATTGCAATTATGGTCTTAGGGTAATATAGTTAATTACTTCAACCATGTTAAGGTGGCACTAGGACCAGTGATATTTCATCATTTCTACTTGGAATTTGTCAAGTCTTGTTCCTCATCATTTGCTTAGAATAAACAAATATCACATCTCTTTCCTTTTTTTTTTTTTTAAAGTTCATAAATACTATTTTTAATCTAACAATGCTACAGTAGAATCACTGTCTATAAAGCTATTCTCCGGTGGAGACATCGTCTCCTCTTACTAGGGTTCAATGCACACGATCTAATTCACTTAAAGCTCGATTCTGCATACCGAACTTTAAGATGATAGAGAATATTTCATCAAGTCTCCTCTTAGCATGTCCTTCGACCATCTACCATACATCATATTAATCTCGCTTCTTATAGTGTTATAATTGTCTTTAAGCCTACCGTAATATGATTCTACGGACCACGAGAGGTTGGAAATAAAATCTCAAATTAAACATTAGAATGATGAGAGGTAGGAAATCATATTTCAAGAATCACTTGCATTTTAAATGGGATTGAGAAACGATAGTACAGTACATTAGGTAAAGTGAAAGGGACTCGGTGAGTCCAACAATAGCCTATACTTTACCCTTTTTGGCTATAGATTTGTTATGACAACTTGTGGTTCTTTCTCATTTATACTCAAACAAAATCAAGCATGATATTAACTTGCTTATGCATATTCGCACGTGACTACATAATTAGTTTTTATTATATATAGTCTTTTCCTTTTCATATTAGGATAATCTTAACATGTTTTTACAATTTTACACCAATAATTATATTCTCTAATTTTTTTTTTCTTTTGCCGGTTGCAACTTGTGTTTCTCTTTCTTTAATTATTAGCATAATCAATCACAATCACAATAAAGTAAAGAGTATAATCACCCCAAGTAACTCCTTCAATGGGAATATTTTATGGATTTAGGCACAGTTTAATGATTAACAGTTATTTTTACTGAATATTTTTAATTTAAATTATTATAAAAAATAGTTAATAGTTAATAAAATAATTAATAATATCAATTAAGTATTATAGTAGTTGTCAACTGTTTTACTAGCTGTTAGCTCCAAATTAGGAAATAACGCTTTATTGATAAAACGTCATATATCAAAAAATTTGAAAATAAATATCATTGTTAAAGTATTAATTACTTTAATACTGTGGTTATAAAATTTTTTGATAATGTTAAAATATAAAATTATTCATTCATAACAATGTGGTTATAAAATGTATGTTTGAGACATGGTTTTCAAAATTATGATAATTTAATAAAAAGTTTATTCTATCTCTGTTTCATGTGTGTATATATATAATATTTTTTGTTGTTAAAAAAAAGGGTGTTGGTGTGCGGTGGATATGCTCTTTTATTTAAATAATATCTAATGCAATAAAATATTATACATTCTTTATAATTTCAAAATAACATCTGAATGGAAAGGTACCAACTTTTCCGTTGTTTCTTTTAATTAGGAAAAAGCATTAGCTTTGCTTAATGGCTCCAACGTTAACTTTTTTATTTTTCTATTATTATATATGTTTTTTCCTGCGTACACTTTAGGTTTAGTGTTGGATTGCGCATTATAATTACATTTTACTAAATAACTACTACAAATTACGTACCGCAAACCTTATCATGAAAACATTTTGTTTTTTAATATTGGAGAAACCAAATTCAAATATGAATATATCGGTAGATATAAATGTATTTATCATTATATTATATCTTAGTGTGTAATATGGAAAATAAATTTTAAGTATATTATTAGTGTGTAGAATTTAAGGGAACTGTCTATCAAACTTATTTCTTTTAACATTTGACGAAATATTAATAAAATAATAAAAACTATTGAAACAGTTAATAATTATTAAAATAAATAATTTTAGCCAATGAAAGTAGACTGTGAATTTGTACTGAAATTTTCTCCTCTAATACTTATATTTATTTATCTACTGGAACAGAATAAATAAAAAAAATTATTTTATTACAACTTTTTTACTCGTGTGCCGTACAAATTGGGTAAACAGTAAACTTGTCAATTGAAATGATAAGTTGAGGAGCACATATAGAAATTTAGGTTTACTCTAAATGTGAATAATTTTAGCTTTTAAAATTACCTTTATGAAACATCCTATGCAGCAGTACTGACTTTTGGAAATCAAACAAAACCCAAAATGAATAGAACGTACATTCTTAACTAATATATATATATATTTACTTAGAGACCAACATTTTTCAATCTGTATTTTAATTAAAAATAATATAAATTATAAAAAATGTAACATTATCCACCAAATTTTTTAAAAACAAAAAATATCAGTTTTAATAACTAATTAATTGGGTTTATAGTTTTGGATTGTTAGTTGGCTTGAACTCATGGACATCCTCATTTTACTATTATAAAATATGTTATTTACTTTTTATAAATTTACATATTTAATACATCCGCTGAATTTAACAATTCTCAATGGAATTGAATCTTAAAACCATTTTCATTTTAAATATTTTTTTATATTTTTAAAAAATAAAACCTATGTGCCAATATTAATTGGGAATTTCGCTGTATGAACAAGTTAGATTAATTTTGTGATTCTAATACTATTATTTTCCGAAAATAATTTTAATCTACCAATAGCTAGTTAAATTATTTCTAGAAAAAAAAAAAATTTCTTGAGTATGTGAATATGATGGCATTTAGCATACATAATCCCTTCAACTGCATATCACGATTGGAAAAACTGTAATGTATCACCATTTATCAAGGGAAACGGGAAGAAGAAGAAAAAAAAAAAAAAAGCCCTAAAATCAATTACTGAAATTTTTTAAAATTTTTAAATATTTTTATCTTAATAAATTATTGGGGATCAAAAAAAATAAAAAAATAAAAAATAAAAAAGAGAAAAGAATGGGAGTTTCTCACTCCTCAAAGCATAAACATCTGTCCTTTGCTTGTTTGCCAAAAGATCACTCTCCATAACACCACTTGCAGTTCCTCTCTGCTCCTCCAATTCCAGTAAATACACACTACCTGTTTTTTCTATCAATAATTCAAAAAAAAAAATCTTCATATATACTCTACCAGTGAGTGAGTTTGTTATCGTTTCTCAATTCCAGAAGAAGAAGAAGATCATCAGAATACAGTAATATGGATGGAATGTATGGCCTGCACTCGACGGCGGACTACTCAGACAAGGCGTTTATATCTCAGGAGAATCTGATTTTACCTGCAGATTATCAGAGCTTTCTCTCGTCCGAAACTTTCCAAAATCGGATTCCGCTTTTCGTGTCTGACGAGTTGCTCTCAGCTGCCTCAGCGATTTCGGAAGCTGCTTCGATTGCTCCCGAAATTCCACGAGAAGAAGATTTTTCCACTTTGATCAAAGCCAAAATCGCGTGTCATCCTTCTTATCCTCGCTTGCTTCAAGCTTATATTGATTGCCAGAAGGTGAATACTGAACCACTTGAAATAACAAGCAAACAACTGAGTTATAGAGCTAGTCCTCTTTGTCTAAGCTAATAAATTGTGCTTATTTCGTTTGCTACTGTAACAACTGTTTTCCGGCCTTGAAAATTATGGAGTTTTGTGTCAGTACCAGCAAAGTACATGAAAACTAATAAGTGGAAAATTTTACAGTGGTTGCTATTTCTATTTGTGGTTTTATGTTTTAACCTAAATGGAAAGATATTACCTCCGTTTTCATGGTCAATCTGCAGCTGCTTGCTCTTTAACTTTTCTGTTAAGCTTTTAAACCTGGCTGTTTCATGGATTTTTTTTTTTTTATTGATTTTCAAGATCCGAGGCGAAGGAAATGGTTTTTATTAAAAACTGTTTTGAATTTATCCTTTGAAATGAATTTCTGAAAATATTTCATGAGAAACTTCTTGTGGTTTTGTGGTTTCTTCATTTCAGGTAGGTGCGCCACCGGAAATAGCGTGTTGGTTAGATGAAATCCGGCGAGAACATGATCTTTGCCAACCAGACGTTGTCTCAATATGCTTGGGAGCTGATCCCGAGCTCGACGAGTTCATGGTTTTTTCTCTCTCTCTCTCTCGATTTCTGGGCTTTAGATTTTTTTTCCCTCGCCATAGTAGCTGATTCGTCTTCTCTCTCTTTCTTTCTGTTTAGGAAACCTACTGTGATGTGTTGGTGAAGTATAAATCTGATCTCGAAAGGCCTTTTGACGAAGCGACAACGTTTTTGAACAAGATTGAAATGCAGCTTCGCAATCTATGCACTGGTGCCTCCGTTAGAACTCTCTCTGGTCAGTCTCTCCTGTTATTTTTTATTTTTTCTTATTGTGATTCATTGATTTTTGTGCTAGACAATATTTGTTTATCCTCGGCATCACCTGTACGGTACCACTTGCACAAACTAGTTAATAAGAAACTAAAATACCATATAAGCTACAAACCTTCAGTATCATCGCTGATTCTGGCGGGCAAATTCGTGTCTGTTATTTGCTTTGGCTTGTGCTATATACAAAACCCAAAAGAATAATGAACCGACAACCATTGCTTTCCTAGACCTAGACTACTACTATCTAATACTGCCAGTCACTAGCCCTTTTCTTTTCCTGCACTGCAACAACCACTTGTTGACGATAGCACCAATAATGGTCAAAAGAACACTAATGTACAAGTTTCGGGAAATGCCAATGATAATGAAAGTAAACAATGAAAACCCTAGACTTGAAAGAGACTCATGTGTTTCGTCTAAGAATGGTTACTATTGGGGATAATAATCTGAAATTGCTTTGTTTTCTATAGGGTATGGGAATGTTGTGATCCTATGTTTAAGTTCTCCTCTTTTTTTGATAAATAAGGAGTTCCCTAAAAGGGTCAAGGGTTCTGCAGCGATGGACTTTGTAATAGTTGCTGAGCCTTTTCCTTTTCAGTTCAATATTACACGGCCTTCAGTTGCCTTACATTTTTCTACCCATCTTTTCTTTGTTGTGTTTCTGCCTTTTAATTCCTCTCCTCTTTTTTTTTTTTTAATTTTTTTTTATTTCTGATCTTGTTTTTTATTTTTATTTTTTTTACCTTTGGGTTGTGTCAGAGAAAAAAATGAGGCTTTGAAAGTGAGAACTTTAGTTTTTGCGATTCTTAATTTGACGTTTCCGGAGTTCAGTTAACCGATGCAATAAATAGTGGTTGGATGGAACGAGTACAGAAAATCTGAGTCTGTTTTCAAAAGACAATTTATAACCAAATAAATGTTGCATTCTAGTTGTAGGAGTCCTAACCTCTTCCTAATTTCAAAAACCTATTCTTAATCATTGGGCTAAAAATTTCTTTGGGTGCAGCATACTCTTTAAGGGGTCATCTGACATTTATTGCTCTCTAATCATAGATGGGAGTAGCTTATCTTGTTAGATAATAAAATCTCAGGTTAAATCATTTTGTTTTGTGCCAATCCATCCTCATTTTTTTTTGCCAAAATTGTATTTAAACATGAAATTAGAGATAGGTGGGAGAAATCAACTTGTGTTACACCTGGATCAACGGGCATTATTCTCTGGTGAAAATGTCAAAGATACTGTAGTCTCAAAATTTCATGTAGGATATTCCACAAAAAATGTTTTCTTCAATTAACATGCGCTGATATATTAGCTATGCCATGGAAGTACATGCATTCTTAATAGTATTATGCGACTACATCTCATTCAATGCACCTAGTTGCCTGATGACATTGTCAATGCTATAATGTTCCCTAATACATCAAGATGAGAGTTGGTAGCAAGTTGAATTGTTTACTCTTTACATTATACTTTTTAATGGACAATATATATTGGTGAGGCAACATTTTTCAGCGGAATTTTACTTTTATTTTCATTAGGTCTTACATGCAGTGTTCTCCATCTCAATCTCAAAACTGAGATATATAACTTGAAACGTTTCATTTAACATCAACTTCATTATTGTTATTGTTACTTAAAGATAGTTTCAAGTTCGAATAGATCACAAGTAAATCATATAGATAGACAGATGTTGAAAATATACTACTTTGGAAAGGACTAACTGCCCATAGCCACCTAAGTTTTGCCTCTCGCGGTCGTATCTTCTTGGAAGTTGTATTAATTTTATAAGCATAAATGTATTAACAAAATGACTTTATTAATATGTACTTGAGTAGTTTTTACTCATCATCAATAATAGATTGGCACATGCAAATCTTACAGATCATGTGGGCATGTATCACACTAACTTTCTAAAAGAATTTGTTTTAGAGCTCGATCATGAGCAATACCCATGTTGCTTTTTTTGTAATCCGGTTCTTTTTGACACCTAGTGAATACTACCAACACATACCAAGGCTTTGTAGTTGTCTTTCCGATTTCCATGTGTTCAAAAGTACCAAGTGAACTCAGAACAAATCGCATTTGTTGGTTGCTTTATTGCTTCCGTTATCAATCTGGATGATAAACTCTATGGATTTGGATAGATGAGTGCTTTTTTAATTTGAAGCATCTAAGCACAAACAAAAGCTGCTATTGTTTTCATTTACACTAGAGTGGAGGGTCTGCAAATGGCATGCGTATAGCAGCCTTAGGAGTTGGAATTAGATGTGATTTATGACTAAGTTTTCATAAAGAATTCAACTAATGAAGGTTTTTATTTATTCCTGCAATCTGGTTTGTATTAGCTGGCAAATGGCATTGTTTTCCATTGGATGTACAAATTACTTTTTGAGTAATGTTCTTATGATATTTTATTTGGCCTACTGTGTACTTTGTTTTCCTTTGTCTGCTTGGATTTGGATTCTCTTCAATCTTCGTTGTAAACTTAAGATTCTTTTAAGTTACTGGAAAAGGAAAAGGACTAAGATTCTTTATAAAGTCCACCATAGTAGATTTCCACTTGAATATATTTTATATATACTTGGATTGCATTCACGCGCATGGATTATGTTCAGGTGCTAACATGCCAGCTGCTATTTTATTAAACTGTTAAGGCTTAATCTTTATTAAGCCGGAGTTTATCTTTTGGTTATTGCATTTTTAGACCCTTTTTTCAGTCCGTTGGCTTTTTCTGATACATAGTCGGGTGTTTGGTACCTTGTGTCTTTATATTTCCAGCCAATCAACTTCATTCCTATATGGATTAGTGTTACTAAAGCACGTGGAAATGATTTATGTTTAATGCAACTTTATTGCATGATTGTCTCAAAAAGAATTCGCTCTATCATGGTTTAGAAATTCAGTGAACTTAAGAGGAATTTGCTTGAATTTCAATTTAAGACGACAATTTTTTATTTTTGCATTCTATGTGAATGATTATCTTTTATCAAGGTAGTATAGTATCACATTAATAGTACTGAAAATTTTTAAGGAGTTGTTTCTCATAGAATATCTAGTTATCATGGAAATGTGCACCCTCAGGAGTTAGCAATAAGTTGAACTCTTCTCATAGTATGAAAATTTAATTCTCATTTGGGTGTCATGCTTCTATCTATGGTTTTCAATCTTGTTGGAGATAGTTGCTTGACACAGAAAGTATATTAGAAGCGATGAACTTCAATTTGAAAAATATCATGCATATGGGCGAAGAGGTACTGAATATCATATTGTTCTACATATACGCATCTATTGTGTATACACGTAAATTTTCGTAGCAATTTTTTACCCTTTCGTTTTTACGATGGGCTCATGGGTGCAAGCTCATGTTGCGTGGAGGATGTAGACCAAGTAATTTGGGAGAAGCTGAGTGTGGCTGAATCTTTGGATACACTTCCACATTAAAACTGCACAGAAATGCTAAGCGTGGTCGATACTGATGCAGGACTTGATGAAATGTCTTAGAAAAGGGTAATCAATTGTGATTTTAGTGAATTATACTGAAATGCATCTCATTACATTTTAAAATCAGTTTTATAGTATTGAGATTTTTTTTAAAAAAAAAGCTTGTATTAACGGTTTGTTGTAGTATCATGTTAGCATGCACGGGTAGACAAGTAGGGACAGGATAAATTATGTTACGGGGTATTTATAGTGGGGTTGGACTTGGAGTTGTGAAGACTTTATGGCTCTTTTGGCCCGGCCAGAGCGGGTGGCCGGAGTTCACATGGGGCTCCCGCAGATTTCGCTATAAACCCACCACCACCAGCTTTTTACTTTCGTAGATTGCGAAAATAGTGACACCTCTTCCAGTCTTTCCCATCCGCACTAATTAGCAGCTGCAACCTGCTACAGCTCCTGCGAGACCTAGTGGTTGTAATTTCCTTTGGCAATAATTGTGGGTCTTTGTGTTTATTGACAGGCACGACACGTGTCTGAGTATTTTGTTGGCTTGGAACTTGAGTTCCCAACAGTGCCACCGCATTCTTTATCTATTACCTACCAACCTATATTTATTTATATAACCATAAGTTTATTCCTTGGGACCGCTCATTACAAAAAATGGGTTATAGAGAAATCAACGTAAGAATTTCGCAGTTATCCATTCCATTCGGTGCCAAAATATTTGTTTGGAAGTACTGTTCTATGGTAAATGTGTTTCTAATGGTTTTACTGCTATTTTATTGTGATTCCTTTCTAGTGTTTTTGCTGCTGTTTCCAATTTCCCTTTTGGCATTTTACAATCTTTTTTATTTCGAATCATTTAACAGATCCTATTTAGAAATTGAAAAAAAATTGTAAGGCTATTTTTGTCATTGACATGGCGGTCGATTATAATAAATAACTTGTATAATGCTGGAAATGTCGGTTTACGGAAGGAATGCCAGGAAAGTTTAGGTTTTGATTCTCTTCGTTCCACGTCTATATTTCCCGTGTCCTTAATAGTGTGACAATGGAACCTTTATCTTTTTTATATTGTATCTCTCTATTTAATCTGAACATATCTGAACATTTGATTTGATGGCCGTACCTATCTTTTTTACTGTGAGAATTTAGTCTCTGACGAACGACATAACCGGACAATAGCTGCAGTATGGTTGTGGAGACCGAGTCTGGAGGGAAAGGAAAGTGCATTGCACTGCACCTCACCTCTTTTTTTCTTTTCGTCAAATCTAATCTTTTATTATTAATTGTCAAATAGGTTTAGGTGGGTCCCCTATATTCTCTAGTAGCAACCGTAGTCTATACAAGTATATGCTCGGAGAAATTGCATTTCATGAATTGTTGAGTACGATTTATCAATTTTTTTAGTAGCATTGTCATTGTGGCTATGCTGAACTCGTACATGCATGTGGTTGTATCATAGGCTTCGTTGTTTTCATTTCTTTTTTGCTTTTTCAATTTTGAACCTAAAAGAAAGTCCGCATTTTGACTAGAGGGTACAAGTGAATTTGTAAGGAAAATCGTTATTTTCCTTTTCTTTTGTGAAACAAATATCATAAATTCTATTGTGGAAATATTATATATAAAAGGTAGATTTTAAGAAGAAAAAGCAAAAAGGAGCTTAAAGGTTACCTAGATATTCTGATTCGAAAACTTAAAAGTTTGATGTAGAAACCATAGTCCATAATTAGGTTATGTACCTTGCTACTGCGTTTAGAAAATTTAGAGCTGATCCCTGGAATCATATTCTTGAAAGTGTAAAAAATAATTGCTGGGGAATGTTTTAGCTTTTTCAACTTGGTCATTGTATTGCATGGAGGCACAATTGAAGAAATTACTGAGACAATGCGATGATTATTTGTTGCAGATGAAGCTGCACCATCATCAGATGAGGAATTAAGCGGAGGAGAAGTAGAGGTACCTGAAGCTCAACCGAGAAGTGAAGACAGAGATCTCAAAGATAGGCTTTTCCGCAGGTTTGGAAGTCAAATTAGTACGCTAAAGCTGGAATTCTCAAAGAAGAAAAAGAAAGGAAAATTACCTAAGGAAGCAAGACAAAGTCTACTCGAGTGGTGGAATGTTCACTATAAATGGCCTTATCCTACTGTGCGTATCTCTTTTCTCAGCTGCATATATATGCTTACTGGGGAAAATCCTTGACTACACTAGCTAATTCTTGCTATTCAATTGGGATTTTGCACTTTATGCTCCCGTGTTGTTCTTGATATTAAATTCAAACTTGTGAAATTGGAAACAAGTAATGAAATTGGTTAACATGGAAACATATATCCCTTAGATTTATTAGAATTATAAGGAAGAAGAAAATAGGAATAGAAGAGAAAAACTTATATTGTGGTTATCGAATAAAACTTCAGATACATGGGTATACATGGGCACCGTGATGAGTCTTACACTTCTAAATAAGAGGAGAAATTTCTGCTATTTATTATATTATATTATATTATGAATTTTTAATAGTTGGGATCTCTGCTTAGATGTCTCCCCTCTATCTTTAGGATTGGTGCCAACGTTATGGAAGTTTTTGAGAGCTTTTTTCCTCGCATTTGCCATTGGTGAAGGCCTATTTTACCTTTGATGAAGAAAGGAAGAAAAGATTGGCTCATAATTGTTTGAAACTAGCTGCTAATGCTATATTATATAAACCCTTTCTATTTAATAAATGATATTATATATTGAGTGGAAAGACCATAGTCTTTCCTAAATCGTAGTTTAAAGTTGCATATTGATATGATTTATTTTGTTAACTATCCAGGAAGCTGATAAGATAGCATTGGCAGAATCAACTGGACTAGATCAGAAGCAAATTAATAATTGGTTTATAAATCAGCGTAAGAGACACTGGAAACCATCAGAGAGCATGCAATTTGCTGTTACGGATAATCTATCAGGACAGTTCTTCACTGATGACTGAGTTTTGATGTGCATTCTTGATTCTGATTGTAATTTAAGTACTGTTGGGAGCTTCACGTCTATTCTGCAATGCAAAACATTCAAATGTTAATTTCCCTTAAAAAAAAGGGAAGGAGGAAAAGCTTAATTTATTGTAATGTATATTCCCACTGACGGACATTCATAATGAAGTGCTTACATAGTTTGTATGGATCACCCTCAACCATTCATTTTTGCTGCTGTTCATCAACAGTGGCCAACTGTATTTTGCATCGAATTGTATCAGTTGCTCTAAGCCAACTGTTAATAGTTTGTTTTTTCTTCTTCTTTTTGGTGACTTTTGATCAGTGATTATGATGATGGCAATGGGAAAAGTTTAAAGAATATAATTTCAAACAAATTTTAATACGTTGGAATTATTTTATTTTGAATCTTAAGATCCAAAATAGCTATTTATCTTTAACTACAAATTATTTTCTAAAAGAAATTCTGCCCTCACTAGCTTTTGTTATGAAATTTTTCAACCAAAATGTAATATGAAATGAAAACTTCTTTATTTGAATTTACAGAAGAAACACAATATTGTATAAAAATCCTATATTTATTAAAAAAAATTAAACCTTTTGATAATTTTTTCTAATGGGCTACCACTCTTTGTGTAATGCTTGCAATTGGACCCAATATCCATCTCTTGGACCTAATTTTTTCTATAACAAGCCTTTTTTATGAAATCAGTTGTTATTATTATTATTATTGTTATTATTTTAAAAATTAAGTAACTATATTATATGTTCTAAATGTGTTTGGTTTGTCATCTATGTACCATGTTAAATAAATTATATAAATATTTGATAGTGGTGGTAGTTGAATAATAATTTTATAAAAAAGAAAAGAAAATTTTGCACCCCAAATATTAATAGGTTTTTTTTTATAAAGTTAATGATTAAAAGAGATTAACCAATTAATCCAAAATAAAAGTATCCTAAGAGCAGGAATGATTAAAAGAGCATTACCAATTAATCCTTTTAACCCCAAATCAAATGCATTAGAGCTGACTTGGAGCTCAATAATTGAATCTTTTTTTTTTTTTTTTTTTTTTTGATTTAAAAGAGAATAACCAATTAATCCCAAAATAAAGTATCCCTAAGAGCAGCGAATGATTTAAAAAGAAGCAATTACCAATTAATTCCTTTTAACGCCAATCAAATGCCATTAGATGCTGACTTGGCAAGCTCAATAATTGATCTTTTTTTTTTTTTTTTTTTTTTTTAATTTTTTTATTGTGATATTAGGGTCGCGCTGAATGGGGTGGTTCGCACTAATTTAATAATTATGAATATTGCGACTGCTGTCAAAATATGCAAAGAATGTTAAGGATGATACTGTAATTTACCCTCTTTCCACGTATGCAATGTATTTTTTAATTATTAATTAGAGAAATAATAATATCATAAGAATAATTTTCACAACATTATATTAAACGAGCAATATTCCTCGTGCTATGCACGATAAAAAAAAGTAATGTAAAAAATTGAAAGGCCTTATATATATATAATATATAATATATAAGCCGTGAATTTTAATTATTGCGCAAAAATTAAGTAAGATAGACATGTTGTTTGAGGGAGAGTGGATTAAAAATTCGGAAATTTGATATTATTTTAAAATTAATGTATAAAAATAAAATAAGTGGTAAGATTTATTTTAAAATTAATGTAAAAAATAAAATGAAAGGTGGTAAAATTCATTAATTTTATTTATTTTAAAATTAATGTAAAAAATAATTAAATCACTATATAATTCATGAATAAATAATTTATTTTGAATGATTAAAGCCGTATAAATCATCGACTTATCATGTTATTAATTTTCTAACACTATAATTAATCAATGATATTTAACATTATTGAATTTAATAAAAAAATAATTTTTAATTATTAATATAAAATAGTAATTGCTCATGTTATTAAAATTTACATAAATTGTTACTTAATATCCTATTAATTCTCTAACGTTACATTGATCAATTACATTTAAGACGATTTAATTCAATCAATAAATAATCACAAATTAATTTATTTTCAAATAAATATAAAGATAAACAATTAAAGCAATACACATGTTATTAATTTGAAATTCTACGTGACAACACCAAAAGAATATTATTATCTAAAAGAAAGTGACTCTATAGCCTCCGCCATGTTTCCGACTTTGAACTTGCCTTTAGAGCTTCCGGGGCTCTAGGCTCTACAACATTCACTCTTCCATCTTCAACTGGTCTTGTTATATATGTATGTATCATATTGATTAAACTTTGTGATAGTTAAAGGTAAATCAATGCGCGTTATTATTGTAAAGTTCACAAATAAGAAAAAATTGTTATTATTTCATTTTAATAAAAGAATTAAATTTTAATTTCAAACTAGTTGAAATCCACTGTATGAATTTTTTTTTTTTTTTTTTTTTTTTTTTTTTGTTCATTCTACTTTTGTTATAATTAAATCTGCAAGTAATATTAAAACAGATAAAATAGATTAGAATTTTTTTTTTTTTTTTGTTCATTCTACTTTGTTATAATTAAATCTGCAGTAATATAAACAGATAAAATAGATCTTTTCTGATAATTTTGCTTTATATGATTTTAGGTTTATCGCTTCTCAGTTTAATACCCTTCACCACTAAAAGATCACATTTACAAACTAAAGCACCTTAAGATCTACATAAGATACGATTAAACCATCTGAGACGTCATTCTTTCATTTTATCTTCAACTTGTGCTATATGTTTTGTAGCTGGTGCGACCGTATCCATCTTAATATTTGTGTCTTCATCACAATCCTCTTATAAATATGTTGGTGTCCAATATGCACTCTTATATAATATTACAAATCTTACCATCGTCCTCTTTTAAAAATCTTGTATCACGTGTAATACTCTTCCATTTTATCCTATCTTATTTTAATTCTATAGACCACATCTTCATCTATTATATCACCCTTTTGAAAAATAGATCCAATCTCATATCACCTCCATTCTTCTTCTCATACTCAAACTCGTAGTGCATGTAATATGTCTTCCTTCTGTTTAGCCTAAAGCTCTTACCTAGTGCTCCTCCATAATCTTAAATTTTAGTTTACAACTTCGTTAGTTTTACTAATTAAGATTAATATCATCTATGAATAACATGCACTACAGGACATCATCTTGTTTGCTACTAATAAATTAATTTATCTAGAATTAGGATAAACAAGCACTAACTTAAGGCAAAATTTTGATATAATTCTATAATTATGGGGGAACTCCTCTGCATTTTTCTCTCATTGTTCTTACCCTTCTGATTGCACTTTTATATATCCTAATTAATGGTATTTATATACTTGATATGAATTCATTTCTTTCTCTAATACCCACCAAAATATTTTTCTCGACACTTTTTCTTTTCTTATAAATTTCCATCAATCTTCCTTAATAGAAAAATAAAATTTGTTATAGATCTACCATGCATAAAGCCAAACTAGTTCTTTGACAACTTTGTAATGTCCCTAAGTTTGTGTTCTATTATTGTGTAATTGATAAGTTTAATACTACGATATTTCATATAGCTTGAGATATCTCTCTTATTCTTACATATAGATACTAAAGTACTATTTCTCAACTCATCTAACATCTTTCTGCTTCTTAACATAACATTCGGTTAATCAAAGATCTCCTAGTTCTCTAACACTGCTATAAACCTCTAATAAAATTTAAAAAAAAAAATGAAAAAATCAAAGTGAATCCAACTATCAAGGAAGAATTTAAAGGGGCCCATAGCTTGATTTCCAATTGATACTAATTCAAAGTGGGCATTAATTATCAAAGATTTTATTGTAACCAACAGAAAGTTAGTGGAGGATGCTTATGATGATTACACTAGTAATGCCAAAACAACAAAGAAGAAATTGTTATAATTCTAAAATTTAGGGTCATTAACCTAAATCATAGTGGATTCCATACACACCTCATTCAAGTAACTTGAATTTCACATCAAACCCATCTTTTTTTCCCCTTCAAATTTCCCAAATGGGTTCATGCCTCAACCAATAATATGCATAGGTTATAATAAACAAATCAAAAAGAAAGAAATGCCACCTTTCACTATTATAACATGATCAATGATCAAATGGGTTAAATCAGATTCTTCAAACAAATATAAAAAGCTATCTAATTTGTTTGCTTATATTAAAGAAAAGCCAAATCAAAAAAAGGCAATTAGTGGGTATAATCCAACTGTTTGTTATTATTGGGTGCATTTCTGAGGGGGAGATCACTGCTTTTAGACATAAAGACCATACATATTATAAGAAAATACACAAATTATATAATATAATTTAAAAAGAAAAGGGTGAGACATGACAATCTATAGCAATTTGCAAGTTCAAAACTAAGAATTGCACTTTTCCACTTGAGAACAAATAGCCATATAGGAAATGACACGCTTCCTTTCTTGTCGATAGTGCGAATGGTGTGGATATCCCTTTGAGATTTTAAAGGTTACGATTGATAGAGACAAGTAATTTCATTCGTCTATTCAGCTTTGGTAAGGGCTTGGCTTTGTATTTTATAATTTTAATTCAAATTTTTGCATTTTTTTATTTGGGTAAATTACTAAATTCTCTCCGTTTCCTTCTTAGTTTAATGGTCAATTGTCCGTCTCATAATTTTTAAAGCCTCTCATGAAATTTTATTTCGACAGTATTAAAATAAAAAATGAGAAAGTTATCTCCTACCCTGTTTCTCTTTGCTCATTTCAATTTTGGGAAAAAAAAAAACAAATAAAGATTCATTGATTTAAAATATTAGAGATAAAGATTTTATAGTCTCACAATAATAACAAATGTTTATACTATTATACTATAAATAAAAAAAAAAACAAATAAAGATTCATTGATTTAAAATATTAGAGATAAAGATTTTATAGTCTCACAATAATAACAAATGTTTATACTATTATACTATAAATCTTTTTTTATTACATTCCATTACGGCTCAACAAAATTAATTTATTAAAAGAAAAATAACTAAAAATATATTAAATGCATAAATTATGAATATTATGCAATTTAATGTAATTAAATTTACATTAATTAAAAGTATAGTAGCTCATAAAAACACAGCTGGCATTGGTAGCTGGAAAGTGGAAAGAAAATATGGGATTAGTGGCAATTAGTAGGATTTTGGGAGGGAAAAAGATGGAGATGAGCATGAGTTAGTGGATCTACTGATGCAATAGAAAAGTAGCATAACTCCAATAATCTAAAGTAATGCACCAGTAAAGAAGAAAAAGTTGAATCCTTTTTCTCATAATTGACATTAATACCCTTCTCCATTTACTAAATTGGAATTTAACATCAACAATCATTATTAGCAATTGACTTGCTAATTTAGCCCTTAAAATTAACACTGTAAAAACTTGTCTGTTAGAGTCTTGACATCCATGTTCAAGGGCAATTGTTTGACTGCCCGATTAATGTTTGGGATCAAAAGATAAAAGGGTATATTCCTCAAAACTAGCGTTTGTCTATCAGCTGCTTTTAAAAGTTAATTCAAATATTATATTACCAAACACTAACTTTTAAAGTTAATTCAAATATTATATTACCAAACACTATAAAAAATTGTATTTAGCGTTTTGACCATAAACTACTTAAAAAGTTATTGTCGAAAACAATATAAGAAATAAGAAGTTTTTAAAGTGTATAAATTGTAAAATAAAGTAGATAGAAGGGTAGTCTTGAGAGACGTACAAATTATTGGGAAGCTTTGCAAAGATGGCAACTTTCTAATTAAGAAATTTAAAAGAAAAAGTAATGGTTGTTTTGGATAATAATGAAATAGAAAGATTCATACTTTCTCAGCTATTTAAAGCCTCCAGCAATGGGAATAAACTTCCCACTAGCTTTCGTAAGAGCCTCATTGGATAGGTTTTGAACTTTATACCCAAGCTATCAGTTTCTTGAATCTGATAGGTATGGTGGTCTTTTTTCAAGAACCTATCCTTGGTTCTTGAAAAGCAAAGGGGCATGGAGTTGGGGTTTCTTTACCCTCCTCCAAAAATTTCAAACAGTTTGCCTGTGCTTAGCCAATGATTACAATTTCTCAGAACCAACATCTGAAGCAAAGCAGAGAATCTTTGGCTAACGCATAGCAGACCGGCAAGTCACAGAACGGCAACAGACTCTGGTATGGGTCTTTAATAGCTTAGTTTTTGCACTCTTTTTTTCTATTTTATTTCTTGGCTTGTATTAACGTAGTTTCTTTTATGGAAATATATCAATAAAACTCTGTTCTGTTCTTAACAGAACATCTTTTGAGTATTCTTGTTAATTTCTATTGTAAAATTGCCAGTTTCTCCATTTGAGCAGACAACGATTTGGTAATTTCTCACTTTCTTTTCTGCTCAATCTGTGTGTGCTTGTGCATGTATCAGCATGAGCTTAGGCTCCTATACGAGGTGCTAATGCAATTTCTTGATGGTTAACTTCCAATAGATTTGGATGTATTCTTCTAAATTATTACTGCTAATGCATACGCATTCCTCTATCAGCTCAGTTGAGGAGCTCTAAGATCACATTGAGTTCTAACCCTCAGGTGACTTCACTCGCTGAATCGGATTGCCCTCTGGATTTTATCTTGGATGGGATCGCCTGCCGATTGCCTGAAGAATACTAATTTCAATCGCGTCACCAATCCCGAAATAGATCCTCTTTCCCTTCTACGACGGCTAGTGAAATAAAAAAAGCTCCCCTTGGGAATGAAGCCATTCACATTCATTGAGGCAACCATTTAAATTTCACTGATCATATCATTTCTCTAAATAATCTAAATCAAGATCACATTGAGTTCTAACCCTCAGGTGACTTCACTCGCTGAATCGGATTGCCCTCTGGATTTTATCTTGGATGGGATCGCCTGCCGATTGCCTGAAGAATACTAATTTCAATCGCGTCACCAATCCCGAAATAGATCCTCTTTCCCTTCTACGACGGCTAGTGAAATAAAAAAAGCTCCCCTTGGGAATGAAGCCATTCACATTCATTGAGGCAACCATTTAAATTTCACTGATCATATCATTTCTCTAAATAATCTAAATCAATACCAACTTATCCCTAGCGTGAGTTGAATATGGAGATGTTCGCCACTTGCGTTCGTTTTTTCTTGAGAAACCCCAACCAAGGAATTTGCTGTTTGACTACTTGAAAATAGTCAATTTGTAAAGAAAACTACAGGTTGAGATGAACCAATTTTTTTAAAATTTGACATTTCCAAAAGTGAGGCATGACATAAGGAAGGTGTACTTAAAGAGTTACATTCATCACTGCTGAAAGACTGTTCATGAATGACACCACACCATCCATTCTATGTCCAATTAATAATATTTGTCATAATCCAATGTTTTAATGCTCAACATTGGAATTTCAGACAATTTTGATGGCCTAGTTGACGAGTAACATTTAGCTGGCTTATGCATTTATTGCAATCAGATTAAAATTCATAATTTCCAAACAAAACTGCAACTAAATTAGAAACAACAATATTTTTACTGCTTGATAAGTAAAAGGTACATACATGATGACTCATGAATTTACAGCAGCCGTTGTCTATTTCTTCAACTCTTCACACTTAACTTACAGATATCTAGTGCAATAACAACAATTTTATAACTCTCCAATTGATTAGTTTTCTCACTTTTTATAAGAGTGAAATGCCTTAAATTCGATCCTTTCGATAAAATGCCTTAAATTCGAATCCTTTCGATCACAGGAGTTGCTAGTGCAGCCCAAAATGGTATTCTAGTTCCTAGTGTAGCCCACAATATTATTCTATTACACTACCAGACAAAAAGGGCTAGAACTTGGCCCTTGTACCTGTTATACATCTCGTAGGCATAATACAATATTCTAATCCATACCTAAAACACTTTGATATGACAAACTATAGACACATGATTTCCACACAACCCCATTCAGATTCTCCAAGATCCTCTTCCCGCCTTCAAGAGGGAAGCATATAATAATTCATTCCAAGTATCTGGCACTCCGGGTAAGCACCAATGACTGCAATCTTGAGATCGCTCAGCAGCAATTTGTTCTTCTGCTGTCTTGTACTTCATTCTGTAAATAGAAGGGTGCCCATCTTTTCTGTAATCTGTTAGCCTGCTTATGTTCATATATATAACAGGATTTTTCATCTCTCCAAGGACATGCTCAAAAGCTCTCATTTTGGAAGGGTACTTTGCTAAGTACTTTGCATTAAATATTGGTTCTGTTTCTTTGTGACACTGTCCTCCTGAGTTCCATTGGCCTCCTCTGCAACCACACCAAACACATAAGCTGATGCTTCTTCCGCAGCATATTACATGAGAAAAGAATGAAATAGAAATTTCCTTGTGTAGTTCTGGTAAAAAGAAACATTAATTATTGCCAAGGAGAAAAAGGTGAACTCGGATAACTATTTTCCTGCCACTACTTGAATGGATTAAAACCTAACAGTGATTGCACTGTCAGTTTTGGAATAGAATTCACTCTGTAATGGGGACCTTAAAGTGCTAAAATTCATAATTCTCCATACCAAACTGTAAAATCTACTTAATTTTACATAAAAGTTCAGAGATCAAGGACTCCAAACAGAGGTAGATGCAGGTTTGCAGCTGCTAATTCATTTAATCCTTAGGTCTCATGCATAATTTGCTTCCGACTACTATTTGTTTACTTGGTGAACTACTTCATAAGGTCTGTAATAAAGATAAAACCTTTGTCCATAGGCTTTCAAACAGTTATCAAACCAGCAGGAGAACAATTATAATTAACACACAAATAAGTTGGCGTTCAAAAGAATCAAGAAATTTATAGTTTGGCTGGATCGACTACATTTATAGAGAAGAATATTGACAGACTTCAATTTAAAACATATGCACATGCATCGATAATAATATGCATATTATCAATTCTCAACTTGAAACCTTTTGAATTGTTGTTTCACTATGTTTTCTCACAAAGAAAAGGTTTACAATTAGACTGAGCCTCTGCCTTCAGGAAAATCTATCTCTATCTCTCGATTTAAAAGAAATACAATTCAGAACACCAACTCAGGATTTTCTATTAATTAATCCTGAATCACTATCTCCTAAGGTGAGCCAAAATGGTTTTTCAACAGTCAACTACTTTACATATTCACGAAAGACTAGAAATTTTATGAACAGAGGATAAACCTGAAACTTGACTAGTTTGTGAAAAGGTAAAAGCAAGAGGTATGAATATGAAACTACAAGCAGAAGAATACAAGAAAAAAACAGTTAAGAAACTAGGTATTTAGTCACAACCAGAGCAGTCTAGTACCTGAAATGGGTAACCGAGTATCCTCTGAAAAAAACCTGTGTTCGATTCCTATCTATGTTATTGTCGACCCATCTGGCCCAAGTCAGAAGTGCTCTCCTATATGCTTCCAAAACCTTTAGTCTTGGGTGTACAAAATTACCTTCTTGGTAATAATCTTCTCTATGAAATCAACAAATGCAAAAAGAAAATACAAAGATGTTAATTACAATAAAGATGAAACGCAATTTCTTAAATAAAACATGAACAACAATTTGAGACAGGAAATGTCAAGGTAGCATGAAACTGTATTGGAGATCCCGGCTGTACTAATTATGGATTTTGAGATTGCATGATTTACAGAAACTTTAAAGGCATAGAACCTGCAAAACAAATGGTACTCACCCTCTAGAAGTTTTTTCATGGGTCCACCAATGACCTGTATTGAACACTATGATATCAGCATCTTGGTACATTTTAGTTGTATGGTCCATCAAGTCCAACCTTAATGTTTCAAAAGTTCCATTTTGGCTATTGAAAGACGATTCTCTAACAAGAAATGGAGAACCAACAAAATCTACGGTACAATTATAGTCCTACAAGCACAGCGAAATATGGCCTATTAGAGCAACACAAATTAAATAAACATTTTGTCAGAAGAAACCAAGGAAACTTTGTACATTACCTCAAATATAAATGCATAGAAGCCCTTCTTTTTGAATTCTGTCCTTCCAGAGATCTCATAGACTCTTTTCTTGTTTTTTATGATATGGCGGAGGATGCATACCAAAGACTCCCACATGTTCCGATTCAGTGAATCCCCAACAAAAACCAGCTTCTGTCCTCTTAACCTCTCCAAAAAATCAGTAGCATTCAAACTGGATAACACCAGTAATTAATTAAACAGACAAAAAAAGAGTCTTTTACTAGAAGTTAAAACACCAAATATTTGGAGCAAACGTTAACATATCAGAAATGGTCGATTGACCAAAGTTAACCATGATGTCTCCAACAATAACAATGTGGTCTTTCAATAGGAAGTATATTTTCATATTTCCTATTTGTTTAAAATACCATTGCGATCTTGCACAAAATGTATGCATTTAATGGTCCAGATGAGTTAAAATTAAGATCCTTAATTTGAATAATTTCATTCACACTAGGTGGTTGAATTCCATACGTTGACCATGACACGCCAAAAATAATAGCTTGTTCTTTCAGTAGATCATTAGACAGATGGCATTTTTTTTATTTTATTATTTCATTAAATTATGTTTGCAAGCATGCACAAAATGTAAGATTTAACAGTCCAAACAAGTTGAGCATACACTCTTCAATTGAAACTCCAAGATAAAATCAAATGACAATATGCTACCCATCCAGGAGCCTTAGTTTTTTTTTTTTTTTTTTCCGTCTTCTCTCTCAACAAAGCTCCATCTTTTTGCTATCAGTCACCGTTTAAGGCTTTTCAACAACTCTAAACAGATAGAAAACAAGGCGTTCAATCATAATCAGTTAAAGTGCACTGCTCATCACACCCAACAAAAATTATAGCCTTTTAAAGATGAATCTACAAACTTTGCATGTCCAACTTAAAATTTTATTCCATTAGACCATCATTCTCTGCAGCAAAACCGTCTAAATCAGAAGTCATCGAACATATTTTTACTTTCATTAAAAATGTTAAATAGCTGTAGCAAATAACTAAATAAACAAATAACAAAAGCATTTAAGTAGTAGAACATACCTTGGGACGTTACACCCATTTGGCTGCCATTTCCATTTAACAAATCCATCATCAGGCCGCCGATTTCGGTGACAATCAAAATCTCTATCAATATGTGGACAAGATCCTGCTGGATAGTATGGCTTTGAATCATCCCTCACCCACTGGCCATCAAATATATCACATGTCTCAAAATTTCCACTTTGATTTCCTTCTTCTCCACCTTGGGATATACCAAATTCTCCTTTATACAACAAATTGCCCTTATTGTTAATTTTTGCCACTGTACTGTCTACAACGCTAGAATTTTCCACAGATTTCCCTTCAATGCTATCACCAGAGAGACTTAAATTCCTAGCTTCTTGACCAGGCAAGCTTCCGTCTTTTACCACGTCATCAAAATTACCCAAATGAGTTTTCTCTAAAACACTGCCATTGCCACTAAAAACTGGGAAATTTCCATTTTCGGCTTCCCGGGTTTTATTTTGAACTTTTCCTTCATCAACACAAAAGTTTCCATTTTTAATATTCTGAGTTAAATTCCCCAAATGGGTTTTCTCTAACAAAACCTCCAATGCATCTGCTTCTAAGGCTTTTTCCAGAAAATCTCCCTTATTATTAACAGCACTATCATTATTATTAGAAACAGAAGATGGGAAGTAAGAAGTTGTATATGAGAAAGGCCATGAAACAACAGAAGAATTAGCAGTTACACTGTTAGATCCTTGAAGAAAAGGTGAACCCTTTAAACGAGCCTTAAAAGAATTACTACCAAGCAAAAGCAAAGATAGCATAATGAGAGAAACACCAACCCATAAAAAAAGCCCAGAAACCACCTTTCTTCTCGGCAAGAGAACCTGGTCTGGCAATGTAAGTTTTTTAGGATCCATCATACATCAAAAAAACCAAAGAAAAAACGAAAAGCATGCCCCGATAAAGAAATCAATCGAGAAAGTGAATAAAAATGGTGAACAGTTACTGCAATAGAGTTGAGATTCCTACGGAGATCACAAAGACACTGTATTGTCGATTTTCGATTTGGTTTGGTAAATGTGAAAGGAGCGATAACAGCAAAGTAATGAAAGAGTTTTTGGAAAAACGCTCTGAAATTTTAGTTTTCTACTACTGGGCTATGTTCGGAACGGACAGAGAAAATCAGGAAGGTAGCAGGCAAGAGCCAGTAGAAGGAACTACGATTTTACTAGAACACCCTCCCTCTTTCTACTCCACTATTTGCAACCTGTTATGTTAATGTGCCTTCACAAAAATTAGATTAATATGCCTCTTTCAAACTGTTAATTAATCTTCTTATTAATTAAATTTTAACTGAAAATTTAGAATTAACTTTAATAGTATCAAACTGAATTTCATAAAATTATTTTAAAATTATTATTCTAATACGATATATAATAAATTCTCAAGTATGATATTTGCTAATTTGCTAATAAATAAATAAACAGCTAGTGTGCAATTTGGTTATTTACATGACCGTTCACGAAATTATAAGTTTTTTTAATTTTAAAACGAAACGGGAGACACACTAATCGGCGATGAACCGCCGACAGGCAAAGTACACGTGGCGCCTTCAGAAAGACACGTGAAAGGTTAAAGGCCGGTAGCAAAACCGTGGTGCAGCACGCGAGGTACGTGCTCAAGTTTCTGGCGGCTAGTGCTTCCACCGTCGTCCTCAACCAATCAATGATGGACCCTTCGTTGATCTGGGATCTGGCGCTGTTATTGTAGGGCCCCTAAGAATCATAACGATTTTTTTTCCTAAAGAACTAAGAAACCATGGCGAAATTTTTTTAAGATTTCGACAAAAATAATGCAATTCAGCAAGAGTTAATAGGAGGAATAATAAAGATTTATATTTTGCATTGAAACCTTTGAAACATGTAGGGGTTTCATTGAAAAAATTTTACATTATAAAATGAAATTTTAGAGTAAATATGAATATAATCATTAGTTAGTGAAAAAATATATTAACTTTGATCCATCTTTATCGTTAATTTATGAACACAAACCAATATTAAAATATCATTCCATCACATTCACAAGCTACTCTGGCAACCTATCAATGGAAGGAGTCGCATTTTTTTTCCTTTTTGGCAGAAAAAAGCGAGAGATACAGTGAACACTAAATACATACAAATCTCTCTATGATATTCTGTAAGGCAATGTCAAAATTTGTGAGAGCAATCAACTCAACTGATTTTCCAACAAAGAACAAGATGCTTATACATGACTTTGCTTTTCTTTTTTTCATTTTTTTCTTTTTTTACAGATGAATACATGCATTCAACAAATATCAAAGCTTTGCTTTTCACAACACAAGGATATGTAAAGAGTGAGCCTGAAGGGATTTGTTACCGAGGTCCTGAAAGCTCCATTGCTTCTACCACTAGTGAAGATTCTTCTATAAAATCTGAATATCTTTGAGGATGGTTTTCGCAGGATCGCAGTCTAGGAGTCTCGATCTTTTGTGAAGCCTCCCATTTCTCAGCTAAACCATCGCCTTCTAACATCTTCAATACCTCAGACATCTTTGGTCGGTGAGAAGGATTAAATTGTGTACATAAAAGAGCAACTTGAACCATTTCTTCCAATTCAATCCTGTCAAAATTTCCTTTAAGATCCTTATCTACTAGGAGATTCAACTTGCCTTCTTGATGGAGCTTCTTCACCTAGTAAAGCAAATTTTTTATGTAAGAGAATATATTATTTATCTGAATGCATAAATTTTTTTTACCAAGATAGCTGATACACACAGCATTAATAGGAGTATGGTATTTTCAGAATTATTGATTTTCCACTCCTAAATGTAGGATCAACAAATGATTGATTGTACATTTTACTGATCAAGCAAATACTAACTGATAGATGCAAAAATAAGTTGCAATTTTTATTCTCATACACTTTCATGATTCTCCATGCCAAAGTCCCAGTCAAACTTTACCAACTTGTTCATTCTACTTTCAAAATTAATTAATCATAGATTCTCAAAAATTTTGAGAGACAGAAAGAGAAATTACCCAATCCAGCATGACACCTTTCTGGTTAGCTGCTCTTCCAAAATCCAATGCTTTCTGGCCTGTGATAAGCTCGAGAAGCAATATCCCAAACCCGAAGACATCAGTCTTTTCTGATGACTGACCTGTTGATAAATACTCTGGAGCAATGTGGCCAACCGTGCCACGCACAGCCGTGGTCACATGGGAATCTCTGTGATCCAAAAGCTTTGCCAATCCAAAATCGCCAACAACTGCCTCAAAATCTTCATCCAACAAAATGTTGGCTGCTTTGACATCACGGTGAATAATCTTGGGGTCACACTGCTCATGCAAATAAAGCAGCCCCCTGGCCGTACCTAAAGCTATCTTCTTTCGCCTTGCCCAGTCCAAAGCTGGCCGGCCATGTATGTGATCTGATAATGGAATACACAGCTGATAAAATTAATCTTCAATAGATGGCAGGCTAAAAGAACAACTATTAAACTACTAATAAAGCTGAAAGTAAAAAAGTTAACTAGAACCATGAGGCGATTTTTAGCAACAAAAAATTACAATAGAAGTGGTAATTAATAAAAGTAAGGCTCATAGCTAAAGTTGTAAACACTGTGCCAGAATGGATGTTTCTCAAAGGGTATACTTTGAAGCATGGAATTGAAAACACACTGCTACAAGCTGGAAAGTGATGGATGTTGGTTATCATAATTGAAGTGATAATAAAAGTGGTAGCAATGAGTAGAGTTTCAAGTGGTGCTGAATTGGGAATTGGGAATTAAACAACATGTCTCTAGTTGTAGCAGTGACCACATATGGGGTTCTGCTGATGGCTGGATATTTGCTGGTCCTGCCAGTTGCAAAATGTGGTGCTATCTTGGATTTTCAGAGGCCCTGCTGTAAGATTACTGCTGAAGTGAGTAAATGGCGTCAGTGTTGGTAGCCTTGTAGTAAAATTAAAGGCGTGGCAGAGTAGCAGCAGCCATGACTCCCCACATTAACTCTGGATACAAGGGTTAGAACCTTGGATTGAAAATGACCACTAACCTCTTAATCGAGATGCTACACTTCCATTTGGCATATAAGGGTAAACAAGAAGCCTTTCATTCTCAGTGGTGCAAAACCCAGAGAGCCTAAGCAGATTTCGATGGACTGCTAAACTTATTGTCTCTACTTCTGTCTGGAACTGGATTTCACCACCAGCTGCATTATAGTCCTTCAGCCTTTTGACAGCTATCACTGTCCCATCATTCAAGGATCCCTTATACACTATTCCAAACCCACCTCTCCCGAGAATGTTCTTCGAATTGAAATGATCAGTTGCACCCCTGAGCTCCTTAAATGTATATCTTCTCAAATGGCCTAAGCTAACCTCTCGATCATATTGTTCTGCAACAACACATAATAATTGAGAATCAGATAACCAAACTGAAAGCACGGGAAAGAGATTGATTAAAAGCTGAAATGCAGTTAGAAGCACTTGATGATGCAGTAAACAACATGCAAAATACATAAGAACCATTTACACTAATTATTTTCAGCTAATTTCACATGGTGGCACGAAGGCACTCTAATAAATAGTGTTACACCATCAAATTTAAATTCCTCATCACTTCTGTGCAACAAATTCTGCGTATCTTTCTTACTTGCTCCTTGAGACAACACTGGGGCAGCAACTATTTTTTAAGTTATTTAACAGAATATTTACATAAAAGAGGAAATTATTTTTGGTACTTTATTCTATCGAATGAATAGCAAAAGCAAGGAGAGCTGCAGTTTACAGAAGATAGTAGAACTCAATGAAAAATGAACTACATAAACTAACCATTAATATCAAAGAAAATCTGCTGATTCCTTCTGTATCGCCACCAAACAAATAATCCAATAACAATTATGATGGAAAATGCAGCACCAAAGCTTGCACCAAAAGCAATAGCCACACGGTGGCTATTGGATCCAGAGTCTGGTTGACCTAAAACAAAGAGTAGCAGCACAAACTCATCTTTCATTTTTGTGAAGAAGAATAAGGGACAAAAACATACATCTGTGAAATTAAGTGAAAATTACCTTTTAGACCATCTGGTGGGAGAGAAAGAGGCTCTGGGAAGACAGCAGAACAATTGTTATCAGCTTTTGGTCCACATATTAAAGGGTTGCCTATAACTCTGAAAATGATAAAAAAGAGAATGGAAACTTTGAATTAGAATAAATTGGCATTACAACAAGGAGCTAAGCACTATTATAGCTAGGAGAATAACTGCTCACTTGAAAGTTCTTGCTGATATCTTAGGCAAGGAACCGCTCAAATTGTTAAATGAAAGGTCCCTACAAGCAAGCAACATTACAAATCTTAACATGTATGTTCACAAAAAGACCGATAAAACAGTTACTTTTACATTCATACAATTGAGGCAAAGACTAAACTGCACAATGTAAAGTTGCAAGGACATACACAAGAGTGAGACCTTCAATGTTGGACAGAGACTCAGGGCAAGTTCCAGTAAGGCTGTTGTTATTTAACCGCCTGTGTTGCTCATCAACAACATTGGATGTGTGAGAATTTGAATCAGTCCTTTACTATGGAAAAGCCAAGTACGAAACATCTTCTGGAAACCAAATTTCACCAGGAAAAAGAAAAAGTACACAAATTTTGAAACTCACAGGTAATTCAGGTTCTTAAGGTCCCCCAAGGAAGCAGGTATTTCTCCACTGAATGTGTTGTTGGAGAGATCAAGCGTCTGGAGCCTCCCCAACCTCCCAATGGCAGCCGGTATAGGGCCTGAAATAGCATTATTCTGCAACAGCCTGCATATTTATTCAGATGATTACATAAATGTCAAGAAAACAATCAAATTTTAACTAGGAAACCAAATGCTAAAAGAAAATAAATCAAACATTCAGAAAAATTGAAGGCAATTACTCACACTGATTGCAAGTTAGTAAGGTTACCAATCCAAGAAGATAAGGTCCCAGACAAGCTCTGACTAGGAAGTCCTCTGTTTAAACAAAGTAACTTCTCAATTCCTCAGACAAAAGGTAGGCAGATACAGAAAAAATATAAATAAATAAAAGCAACTTACAAAGCAGAAACATATCCATCTGAAGAGCAAGTAACCATCCTCCAGCTACAAGGATCGACAGAATTGATATCCCAACTTTCCAGAACATTGTATGGGTCATGTAAAGCAGTTTTTATATTTACCAAAGCTACAACTGCACAAATTTCAATTATAATAAGAAGTACGGCTCACCACTATATGCCCAAAAGAAGATCTTGAAGCTACTGTTCTTATTTATAACTAGATAGATTAATGGAAGCCAGATGAAATAAAGTAATAAAGTACAAAAATGGTTTTATGAGGGTAGTTCAGATAATCCTGTAGGCCATTAAAAGCATTTAGTACAACATATGGTTAGACAGTTTCTCCTAGTTCAGGTAAGAAAATGCATTACAAAAATATTTGAGTTAAGAGAATTAATTAACAAAAGAAGTTCACCGGAAGCAAACAAAAAACTGAGAGAGAGAGAGAGAGAGAGAGAGAGAGGATAGCAAAGATCTTGATAAAAAATAAACTACCTTCATAATTTATGCCAGTAGGAGAAAGAGTAGCGGAAGAAATCTCCATTAATGCCCAAACGACAAGCCCCACTTTCCACAGCCATAAACTCCTCCCTTCCATCCTTTTCTATTCTCAGTTTAGTAGCTTTACTCCCTCTCTTTGAAAAACCACTATACTCTGATCAAAACCACCATAGCCAGAAACCTTACAAGCCATATATTGGATGACATGAAGTTTAAATGAGCCTTATCGAAATAAAAAGGCCTATTTTAGAATCAGAACGATATAAAGTACAAACCCATCACCATTTCCATAACAAAAACACTGTCCCCTATTTGCCCTTCCAACTTGAATGGAAGCAGATAAAAACTTTCAAATGGAACCAAAATTCACCATCTTAGGGAGTACCCAACTGGGACACACAGAATATATGAATATCAATAAGCAGAGACAAACCATCAGCAAAAAAAAGAAGAGAATTTTCTCGAGAAACAAGCAGAAACCATTCAAAGCCTGAACTTGTAAGATCCTAGAGATCTGAGAACACCCAAGTATGATTTCTTAGCTTTTGGTTAATCCCTACAAATTCCAAGCGAGTTTGTTGTTACTTTTTAGTCTTACCCTGTTACACTCCTTTGTGATTCCACTACTGCTGCTACCATTATCCTCTTGAATACACAAAAACAAGCTAAAAATGAGATCTTTAATGAAAATTACAGTCAGGGAGAAAGAGAGAACAGAGCCAAAATACCATAGGCCAAAACAAAATGCCAAAGAAGACACAGATACAGATGCAGAACCAGTAACTAAAGAGAAGTGAGAAAAAAAAAACTGTTCTTTCCCTTTCTTTTTAAGAGAAGAGAGAATTTTAATTCAGTTAATGTTGTTTTTTGAATTTATTTTCCAAAAATAAAATAAAATTTTTGCTTTGTAATTCCTAGAAATTCAGTGATTGGACTGAAAGGGTGTGTGGGAGTGATCACAGGGAATGATGGGAGGAGATATCTAGACAGTTAGGTATGCATTAGTTAAAAGTATAAAAATTTAACTATTTTAATAAAGTTTAAAAATCTAAAAAATTTTGTTTAATAAAAATTTTTATTTAACATCTATTTAAAAAAAAAAAAAGAGGGAAAAAAGTGAAAATAAAAGGATAGACATTTTTTATTTTTACCCTTTTAAAAAAAAAAGTTAAAGTATATGGCAGGTCACGTGCTTGGATTGTCTTGGCCTTTGTTGTGTTGTGGCTTCAAATTCATTTGCAAAAGTAATTTAATAATCATATTCTGTTAAAAGTCTCTGCACCTCTGTCCCATCTTGCTAAAATGCGCCCGATAACTTAAAACATAAAGGGGTTGTCTTTCTTTTTTTCTTAAAAAAACAACAGGTTCATCTCACAGCCTATTCCACATCACCAACCATTTGTGCTACATTGCTATATTTGACAACTCATTTCATAAATATATATTTAATTTAATTATATATTTTTCATATATAATTTTTTAAGGTAAAAAATTTATTTGTTTAAGCCGTAAAAGTCATATTTCTTTTAATTTTCATTTGTAAAATATAAGTTGGTATTATTTTTTGAAACTTTTTATTAATTGTCTATTTTATTATTATTTAAAATTCACAAATTTTATAGTATTAATTATTTGGTACGGTTAGAACCATAAAAATTTTTATTTTTTAACAATTGAACTTGTGTTCCACTTAGTTGAATCACGCATTTTTTATTTTTCTATGTTTACTGGTTTATAGATCCGGCAAATTTATATTTGGTAATATGTGAATTCTACTTAAATAAATTTAAAGTTTTTTAGGTTCTTAGTATATTTTTTCTTTTGAGTACTCAGATTAACTTCAATTATTTAATAAATAATCAAACATTTGGAGGTTTATAGTTGTTGCTAGATAGGGAGAAATGCATAAGTGTTACACTATAATCAAATTCCAACATTTTTTTTCTTAAAATCACATAACAAAATATTCTCCATATCAATTATTGAAATTAAACTACTATCTAATAGTTGACCACTAACTACTCAATATACAAACCTTAAATTAAATTCTAATTTTTTTGCCGATATCCAAATTCAAATTTTGTTATCAGAAACTGTCTAATTCGATTTTGAGTTTAGTCACAATTAAAATTGCTCGCCCTTTTCCTTCAAGTGTGTTTAGTATAGATCGAAACCAAAAGCTCTTCACATACTCAATCTGTGTTGCCAAATCAACTACAATCCATACGTAAATTAAATTCTATTTAAAAATTCTCTTTGAGAAATATAACAATGGTAACAAAAATCCTCCGCATTCTTTACAAAACCTAAATAGTAATCCCTTATCCATAAAAATGGATTACACACGTTAAGAAAATATTTAATATTGTTTAAAAAATAAAAATTGACTTCCATTTGCTTAATATACATATATATTAAAATTAAATGTCATTTTTAATAAAAAATTTGATAAAAATTATTGATAATAAGACATGTTAAATAGGAGTATATTTGAAATTTTAATTGTATTTTTTAAAAAAGAAAGACAGCCTATAATTTAGATCCAATAAGAAAAACTAAAACAAAACCTATCTTGACTTGACATGCCCGTGATACTAAAATTAATGTGCTTAGGAAAATGCAATATAATGTAATTAAATATACTTTTACTATAAAATGTTACATTAAAAAATAATTATATTTCACTTATATTCCATTACCACTCTCTAAATATAATATTGGCTTCTTTTAAAAAAAATAAATAAAATGTGTGGTTTTTCGCATAATTTCTATTTAAAATTTCTTCAAAGAATAATATTTTCTTTTTAATGGTGGACCAATCTGGATTAAACATGTGCATATTGCTAAGATGCACCAGCATCCCACAACATCATTATTGGTATAAAATGGACCCACTTTCTTTTTTTTCCCTTCCTCTTTTCCCGCTTCTCGATGCATCAATCAATCCCATCAACGGTCATGATTGATCCGATAGGCTACCACAGTACCATAGTCCTGCTCCTGCATGCCCCTGACCATCATGCCCATGTGGGGATGGTATGCCTCTTGTCCTACATTTTCTTTTTTTCTTTTTGAGTTTGAACTTTATCAAAACTAGTTAAATAATTTAAAACCTTTTCAAAATATTACAATTATAATAATAAAAAATTAAAATTAATTTATTATATTTTCCAATAACTTGTTATTTAAATTAAATTATATATCTTAACTATTAGTTTGAAAAATATTTAATTTTAAATCATATATGTAATTAATAGTTGATTAGTATATAATAACTATATTTAAGGACATTAAAAAGTCTCGTTAACTACTATATTAATTAAAATTTGAATTATTGTAATTTTTTTCTTGTAATAGTGTAAAAATGTTTGAATTGTTTATTTATTTATTTACTAAAATACGCCGCTATGGCTGTGGTGGTGGAGGTGTGTGCGTGAGGAGCTTTTTTGCACCCCTATGATATTCCGCGTCGAATACCGTGATAGAATCTCTAAAATGGCCGCCGGACCACCGCATGCATGCCTAAGAGTGGGGGCAAAATAGGTAAAACAGGCTAGACATTGAATTTTATAAAAAAAAAAGTCGGAAAAAGAAAAGGGCAAATAAAATGCCTAGATGTGCTGTAATGTAGAAGTTCAAAGCCCAAGGGTATTTTTGTCGCATTGGGAAAACTGAATATTCCCTAATCCGTAATTAAATAATGGATTATGTTTATTCACATTTAATAATACGTGGCAGAGAATTATATTAGATTATAGACCCCCAAATCCTAGGGTTTTATTAGGGTAGTTTGGTCGCTTCGGAATTTGAACAGTACTTACTTTTACTTTGCGTTTTTTACTCTTTTCTTTTTAATTTCCATCACAAATCTAAATATCCTTTCAATACAAAACTCTTTTTATTATTCCATAATTTTAGTCATATTTTTATTTTTCACACATATATATTGTTAAGCTGTATTTTGAAATGAATCATTAAATAATTCAAGTTATTATCTTATATAATCAAATGACATACAAATCGGCTAAATCTAATAGCGTGAGCTTCTTGACAAGCGCAACATCAAACTCTCATCTATCATGTTTTGACAGCAATCATGACTCATATGAAGTATGAAATCATTTGCTAATCAAAAATTTTTTTACTAAAAAAATCAAATTTATTAAGAGTGATTTGATTGAAAAATATATACTCCAATACATTATATTATCAATTTGGTGAATATTATTTAAGGAAATAATTATCCATGGTGTATACTCTACAATATCATTCAGGTCTAATGGGCCTTTCAAATATATTAATGATTTTTTAATAGAAATACACATTAAATAGGAACATAATTAAAAAAACTGAAAAGAATATATTATTTTAAAAAAGAAATAAGATTATAATTTGAAACAAATAATAAGTAAAATACCAATTATATAAGGAAGGGAGTAATATTTTAAACCAAATTGGCAAGTCATTTAATTTTATCACCTGTTTTTATATTCAAACAAAACAGATTTGCACACTAAGATATTATCTAGTGATAAACACACATATATATATATCTAGATTTGAATTTTCCTTCTCCAATATGCTTAGATATAAACATGCTAAAATGGAAATAGAGAATTAATAGAACCGATTCAATTAATTTAGAATTAAGATTAATGGTTATAGAAAGTGATATACAAATAAAATATCTCTTAGAACAGGGACTTCAATACATATTTATTGCATGAAGGGATCAATTTAGTTGTGCTGATGCAATAATCAATTGGTTCAAAATGAAATTTTTTAATAAAAATTGCAGCATGCTTAATTAAAGACATGATCAAAAGCAAGACCAAAGGGTAAATTAAAAATGTTTTAGAGGGTTCCTGTCCCAATTACCATGCCACATAATTTCACCCATCCATCAACAACATGTTTCTCGATACAGAACTAAATCTTTGACGGCATGCACTTACCGACCTAATCACAAAAGTGACTAAAATTCAAAGACAAAAAAGGACGGTGTTTTTGTTTTTGTTCTTTGTTAGGTGGAGGAAAAGAAATAGTAATTGAAAATTTAGGTCTTTTTTGAGAAGGGAAAATGGGATTTTAGGTTGTGGATTTGGGGATAGTAAGATCATTTCACATGGGCCCCATGATTATGACATTAGCTATTTTGTTGGGCTTTATGGGTCCTTGTCCAAGTCACCATGATTCCTTCGGTGGACCAACTGCCCGGACCAACTGCCCAGACCAACTATGCCTTTACTCAATTTCTAATTATTCCAAATTAAAAAAAAAAAAAAAAATTTGTTGGTGATAAGATGCTTCTAACTAATCTGATAACATGCTCGCCTCATAATTGATAGTGATGGTTATGGTTTACTAGTTTAGAGTATTATAATGTGAAAATTTAAAAAACAAAACATGCATTAGTTGAAGGAATTCAAATTCTCATATGGATAAGAAGCTAACTAGATCGCACTTAATTAGTTAAATGTGTCTGCTTTTGATACATGATAAATTATGATTTTGATGTATATAAATATCTCGCTGAAATTTGTAAATTTAACTAATTTTTATACACCAAACAAAAGATATTCTATGTTTCTTGGAATTAAAAAAGCTTATCTTTTTTTGATTTTATAGATCTTCACAAATTACATGAATTTCAAAACCTATAATTTAAACATTGTCAAAAGGTTTTTGCCTTCCACAACCTCCTTTAAATCATCCCTCTCTCTAAAAGATTTCAAATAGATTGATTGCTTTATCCATGAATATCTGGTTCAACCATTTAATTTGTAACTAATAGCTTATACATATTTTAAAGTTTGAAATAGTTGTTCATTTCATCAAATTGTAGGCTTATTTGGTTTAATTGTTTAATTTTTTAGATATAAAATTTTAACATATCTCACAAATATTAGTAAGTCCACAAGTATTTTATTTTTATAAATGATTTATTATATGAGTTATTTTTTTATTTTTTTTTATAACAATAAAATATTTTTCAAACTGTTTTAAAACCATGAATGAACAGGGTTGGGCCGGAAATAGATAGAGAAAACCTCAACATCAACTTCGGTGGAGATTGGGCTGAAACATATTCTCCCTCCTCTACCACAAAAAAAGAAAGAGCAGTGACCTTGTTTTAGATGACAGTTCCATTGAAAAATGAATAATGAGAAACAAATATTTATAATCACAACCACAATGTAATCTTTTTTTATTGCTACAATATTTGTTACTAAATTCAACTTCTCCATTTTCAAATTCGCTTCATCTACCTTGTTATCCTCCTTAGAGAAAAATAAAAAAAAATCATTTTTAAATATTTTGTATATCACAAACGCTCTCCTGTGCTACCTACCACAGAGAATTCCGTACCCTGCACCAGTATCGCTCTATTCAAATCGTCCAATCCCACGTTAGCGCAAGAAAACACTGACCTCTCAGCCAAACGACACTTATCATTCACCACCACGTTCCTTACACTGTTCCATTTACACGCGCCGCTGCCAAGCTCGCAAAGGAATACCTCTCCAGGAGCACAGGCATTGTTTATATACACAAAATCTCCCATCACATTCACAACCACCGATGACACCCTAGAAGAGTCTTCTCTCATTTTCTCTACTAGTTCCTTAGGCATTTCACCAATTTCTCTGCAGCAATCAAACGACGCGACGTTTAGCTCCCACAATTTCACTCCAGTGATCTCTTCCTCATCGTCTCCAGTCAGACCGACCAAAATCAGACGGTCATTAGAAAATCCAATAAAGGTGCTGGACAAATCTCTATTAGGACGCAAATTGTATGGTCCATTCCAGGATTTGGTTTCCGGATCGAAATAGAAAACCAAGCCGGAGCTTTTCTCTGCAACGTACATTCTATTACCGTTTACTGCTATGGAAAGCCATGTGGAGGCGGCGGAGTCCTTGAGAACAGTAGGCATGGACTCGCATTTGTCCCATGTACGCGTCTTCAGGTCATATATTTCCACAGCCAAAGGATCATCTTCAAAATCGCATGCTCCTCCGGCGACTATCACACGGTGGCCGACGACTGCGACGATGGGGTCAGTTCTCCACACGAGTGGGGATTCAACGTGGTGCCAAGTCAAATGCAACGGGTCAAAAGAAAAGGAAAATTTGGACGGTGATAACATGTAGAGGAGAGTGGAGTGGGAAGATCGGAGGGCAGATACGTGATGGATAGGCAGTTGCTGGATCTGAATCCACACGTGCGAGCGAGGATCGTAAGCGTGCGAGGCTATGAAGTGAGGAGATCTAGTAGCCTGAGAGTGGAGAATAAGCCAAGGTTTGATTTTGTTGAAATAACGAAGAGAAGTAGAAACGCTGCGTTTCCAAGACTTGGAGACACGGGAAGCAGGCACAAGGTCAATGAGAGGCACGTGACCGAACACGGACTCCAGAATGTCCCCATGGATTGAGGTTTGTTCTTGCTCCGGTAACGTTTCTTTTCTCCGTTCTGCCATTTTTAGATTTTGGATAATTTTGTGTTAGTGGGGAGGTTTATATAATGATTTATAACTGGATGTGAACGGACGGCACCGTAGCCCACACATACATTGACATGTATAAAATTCTAAAACAGGAGAAAATACACTATACATATATAAAATACATTTCGAATTCTTACCAGATAATTTTCTAACTTTAGACTTGGACTCGATATCTTTTCCCGCTCTTGTTTGGAATATTATGGAACATAGAACCGGATAAGAACAATCCTAATTGGTACTTGATTTTTAATTTCGTGGGCTAAACACATCGAAAAAGGAAAACGTGGAGATCAGGTTGGTGAAGTTGAATTGACTTTCTTTTATTTAGGCAATTAAGGTGCAGTTTTTTTTGGTTTTAGGAGTAAGCTTTTTATTTTTCTTAAGTTTAAAAAGTTTTTGATTTTTTTTTTTCATTTTTTAGCCTTTAAAAAATAAATAAAACAGTATTTATTTAAAAGTTAATTTTTTTAATGGAATTTTAGTTTTATTTTATTTTATTTTTAATTCCTTGGAAGGATAGCAAATGCAATGATTATATCATATTCTGATTGTTCCACTTTAATAGTTAAGAAAATAATTGAAACACATTGATTTTCTAAAAAAATACAGTGAATATCTAATTGTCCTTAAAATTATAAACTCCTTATTAATTTTGCTGCAGGGCACCTAATAAATATGGATAAAATTGAAAAAAAAATAATTAATGCATTCTCAAAATTCTAAATGAACAAGGTAAAATGTTCATTTTGTTGTTGTTAAAGTGGAACGGAATGAGTATTTTTTTACGTGCATTGGAAGGCAGATATTAAAATGATAAGATCTGTTAGTACCATTGATGTGAGTTGTACATTTATCTTATTCAATTCATGTTTTTTTTTTTTAAATAGAAGTTTTTTTTTTCAGATTCATAATTTTATGCATTAGAAAATGAACACTCAATCATTAAATTACTAATATAATTAATTATTACTATATTTATATTTAATTATTTACAATAAAATATATCAATTGATATTAAGAATTTATTATTTACCAAAAAAAGAAGTTTTGAAAAAAAAAAAAAACATATTGATTTTGCAAAAGAATATTAAAATACAAGTGTATTTACATCGAACAAAACTGAAAACGGAATCCAAAGTTCATCCGCTGTATGTAATTACTGGTGTGTGTATTAATAGATGTTTATAATAAACAAACATATTAATTAGAGAACGCAAATTTGGAAATTGGAATTATTATATTTTTACTAAAATAGTTTGTATGTCCATATCAATATTCGAATTATTTTTAAATTCGATGAACAAGTAAATCAATCTTTTTAATTCCAAACAAGCAAACATCACAGTTGAATTATTGAGCATTCAATTTTCATGTGTTAGATGGGGTTAGCTATCTATCTAATAATAATCAATTGATATATTTTTTAACATCATATATTGTACTTACGCTGTCTTAGATTAAGTGTTCATATTGGGAATTTAGAGTGTGACAAATTAATTATTTATTTTTCTGTTTTAATTAATAGTTAAAAAGTTATTTTCTCTATACTATCCTTTATATCACTATAACGTTTGTGTCATTTCTCACAAAAGTAATACTCTACCCCCTCTATCTTATTTTAATTTTCAAGTATCACTTTGGAGTTTAGACATTTTTTTTCCACTTCCTTTATTTTAGAAAATAAAGTAATAATTAACTTTTTTTTCACTCTATAATCATTAATTATTTAGAGAACTGACAAAAGAATAATTTAGTTAATTTTATATATTTAGACTGATTTTGCGCCAGACTCTTCAATACGATCTTTTCTTCTCTGAGTGTAGCCGCTCTGCATTTAGAAATTCAGCAATAAAACGAAACACCTGTAATATATGCTCAATATATAGCTACGATATGACACGTGCTTAGTCCTTGAAAGTACATAATGTAATTTAATTTCGTTTAACCTTATATTTTTTAGATATTAATTTTACTTGATAATAACTCTATCCCATTCGAAGCGTTTAAGTGATGTACATCTCTTAATATATATATATATATTATAGATATATGATATATACAGCGCGAGTACATGTACTAATTGAAAATCAAAAACACAAGTATAATTCAGTTCACCTCTACGACATGCTGTGTACATTGATTTTCTCATACGCACTCCTACATCAAGGGAATAGATCTAAATGACGTAAATGTCACGTGGATCGAGATAGGCCTCTTACCTCATATTACGAACAAAACTTGAAAACGGGAATCCAGCGATCAGCTATTACATCCGCCTTGCGTGTATACGCGGCTGTAACGATCATACGCGCATCTAGCGAGCAGTTACCTCTAGCCACCTTGCGCCGAAGCCCAGCGTCGTTTCTTGTCTTTAGCGTGACTCCTGACCCCGATGGCTCAGACACGCCGCACACCACTAGATAAAGAGAAGACGCGACACTGGATCTCTGACCCGTAGTGTGGTGTATTTAATTATAGAGCATGTTTATAATTTAACACAAAGGATTAGGACGATTTAATCTAAGCAGAACGGCAAATTTGCGAAATTGAACTTACTTCTCGTCTGCTCTTCACTTGAAAAATATAGCGTCCTGCAGCTCCTAGTCACATTGTGTCCCAAAGATCTCTCCAATCGGCCCGTACGAAACTTAGTTTTTTAAATTCGACTCGGCCTAATGAACAAGCTAAACTACAGACATCATTTATAGGCGCATAACAAGTAGTCAATAAACATCACGCGTGTCGAGGTCAATAGCACACCGGTCTATATGCACACTCCTGCTCGCATCGCGAGCCATTTCAATTATTACTATCGAATCGTGTGTAAGTTAAGACGACTTCGGGTGGTGAGTTAGTGTCTATCCAATGCTAATTAATAATTACATCTCGCAGCATATCTTGATATATTTTTTAACTCATATATTGTACTTACGCTGTCTTAGATTAAGTGCTTCATATTGGGAATAGACGTGTGACAAATTAATCATCACATATATTTTCTGACTATCACAAATCCTAATATGTGTCAAGCAACATTGATCGTGACATTAATTTTCTCCTATAACTAATCCCTTTACTTTATCTAGCTCTAATATTACCGACGTTCCACCTGTGTCCATTTTCTCACAAAAGTTAATACGTCTACCCCCTCACTTAATCTTTAATTCTTTCTCGATGATTATTTCCAAGTTCATATCACTTTGCGAGTTATCTGAGAACACTACATTCTGGTCGTATCGAGACCCACTACCTCTCTCAACATATTTACTAAGCAAATATAATAAGTCTCATATATCTATCTAACTTTTTTCACTCCGTAATAATCCATTTAATTATGCTGACAGAGAAATACGCTGACTACAGAACAACGAGTGCGTTTCGCTAGTCAGCACAAAGACATAATTTAGTTTAATTTTGATACTGTACCAACTGGCCATTCACTACTTCACAGCTAGTCCCAGCCTCCCATCTTCTCATGCATATTCTTTACTTTATAAAGTTAAGTTACTCTCTACCCTGCAACAACTTCAAGCTGTGCATGTGGTATATATATCCTCATCGCGTGTAGCGCACTCTCGACATCCTAATATATATATTGACCATAATATATAAGTATATATAATTTAAATATTATATTGATCCTTTTTTTTTTTTTGACATCTTGAATTATGATTCATATTAATTAATTGAATAGAAATGAGCGATACAATTGGGAGCATCAATCTCAAATTGGTTTTAAGCAAAGACAAGCCACACTCGCGTCACCGAGTCTACTAGGAACTGATTTAGCCAACACTATGAGCTATCATCATTTGCTTGTCTTCTAATCCAACCAAGGAGCACTAGGGCCAATTAGTGTCACACTAAATAGTAGTTTTACAAATTCAGAAAATGACAACGCCCAAACTCCAGACCGTTCAGTCCTTGCAGAACTTTCTCATAGCATTGATAGCACTCTGCAGACAGTCGAAGATTCACGTCTCATCTGAACTCGCGCGTTCAATGTCATGCCATTCTTGCCTTCTTCCATCAACTATCGGTGATGACCGGCGATCACGTCTTATGCGCCACCCAATTGATTAATACATTTTTCTTAGTGCCTGAGCTTCTGCTACTGCTGGGAGGGAAGAACACGTTCCTTTGAATTAGCCTGATGAACGTTCGCTTGCTTAATGACCGAACCTGCTCATGGCAGTCCCCCCTGTTGTGACGATGTACTAAGGCAACAAACCAGCTCCCGGCGACAGAGGGGAAAGAGCGCATCAAGTTATTTAGTACCATAGGTGGCGGGAACCAAAATTGACTACCTCCAGACCGGTACCTATGCCAGGTTATCCGAATCCTGACAGCTTCAGACATGGGACTTTTTCTTCCAAGATGCCAAATAATATCTTCTAGCTCTTGGAGTTAACACATTGATAAGGTCCTTCTTCCACTTTGGTTCCATTTTTAGTTCATTACGGCTTCAGTCACATAATGCTGTTAACCCCCCACCCTCCGTCCCTCGAGTCCCGAGGACCCGACGCGGATGTCACCATTCGGTTCGCGGAGGCCGCGTCCTTTAACAACATAAAATCAGAAAACTCCCTAGTATGAATTAGAAGTGATTTAATATTCACAAGTTTAGTTCAGCATACATGTACATTTATAGCAAAAGAATATCAATAGAATCTTACTAGTTACTTCTTAAAAATCATGTACCGTATTATCTTATTTGAAACATGTAGTCATTTATTTCCAAACCCAGGTTTACTACCTGAAAAATATATATATATATTTTTTTTACAAGGGCTCATCTACACTTAGGAGAAAAAGAAGCAGATGGGTTTTCAGAACAGATTCAGAATGGCCTTAGGTCGCCAATAGATTCAGAACATATAGAGTGCGTCCGCCCTAACAGAACAGAAGACACCCACGTGTCTAGCATATGATTATAGCTTCTTATCGGAATGGCATCAAATGCCGAGCATGCTCATCAGACAGAATAAAATCAAATCACGCATGATAGCCTCGCAAAGCGGGCAAATCTTGTTATGTTATTTTGATATAAATTGCATAAATGCATGATTGTTTTTGTACATTTTACGTTGACTAGAGCACAACATATGATGTCCCATCTTCCATATATCTCCCCATGTCGTACCTTAATACTTGTTTATTTCTGACTTCGCATCTCCTTACCCTCCAGTAAGATCACCACCAATTTTACTCTCGTTTGACCATGAATTTGAAACCTGAATTCATTCATGAAACATCTCATTACTTAACACAGAAAAGGCTTCATCTGCGATACTCTACACACTGGAAACTCGGCTCCCAGCATTTCGATCCTCTCCTCTCTCTCTCTTAATACATAACTTGAGTTATATATCTCCCAAATTGAATGAAATTTGACCTTTGATGGGTTTTTAAGACATAACTTGAATTATATGTCTCCAAATTGAATGAAATTAGATTCATTAGAAAGCTAAGACAAAATGCTACAAATTTGATGAAGGGACTAGAGCCCAGATCAATCTATAAGGTAGAAAAAAAAAGCTAGGAACACAGACCAACAGTCCAGACCTGATTCAGCAGACCCAAGTCCAATGTTTATTGAATTCCTCCTTAATAAAACACTCAAATTAAATCAATCTAAAACCAGAGAAGTCTCAAGACACAGTGAAACAACTCTCATGAAGAGCTCAGAACATAATCTTGCCATTATAGTGGACCAAATCTATTAGGGCTGCATGTGCGGTACGTAATACAACAGAGTCAGTTTATGAATGGTTTTAGTCATAAGGTGAGCGTATATATTATCAAAATTTGACAACCAAAGAGGATGGGTGGAAAGCTATAGAAGTTCCGCACGGTACGCCTGACGCGCTCACCGTACCCCTCATACCTTTCATTACAACTTTCATTTTGAAGGACTTTCAAATACAGAGGGAAAATAAAACGAATAGAAATAAAACGAATAGAAAAACAGTCCTTAAACACACCCATTAACATTTTCCCTTGGTACCTCTCTTGGAAGAAGAAGAGGAAAATGTTTTCCACTTCAATCAAACATGTGATCATGCTTAGAAATCACCCAAGAGCATGTTTATACAACCAAGGTTCGATAATTCAAATCATTTCATACAAAATCTAAAATATACACATAATAGCATAAATGCACAAAATAAAGAATTGAAGTAAGGTTAGTGTGTTTATGAACACTAACCTTAAACACAAGGTTTAACAAGCTTAAATCAAACTCTTTAAGCCATTGCTTTGCCTTTCTCTTCGCTGGAAGGTTCTCCACCCTCTAAGTGTAAGAAACTCAAAATCAAAACAAAGAAAACAAATAACAGAAGAAATTGGAGCATGATTAAGCATGTATATGCTAAAAGAAAACTCTAAACCCAAAAATAATGAGGTTATCATGAAATCACTTACTTGACCCAAGTAGGAAAATCTCCAAATTTCTTGAAATTAAAGCTTTAATCCTCTAGATTTTTTCTTACTTAGTATTCAAGGTTAAATGGAGTGAATTGGAGTGAATTTGGTGAATTATTCAAGTAGAAAATGGAGAAAACAAAGAGAAGAGAAAGAGAGGCTAAAGGTGAAATGGAGGAGAAGAAGATGAAGTTCACGTTAGTTGGAGAGGAAGAGGAAGAAAAATATTGCTCTATCATTTGCTTGTCTTCTAATCCAAGCCAAGGTAACACTAGGCAATTGGACTAAGAGAAGTTTACATTCAGAGATAACAACTCCAAACTCAGACCAGTCGTGGGCAGAACTCTTCATAGCATGATAAACTTGCAGGCAATCGGTTTCAATTTGGATCGTCAGATTAGGATGACCTGATAGCACCCAGGATAATACCTTTCTTAACGCTTGAGCTTCTGCTACTGCTGGGGAAGAACAACCATGCAGAGAAGACATTGCTGCTGATACGAACCCGCCATGGCAGTTTGAGATTACAGCACCGATAGCTCCATGGCCAACAGAGGGGAGAAGAGTAACATCAAAGTTTATTTTAAAAGTGCCAGTAGGTGGCGGAAGCCATTGACTACCTGCAGAAGCACCTATGCCTGTATCCGAACCTGACAACTTCAGCTGGGCTTTCTTCCAAGATGCAAGCACACTTCTGGCTCGAGTAACCACATGATAAGGTCCTTCTTCCACATGGTTCCATTTTAGCTCATTACGGCTCAGCCAAACACTCCACAAGCCCATAATAAAACTGTCAAAAAATGCGCTCTCCCACGCCTTGTTTAAATGTTCGAGCATCTGTAAGAAATTTGGAAAGTTGCCAATATTAGGTTGAACACCAAAAAACTGCCAACAAAGTCTTGCTTTTGGACACTCAACAAGAGCATGAGCTAACGTTTCGGTAGCACCACAGTAATCGCATCCTGTGTCAAGTTCCATTCCCCTTCTTTCTAGAGTTGTTTTAACTGGCAAAATGTCTCAGCAACACCTCCAGAGGAAATGCCTCACTTTCGGCGGAATTTTCAAAGACCACAGAGCTTTCCAAAAGCCTGACCGTAAATCATCTTCAACATCCACATATTGAGATGCTACTACTTTGTATCCCGATTTCACAGAATATATCCCTGAGTCTGTCCAGTGCCATATGAGGGTGTCTTCCTGAATAGTTGTAGCTAAAGGAATAGAAGTGATAAGTTCAGCAATTGAAGGATTAAAAAGGTCGTGTATCAGAGGCAAATTCCAAGCACGTTCCCCTTGTGTCAAAATAAGGTCCGAAACCTTTATATGCTCAAAACCAGAGAGAATAGGCAAGTTAACTCGAAACTGGTTATCCCAGAGTAGCCACGGCTCGGTCCAGACATTTACTAACTGACCATCTCCGATTCTCCACCGAAACCCTGAACAGATGGCATCCTTAGCTGCACAAATCCCTCTCCAGACAAAGCTTGGATTACGGCCAACGCCTGCTCCAAGAAAGGTCCCACTTGGGAAATATTTAGATTTGAAAGAACGATAAAGGAGAGAATTTGTATTGTGTAAGTGCCTCCAATAGTGTTTTCCTAACATGGCTAGATTGAAACTGCACAAATGTCTAAAACCCAAACCTCCTTCTTCCCTTGCTACACATAGCCTTTCCCAACTCAACCATCTCATCTTTCCTTCCCACCAATAAGAGTTCATTAACCTCTGGAGCTCTAGTAAGAGGGATACTGGTATAAGGAAAGCACTCATACAGAATGAAGGGATAGCTTGTGCTATAGACTTTATTAGCACCTCTTTACCCGCTTTTGATAAAAGTTTTTGGTTCCAACCACTAACCAACTTCCTCACTCGATCCTTCAAAAAAGAAAAGATACGCCTCTTTTCCCGACCAACTAACGAGGGCAAGCCCAGATACCTTCCGTGATTCAAAGGAGCAAGTACACCAAAGACCCCTGTCACAGCATCCTTATCCACTGCAGAAGTGTTAGAGCTAAAAAAAATGCCAGATTTTTGCCAATTTACCGTTTGACCCGAAGCTGCTTCATAAGTGACTAAGATATTTTTTATCTCTAGAGCTTGAACCTGTGATGCCTCGAAAAAGAACAAACTATCATCTGCAAACAACAAGTGAGATAACCAGGGTGCAGCTCTCGAGACTCTACAGCCTTTGAGGCGACCATCATTTTCAGACTTATTAAACAGCTTTGATAGTCCTTCAGCACAAAGTATAAATAAATAGGGAGATAATGGACAACCTTGTCTCAACCCACGTTCCGGAATAATTGGGCCAATATCATCCCCGTTTACTCCAACCCAATATTTAACAGAGGAAACACACATCATGATCAAGTCCACCCAACGCTGGTGAAAACCCAAACCCTGCAGAACAGCCCGTAGATAGCACCAGTTAATTCTGTCATAGGCTTTAGAAATATCAACTTTCAGTGCGGAAGCTCCTCGACGATCGATCATTCGTGTTTTCATAGAGTGGATTAACTCAAAAGCAACTAACACATTATCTGAAATCAATCGGCCCGGGACAAAAGCTGACTGAGATAGTGAGATGAGATTAGGCAGGATGGTCTTCAGCCTGTTTGCCAGGATCTTAGCAAAGACTTTGTAAACTACGTTGCAGAGTGAAATAGGTCGAAAGTCCTTCACTGCCTCTGGGTCTTCTGTTTTTGGAATCAGCACAATTAAGGTATCGTTGAGATTATCCTGCATAACAGCTCGTAGATAGCACCAGTTTACTCTGTCATAGGCTTTAGAGATATCAACTTTCAGTGTGGAAGCTCCTCGCTGACCGGTCATTCGTGTTTTCATAGAGTGGATTAACTCAAAAGCAACTAACACATTATCTGAAAGCAACCGGCCTAGGACAAAAGCCAACTGAGATAATGAAATATTAGGCAAAATGGTCTTCAGCCTGTTCGCCAGAACCTTAGCAAACACTTTGTAAATTACATTACAAAGTGAAATAGGTCGAAAGTCCTTCACTGCCTCTGGGTCTTCTATTTTTGGAATTAGCACAATTAAGGTATCGTTGAGATTATCCGGAAAGACACCTGAATTAAACCAGTCTCGAGTTGCATGGAAGTACCGAGAGTTCATATCCCCTGATTGCAGCCAATGGGATTTCGCTCTTTGGGACCAGAAGACCTCTTCGCGGTACAGAACATCATCAAGCTTACGCTGCACACCTTCAAATTGTTCAATATTACCATTAATCCGAAGATTCTCAAGTTGCACTGTCAGCTGCTTTGCATCCTGCCTAAACCGAAGCTTTAGTCTCCTACTCCAGCTCTGTAGACATTGTCCACAAACCTTTATCCTCCCCGTTACATCAACACCATCATAGCTGGTCCAACTCTCTCTAACCACAACATCCACATCAGATTCCTCTAGCCAAAAATTCTCGAATCGAAAACGTTGGGGCCTCAAATTTCTAACTCTGGGGGAAGTGAGAATGAGAAGAGGAGAGTGATCAGACTTACTTGAGACTAAGTTCTAGACCTGATAATTAGCAAAATGATTCTGCCAAAGATCTCTTCACGGTACAGAACATCATCAAGCTTACGTGCAACACTTCAAATTGTTCAATATTACCGTTGAGCGAAGATCTCATAGTTGCTACTGTCATTGCTTTTGCATCCTGCCTAAACCGAAGCTTTAGTCTCCTATACCCCAGCTCTGTAGATGTTGTCCACAAAAACCTTTATCTTCTCTGTCTAACGATTCAACACCATAAATTTGTGTCCCATACTCTCTCTACCACAGAATTCCACATATCAACCTCCTCTAAGCCAAAAATTCTCGATCGACAAAATACGTTTGGGGTCCTAAAAATTTCTGGAGTCTGGTGGGAAGTATGAATGTAGAAGAGGGGTAGTGATCAGACTTTACTTGAGGAACTAGGTTCTGGACCCTGATTAATTACAAATTGATTCTGCCAAATAATAATTTCCCAAAGCTTTGTCCATTTTTCCTCTAACCCGATTTTGACCTCTGACCGTCGAGGGCCCAAGTAAAAGGATTACCCCGGACTTTCCATAGTCAATCAGTACCACAATCAAGCCACAGTAATCTGAGAAAACCCTGTAGTAAGTATGGAGGATGAGGATTACGCCTTTCTTATCTTCACGAACATTCTAGGTCATAAAGTCGCCACAAATTAACCAAGGGAGATTTTCCAACCTAGGCTAAAGATCGGAGGACATTCCACGAAATGTTGCCTACGATGTCTTTCGCGGCATTGCCATTAAAAAACCCAGTGATCGGCGCAGTTTATAAAACCTGCAGGCTCTCCGTTAATTTTCAATATCCAATAAAATGCTGAAGGCAATATACGCAGTAATTTTTCTAGTAATGAATAACGCAGAATTTCTAAATTAACCTGAGAATTCCACAAGATTGCTAAGCCACCGCTGCGTCCCACAGCATCCACAGCAAAGCAGGAATCATAATGAAGTCTACAACGGAGCTGCTCAATTTTATTCAAAGCAACTAAAGTTTCAGACAGAAAGGTGACCGTTGGTTTATGGCATCGAATAAGATCATTAAGAGCATTAACTGCTCGAGTGTGACCAAGTCCTCGGCAGTTCCAACAAAGAATATTCATGATTCCTCCTGAACTTTCACAAGAAAGAAACTAGTTGACATAGCTGCGCACATGCAATTGCAAGAAAATCAACATGCATATGCAAGAAAATCAACATGCATAGCGCAAGAGAGATTAACCATCCCAGGTGATAAGTTACTCAACGAGACCCATAATTACATCCTGTTCAAAATCGAGAATCCAACAACCCCAATCTAGAAAGTTGCAGTAATACCCACAAACAGCAATTCTTCTTTGTATCTGTGCTCATTTTAATTGTTCATTATGATCGGTTTGCAGCGCATCCAGGATTGTAGTCAAGATGGAGACACAAATAATCTAAGATGGCGAGAGCAAAATTGATGTTCTGTTTTTTTTTTTTTTTTTTTTTTTTTTTTTTTTTTTTTTTTTTTTTTTTTTTTTTTGTAGGATGAGGTGGAAGGTGGAAGGGAGGAAGAAAACCGGGGGGTGATTTTAGGGCTGACTTGTGTTCTGTATTATGGTTTTTTTTTTTTTTTTTTTTTTTTTTTTTTTTTTTTTTTTTTTGTAGGATGAGGTGGAGGTGGAAGGGAGGAAGAAACCGAGGGGGTGATTTAGGCTGACTTGGTTCTGTTTATGGTGAAAGTTATGCGTTTGGAGGAGGCGAAGGTTTTAGTGGTATAGAAAGTTACAGCTAGAGGAGGTGGTGGTGGCGGAGGAAGGTGGTATCGGTGATGGTGCTTCGGGTTTTTGTAATGGATAAGTGTGAAATGAGGTGGTGGAGGGGGAGATGGAGATGGTGGCAGAGGTGTTGTTGGGGTTAGAGGTGGAGGCTATGGACATGGAAGAGACATTTCATCAAACAGGTTATAGGCATGGAAACTAATGGCAAATGACAATTCTTATTACGCAAAGAAGAATGTAGAACGGATGAGAGCAATAGCTTGGATGGCACAGAGAAGAAGCCCAAAGCAATTAACCATATTCATTAACGAAGGCAAAGCTCGTTTGAAGTGGAAGAAGATGATTGATGCTTAGAAAGACAGCACTTAGCCACAATTCCATAAAAACTTGTTTCTTAATGAAAACAAGTCCTATATTGATCCTTTAATTATTGTTCAATTATATTAAATGATATATATTTTTGGTCATTGAACCTAATTTAAACGATTCAAAAATAAACTAACTGTATTCTCTTATAAAGAGTTTAAATAAGTTATTATGAATTATGAAAGGAATAACCCAATTAACAATTGAACAGGGCAAATTGTGGGACCAAAATTTTTAGTAGTCAACTGCAGTACAGTTAAAAACATAAAAAAGAAAAAAAAAAAAAACGTGGTAATTCTCCTAATCCACTAATAATATTTTACCCCTTTAAAACCAGTCAAAAGGGCAGCCAATCTTGAAACCAGCTTTTTGTTTCAATGAATTGAAAATTTAAATTAAATATAAAAATAAATTTGTTAATTCTTGTATTTTAAAATTACAATAAAATTAAGTTTTATAATAAATTACACTTAAATGAATATTATTTTAATTTAGATTCTGATTGTTATATAAGGTTAATCTTTTTTTTTTTTTAAAAATACCAACCCATTGAAATAAAAATAATAATAATAAAAGGAGGTGGGTTTATGCATTATGGCTTGCAGCTACATTGAAAATGATATATTCCTCTTTCTCTAGCTTGAAGACAATCAAGTAGTCAATTGCAGAAATTATTGATTAGGTAGGATTTTATGTATGGGATATGTTCCTCACTCTCCCAAGTCTTCTTCATGTATGGTTGGGATTGAAATTTTTCTAGCCTCAAAAAAAAGGGTTACCCACTATTTTTTTTAAATCTCAAAATATCTATTTGTATAAATCAAAGTGTCATTTAATGTTTTTTATTAATTCTTCAATTTGACAGATATATTTATCATGACATAAGAAAACATCAACCAAGTCAAGTGTCTGTCAAATCGGTATTCTCAAGGAATGGAAGGTGTCGTGTACAGGGACTTAACAAAATTAAGAGAGAGTAAAATTTAATAGAAGCACTAAGCAGCTCTTTCTTTATTATGGGGACACTTAACATAGTATCAGAGATTACAAATTTCACTCTACCTATCATTTCATTATCTTGTGGGGTTTCTGGTACAAAGAAAATGACAACAGAGAAGCTTAGAAATGCCGGCATTAGAAAAAAAAAGAAAGAAAGAAAGAAGAGACAATTGGTCCAGGAGTTGGTGGCTTAAGCAGCTGCCGCGATGCACTCAATTGCCTGCTTGCATATACCGGTCATTGTTGCTTCAGGTCCGTAAACCTGTAAGAAAGCCGGGGTCAGGAAACGATTTTCACTGACATAGTTTAAGCATGGCATTTTAGTTTTAAACACAGCGGAGAAAAAAGGCAGCAGATTCCACAAATATATAAATACCTCAATAGGAATGCCAAGTTCTTCGCCAAGTGCCCTCATTCTTGCAAGGCCTCTCTGGTAATTTGGACCCCCTCTCCTCACATATATGCTCATCCTTGCTGCTTTAAGCTTTGCTTCCTGCAAAAAGAAGAAATAAAATTATTCCAATGAGAGCATCAAAATTGACAAAAAAAAAAACTGTCATAATCAATCCAGTTTACTTCCTAATTACTTTAAAATATCGTTTTTCAGGAGCAAATAATATCTTCTTGCTTCGAGTCAAAAGAATGTGATTTTACTGCAAAAGGTTTTGGATTCATGGAAAACATTAAAATGAGAGTTCACAATAAAAACTTAGCACTTGGCAGAACTGGGTTTTGAATTAGATACTTTCAGTAAAAGAAAAGTTCAATTCCGTAAAAGAAGGATAACTTCATACTACATTAGCTTTGCCATTACATTCAGGGTTAAAAGCATACAGAAAAGCGAAGTTCAATCAGTTTATGCTCACTTTTTCCTTCAAGGCTCGAATTATGCCATTAAATGTAGCAGCAACGTCTGTGAAGTTAGCAATACCTCCTCCAATCACAAGGGCTCTCTTACGACCATCAGGATTACAAGTAGCACACTGTAGATAAATGATAGATCAGTTGTACATTCATGATCTCTAATCCACACGTGAGTGTCTATGAGCATCTAGAAATATATTTCACGAGCTAACATCAAACAGTGACACAATGACATATGGAGAGTGAGTCCTTACATCAATTACAACTCGAGCATACTGCAATACTTCCTCTTCGTTGGGGGCTCCACTATATTCTGCATAGTTCCCAAGCTCTGAAGCAAAACCTAGATCTCCAACCTGAGAAGCGTAGTTTTTATTGCCTAAGATGCCATGGCAAATGGAGGAAAGAAAAGGGAAAAGATGCATTTTCATGGAAATCCTGCATCTAAATAAAGATGACATACTGTATCTGCATAGATGACACTTGCACCTCCTCCAGCAACCATAGTCCAAATTCGTCCTTTTGGGTTTAAAACTGTGAATTTCAGAGACGCACTCGTCTGCAAGAAGAATCAATATTCTTTTAAAAAAGAGAAAAAAAAACTTTCTAGGATCCTCTTTGCTGAAAACTACAAGAAAAATAGCAGTGTGGTTAATTAAACATTCTCAAAGAAATGTGGATACTTGTCACCGAAAAACATTTGAAGCAAAGGAATTTAATTTTAAATGTGATTTTTAAAAGTCCTTTTTCTTGAACATCATGGAGTGACAACTTTTAATATTAAAATTTTATCTGGCAAAAATCCTTGCTTTTCTGCTCCATGAAATTTGAGGATTCTGAAGATATTATAGATAGAGAAAAGCTCAAGCAATCTATTAGAGAATGAAACAAATTGCGAATATGAAGGAATCAATAATTAACTAAAATACCTTTTCATCAAGCCCATGAATAAAGCTTTCCGTGGGGCTCATAACTCTGCCAAATGGGAGTGGAAATTCAATGTTGCCCCACCTGCAAGAAACAAAGTAGTGTAAGAGAATACTAAACATGGAACGTGATTCGCTTAATAAATAGATGCATCAAATTGTTAGAATTGAAAACAATTGAAACAGCAAACAGAAGAGAAAAATCAATCAAGTAAATGAAATATACTTCTTGAAGTTCTTGAAGGCAGCAGTGTCATCCAGCTCGCCCCTCATATCCAAGGGATAAGGCTTTCCATCAACCAAAGTGAAAGGATTCATCTCTAGGAAAGTGAAGTCAAGATCTGATTCACACAAACTTAAAAAGTTAAACAAAAAATTATAACAGCAATAGAAGTTAGAGCATAAATTCAGAACTTCTAAGTAATATGGATTTATAAAAAAATCATTAATATACCTTGAAATAGAGTAAAAACCACTTTAATAAACTCCTCAATTTTCCCTTTTACCTGCATCAAAGAATGATTTTTTTGTGTTAATGATTCCAGGTTCATGATGAAAGCCTAAACACAAATGTGTGTATAATATGAACTTGAAAATCGAGAAAATGAATCATATGATTGCCTTTTTGACTAGCATAGCATTCTGTCCAAAATTTCAAAATCAACTAATTTTCCCTTTCCTTTCTCTTTTTAGGTTAAAGATCGACCAGGTATTAAACTTCAGAACACAAAACTTAATGCTAAAATATGCTGAAGAATTACAATAGCAAAGCCACAACGAAAGAACCAAATCAGTCAACCAGGTCATTGAAGGCATAGAAATTACCTCCATTGGAAGGGTTGCAACAAGCGGAGCACATGTTTCCGATGTAAATGAGGAGCCGGTTGGTACATATATGGTCTTAACCTGTGTACAAAAGCCTTTGTAAGTATAGAGGTGCAAACAGTTAACCTGACAGAAAAATAAGTGTCTTCTACAACTGATGAACCACAAATTCACATCTCAAAGCACCTTATCCCAGTTCTCTTCAATCTCAATTCCTCCACATTCTGAAAAGCTTATGCTGCATCCAAGCCTCTCAGAGACAATATTAAGGTAAAACTCCTCATTGTGAGGGATGAAAGGTTCAACAATAAATGTTGTTATAGGTCCTTTACATCCACTCATCTCAACCTGTTAACCAAGAGAGAATAATTTAATTCAAGTACTGAAAGCTGTGGCAACAATGAAATAATTCATTTAACAATAGCTAGTGGAAAGAAAAAAGTCTACCTCTTTGCCAAGGCGTTCTTTCACGAAAGCAGCAACTTGAGCCATATCAAGATTTAAGGCAACTAGACCACTCTTTCCACGCTTCCCAAACAACATGTCAGGCTTTACAACTAGTTTCCCTGATGATAGCCAAGGTTCTTTCTCTGTTAGCTCGTTGAAATCAGTTGATTCTGTAACCTGATTCATAAGGAAACAAATTTATTGCTTGAAAATGAATTATATGGCTAATCTAATATGAAACAAGGAATTAAGAGATTCAGTCCTTTGGGAATACAAAAAACATAGAACTCTGGAACAGGAATATAAATATATTAGGAAATGCTTTCTTGATCAGCCAATTAGCTTAGTATATGGAGGCATAAAAACACATTAGCCCCAATTCCTTCAATTGCTTAACTATTCGATCATGTTAACCGTTCAATTACAGGGAAATGTCACAAAATGCCAGTTTCCATATTGTTATATCTATCAAGGTTAATCTTAAAAACCAACCAACTAAAAAACCTCTGATTTAGAATTCTCATGTTTTCGGCTGATAATCAAACAAAGATCTTCAAACTCTAATACTCGAATTAAGAAAATGCACTCACTTGAGCGGATTTGATGGGCAGTTCATAGCCAGCAAGCCTCTTGAAATGCTCCTTCAACAATCTCTTGGAGTCATACTCTCTGATCTTCTTGCGTGCCATTTGGTTACCTGATCTTCACCCCAAAAAAAGCACCCATAAACAATCAAACTTAAATTCACTCACAGATCTAACGTTACCAGATCACAAAGTCAAGCAAAACCCACAAGTATCCACTTCCAAATTCCAACTAATTCGTCCCAGACATGGCCATGCATTCAATAGAAACCCAGAAATAACAAAAAAAAAAAAAAAAAAAAACCCCATAAACAATCAAACTTAAATTCACTCACAGATCTAACGTTACCAGATCAACAAAGTCCAAGCAAACCCACAAGTATCTCACCTTCCAAATTCCAACTAATTCCGTGCCCGACATGGCCATGCATTCAATAGAAACCCAGAAATTAACAAAAAAAAAAAAAAAATCAAAATCTTTAACCAAAGTCCCATAATGGGGAATAGATTTTTCTCTTCATTTGTTAACAAAGAGAATCTTTAGAGGCTATTCATACATAAAAAAAAAAAAAAAAAAAAAAAAAAAATCAAAATCTTTAATCAAAGTCCATATGGGGATAGATTTTTCTCTTCATTTTTAACAAAGAAAGAATCTTTAGAGCTATTCATACATAGAAATCATAAAATCATTAATGGAAAAATTTCAGCTGAAGCTATTACCGTGGTAGAGAAGGGTAAGTGGAAGATTGACAGGTTCGGTAGTCAGACACGAGAAGAAGCACAAGGACTTGAATTTGGTGGCATTGGCTAGCCTATTTATAGTAGAAAATTCAGCTTTTTTTAAAAAAAAAATTAAAAAATGATATAATTCTAAAACCCAAAATTACAAAAACGAGAACAGAAAGTGAGTTTGTTGGGTTCAAAATCCGGACTATTCTTTCGCGGGAACGTATTTAGTTAAGGGTGATGGGTAACCACATGCCTCACCTACCAGTACCATTAAGGACCAACGTTTCAACCATTGATGTCTTGTAAGTTTCTTGTTCGGTACATTTAACATTTAATTAGCTGTGGTTGGTACAGTGATAAATACTCTTCACCGTTTGATTCATTTTTCTTGTGCGAAAATGCCATCTAGACCTCCTGCTTCAGTCCAAATATGGGAACATAGGTTGCATAGTTCTTATCCATGCCAATGTTGCCCAGCGATCCAAAAGGGTTGGCATTGAGGAATTTATACTGTGGATGATCGAATTATAATTTAAGTCATGATGATCAACTCTGCAAGTATTCTTTGTCACTGAATTACTCAAATTACAAATTGCATAGTCCTTAGAACTTACAAAGCAGTTTTTTTTAATCTCATCAAGCAAATATGTGTTATTATTTAATTAAACTAAAATATTATTCGAATGAGATTTTTTTTTTTTTAAACGCTTTCTTTTTAAGAGTCTGACGCAGGACAAATTGGATTAAACACAACGTAATTAATCACTGAAAACTTATATGGTTTGACAAAAAAAAAAAAATCATAAAAAATGAACACCTATTAAATACCACAAAGTCTTTTTATCATTTATAGAATAAAATTTTGACTTTAATCTCCTAATTTCTAATCAAATTTTCAACCTCTTTAATTACAAGATCACAAGCCATCATCAAATTCGTACAAGTTATTCAATCTTATATGAAGAGCATAAAATAAGGGAAAATAAAAAAAAATTTCACGTTAAAATATTTTTAGAAGGTTGGCTTTCAACTTTTAAGCTTTGTATGACAGTCAAACCCAGCAAAATGTTTATTTAATTAGTCAATACTCGACGGTTGGTCTCTCCCTGTTAAGTCACACATTGACTTTGTATTTGCAAGCAACTTCTGCTCCTTGATTGTTAATCCTTTATTCTAAAACTAATTCATCTCCGTGATGCTGCCGGAGTTGTTAATTTAAAAAAAATAAAAATTCATAAATTGCATGAATTAATTTTCGTCATATTTTAATAAATTGTATATATATTATTCATGATTCGACGGATTTATGATTTTTCTTTTTATTGTGTTTGGTTTTTGTTTCACAACGTGCTCAATAAAATTACATTATCAAAAATATGTTTTATTTTTGTTATTTAATATCATAAAATAGAAAAATAATTATAGGCATTGCATTGCAATTTGCAGGCTTTGAATTTTGTTGGCCTTTGAGTAAATGGTGGATGAACAAACTATAGCTTCATCATTTTTTGAATGGGTTGACCTTACAATTGGAAGTTGCTTTGTTAAACGTTCCTTAAGAGTGCAATGTTAGTGAGTGGTGGAATGTTATTATTATTTTTATGTTAGTCAAAAATATGTTTGGCAAGTAAACAGTAAGAGTTTATGCCTAAATGTTAGGTTTATAATTTTTTAAAAAAATTCATTTCAAGCTTTTATGTACCGAAATAATATTGAAGGCTACATAGCACGGGTAGCCTTCATCTTTTCAGAGTTGTCAAGAAGATTCAAACTTGAGACCTTTTACTTTCAAATAAGTGAGAAACCCAATAAGATCACCACTGAGTGGCTAGATTTATATATATATATTTTTTGTTAACGTGAATTCTTAATAATGATATTTGTAACTAATAAATATTAGTGGTGTAGCTTAGATCATAGTTTCTTACCAAGAAGTTGGCTTTCCACTCCAAAGTTGGCCTAACACTATAGTAATTTTCAATTCATAGTTTTGGTGCATTGATGGTTTATGCCTAAATGTAATCATTTAAAATAAATAAATAACACCAAAATAATTTAATTTGAGAAATTTGATCATCTCGACAAAAAAAAAAAGAGAAAAGAATAATTTTAAAGTTGCTTATGAATTAGGAAGGGGATCTTGTTTTTATGCTAACCCTAAAGTTGACTCTCTAGTGAGCTTCAAGCTCTTACCAACATGAAGCTTAGTGAACTATGGTTTGAAAAAAAAAAAAGAAGATTAATTTCTCTTTTTCTCCAAACTATTATTTTCCAAAAATAATTAAAAAAATAAAGACAAAATTTGAAAGACAACTCCAAAGACAGTTCTGAAAACCTTAATCCTAATCCTAATTCACATGAAGCTTAGTCTTAATTTGTTAAAAACAAAATGGGTCATTGTTATTATTAGTATTTTCCCTTTTAATTGGAAATTATGTCTCAGGTTCATAAATCGAGAGGAAAAGCACAAGCCAGGCTTAAAATTGATTGTCCATGGGCCTTAACTTGAAAAAGAAGGGCCCATTTCCATCTTCCTTCATTATTGAGTTCTGGAATCCCCATTTTCTCTGCGATAGAACGGAGAACAAACGAAAAAGAAAAGAAAGTCGCGGTGGTAACTAGGGCTTGGACCGGAAACTTGTGGGCTTGCTGAAATTTCCAAACAGGTAACAATTTACCTGTAATTGAGCTTACATCTTGCTGAACTATATGTATATATTTTGATTTACGAGAGTTATGGGTTTGGAATTGGGTGGGAAGTGAAATTTGCAGAATTTTGAAAATGGAAGGCATGGAACAGTGGAAAAATGAAGCTAAGCAATGGTTGCAACATGGGATTGAATATGCCAATCAGATAGAATGGTTGCAACAAGGAATTGAGTATGCCAATAAGATACCTCCTACCCAACTCTATGTCGCTGCTGCTGTCTTGCTTGTCACCATCTTTTTCCTCTTGATGAGTAATTCTCTTCTTCTCTATTTCTCCTCTTTATAAATTTATTTTTTTGTTAGTGTCGTTTTGAAATTTTAATTGCCAAAGGTTTTGCTCTTTTTTTTTTTCTGTTGGGTACTTGAAAATTAGAGAAAAGTTGACCTTCTAGTTGTTGGGTACTTGAAATGCTAGTCGAAATCAGCAGATGGAACTTATGTGATTTACAAAGGGGTTAATCAAAGCAAATTATTAGATGCTTGGGTCTTCATGTTCTAATTATAAAAGAAAGATCAGAATTACCTTTGGAAGATATTAATCGAAGTTTGTAATTCAGATCAGAATTACCTTCTAAAAAAAGGTTGGCTCATCAGGGTGCAAGAGTTTAACTATGGTTCCTAGAATTGTAGTTCTATTTTGTGAAAGTACAGAATAAAGTCGGATGCAACATCTAGGGAAGGTTGTATTAAAATCTTTGATGCTTTCTTGAGTTTGGAGAATCAACGCAATTTGTTGATCCATTGCCTACTTGCAAGCAGTTGATTTACCTTGAGGAAAAAGAAGAGGATTGTATCACTTATCTGGATAGCCATTTTGAATGAATAATCTCCTTTGTAATATCTTACGCTTCGATTACACTTTGTGTCTACCAAACATTGAAATTTCTGACTATTAAATTTGGAATGATATTTACCTAGTGTTTTTAAATTCTGTTTTTTCTTTGCAGTTCGCCTGTTCAAACGCACAAAATCTAATACCATTGTGCTCACTGGGCTCAGCGGGGCTGGCAAAACTGTTCTTTTCTATCAAGTAAGTCCTGATGTTGTTGCTTTGGTTCCCAGAAAAACTTAGAACAATTAGCTGCAATGAATATTTGTATTTTAGAGACATGCAATCAATTGATTAAGCAACTGGTCTTGATTGTATATTATTTTTCTTTATCACCTTTCTTCCTGATGATTGCAATGACCACTGAGTACATGAGAATGATCCTTGCTGTGGATTACACATTTTAGTCTAATTATTATCCCATCATTTGTATGCCAGCTTCGAGATGGTTCTGCACATCAGGGCACTGTTACATCAATGGAACCAAATGAGGGCACTTTTGTTCTTAGTTCTGAAAGCTCTAAGGTAATTTTATCTTCACTCGGCATGCATAAATTTGGTTCATTCTCTGCCTCAACATGAAATGGGAACATATCCCAACTTCTGCCTGGGATTTGAGGCATAATAGATTATTTTTCTGCTGTCATTTTCTGGAATATCTATAATGTTGCATTAGATCTTCAATTGAACTCACGCAACCTCTTTTTTCCCCCTAATTTTAAATTTTTTTATATACTTCTTTTATGTCTTGACAGAGTGGCAAAATAAAGCCTGTTCATCTCGTTGATGTTCCTGGGCATTCTCGTCTTCGACCCAAACTAGATGAGTTTTTGCCTCAAGCTGCTGGCATAGTGTTTGTTGTTGATGCTTTGGAATTCTTACCCAATTTGCGTGGAGTTTCAGAGTAATTACAAGCTGTAAAAGCATACATGTTTGCACATGCACATCAACAAATTCAAATATAAATATCCTGGTATTCTAATATTTTATACTTTGTATGTGATAGATATCTGTATGATATTTTGACCAAGGCAAGTGTCGTCAAAAGGAAAGTTCCGGTTCTTATCTGTTGTAATAAGACTGACAAAGTGACAGCACATACCAAGGAGTTCATCCGAAAACAATTGGAGAAAGAAATGTAAAGCTTCCTCTTTTTTCTAATTAAACAACTTTCCTCTTGTATGCACTGTGAACAATTGGTGGGCTCATATGCCCAATTGAGCTTTTGGTTCCCACTTCCATTATTATAGCAGCTTGTGCTTCTAACTAATTGTCATTAGCAAGCAGTTATAGTGCTTGTCAGCTGATGTTCATTTCTAGGATACTAATATAATTGGTTTCAGACACTTTACTAGTACTTTATCGTGCTTACTTTTAGCTCATTGAGCATTTCTTGTTGTTATGCAGTGAGTATTTTCATTTTAAATAAAATGTGCATGCAGCTGTTTGACACATTTATTATTATTTTTTATCCTGCAGTGACAAATTACGGGCATCAAGAAGTGGAATATCAGAAGCTGATATTGCAAACGACTTTACTCTTGGGATCCCTGGGGAAGCATTTTCATTCTCGCATTGCAATAACAAAGTTACGGTTGCAGAATCTTCTGGTTTGACTGGAGAGATATCTCAGGTGGAACAGTTCATTAGAGAACATGTAAGACCCTAGGCTTATGTTCTATGGTGGTGATCTATCTGCTTTGGAAGCTGGTTATTATTGCCTCATGATTGTTGGAAAAACTTGAGGCGCCACAAGGGACCACCTGAACTTGCCATAGGAAAGTGGCCGAAGTTGAAAGTAAAACGAAGAACAGAGGTGGAGATATCCAGTCTTTGCTTGTGGTGTGGTTAGACCGTTAGTTTCACTTAAAACAATGATGCGATGAGAAATTGTTTTATTTTTTTGGATTCAATTGATAATGAACTTGTTTCATCTTTTCATAATCAAGATATTGGTCTGCAATAATTTGAATCTTTATGCATGGAATTTACATCTAATTGGGATAAAAAAAAAAAAAAAAAAATTCAATGACATAGAGAAAGAAAAAAAGTCTAGTGATATATAGACGGGTTGTTTGCTTATTGACCTTGAAATGGAAGGATTATATGATAGAGGTGAATTACAAACTCCCGTAACATTGGCTTTGGAATGTGTGGAAGAAGATACAGATTCAAGACCCACTATGAGCAAAGTTTTCCAGTTTCTTCCTATATATTGAGAATTACCTGTATGCGAAGTTCTTTTTATCTCACATCATATTAAATATTCCAAACTCAATTTGGATATAACTTATATGCATACATCTTGTTCTAAGAAATGTCGATGATATTGTAACCGCCTTCAAGATTCGAATATAGTATAATGTATGAGAACATAATGAAAAAAAGTGAAAGGTTATGGTTCTTTTGGGATTTATAAGGCTTGAGCTCATCGAGCTCAAGTTTCAACGTCGACATAACAAGGATCAAAATAGACAAAATAAACAGTGACAATCCAACTCCTTTATAGCCAACCAATTCCTTTGGAGGAGATATACAACATAAATAATACAAGGTAAGCAGCAATCACAATCTTTACATTTTCATTGCTGAAGCCTCCAAGCCTACTGGATGAACTTGCAGAGGGAAGATAGTTTTGTATATTCGCTATTTCATTAAAACCTGTATTTGCTTAAAGACAGCAATATATTTTTACCTCAGCAGCTCCTCTCTCAAAAAATAATGACCTTGTTCACCAACCAATGACACTAGCAAGGAGCCCAATTACCAACTCAAAAAGAATAATTGGGTGTTTGTTATGGTTAAGCTATACGCTTATGTGCTGCATTAACTGCAATTCCCTTTCTCACCTAAAACTCTGGTAGGACTCTGGATATTTTCTTGACAGCCAAAAATGCTTCAGCCTAATTATCAAAAAAAATATGCCATAACATAGGATATGCATCAAACCCACACCCAAGTACCTGTAAAAAGCACAAAGCAGCAACAAAGATGAGTTAATATATAAGATGGCAGTATCTTACATTGCAAGACCAAACACATTTTATTTATGAATGCATTTAGACAAAGCATTACATATTCAAGAATTTCGATTTGAACTTTTTGGTATAAAAATGAAGAAAGAAAAAATTTTCAACCCAATTTTAGAGCACACTTAAATTAGTGCTCAATGATTTATCTACCTGTGGTTTAAATTGAATATTAAAAACCTCGAAGTGATAATTCCAATACTCCCTCCCCTTTCCTTTCTTCTGAGGATAAGATGACATGGTAATATCCTTGTTTCACAATGATGAATCATATAATTGCACATATAGCCAAAGCATAAGAAGGTCAAATGGTTTACTTGGAGTTAATATGGTTCAACTGGCTGGTAATGGGTTGAAAACCCAAGCCATTTTGCACAAGGACAGGACAAAAAGACTTTCTGAAAAGGGGGAAGAGAGAAAAGAGAAAGAAAGAAGGAGGGGGTGGGGGGTGGGAGGAGGGGCTGTTTAAGGAGCAGTTAAATGCTAGTAGAAATGAACTCTTAAGTTAGGCTTTGCTGTTTTTGAGTGGATGCATATGATTTGCTCTTTACAGCACAAACAAGATGAACACAGAGATCAAAACAGAACATAATTGCATACGTACCATAAGGGAGCATATGAGGATGACAAGTCAAGAAATGGATATGGCCACCTATTAAAACAAAAAGGGAAAAAAAGCATAATTATTCAGAAATAAATAAATAAATAAATAAAACCAATAACATAATGGATTTTTAATGTAAATTTACCACATTGAAACACAAACATGGATGATCCATTGGAAGACGACAAATACACATGTCCACAAAATGAAATATGCAATTCGAAAGGTTGGAAACCGCTGGAAGGAAAATTTTGTAAATTTGTAATTAGCAATTATGAAATTAGAAATGAAAAGCCATCAATAACATCAAGAAATTAGGATTACCAAACTATTCAAACATGTGTCCCCAAGTAGTAAAACAGCATTGACTGAGTGCATGCAAGCATTTAGCTGTAATGAGAAAGAGAAAACAAAATCTTAGATGAGAATTTTCAGCAATATAAAGAGTAATCTAGTCTGTAATGCAAGTTTTTGGGCATATATGTAATGTATTAGTAATTTATGTGCTATGTTCATGACTTGCTTAATTTATAGCAGATACAAAGTTTACATGAAGGTTCTACATGACTTATGCTACTACATTAATTCTTTGAAAACATAAGCTAATTAAGAAAAAAAGTGAACAATTGTAATCTATGGATTAAAGTCTATCAATTAAAGAAATGGTTATACATATACATTTCTCTTCTATTTCTATGAAACGCAGACCAATGTCTTATATAAACCTCACAATCTCATCATCCAACCTTACTTCTCCCAAACCCTCTATTATGATACTTTAGGTACCATCCAATGGAAGCTGTAAACAAGCAGTTGAGTGACAGGGTTAATACTTACAAAATCAAGAGTATAATCCTTGGACATTAGAAATGGATAAAGAATGAACCAGAATACAATATCAGTGAGCATCACAGCACCTGCAGATGTCTGCTCATACATGGAAAAGAAATCAATTAGAGAAATATTACAAGACACACTTCAGAAATAGAAGCATGTAGCAAAGACAAAATTAGTTAAATGGAAAAGAAATTGAATAATGAGCATCGGGACAGCATCAAAATTCAATTAGAAACAGGCACGAGGGGATGTACCCAAAATTTATCCCAAACTAGTTTATTTCTGCCCTATCAAGACTAAAAAATGAGGAACTTTGCTGTAGGACTAGACCCACTTTATTAAGCATGTACAGGTTCATGAGATTCATATCTAATTTCACTAAATAGTAAATACAGTTATTTCCATTTCCTTAGAAAAAATTGCGACACCCATAAGTACAAGTTCTTGAAGAGCATTCAACAGGAATTGTCCAAGATTATAACAGAAAAATTTTCCTCCCGTTGGATTTATATTTTCAAGTCAAGAATTTCAATAAGGCAAAAAGAAGATAATGTTAGAAGGCATCAGCAGCAGGTAGAGAGAAAGAAAGAACTTTACAAACAAAGAATCGATTCACCTGAAAAATAATTTGAAAGATATAGCCCAATGTACCAGCCTGTTGGTAACCATGGGGCTCGCAATTGATATCTAGCCTTTTTGGGTCAGATGTATCAGCAATCTCCCCATGTGAGGGAGGTATATAGTTGCCTTGCTCCGCATCCAAATTTTCTCCACAAGCCCGATTATCATTAAATCCATTGTGATGTTTGCAACATCCATACAAGGAGATTGAAGATCCGAGCTACATATTGCAGTTAATAGCATAAGTAACTTATTCTGATCGACATTAAATCAATCTGAAACGTTGTAGCTGCTGATTATCAAAATCTAATACAAATACTGAAACATTTACAAATTTAAAGCTGTTATATTGACGCTTGTATGTTTCTCACCATAGGAACTAAAATAAATTTCATTCCTTAAACACTACAGAACAATGTAAGAACAAATCTGTAAAGGGCACATACCGCAAAATAAACTGTGACCAACGCAAAAGTCCACCTGTACAGCACAAAAGAAAATTGGAAAAAGAGTTACAAATTTAATGAGAAAATTTAACCTCTGTCTCTCTCTCTCCCCCTCCCCTTCCCCTTCCCTTTTTGTTTTTAGTGAGTAATGAGTAAAAGTCCACCCATGCTACATTGCTACTTATCAACATGAAAGCTGATGAAATAGCACCAAATTGTCTGAAGATAACCAATCACATGGGATCATCTTCCCCCACCCCACTAGGCAGTACCCACAAATATTCCATTACTTCCCATGGAGGCTTTCAATCCCAATAAGCTAAAAGATTGACATGAGGAGAGAGACAGTAATAAGTTCCCTAGCTTCAATATGCAGTTTAGATTGTAGCCTTTCTATTTCAGATTACCATCTTCAACCTTACTAAGTCCACTATCAGTTCAATTTATAGGAGTAAAAGACCAAACGCCAAACAGATTGGCTGATAACTTACTGAGTGTAGAAGTAAAATATGCCAATTCCATCAACAACAGTATTTGCTGTGATCAGTAGGAACATGATAATGAAAGCAATTATCCTGAAAGCAAGCAGCCAAGCAGGGTGAATGCCTTTCAGACATGTCTTCCAAGCTTCATCCATAGATAAAAATCCCACAATTTCACGCTGATCTTCTCTCCTCCTAGAGTATGATTTCCTGGATCCTTCGTACTTCCATATTAGAGTTGCCGCAAATATCATAGCAAATAAGATAAAAGCAGCGCATATGAAGAACCTCCAGTTCAACCAATAACTTAAAGCAGTTGTATCAGCAGTCATGGCTGGCTGCCAAGTATGCTTTGATGATCCTGTTAAGAAACCTAACAAATTATTTAAAGCCGTTGCATCAATCACCATATTTTCCAAAATAGTCTGTAATCTCTATTTGGAACTGGATAAAAGAGTCTGCACTCAATGCAACTATGGATTCAATTCGAAAAGTAAAAAAAATTCATTGCAAAAAAACCGTTTACAGCAAAATCAGAAGTAGTTTTTCAATAAAAAGAACTCCAAAGAATAAAACAATGTAAAATTGAATTAACCAAGGCAGGAAATTCGAAAGCAATAATATTTTCGTCAGAGGTACCAATCTATAAATAACTATTTAGAAACTATAAAAGAATAAACAACTGTTTAGTAAATTCAATGCGGATTAGTGAGTGTCAACTGCCAAGGCAACAACAATTTCAAAATTCAGTCACCAAAACCACACTTGCAATCAACCCTCACTAAGAGACATGCAACATTTTTTTTACTTTCTTAAATGAAAAACCAGAGGAATAAATACTAGAAGTAAAGAGCAATATAGGCACATGCCTGTGCAAATCAAGACAAACAGAGATTCTTTACTTTGGATATGATTAACTCAAAAAGGTTAAGATCATACATTTTATTAAAACGAGATAACATTAACAGTAGTCCAATTACCTGACTAAAAGAAGAAAAGAAAAAAGAAAAAAGAAAACAGAAAAAAAAAAAAAGGCGTGGGACTTACTGCTTCCAAAATGAAACGGTGATCACGCAAAAGAAGATGCTTTGCTTCTCTCAATCTTCTGTAGGAGAGACAAACAGAGCAATATAACTACCTTCACTCAAAGGAATTTGTTTATTGGCCTACCTTTTCAAAGGAATTAATTAAAAAGAAAAGAACTTTTCCAATTCTGCAAATCCTGAGAGACTGGAGGGTACAGAAGATTCAGCAGAGAAGATAAATTGCAAATTTACAATCTTTAGCTTCTGGGTATGATTTTTCCTTTGAAAAAACAAAGATGGAATTGTGGTTATTATGTGGTGGCTTGGATTGGGACCCGGGAGCGAGAGGAGAAGGGGGTGAGTTTCTTAGAAAAAACGCACAAGAAAGGCTACAGAAGCCAATGATCATATTCAGTTGTTCGCGTGGGACCTTCAAGAGTGGCAATTTGCCACGTTTTCCAGCTACACGCCAATATGAACAAAATATAGCAATATCTTTTTGTTTTCGCAATTTGCGAAAGCCAATAAAAATACGTCGAGAGCTCTGTTGGGTGGGTTAATTAAGTTATATAAAAAAATAATTATATTTATAGTAGTACTTTTTTCGTTTGTCACACTCGCGCATGTGGCTATGAATTTTCCTCTTTCTGAATTTGTGCAGAAATTTGTTTTTGCTGTCGGCTGTACGTGGATTTTTTTTTGGTTGTTATAATATCGTTAAAAAGTTTTGGTTTTGAAATGACTGAGGTGAGACCGTGAGAGAACATTGAGATTTTAACAAATAATTTGAGATTACAGTAAAAAGAAAAATTATATTCATAACTTATTAAATGAGAAAACACAACAATTATTTCATAACCAAAAAGAATTTGCATCCTTCTTTTCCATAGATAGAAGGCTTGAGCGTGAATTGGGAAGTTGACATTTTTGCCAACCAACAATTGAGTAGTGCTACCTACCAACCAATCCTTACATTTAGTAATTAGAAAATAAGCAACCTGAACCTTTAATAACAAATCAATCTAAATATAAAAAATTAAATACATTTATAAAAGGAAATACATCTATTTAACTTTCTGTTATATTATTACTATATTTTTTTCTTTTTCACATGATATATTCACTTTATTGCTTATACTGGATGGGACTAATAAACATCATTGTGAGAAAAAGAAAACAAAAATGCACAGGGAAAATTCACCAATAACCCTTCTACTGCTACAAATGTACACCTTCGGTAACCTTTGCTAGAGACAATGAGTTGCAGACACCTTCATTACTTTCGAGCAACTTGCATAGCCAGCCTTTGGAATGCGAAAGGTTTAAGCATTACTAACCTGTTCATCTAGCATTTCATTCTTGATCGAGTTTTTTGACTATCCGATCAACAGGTAATGATCCCAGAGGTACTGAAGCATCTAACTCATCAAATGAGTCGCTATCATAATATTCATCATCTTCATACTCATCATCCATATCTGTTCCCTCTTCATCAAAACTTTTACCGAGTGAAGCATCTTCAAATGCTGATATTGTATTATCGGCACCATCCTCATTAGACAAAATTACAGCTGGATAGGAGTGTTCTGTGGCTTGTGAAATGCCCTCGAATTCCTCTACTTTCCGTAGAAGATCATCAGGACCAAGATTGATCTCATCTAGAAGGATTGCATTGCTCGCCTCGATTGCACGCTTCCACAGAGACATCATTTTAGGGCTTGATCTCACTGTATTAGCATCAGGGTTATCACAATCATCATCAAACTTGCCTGAAAAGCATCATGGAAAAACTCTGAGAACTTTAAGCTGTACATATGGAGTTGACTCAATGATTCTAATTTAAAACATAATGGAATTAGTTTCTCATGTCCAAATATTATGAACCAGTAGTACAGAACAAGTTAGTCAGAATATCAATGTAAAATACCTATTCTTGGTATTTTGTTATATTGCAGAGTGATAATGCTTTTTCCTTTTTTCTTAAGTTACCATGTAAAATTCATTTTTGAGGTGTGATGTCAAAAGAGTACCAAGGTAATAAGAGAAGAGTGAGAAGGGCAGAGGACGTGCACAAAGTAAGCTACCTATTCCAAACAGTCTACATACCAACAAAAATGCAACTTCTACGAAACTACTTTGTGAACTAGACGCCTGATAGTGATAGGAACCTGTTCAACTTTTTAAGATTAACTGGCAACTGAACCAAGTGGACACCAAGGGTCCAGCGCCAGTCTTCCCGATATATTTAAGAGAGTTCTAGTGGCCTGATTTTCAATGAACTTCACAATATCCCATTGTTCTTGGGATGAAGTACTTATGACACTAACACTGGTCAGCCCTCAAAATATGCCCATGATATATCCCACCTAGCCAATTGTCTAAAAGCTAACAGAACTGTTTTCCCGATCTTACACCAGGAACTTACAAAGTTAATTGGGAATTACATTAAGAATAAAACCATGAAATGATTAAGTGCTTGATAATTCCAGTGTAGGAAATAAACCATATTTCAAGATACAATGTCCACATTAAAACAATTATCATAGCAATGCAGCTACTCCAATTCCTGTTTCTAAAACATACCTGAATCATCAGAATCACTTGCAATATCAACTTCAGGAACTGAGCGACCTTCTGGATACATTGGTTTCCAGTTTTGCCCCCTCCACATCAATATCTGCTCATCGTCAAAAGACAACAGCACACAAGGCACCAATTCCTGTTACGAATGAACATGAAAATACTGTCATACTATATATCAGAATAGTTAAGGCCAAACAATAAATAAAAACACATCAAACAATCTCAATATTCATTTATGAATGCCTACACCAATATAACAGTCACTATATCTTCAAAGAATTTGAAATTGCAAGAAATTTCTGTTGGATGCAAAACCTTTTTCTAAGTAAATGTGCTCATATTCATTTTCTCTACCTTTTTTTTCTGCTAAGCTATCTTCTTTTTAACTTTTGTACACAATGATTTTCTCCAAAAAAAAAAAAAAAAAAAAAAAAAAAAAAAAAAAGTGTAAGCACATCAAACAAGATCTCAATATCATTTATGAATTGTCCTACAACCATATAACAGTCCACATGTTAGTTATATCTGCTCAAAGAAGATTATGAGAATTGCTAGAAGATTATCTGTGGATTGCAAAACCTTTCAATTTTCCTAAGGTAAATGTGCTCGAATGATTCGGATTTGTGCTCTAAGAACCTTTTTTTTTATCTCCTGCTACTGATCTTCTGGTGACTAGATTTAAAGCTTGGTTGTACACATTGGAATCTTCATCTCGCATCAAAAAAAAAAAAAAAAAAAAAAAAAAAAAAAAAACTTTACTAACACTAACAATCGCTTCATACGAATTTGTCAGGTAGAAAACAGGCTTAATCTCTCGTTTGGTGCAGGACCTAATAAGTTATAGCAACCCAACTTTCTTGTAATCACTTGGATTCAGTTACCCTTTGCAGTCGAAGAAAAAAAAAAAAAAAAAAAAAAAAAAAAAAAAAACTTTTACACACAACAATGCTTCATACAATTGCAGGTAGACAGGCTACTTTGTGCAGACCTTAAGTTTAGCACCCAACTTCTTGTAATCACTTGGATTCATCCCTTTGCAGTCGATCTTCACCAATGGACTTCCTTCAAAAGCATTCCTAACATCTTTTACCAAGGTAATGTAAACTCCATTTTTGGCTGCAAGTTGAACAAAGAAATAAGATCTTTGAACTAATTTTGGAGAGAGGGAAAATATTAAAGATAGACACATTAGCCATATCCTATAGGGTGTGTATGTTAATGTACTTCTCATGTGTTAACTGTATTCAAGTATTAAAGATATTAAGTGAATCAACAGTCTCAGACTCCTGGAGGAGAAATCAAACTACAAATTTGAAATAGATAACAAGGTTCCTTTATGCTTGTAGCTTCTGAACCCTGCACCTAGTCATGAAAGTTAGCAATTGTATGGGAAGCAAAATGCTTCATGTGCCACCTATTTGGAATAACAGTTATTTACTTCATTTAGCACTCAGGACCACATTACTTGAACCAGGAGCATCTACAAAACTGGCAACTTCTTATATCAGTGAATGGTTGATTATTTACCTAATTTACAAATTGGCAAAAGATTCTTCCCTTTCTTCCGAAACTCGTCAGCTTCAGCTTTTGTCAATCCTTCAGGAGCTTCTTGGATAAGTTTTGGGTATACTGGGGCTGCTGGTTTCCAAATCATGACTGGATACTGTGGACGAGTTCGATAGTCATAGTTTCTACCACAAAAAAGATAAACTACACCACCAACTCTATGAATGACCTTTCCTCCAGTTTTTTCCTAGCATTACAGAAACCACACAAGAAAAGGAAACTATCTTGTCAACGTAAAACTCTTAGGCAACCTTAAAAAGAAAAAACACTTGATCCAAGCCTCAGGCACCAAACAGGAGTTCCCTATAAATGCAAATTCATAAGCAATAAAAGTACCTCCAAATGGTGGCAAATATTATCCATATCCACAGTGGGTATGCCCTTACAACGAACTTTACACACCTGCTGTCTCCTCCAATGTGAGTGTATCAAATCTAACATATTATGCGTCAATCCATCTCTCCCTGTCAAGCAAAGATAAATCGAGTGTGTCAGAGTTTGACTTATAGCACTTTCTCGAGCAAACATTGAAATTGAATCAAGAATTTCTAAGTTAATAACTTACCGAGATTAACCTGGCGATTATCGGACGCCAAAGGTTTAATTAGCATTTTGATTTCCCATTTCTTCAACGGTTGCCCAAGTATTTCTTTTCTCGTTTTCCCTTCCTCCGGAAACTTTCCCATTGGAAACGGACGAGGCATTTCCATGAAATTCACCCCTTTTTTATCAGGCGGAGGTGGATTAAAGGAATCGAAAAGTGGAATTTTTTTCTTTGATTTCTTCAACGGAGCCTTTCCAGTCCATGGTCGGGGCATTGTAGGTGGAGCGAAAGGCAAAAAAGCCGGTTCACGAATAGCTAGCGGCTTGACTTTAGGAGTCTCGGAGTAGCTGTACTGAAACTCGAATGGAGCCCCAGGAAGCTGATAAGAAATGCCGTTTTCGCCAATGACGACCGAGCGGTCGCCATCCGATGAAACGACACCATCTTTGACTGGCTTGTAGTACTTGGTTCGACGGTGAGGGAGCTTGAAAGCTGGGTTGGGAGTGGAAGTTTTGGAATTTTTGGATTTTTTAAGCGGTGGAGGGTACTTCGGGATAGGGATTGGTGGTTGAGGAGGAGAGGCAGATGATGTTGGATCGTTTGGAGGCGGTGATGGCAGTGAAGAGAAGAGATTGATACCTGAAAAAGAAGCCACAATTGTCATTCTTAATCCAACAACAGAAAACTATTCATTAGTGGTTTCTCAGTGGTAGCTGAGAGGTTTCTTTCTCTTTTTTCAGTTGCACAGACAGTAGAGTGAAGAAGATAGCGGGCGACAAATGGATATGTGATGTGGTATTTTCATGATATTTTATGGGCGTCAAAATCCATCAAAACGACGTCGTTCAATCTCCGTATAACTCCGAAACGTACTAGCTAAAACGTCGCCGGTCTAGTAACTTGATAGATATCCACGTGTCTCAATATCATACCCCAACTAAACACTACATTAGACCGCAATGCACTGAATCATCCCTGTGCAAACCCTAAAGGCATCAACACCTCATATATAAATCCGCTTTACTCATTTTTCCTCCGCTACCCTAATTATCCTGCTTCGGCTACTGCTCCTCTCCTCTGCAAAAATGCAGATCTTCGTGAAAACCCTAACCGGGAAGACGATAACCCTAGAGGTTGAGTCTTCTGATACTATCGATAATGTCAAGGCCAAGATCCAGGACAAGGAAGGCATCCCTCCAGACCAGCAGCGACTGATCTTCGCCGGAAAGCAGCTAGAGGATGGCCGCACTCTTGCCGACTACAATATCCAGAAGGAATCCACTCTCCACCTGGTGCTTCGTCTTCGTGGTGGTGCTAAGAAGAGAAAGAAGAAGACTTACACCAAGCCAAAGAAGATCAAGCACAAGAAGAAGAAGGTCAAACTTGCCGTGCTTCAGTTCTACAAGGTCGATGACTCCGGAAAGGTGCAGAGGCTGAGGAAGGAGTGCCCGCGAAGCGACTGTCTCTCGCCGGAAAGCAGCTAGAGGGATGGCGCCCATCTCTTGCCGACTTACAAATATCCGAAGTAAGGAATCCACTCTCCAACCTGGTGCTTCGTCTTCGTGTGGTGCTAAGAAGAGAAGCAGGATAGAAGACTTACACAAGCCCAAAGAAGATCAAGCACAAAGAAGAAAGAAGGTCAAACTTGCCGTGCTTCAGTTCTCAAGGTTCGATGACTCCGGAAAAGGTGCAGAGGCTGGAGGAAGGAGTGCCCAATGCTTGAGGTGTGGAGCTGGAACTTTTCATGGCCATCCGCATTTTGGATAGGCACTTACTGCGGGCAAGTGCGGCTTGACCTTAATGTTTAACAATAAGGCTGGGCGGTGATTTAGGGTTATTGTTAATGCGTTTTTGTTTCGTGATATGGATTTTGGTAAATTTCTAAGTTTGCTAACTTTTTTTGCATAAATTTTGATTAGTTGAAGTATGGATGGGATATTGATACTGGTTTTTTTTTTTTGTTTAGTTTCCTTAAATACTACCGATTATCTGGATGTGAGTAATTTGCTTTGCTTTTTATGTTTAGAATTAAATGTTGCCTATTTTAAACCCGTTTTTTTTTAATCTATTTGAAAGTGCGGCTGATTTGACATTTAAGGGTGGTTTGTTTTTAATTTTGCATATAGAAGCATGTTCAACGTAGACTGTCTGGTCGCTAGCATCTGGCTTGATCTGTTGCTTTTGAGTGTTTTGATATGCGTGGTTGTAGGGGGAATTGCCCTTTTCAAGTTTTTGTATTGATATGGTGTTTCCTTGTGGTAACGGAGCTCTGTAATTGTTGACCGATTAAGTGGTAAGAGTTGGATAAGTTGTTATGTACGGAGGCCCATAATGCTGCGGTGCTTTTGCGTAGGTGCTGGCGCGTGTTTTTTTAATTGGCTATGCTTGTACGGACAAATAGCGGGCATAAAGTTTAAAAGAAAAATCTTTGCGAAGATCAAGCACAAGAAGAAGAAGGTCAAACTTGCCGTGCTTCAGTTCTACAAGGTCGATGACTCCGGAAAGGTGCAGAGGCTGAGGAAGGAGTGCCCCAATGCTGAGTGTGGAGCTGGAACTTTCATGGCCAACCATTTTGATAGGCACTACTGCGGCAAGTGCGGCTTGACTTATGTTTACAATAAGGCTGGCGGTGATTAGGTTATTGTTAATGCGTTTTTGTTTCGTGATATGGATTTGGTAATTCTAAGTTTGCTACTTTTTGCATAATTTTGATTAGTTGAGTATGATGGATATTGATACTGGTTTTTTTTTGTTTAGTTTCTTAATATAATTATCTGGATGTCTGAGTAATTTGCTTTGCTTTTTATGTTTAGAATTAAATGTTGCTATTTAACCCTTTTTTTATCTATTTGATTGCGGCTGATTGACATTAAGGGTGGTTTTTTTATTTGCTAAATGGTGCTCATGCTGATCTTTGAGGTTTTGATATGGTTTTAGGGAATCCCTTTTCAATTTTTGTATTGATAATGGTGTTTCTGTGGTAACAGTCTGCTAATTGTGACCATTAACTGTATTGATAGTTGTTAGTGGAGGCCCATAGTCTTGGCCTTTTTGGCTATGCTGTAGAAAAATTGCAATTGTTTAGGCAGCTGGTTAATATTAGTGTTTAGATTATGTGCGAGTCTGCTTTGACATGTATGATACTGCTCAGCCCATTTGAAAGTGTAGGTAACTATTTATGAAAGATGTGCTTACATTTCATTAATAGAACCAAATTCACAGTCCTTGCATATAGGCAGGAATAATTTTGTAGTGATGGGAAATGTAAGCTGAGATTGGAAAGTGAATTGTTATAAGAAATTAGAAGGTTTGATACAAGTTAAGTTAATTTGTTCAACAAGGATTGGATGTTGGAAATTTTCAGAAGCCTATGTAGTATCTTTTAATTGAGAATAGCTTTAAGAATTAACAGTGCCAAGTGGGCAACAAAAGTTTCCTGCCATAAAGCTCATACATATATAAGCCAAGTTTATTGGGAGAACTGAGTTCCTTTATTTTTGTTGAACTGAACTGGGAAGTATAATTCCTCGATCAGATTCCTTGCTCTTATGTTGAATTTATATTCCTCGATTTTGTGGCTTTTATTGTTACATGGGAAGTTTGATGAATGACATGATTCTTGTACCTGCTTGCCAATTCCCAGGGCGGTATCTGACAATGTTTCAGGTGGCCTATGTCTAGTTTGAATAGGCATACTCTTGGACAATTTTACATCTTTTGATAACATGCTTTGATTTTCTACTCATCACAGGCTCTTTAAAAGAGTTGCTCTAGCTCTAGCTATTATCGTTTTGTACCTTTATAAGTAACCTGATTCCTTGGTATGTTTGTTAAAGAAAATGCCTGCCCCTTTTTGTGTGCGAGTTTGTTTCCCTTTTATATGGTTGAATTCATCTCTGAACTTGATGTGGTGTTTGGGGTATTCTATCTTTGGTCGCTTGATGCATAAGCCTAGGAACTTGCAATTACCCATTGCCCTTCTCGTCAAACGATTTTTATTGAATTGTTAATACATAAAACTTGAAACCCATGTATTTCTAATATGGGGTCCCTTGTGTTAACTTGTCACAGCTTCAGTTTCAATCATCATTGGTAACTTGGAGCTAATGCATATTTTGCCATCTTGTTTAATATATGATATTATTATCGTGTTGTATAGAAAAGTACTTGTCATCTGGGTCTTTTGATTTAGAATACCAAACCTGACCCAATCTATTTCGGGATCGGTACCTGATGGATACGAGTCGACTTACTAACTAAGCAAACACATGATGGTTATATAGAAGATTGATGCATCTTCTATCTCCTAGTATTATCAAATAATTGATTCCGTGTTTTCAAATAAAGCTGGCAGGATTTTTTTCAGTTCTATGATAACTAGAACAAGGAAGTTGGGGTGGACAAATTTAAGTAATTACCTATTTACTGAGCTGTAAAATTGGTTTCGGTAAACAGTAAATGGTATGGTAAAGCGCTCGAAATTCCCTATTTACCTTTTTATTCAATATGTGGTTCCTTATATGGTTAATTTATCAATTCGAATTTTTGATTTACCTATTTATTCAATATGGGTCTTTTGTTTTTTTTTTTAAAGCCAACCCTTGTATGGTAAATTGATTGGTTAACAGTAAAATTTTACCAGTAAATCGATAAATGTTTAATTCAGTCAATATTTAAAATCAGTAAATTTTTAATTCAGTCAATACGTAATTTTTAATTCAGTTAATAGGTAAATCAGTTCGATAACAAATGTGTTTTAATACCAATCCGTTATTTCAAATTTTAAACGCCAAGATTTTATCAAATATTAAAAGAAGTAATTCAGTCAAAGCCATCCAAATAGCAAGTTTTCTTTTATTTTCCCTCAAATAGAATAAAAATAAGTATGTTAATATTACAATTTTGAAATTTAGCATTCTTTAAGAATTTAATGAACTTTTTAACTATTTATTTATTTTGAGGAACTTTTAAAATTATTTTTTCAAATATATATATGAATAATGTTTGGAACAAACAATACCGAAACTAATCAAAAAAACCTTCCATAAAACTTACCAAATTCTGGCCGAACCTTACTATACTATATAGATGTCCATTTCGATTTCTCATTATGTAAAAGTTTATTCATGTTAGAAGTAGTGAAAAATATCTATATATATACATGATGAAAATATTGTTTGAATTTTCTTATCTAAATCTATTACATATATATTTATTTTAAAAAATATTATCAACAATCCTCAAAACAAATAAATAAATTTTATTAATTTACAGTTAAAGTTAAAGAATATGCAAACCCAATTATGTGTAGTTATTTTACTTTCTTAATATTAGTTATTGAATTAGGCTTTTATATTATTAAGGAAGTGAGGATATAAATTTTAAATCTTCTAAAAATTTTTATAAAGTACAATTTACAATAAACTACAAAGTATGATATATAATAATAGAACAATCTGCGCTTTGCGCAGATATAATGATTTGATATATATATATTTTTTTTAAAAAAACACCCATATACAAGTTGATCAAGTTCTATCACTCGGGCCTTTCTACATCTACTTTTTTTGAAATTAAAATTAAAAATACTTATTTACACTTGTTTCAGAAAAATAACTTATTTAAATGGAAAAATGCTAAACTAATTAAGGTAGACCTAATTAACTAATCCCATCAACCAAATGAATGTCCATTAGGAGAGTTCTTTAACATTAAAGTAGTACTAACTACTTTATAACTAGCAGTATTAATTAATCTGGCACATTTCACTTTCAATGAATAAAAGAAAATATAAATTAATCTCTCCATTTTATGTTTATAGAGTCTTGAATATGAATCAATAATTTGTCAAGGGAAATTCAAGAATTGTCGAAAGTGGAGGATTCTTTTCTTGGTGGTACTGATTGTGGTCCCTTGGTAATAGAGGGGCAGAGCCTAGGATTGCCAGTGGTGGTTGTGTGCAATTATAACCCAACTATTTCTTATTCTACTGATGTTAGTGCCATTCAAATCCTCCCTACTACTGTAAATTGATTAACTTTAAAAACTATTCTCAGTTCTACGAGACAAATTTTTTTGCTTGTAAATGTCTACTTTTGTGCAATCATATATATAGAGTGAAGCTCCTTCAATATCAATCATTGACCAGGAATTATAATGAAAACTCATATATCATCCTCTGCAATTCTTGTTTTTTCTTCTAAAATTGTAATTGATTGATCGAGGTTTTTCAGGTTTTTTTATGAGTTAGGTTGGGTGTATTTTCAGAACTTGATGGTTCAAATTTAATAACTTAAAAATGTTAAATTTTTTCTTGTGGAAATTAAATTCCTTTGAATAACTTAAGTTCATAGAACTGGTGGAATTTAAGTTCAATCACATGGGTGAGTCAACAGCAAGAATTAAGGGAAGGAGAAGGTGAGGTTAATTGATGAAAAATGGAGCCTGACAAAGTAGATATTAGGCATTTAGTGGGGTGAAAGACTGAAAATAAATAAATAGATGGGAAACAGCATGAACAAAGAGAGCACAGAAAGTAGGAGTGAACACTTCAATTCTCATTGTCAATTATACTTACCCTCAATCAGCAAAGACAAATCCTAAGATGCCTCCTTTCCTTCTCTATGCACCTTTCTGGAGCTTACCCTTCTGCTTTTTATGGTAAATTTTTGCTTCCACTTTCCTTCTCATGAATGTGAGATGTGTCTCTATGAGATAGGTGAGTTAATAACAAAGAAAACAACACATGAAACAAATTGGCACTAGTCATTTTACTTACTTCCATAGAAATTTGAACCTATGTTAACGTTAGATGTTGAACTTTTATAACAACCATCTTCTCCATTATTTTTCGAAATTTTTTTTTATCTTTTAAACAAGTAATTTGGAACATCTCAGATTAGTAATACAAGCACTTACTATAGATAATCGAGATATTTTTTTGACTCGCGAATAAGAATAAGTTAACCATATAAGCAGAAAAGGTAATGCTAATTTGAGAATGAGATTAAAACATTGTGAAATCTTTGAGCAATGAAAGCATTTATTATTAGGCAGCTGAGTTATGAATATATATGTACTTTTGTGTTTCTTGATAAACAATAATGAGAGAGGACTCTGCCATTTTGGCATTAAAAAACATCCCAAAACATAAAATTATGAACGGTATTATCAGTATATATCATCAAACACCTATATATAAAATCTCCCTCTTCACTTTCAAAGTTCTAACACATGACCCACAAACCTTAACTCTCTCTCTCTCTCTCTCTCTCTCTTTCTCTCTCTCTCTCTTCCTCACAATGTCAACACTAAACCATCTCTTTGACCTTCCTGAGCAGATTTGCTACGTGCAATGTGGTTTCTGCGACACCATCTTACTGGTAAATAATGCATATATATACAGTTTCAAGAACTTCAGTTTTCAGCGATCAATAACTCAATTAATTATATGATTCTTGTGTGTTTATATATATACTTAATTTTATTAATGTTATTTAGGTAAGTGTCCCATGCAGCAGCCTGTCCATGGTGGTGACTGTAAGATGTGGGCACTGCACTAGTCTTCTTTCTGTTAACATGTTAAAAGTCTCTTTTGTCCCTTTACAGCTCTTAGCTTCTCTAAGCCATGATCAGGTCTGCAAATCAAACCTATTTACTTCTTATCTTTTTTTTTTTTTTTAAGAAATTTTCAGGGCGAATTCTATTTAATTAATTAAATTTCCAGCAAAAAGAAGTCAATCCAGAAGCAGCTGTGGGTTTGCGAAAAACCCTGGACATACAGAGATCATCATCCATGGTGGCCTATTCAGATCATGAGTTAGAGGAAGATAAGAATCCTGAGAATCGTGTCATTAACAAACGTAAGCTAACTTCAACTAGTTTGGCTAATTAACTAATTTGTTAATTAATATATTTTGTTATTAATTGAACTTATTACAGCTCCTGAGAAAAGGCAGAGAGCACCATCAGCATATAACCGATTCATCAAGTAAGAAATTTTACGTCTTAGTTAATCTTTAAGTCTTATTAACAGCTTCATCATGTTTGGGATTCTGATGCACATCTTTTATAGCAGAGAAGAGATTAGAAGACTCAAAACTGAAAATCCAAACATGGCTCACAAAGAAGCCTTTAGTACTGCTGCAAAAAATGTAATTGTGTTAAGTTCTCAAACAAGATTAATTATTTATTAATTTATTGTGAGACCCAAACTCATATATTTCAATACTGCAACTTGTTTTATTACTTTCAGTGGGCCAATTTCCCCCCTATTCATTATAAAGAAGGTGGAGAGAGTTGTGGGCAAGAAGATGAAGAGACAACTTGGAATTGTGATGCAGCTGAGGTAACATATGCTATACAAAGCTCGTTAATTAAATAAGGATTTTTGATTAGTGATTAGATTATATGCATGAGATGATGATAACTAATGTAAATCCCTCACTAATTGCGTAGAGTGGTGTGATTGGAATACTATACAAGATTCAAGATTTTTGCTTAATTGGAAAAAAAAAAAAAAAAAAAAAAAAAAAAAAAAAGGATTTTTGGAATTAGTGATTAGATTTATATGCATGAGATGATGAATACTAAATGTAATCCTCACTAATTGCGTAGAGTGGTGTGATTGGAATATCTATAAACAAGATTCCAAAGATTTTTGGCTTAATTGGAAAAAAAAAAAAAAAAAAAAAAAAAAAAAAAAAAAAAAAAAAAAACATTGAAGGGCAGTGTTGACACGACATAGGAAAGGGTTACTGATATTTGTTTCAGTTTCTTGAATTTTAAAGACCCAAAATAAACTAAACAGTACGAATTTTAAAATTTTATGAAATAACCTTTTCGGGTATTTGAAGTTTGAAAACAAACTGTAAAGGCTGTTTTAACTCTATATGTTTGTAGTAAAATATGCCACTGAAGTAGATGCATGGCTTCTGTTATGAGAAGTCTCAGGTCAACGTTGAAGGCAAAGGTTTCCATGAAAGAAAGGCTCCAAGGCATTCCATATGGGCAAGGACACCTTTCGAGTGAAGAAGAAGAATTCGAAGAAGGCTTATATATATGTATTTATATATAAAATGCCATAAGAAGAAAACTATTCCACTTTTAGGGTTAAGGGTTGGGTTCTGAATCATATGTCCTTCAGAGGGAAGATGCTCTTGGGAATGTGGTTTTTTTACTGTACTGCAAGGTGTCAAACAGTACTAAATGGTGTAAGAAACTTAGTTTTCAAGGTGTGCTTGATGATTTATTATATATAATATATATATATATAATATAAATCCGAAGGGCATTTTGACATTTCATCAAACTCTCTATTTATTCAAAGTAAATAGGGTTTAATTAACATATATATATATATATATATATATAAATCAAGGGCATTTTGCATTTCATCAAACTCTCTATTTTTATTCAAGTAAATAGGGTTAATTAACACTTATATAAATGGTTTTGTTTGCTATTTTGGATAGGTTGTTTTTTAGCAATTAGCTTTTAGAATGTTATGTATGCTTTGAGAAGCTATGTGGTTTGGAAAAACTTTTGAGTTATTTAGCTTTTATAAAAATTTAATAAAGGGATGCTAATTAACAAAAGAAAACGAAAATTAAGAGATGCTTAGGTTAAGATTAGATCATGATTAAAAATTTAATAAATATGCTAAGTAACAAAAGAAAACGACAATTAGGGACTTTTTACGGGAAACATATATATAAGTACATGAAAAAATCTTCCCATGAAAAACTACATAACATGAGGACTTGCATCTCCTACTTTAAAAATAGTTTACTACGAAAAAAAAATATTCACATGTGTTTGCAAACAAATAAAGACAGATATAAAACTACAGTAAGGTTAAAGAATTAAAGGTTGTTTTTATTTAAATTCACCTGTTAGGTTTAATTTCGTGTAGAACACTCTTAATATTAGTTTGATATAGAAGATTGTATCCTTGGGATTATCTGAAAGATGGGCTTAGTCTTCATATGCAAAAGTTAGGCAAGAACACCCATCAAATATATGCACATATATTATTAAAAATATATTACAAAGATGCTTATCAGAAATATAAAACCATACTATATTTTTAAAAACTCGTAAATTAATTTATAAATTTCTTATAAATATATAATCAATAGCTTTTGATTAGATTGTTCTAATTAACCTTAATTACTTGTATATATATATCATTGATCGATGACCTTCTTCCTCGTTTAGCTAGTATTTGCCAAAAACATATATATTCTCATTTATTTCCACTGTTTCATTCTTGCCAATCTGGGCACCCTCTTGATAAACCTATCTGAGACATTCGAAAAAAAGAAAAAAGATTTAATATTAGTAAATGAATAAGATCAACAAGAGATCCGTATTGAAACTATTTAATTTCAATAACAAAGACCATTAAGAGATCATAAGTGTAGAATTAATGCAGTACTCTTACTTGGGAAAGGCTTGGAAGAAATAGAATGCGAATATGCTTCAAAGAAATCCCTATTTTCTTTTTGTAATTCTCTCCACACTGCAACCGTATAATGGAATATAACATATATAGATAAATATATATAAGCTCAAAGAGAAATTAAGAGACAGAAAGGTTACCTGTAAGTGTAACAAGAGGCCTAACGTTGGCATGCTTTTCTAGTACCTTAATGCATTGGTCTCTGCTCAAGTGAAGAAGCAAACATCTCTCTATGAGCTGATGAACCTGTTTTAATATTCATATATCCATGCAAAAACAAGCAATATTAATGATTAATATTAGTATAATTTCTATTAAGCTAAAAAAAAAATTACTAAACTAAGTCAAACAATAGCGATGAAATGCATTGCCGCTAATATCATAATCAATCCAAAGCGATATATAGCTCGGGAGGAGGACTTTGCAGATGATAAGTAAGAGATGAACGCCAATTGACCACCCAATAAGTACGGGTATTATCTTTTCTAAATATTATTTTAATTACTTACCATCCTAATATAGCTATGTGGGTTGCAATGCAAGCAAGGAAGGAGGTCTTGCTGGTGGTGGTTATGAATTTTATGATGAGACATTTTTGTTCTCTCTCTACTCTCTATTTGAGCTGATTATGGAAAATTGGAAATGGACAAAAAGGAGAGACAACAAAAGAAGCAAAAAAAAAAAAAAGGTATATTATCACTTATAGGTAAGTAAGAAAGAAAGCAATGCAAGAAGAGGAGATTGATTATATGCAAAAGTGCAGAAGAAAGCGAATATAAAGATATTAAGTGAAGTGAACAGCCCATAACAATGTCAGAGAGTGACTGTTTGTTATCCATTGGATATCTAAGCGAAGGGCCAAAAAAGCGTAAGAAATCCAAATGATAGATTCACCTCATCTTCAGTAGATAAGAAAATATACATATGTGTGTCCATTTTTTATGTGTAGATGAAGCAATTTCCGTGGCCAAATCCTGAGCAGTTGAAGTTTTTTAGAGCACTGCCCTAATCATCCATCTGATGCTTCTGCTTCTGCTTATTTTGGGTCCTACTTCTTTAATTGCCTTCAACGTCTAGTGGTCCCTTTAGCAAAATGGTGCACAAAATAGAAACAAACCCTAGAAAATTAATCTTGCGATCTTAAATCATGCATGAAAACCCTATCTCATATTATATAAATATAAAATAGGAATAGTCAACGTTTCAATTTAATGCAGAATCGAAATCAAAAACCTGGGTTGTAGTCTTTGCCAATTCCTAAGATCTGGCTAGTTATTCCGATCAACTTTTCCGGTCAGTTTCAATCAGTTTTGTCAATTTTTCTTAATTAGCTTGAAAGTAGAATCAAACCCTAATCAGTTTATGTTTGGTGAGTGGATATAATCAAAGTCATTTCTTGTGTATTTATACCGGTTAATAACTTTGATTACATTAACTTATGTTTCCATTACTGTTTACCAACATTCTTTTAGGTTTCAATTTGAGAATTTTGAGTCCATATAGAAACTAGTGTTTGGCGTAACGCCGACAATTAACTCTGATATCGGTAAATCAAATAAGTACTTAGTTTTAATTCACATTTTATATTGCCTACTCTTATTGTTAGAATTCACTCAAACATTAAACTAACAGTTAATTGTAATTAAAAATGGTCGAGTTTATCACTATTTTTTTCTATTTTTTCAATAAGAAGACACTAATAACTTTATTTATATCAGATTAATATGGATAGAGTGCGTCCATACACCATATTAATCATCCAAATCACAATAGAAAGATTGGGAAACAATTGCAATTTAGACATGTTTTATTATCTTAGTATCAATAATTATTATTATTGGCTTCCTCATTAATGTTTACTAGTTAAAACATAGAGTTCTATCCGACCAGTTTGTATGAGTCGGTCCAAATTATTTAGTATTTTGCAGCGTCAATGAATTAATGTGAGTGTCCAATACTTGTGACTTTGTGACCGACATTGTGTAGCATCGGAGCCCATGGGCTTGTGAATGTGCTTTCTTTATATTAATTTTTTAATTTGGGAAAAAAATATTCAGGAAAAAGAAAAAAAAAACTATTCACAAATCCATTAGATAACAAGGTTAATTTATATAATTAACCTTATTTGATATAATATAAATGAAAATTAATAGAAGTTATTTATATTCATTAGCCTCGAAATATTCTTTTTTTTTTTTTTTTTTTTTTATTAATAGGAAGTTATTTATTATTCATTTAAGGCCTCGAAATTATTCTTTTTTTTTTTTTTTTTTTTTGCGCAGCTTCTTAAATATCAAAGCTAGAGAGTAAATATAAAAAATTTTTTTTTTTTTTTTTTTTTTTTTTGCGCAGCTTCTAAATTCAAAGCTAGAGAGTAAAATATAAAAATTTTAAATTAATTTTTTAAATTAATTCACCATTAATTTATTCTTTTTAAAACTCCAAAACAAGTAAAATTAATTAATTTGAAATTCATTCCATAACCTCCATTGACCTTCCATTCCATCTTTCATAAAATTCTAACGCGATTGTTAAGTTGACATCCTATAACCGCACATGCCTATGATTAATAGTTACACGCATTCTCCATTATTGACCACTTTAAATATAATGCAATCTGACTTTGACAATATCAACGGTTCTAAATTCATCATCCCATTGGACTTCGCATCACGTGCGTAGTAACTTGGAAAAATGCTCAATTTTCTTCATGAATTGTCCTACCATTTAACTAAAATTGAGATATTCACGGTTGAATTCGCGAACGTACAAAGAGAATCAACCCTCGAGCCTCGTCGTAGATAAACGTTCTGATTGTTTTAATGGTAATAAAGAGTAATTTTAATTGAAACTCAAGATCTTTCATTTTTTATATTTTTTAAAATTTGAAAATATTAATCTGATTACACCTTGGTGAAAATTAAAATTTTTATTCTGTTTTTAAAATAAATTTTTAAATAAAAAAATAATTATAGAATAATATAATTAATCACATACATCCCCTTTGAAAAGCATCCACTGAATTCAAACCTTGCTATCATAATCGAAATATTTATTTATTTATTTATATTTTGTTGTATTTGATTGGTTAGTTGACTGAGACTATAGCTAGAAATGCTCTCCAATGGCATACATCAAACCTGTTAATGGAATTTTGAAACTTTCGCATAAGCCTTTCCAGCGGATAATCTAAAGAAAATTCGTAAATTAAAAATATAATATTACAAAAAGCAGAGAGTGGGTTATGCCTAATTTGCACTAAACATATCACCTAATCATAAGAGTTGGCTGCGCATTAACAACATTAATTTCTCTTATGGCAAATCCAATTAAAATCATAAGATAAATTCAAAGGGTTTATGTTTGTAGATTTTATTTGGAAACGTGACATATTTCAGCTCTTAACAGCAATAATTTCAGATTTTAACTTTCGAACATTATTTTATAGATAGAAATTTACTTGAGCATGCAGTTTATTTGTACTAATCCAATCTCATAGTAATTATATTAAAATTTTTCACTAATAAAAAAAATACATTGACTTTCCAAAACTACTGTTTTGAGCTTGCAAATGTCAATATTTTGTGAAAAAGTTTTTCATATGGGTTGAATTGAATTGAATAAGTTCCCAAATTCAAATAAAAGAAAGTACAACAACTTGATATTGGCACGTTTCTCCTTGATTTATAATTGCACGACTTTTGGTCAACAATAGCATAATTTATTGTAAAAATGGACAATAATAATTAGGATTTATTAAAATACATTCCAACTCAGCTAATGATTTTTATAAAATTGGTATACCAATCTCGGTACAAGGTGAACGTTTAATTGATTTATTAGACTAATAAATGCATTCATATGTTAATATAATGACTTTCGAATTCAGTGGTGTAACTTTATTTGAAGTTGAAGATATCAATATTTTAAAACATTACATTAAGAGGTATTAAATTAATTTAAAATGTATTTTATACATCATATTAATTTTATTATTATTTACAAAAAATCATAATTTCAATTGAACATAAAATAAAATTTAAGAAATCAAAATTATTATTTACAAAAATCTTATCTGCTATCTTGTAAAATTATGCAAATCGAAATAGATTAGTTACATTATCTGAAAAACTGAAGAATTGGGACGGTGGAATTGATTTGATTTGATAAGCACGAAATATGATAATGATAAAAAATTAGTATTTATAATTAAAGCAATAATTATGTATCTGATTAATATTCTTGTGGTGCGAGGGGTTGGTTTTGCTTATCTAAATGCGGGAATCAAGGGTCACGCATGGACCCCTAAAACTCGTCGTTTTGCTCAACCGCCAAAATTACCCGCCAACAAACAACAAAGCACTTTGTGGGTCCCAGACACAAACAAATACTTATAGGACCCACCAAGATTAAGTAAGCCAACAAAACTCTCTCTTTTCCCGCTTCTTATTAAATTCCCTTCGTCTTCCTGATGGGCCTCCCTCTCCTTCTCGTAGTTGTAGTTGTACTCACCCTCATCATTCTCACCTTAAATAATAATTAATTATATATTTATTACATTTTCCACAGTTTTTTTAATTTAAATTAATAACTACTATTATTTTCACATATTTAATTAATAGGCATCTCGAAATAATTAGGTAATGGAAACAGCTAAGTAAAAATTTATATAATTGTGATTTAGTTTAGACTTTTAATTTTAATAAATACAATAACAGACTTTTAGAGATGCAAAGAATTTACAAAGTTTCGTTATTTCTGATCAGAGATTTCGAGTCATATAATACATATAAATTCTTTTTAAATGTTTGTAAAGAAACACTAAATTTAAATTACCGAATCTACCGTGGTTTTCTGGATAATATACGATATAAACATTGAATATGGTAGTAGTAATTTAGAATATATGCAGGTGGAAACAGATAATTAATCAACAATTAAAATTAGCCAAATTGAAGGTAACCTGCAAAAAATCAATAATTAACTTGCATTCCTTTATTTTAGCTAAAAAATTTATATTTACATTCATTTGAATTGAAGACAATAAAAATTAAAGTAGAGGTCATCCAATCTTTAAACATACTTATATATTTGGAATTGTTAATAAATTAGTATTAATTTGTGCATAAAATTGTCAAAAGAAAATTTGAAATCCAAACTATATATCAAAGCCTAATTAACTAAAAAAATTATTCAATGAATATTTTTTATTTGATTCTAAAATGCATTTTTTTTTTCAAATTTCCCTAACAAAACTTGTAAAATATAGAAAAATTGAGAGTTTAGCATTTAAATATATTTATATAAAACATATATAGTAAGAGTTATTGAATATTTAAATGAACATTACTTGTAGAATCAGGAGTTTGAAATCACTATTAGAATGAGTATATTTGAATACTATTTCTGATCCATTATGCATTCTATTTCTACTTATTTAACAAAGCTTTGTTGGTTATAAAATTCAAAGCTAATGGGGAAAACTGAGTTGATATTAAAGACGCAAGAAAAATAATGGAAAAGGGTCGGTAGAAAATTATAGAGGCATTTAAAATTTTTCTTTGTTTGTTTGTTTGTATTTGGTGGATAGACTTACTCTCCTCTAAACAGTTGATTCCAGAAAAGGAGAAAAACAAAACTAATAAGAGAAAATAACTTTTCTTTCTACCTTTCCTTCCTTCCTTCGTCTTCCTCTATGCTTAAGTGGGACCCTCACTCTTCTGTCTTCTCTGTTAATCAGAAAATTTTCCTTGTTTCCTTCCATGTTTTTACCCCTTTGCATTTTCCTTTTTACTGATTCCAAGAAAGAAAACGAAAGAGAAAAAAAGAAAAAGAAAAAGAATAGGAACAAAAAAAAAAAAGAAGTGAAGAGAAAATTTTTAGTTTACGTAACCACTAGCAATAGCATAGATAGCAGTCCCTGACTCCCCTTTGCCTGCCAGTACCATCACACCTTACCCCCACTCCATTACCGTTTCTTTTCTAAAAAAAAAAAGAAGTGAAGAGAAAATTTTTAGTTTACGTAACCACTAGCAATAGCATAGATAGCAGTCCCTGACTCCCCTTTGCCTGCCAGTACCATCACACCTTACCCCCACTCCATTACCGTTTCTTTTTTTTTTTTTTTTTTTCTTTTCTTTTCTTTCTCCCTTCCATTTATTCTTTGTTTCAATTATTTGTTCCTCCAATTCCTACTCTCTTTTTCTTTCTTCCTTGGCCATTAATTATCATTAACCTTATTCCGTTCCTATTCTTGAAAACCCGTGTTTTGTTTTTCGTCGGTTCAGATCCTAGATGATCGGTTATTCTCTCTGATTATTGAAAACGTTTCTGTTTCTTGAGGTATCTGTTTTTTATTTGTTGTTTTGTGATTTGGGTTTTCTCTCTATGTATGTATTATTCTTGGTTTTTCGTATTTGGATTTTTTACATTGCTTTTCCTTTGTTGTCTGTTTGCAGGATCTGCAGGCACTTTGTTATTAAAGATTTTCAGCAGTTTTGCATATTCAGGTTATTTGGTTTCTCCCTTATTATTGATGACATGTTTTTTTGTTCCCTCTGATTCACAGATTTTTTTTTCTTGGGTTGGATGACGTTAGGAGATTCATGTGAATCTTGATGAAGATGTAAATCTTTTAGTTGTTAAGTTTGTTAGATGTGCTTTTGGATTTCCCTTGCATTTCTGTATTTGGTTATCATTATCCTATAGTATCAAAATCTTACCTCCAATGGAATTTCTTACGTGATTTTCTTCCATTTTCTCTTAATCGCACATCCATGTTCATCTCTCTTTTTTTCCCCTCTATATTTCATTTCTGGGAGACTCTCACATTTGAGGGTATGTATCGTTGAAAATTGAGTGATTGATTGATCTCGTTTTGAATGTACTCTTTATCTCCTTTACATTTTATTGTCAATAATATGGTCAGACTATCTATGATTATTGTTCGTCATCACCTATTGTTTGATGTGTGAAGGAGAGAAATCATTTGGGATATTTCATTGTCATCTCTGTTTTGATCTATTTGCTCTTTTAACTGGTACACTTTGATTGCCTTCAGGCCATTGCACATTTTTGGCTTTGAACCCTGTTTAATGCAATCTTAAGGTCTTCAGGTGCTTGTGGCATGTGATTGAGGAATTGGTTTAACATAGTTAAATTGTAAAATCCTAAATTTCTTGTGACAGAGATGAGTAAGTGGGAGGCAAGTGTGCATTCTTCTCCCTGAAAACATGTACTGATGATGTACATGCCTGTAAGCTTCTGTGCTTAAAGAATATGGAAATAAACCAATAGCGTGAAGTTTGAACTTAATTGATGAGGTGAAGTGGTGAATGGCGATGCTTCAATTAGAATGTACATTTTTTTTTAATTGAAATGTTAATAGAGAATGAAGATCAATCTTTGGTGACTAGCGCAAACACATACGTGCTATGTAATGCTATAGTCCGGTGGCCTTGATTTAGTCTTTACAGATTCTTATCAATAGGAGGAATTTGCATTCCATATTTCTCGTTCAGAGTTGCTTTTTGAATCTTTGAGAAACCGAACATTTATTTGTTGTTTTACTGACTACTATGTGATTCATGATGTGCACTGCTTCCCAACAAGACCACAAACTTCATTTAGTTCTAAACTGCATTATCACTCAAATGAGATCTCTTATTCATGTCTCATTTATATATGCTTATTTGGTTATGATTATGCCTGTTTTCTTGCAATTTCTTAATTTCAAGGTAACTTCTCAGAAGTTAGTTTTGATTCTTGCATTTGCAATAAAGGTGCCCCATCTAGCTTAGGTCTTGTTGATGGTTGAGTTTAAATTTTCAATTTGAAACTCCAATTGAAAATATAGGATGTACTATTTGAATCATGTTTTTGCGGAAGTCTCCGCCGATTGAGTGTAGACACAGGCATATAAGAAATTCAGAAACTATTTTCTTTTAATTCTCAACTTGATAATTTAGTTTAGTTTTTTTTTTTTTTTTTCCTTCTAATTTTCCCTGTTTAGTTGTTTGGATCCTTTTCCTATTTGGAATTTTGTATTCTATCTAGGAAAACTACAGATTTATTACCATATAAGAATTTTTTGGTCTAATGTTTCGTAGTAGTTTTGTATGTTGTACAAGAACTTCCTTTTTACCTACTTTCCTCGTTAGGTTGCCAGTGTAAAAGTCATTGTATTATGCTCTGCAGTTTACTGACCTGTATTTGATGAAAGACAGTACAGATGATCCTATACTTCTAAGTTTTGTTCTCCAACTAATTAATTTATAGTCTTGTTGTCTCAGTCCCCAAATATTTTCTTCTCGTTTGTTTTGTTATATTATTAAAATTTGAAATGTTAATGTGTTTTTTTTTCCTTGAATGAAAACTTGATGCAATGTGGAACTAGGCATAATGACAATTTTGGTATTGACAGAATGAATTTGCCTTTGCTTTCACAGGTGAAATCTCACTATTATTGTATCAATCTTGGGACGCTATATATTTTATGCTAAAGTAGAAAATGTTGGGAGGCAACAACAGTAATCCTCTGCTTCCTGTTTTCATGGATGAGAATCGTATGCACTATCAGAATAATCCTTCGAATCAGCTTCAATTATTTGGTAATTGTGAGTTCTCATCTCATTAAATTTTTTTTTTTTTTTTGGCTTACTTGTACTGTAAATGTATTCTCTCTATATGTTGTATGAATCTATACTTTTACATTAGTTATTTACCTTTCGGATAGTTCTTTTTGGCGAAGTTTTCTACTAAGTGCTGATTGGGAGGCATTTGTCTTATTTGTCCTGCTTTACAGGATAAAACGTACTTCTCGAAGGTGGTTAACTTTTGAGACAAGTATATGTGACAAAAATGTTGTTAGAATGGGAAATCGTGCAAATAAAATATTCACATACTATAAAATCTTCAATTATGAAAGCATTGATTGCAGTGACCTTTTCTTTTCCCAATGGAAAAATTTAAGGCAACAATTATTGTTGATAAGATTACTGAGTTTCCAATTACATACTCCAGTATTTTGTCTTGACAGCAATTGTATGTTTGTTATTTGTTTAAATTTGGTTGTTAGCCATTGAAAGTTGGGTAACATTTATTTTGTTTTAGTGCCTGGGACCAATTTTGCTATGCTTGTGAAATTTGAAGATAAAGGTTAATAATTTAAATATTGAATTAATATGGTAGTATATCTTAGCTATGAGTACTTCATGGAACACTGGTAGAAGATATCCGAACTACAAATGATCTCTTTGGTTTTGGTTTTAGATTATATGATTTACCCATCCCCTTAATGTGAAATGCTCTCTCGCTCTCGCTCTCGCTCTCTTATGTAATATTTTATTTGAAGTAGTTTTTCTGATATCTTATTTGCAATTTTTGCATCAGTCCCAGCTGGATGTAGCGTTGATCCTGTGAATTATTTTGGGAATGAGCATATGACCCCTATGCTTCGCCCAAATAAGAGAGGCAGGGAAACAGAAGATTTCAGTAGACAGCAAAAGCTGCAGATTTCCTTAAATTATAACATATGTCAAGATGAAGCCGACCGCTCAGCTAGCATTCCAAACCCAAACCCTGTATCAACTGGGTTACGGTTGTCATATGATGATGATGAACGCAACTCATCTGTAACTTCTGCAAGTGGAAGTATGACAGCAGCTCCGTCAATCATATTGTCTCTTGGTGATAATATTAGGACTGAACTTGATCAGCAGAAAGAAGAATTTGATCAGTATATTAAGATTCAGGTACTGTCACCACTCCAATAATCCAATATTGCATGTTAGATAAGTTGATTGCCTTTGTATCCTGAACTTTTATTGCACGGTAAAGATAACTGGCTGTTTCTTCAAATTGGTTACACTTACTCCACATGAACTTCAGTGCTATTCTGCTAAATTTGCCGCCTTTTTTTCTTGAATGCTTGAAACTAGAATACACTCCTTGCAATTTTTCAAGTAACTTTTAAATTGGAATAATTTTTCAAGTGATCTTTTCTTAAAACAGGAAGAGCACATGGCTAAGGGGTTAAGGGACATGAAGCAGAGACATATTACTTCTTTTCTTACTGCCATTGAGAAGGGTGTAACCAAGAAGCTATGGGAAAAAGACCTAGAGATAGAGAATATGAATCGTAAAAACAAGGAATTAATTGAGAGAATAAAGCAAGTGGCCATGGAAGCTCAGAATTGGCATTACAGAGCAAAATACAATGAATCAGTTGTGAATGTTCTGAAGAGCAACCTCCAGCAGGCAATTTCACAGGGCGGTGACCAAGGAAAGGAAGGATTCGGAGACAGCGAAGTCGATGATGCTGCCTCTTACATTGACCCTACCAACTACCTGAATATTCCAGGTGGGCCTGCAAGAGCTCTCTCCAGGAATTACCAAGGCGGTTTGAAGGATCATATGACCTGCAGGGCTTGCAAATCGAAGGAGGTGTGCATGTTGTTAATGCCTTGTAGGCATTTATGTTTATGTAAAGACTGTGATATGTTAATAGGTGTCTGTCCTGTATGCCAGTTGATCAAAACTTCTAGTGTTCAAGTATATTTGTCCTAAATTACAAAGCAAATCACTCAGAAAGTTACCTACAATCTTCTTGCTGTCAGATATATGTTAAAAGGTTTCCTTACCTGAAAAATTAGTTGTATGTGGAGTAACTACATATATTTAAGATGAAGTTTGGGTGATTATCTTGCATCTATTCCCCCCTCAACCATTAATGATTTGATTTGATTTGATTAGCTTGATTTCAAAGCAACTATTGATTTGATTTAATTTGATTAGCTTGATTTCAAAGCAATGCTTCTGCACGAGATATCTTTGGATCCTGTCATCAATCTATTTGATCTACCTTCTCATTGCATCGAAAAGATATAATTTGTAGGCTTTCAAATTGCTTCTGTTTCAAAAAAGACAAATAAACGGAAAGGACAAAATCACCTGAAAATAATTATCATATCATGGGCAAAATTATCTTCTTTGACTCATTAATAAATCAGAGTCGCATCAAGCAGTTGTTTATACACATTTTACACAACCTCACGTGGAAAAGAGCTCAAAATAGTAACAGTCAGCCACTTTGTATTACCTATGGTTTCATAGTACCGACAGAATGTCAAGGGCGGCTGAAACTAGTCCAAAAACTAAACTCTGAATTAGATGATTTGCTCCATCACAATAGTTCCATTAGATTCTTCTTCTATTGTCAATTTTTGTCTTCTTGGAAGCAGGCCCACCTTGTATATGTTCAGTACTGGATTGAATCTATAAGAAATACAAAGAGAATTTATTGATTCCTTCTATAAGATTCAACAAAGGATTTTAAAAGAATAGTATGCAGATTAGTCACCTTATTGAGCTTTTCCCTGACCAATTTAACAGTCTGATTCATAGAGTCTGAAAGGAAATATTCCTGTGAATAAAGACAATAATGAAAATTACAAAACAGCCTCTACACAACCACAAGTGTAAAAGTAATGTTGAATTTTCAATGATTTATCTTGTTAATCAGGCACCAAACACAAATTTTCACAGATGAATGCTGCATTTTATGTGTTGCAGATAATATTTCAAGTCTACTAGCATTTTGATGTCTTATATTCTTTGCATTCTTCTCGCGGTATTTCAGGCAATGAAACATTATGATAAATGAACAAGAAACAATAATTTTCACAAGCCAAACGGTACTCAAGATAACAACTATTAAATTCCAAAAAAGAAAATGATAAAAACCATTGGAATTTGACTCTGCAATTCAAAAACCATTGGAGAGCTGTTGTGGATGCCTTTGTGGGAGATCCTATGTTAGGAAAGGCAATTAATTTTGGCAGTTGTTTAAGGCTTGGCTGTCACTTTAGGGTATTTAAATTCAAGTTGTCTACTCCCCTTTAGTATAGGAGTTGCATTTATTTCTATTTTTAAGGAGCCTAATTTATAAGTTTCCTATTCATGTAGTAAGTCTAGTCCTATTTAAGGACAATTAGAATAATACAAAGGGAAGTCAGAATTTCACTCAAACACAGAGATCTGGAGCTCTCTCTTACGAGGTCCAAGGTTTTCAAGTTGAGTTAATTATCACAATAGGTCGCAAGAAGAATCAGGACAAGGGGAAGTTAATTGAATTAGACTTTCCTGTAAATCGCCCTGTAACACGATCCTATTCCCGTACTCTTAACAAGAGCTCATCCAATCACGAAACTACCTGTTGTACTAAGGACCGGAATCAAGCCATTTTAATCACTTAAATTTATCAGGCAACAAAACGCCTAGGATATCTCTATGCACCTAATCACATCAGAAAACAGTTATGCACCTTAAAATACAACCTAGAAAAAAAGAAAGGATAAGAAAAAGAAAAAGAGAGACTATCCAAATGTCAGTAAAACAGGAGCAACAAACCTGATCAGAGGAAACCCGTGATATAGGAGGATTGTTTATTTGTTGTGATCCTACAGAGTTCCTTCAAAAAGTAAGATATAGACATATTATCAAATCCAATAAAGTAAAAAAACCTAAACCACCAAGAAAGCTTCTACGGCAGATGATAGGATATCAAGTTTAAAAAACTTACAAAACCTCGTTAGAGTTTATATGCTGAGAAATGTAGATGGTCTGTGAGGTAGCTGTAAGCAATGAAGTCTCACTTGAAACAACCGAACTATGAACTTTAAGCCCTTTGGATCTTCCAACTGAAAATAACATAAGACAGTATACATTTGATACTAATTATTGACAATTGCAATAATTATTATATAGATAGGTATATAATAAAAAGATATAGAACTGACGGTTCAATCTTGCGTGTACTTCCTGTCTTCTTCCTTCTAACTTGTCCTTTGTATCAGAAAGGCTCTCAAACTGAGGTGCACATGAGACCTGCAATTTATTCCCCAGAAAAATAAACTCATCCAATTTTCTCTTTGCAAACCTGTAAACTAAAAGTGATTCAAAAACACTACTACGTTCAATTATTACCACAGAAAATTATTAACAATCTCCATTTCAATCACCTGGCATTGCTGACCGAACGAAACTTGATCCAGTAAACATCAGTAAATGGTTCAGAGTCTTCAGCGTCCATAGGTTTAAAACTGAAAAAAAAAAAATCAAAATAACGAAATTTAAAATAACTATATAAGGAAATTAATGGAAAAAGGAAACACAGGCGGAGAAAAGAACTCACTCTTCAATGTCTCCATAGGTAGCAAAAAGTTTCAACAAATCATCGCGAAAAGAACTCACTCTTCAATGTCTCCATAGGTAGCAAAAAGTTTCAACAAATCATCGCCGCATCCTAAAGCGGGAACGTTTCTCACAATCAAATATCTGATATCCAGAAAATCAAAAAGGGTTAATATTGAAATTATGAGAGTTCCAATGGCGTTTGAGACAATAGACAATGACCTTGATTCATCGCAGACAGTATAAACGCGAATTGTGGGAGACTCGTTTTTGTATCGAGGCATTTTTCTGGGTTCCCCTTTCCAAAACCCTTAATTAATTGTCTTCGAAATGTAAAATTGCAAATGACATTGAAATCGAAATTGAATCCCCCCAGGAAACGGAGATGGCGGGTATGCAATAGCATAACGACGATGGACGACCACAAAACAGACCAGAGCGGAGAAACTTTTCTGTTTGAATTGGGTTTTTCTAAGCTTGGATTCATAAGATGGACCGAGTTAGAACCCGAACAGCTGAAATTCATAATAATAAAATGCAACAATTGCACATGAGCCCGGCCTAACCTATCAATGTTCAGAAGAGAATATCTTAAGCCCACGGGATAAGAAAGCTATTATTATTAATTAATGAAATTTAATTAATTTATATATATAAATAATAACATTCAAACAGACAGTTAGTAGTTGGAGAGACGATACCATCAAGACTGCAATTTCTAAGCTGGAGACAAACCCCACAAGGAATTGAAGAAAATGGATTCAATTTGGACAATTTTGGAAGTGAAACCTTGTAACACACTTCTCCATTACTACTCACTGCTCAATCTCACCCTCCAAAACCATCATTTTCAATATCTGCTCAATCTTATCTTTACTAATTCCGCCCTACACAGCTCCAATCTTGTTAACACTATCTGCTATTTGTTCTGCTGAAGCTAATCTTTTCTTAATTAACATCAAACAAATTTCTCTCAATCTTTTGATAAATTGCACATCAAGCTCTCCATTTGTGTACCATTGTCCTCTAGTTAGTTCTTCTGCAGGCTCGAATTCTATACCCATGGAGTGTTTAGTCTTCTTGTTTTTGACATTAACAACTTCTTTGATGAGATTTTTCTATTTGAGAGAATTTATCGATTTGGTTCTTATTGTATCAGCTAATTGCGTTCCGTACTTAATTTGATACCTTGCTATTACGTCGTGCACTTTGCTTTTTATGAATTCTAACACTTTTCGCTCGGATTTGGCTAGCGTTCCTGCACCAATTGAGCTCCATCGCCCGCGTTTCATCAGTAAAACCACTATTGTTTTGATGATTTTCTTCAATTTTACTAAATATATGAAATCTGAATAATCATATATTGAAGGTAAGCAGCGAGGTAATCAGTGTTTAACTGATTACCTTGAGATCTTCAAGCAGTGACGCATAAGATTTTTGTTGCCTCCGACGATCCTCAACCGGATTGACACGAGCAGAGACTATTTAAGGCCAGTTTATGAACCTACTAACGGCGGTGCCATTAAAACGACGTCATTTGAAACCTTGGCAATTAATGGGCTCTTGACCCAAACTTACAAGCCCGCCTTTACATAGACATATCAACAATTCAGGAAGCTCTTAGCTAAGCTGTTTTATCTTACTTAGATGATTTTATTTATAACTATTTATAAATAATAAAAAACTATTAATTATTACCGTAAAATAATATATTACTTATATAACACATTAAAATAGAAAATAATATATTTTAATAACTATTTTGCATTCATCGATTTCTAGCTATCATGAATAGCTAAACAAACAAGTCTTCGATATTAAAAATAAGTAAATAATGATAAAAAAATATTAGAAATTAATTAATTAATTAATTGAGACAAAAACCAAATTTTTTGGCACAATTAAAATTTTCAATAAATCCGACCAACTTACAAAAGTTGTTTGTATATATCTGCATGGAGCAAAACAATTTCAAATTTTTTGAAATTCTACAGCTAAATTGTAACTGCATGTTTGTATAAAAAGAACTTTATGGATCAATTCTCTCTATTAATCCTCAGCAGTCCCCCGTGTATTCCTAACAAGTTCAAGAACTCTGAAATAGTCATAGAACAAGGAAGATTGTTCACCCTCAAGCCCTTCTCTGCTTACTCGGTTGCCGCCAGCAAGGTTATTGCAGGGACTCCCACCAATCACAAGGTCAAACCCACCAAATGAGTGCATCCACCGCTCCAGACTACGACCATCAACTTTCCGGATATCTTCAATTTCAATAAGATGACCTTTCTGGTGTGTTTGCTCCCACCAGCTTCGTACAATGTTTCTGTTCACTTCTGAAATTTCAACCGAGACCACATTCTTTATGGGTATCCCAAGTCTGTGTAATGCTACTTCAGCACCACCAATTCCAGAGAAGAGAGAGAGCACATTAATTCCATTAGGAAACCGATCCTTTAGGACTGAAAGATGGTATGCAACTGTGTCAACCTGAAAACCAAATCATTCAATTTGCTCATATTCAATCAATTTTTAATATGTGAAGCAAAGAACCAAGAGAGGAAAGTGAAAGATAAATGTACTGACCTGAAAAGAATTTCCAAGTCCCTTGTATCTATCACTCCTACTAATTCCACCACCTCTTGTATGGTCCTTTGGAAATCCTAGCAGTATCTCCATTTCATCAGGCTCTAGAGGTGCAAGTTTGTTCTTGCCAACCCAAACTAAATTCCATCTTTTGCATTGATCAAGCACATACTTTTTGACACTTGGAGTAGGCTCACCATCACAATCTTCTAGTGCCTTCCTTAACCTATCTGTAAGTCTAGCACTCCCATAGGTAGTGAGGAGACAATTGAACTTTCTTCTTGTATCCCATGAAGGCCACCATTTCTTGCTTAAAGGTAAGGCCTCGTGTATAGTTTTTGGTGGTCTAGGCAAAAGGGGAAAACGATCTTGAATTGGAAGGTTATGAATATAACCTCTTTTTCTTGCAGCAGCACAGAAATATTTAGAATCAACAAACTCTGGCTCAATCTCATACAAAAACCGAGATATTTTACTCCACACCCCCTTAGGAGTAAGGGCCACATTTTCATAATAAAAATATGGCTTGCCAGCAGCTAACACAGGAAGCCTCCTATCCATAAGGCACCATGGTTCATCAGGAATTCCAAATCCTATCATTGGATTAGGGAGGTTAAGTATCTCCTCATTTCCTTCCTGTGGATTCTTCTTCCTTGCTTTGCACCCCTGGCCCTTTAATCTCTCATTTAGGTCCAACTTCCTCTTATTTTTGCATGTAAAATTCTCAGTCCTTGTCTTTCAATAAAGAAGAACTCAGCATTAGACAACAAGGACTCAGATTCGGCAAGTTAAAGTAGGGTATCAATCACTTCATATAATCATTCAAGGAGGTCTATATTACATACCTTTGTTCGAGAAGAAGAGATCTCAAGCACATCATCTTCAAGCTCAGCATCCAGTTCTTTGTCTAATTGAGCACCAGATATGTAGTCAGACAACTCTTCTACATGTGCACTAGGACCTACATTGTTTAATTCAGATGCTATAAGAAAACAATCCAGCTGAAGATAAAACATGCTTTGTGGACTGAAGGGAGCATGCATAATCATAGAGGTTTTACAACCAAATTAAAAGGGGAAAGAGATATTAGTTAGAGGGCGTAAAACATTTAATGCAACAATACACTACCATCTACCCACCACTGTATGGCTTCTTCAAGGAGTAGCCCATCTCCACTAGAAGAGACAGACTCTCGTCCTCTTCTAGCAAACCTTTTGTGTTTTCCTGTGGGAAAATGGTTAATCCATGGTAATCATAAAAAATGACTCATAGAATAGCATTTGTAGAAAATCTACAAATCAGCAACTTGAAGGAACATTGGCTGAAAATTTAAAAACTACTCCTCATAACACAATCAAGTTAGATACTTAATCATGAAAAATTATGAGAGAGATAAAGTGAAGCAAAGGTTACTTACATCTATTCTAGATAAAAATTCCTCATCAAGATGATCATCAGCAGAATTTCTTACATATTTAAAATGGCATGATTTTGTAACATGTGGCTGTTCTTCAGTTGAATTTTCAAGAGCCTGCACAACTCAACAAACATGCATGACATCTGTCATATTCCTCTAAACTGATGCGGACATCCACCATGATTGATCACTTCTTTATGGTTCCATCCAATCTTTATAAAATAACTAAAAATTTAGAAGCCTGTCCAAAGCTAACTGTTGAGACGCTTGATAGTGATTATAGACAACAACATGAACTTTGATATGGATTGTAAATTCAATTAATACTAAGTAAATCCAACAGACTTCTGCTGCTGTAGTTATGGCATTTTTGGTACTATTAGGACAGTTTCTTACTTGGCAAGTATGGCATTCTAGCATGTTGTGGTAAGGTTATCCCAAATGTGAGGTGGTGAAGCCATCAATCCAGACAATTCAATGACAATAAATAAATTAGCTACTAACAGAATTAAAAAGAAAGTAAGGACAACTCACAGAGTATGTTAGAAGAGAATCCAGAATGGATGCTTCGTCTTTGCCTATCAATGGTCAAATAAAATTCTTAGTTCAAAATGCAAGCTAGCATTTGAGGATTTTAATACATTAAACTATAGTTACCATTTTCCTCAATTGCACGAATCACCAAATCTTCAGAAAATCCCATATTCACAAAGTGATGAACCATCCTGGAGCTTGAAGAAGCAGTCAAAGAGTTTGCCTGAGCTCAAAAGTAAAACACCAAGCTAAGACTTTATGGAGTGAATAAAAACAGATAAAACAAAGTCACAAGCAGTATATCCAATAACATTTCTAGTAGAAAAGACAAGAAAGACGCAATGTAACTGATAAACAATACGTTTCAGTTCAAACATTAGGTTCCCCCGTTCCTCCATGCTGAATGCAGCTTGTTCAAATGGAATTTGAGGGCTGGCGCGCATTTCTATTGTATAACATTTTTCTGATAAAAAATTAATTAGAAAAACCCTTTTGGCCAATGAATTGTATATCCTTGCAGTATTGATATCTCGGGACTACAGCTGATTTTGGGAAATGAAAGTTCTCGGAAAATCTGGCTAGGCCCACAGAAACCATTATGATAAAGAACTGCTATTAGCAACAGTAAAGCTAAAGAGGGCCCCGAATGGCTTTAAAATCACTTGACATTGACCTGCCATATCTCTATTGTATTTGCTAATAACATTTTGCTGTTAGGAATATCTTCCTTAGAAGAGACTAATATACATGTTTCTAAAAATTTGCAGTAACACGGTTCATCCCTTGGACTGTTTCTAAATTCCCACCAGTCCAACCTTTACTTTAGCAGAAATACCCTGCACTAGACATCAAAAGAAGGCTGACTGCGTATAAGATTCAAATGCAAATTTTATATCCAAACAATTAATAACATTGGCTGGCCACCCATGTGAAGAAATTCAAAGAAGGCACATCTTTCCTTTTGAAGGACGGAAAGGCCCAAAAACTGAGGCATGGAAACAGAAAACACTCACCCAGTTAGGTAGAAGGTGCTTATAAGATCAGGCAGGCTATGCCACTTACATTACCATGTGCTTTAGGTTTCCTATAACCTTTTGTGATAGCATAAACAGTCTACATACTAAATTTTGGAAGAACGAGACAATCAAGAATTGGAGTATTTGAGAGAAGCTTACATACTGGAAAGATACATAGGAAATGGGATTCCAGAAGGCTCATATCAAACCTATTGAACTTATCATTACATAAAGCCGCGGGATTGTATGACCAACATTTTTTTTTTCCTCCAGAAAAATGCTGAGCAATTAAAGCTACCCCTATTTAGCCCATTGATGTGGTGGGCAAGTCTGACACCATAATAGTAATATCATGCACATGATTTGCTCTATCTATCATTTTCTTCGCGATAATGTAGATAATAAATGCAAGTACTGTGGTGATGATGTGGCATCAGGATTATGGGTGATAAAATGGAAATTCAAAGTTCTTTCTTAAGTAAAAAAGTTTTCTAATGGAGAGCTGCTAATAATTACCTTGTTATATGTTAAATCTTTATAAAGGAAGAATAGTTCTTAATTTGTAGAAGAGTCAGAACATCCTATTTCTTTGCTACCATGCCAAAGCTATTAGGTTCCTTGCACTTACAGATACTCCCCAAATCCAAATGGCTTTATATCTTTTAAGAGCTAGATTGAAAATGTTAAAGGTATTTGGTGGAATCAAAACTCTATTATTAACATATCGCCCGCCTATGCTGAATCATTTGGAAGGAAAGAAAAATGTTTCAATATGAAAAGAGGCAGCCAGGCCGAGAATTATTGCAGCAGTATAACAGGTGAGGATTTGAAATGGTCAATTAATGCATAATATTCCGCCCCCTGAACAAATTGAGCCCAATCACTAATACAAGAGTCTTAGGCAAGACGATCAGTTGCCTGGAAGATAAATTCAATGGTGTCCAAATTCCCATATCTCAATTATCATTTCGATGTAGACTCATTCAGGGGATGGGATGCTCCTCTTTTAATGAATAATATGTTCGTGCTCAAAAGGAAAAAGAAAAAGAAAAAGAAAAGGAAAAGGAAAATGAACTGATAGCAATGATAAAAAGCTTACCTCCTCAGAGCCGCTAATAGCTTCTGGACTCTCAGAACTCATTATTCCATTATCAGGAGAAGATGCATTACAGATCTCAAGCTCATCATCCGTATTCCAGTCAATACTATCATTGTCACTACTTGCACCATTTGCATCCTACCAAAATTAAAGCAAAATCACCAGAAAAACTTCACAATAAATTAAGAATAGCCATCCAAATCCAAAATCAACAACAGAAAATACCATTTTGATCAACAAACTTCTAACTTTTCCCGCCAAGCAGTGACACCAGTGCTGATCCCGAAAAAAAATACAAAAAAAAAAAAAGGGTTAAACTTAGAAGCTATGAACATGCGAAAATTTGCTTGCCTTAAAGTTATAAGTTCATGAAAAAACAATCTTACACGGCCAAAAAATAACTTCTCCCACCAAAGCACTGACATGTTCCAAAAAAAATTACAGAAAAAAAAAAAATTAAAGTTATAAGTTCATGAAAAAACAATCTTACACGGCCAAAAAATAACTTCTCCCACCAAAGCACTGACATGTTCCAAAAAAAATTACAGAAAAAAAAAAAAGCATAAGTTAGATGCTGTGAACATGCAAAAATTTATCATAAGTTCATGAAACTAAACAACCTTACACAGTAAAAGAAATAATAGTTTGTCTGGATGGATGGTTTTGGAGAGGTTGTAAGACAAGGTAAGATTTAAGTGTTTAAGATTGTTTGGAAAGAAAGTTTAAGCCTTTAAGGTAAGAGAAGGTCTTCTTTCATGTCTATTTAATAGGCTGAGAACTCCCAGAATTTTTTTTTTTCTTTTTGGTGCTATAAAATTTTAATTTATCATTTTATCTATTTTACTTTTTAAGAACCCAGATTATTTTTATATTTCTTCTATTTTTTTTTTCCTTTCTATTTTTTTCTTCAAGTAGAACAAATTTTAATATTCATAAATTAATATTTCATTAAAAAAAAAATCTAATCAATCTAAATATTTTAACAAATAATTTTCATAGTAAGGGTATTGTTGTAATCTCCACAGTTAACTTTGCATTTCCAACCCAAACAACATAAGTTATAGCTCAACTCACCTGAGCTTTCGCTTGCTTTAACGAGAAGTTAAAACCGCTGCATAATGAACAACACAAGTTGATAAACACACCGACCAGATTTGTAGAAACTAAAAATGATCGATCCAAATGGTAACAATAGAGAAACAACATTGATGAATAAAACAAATGCATACCAGAGATTGCTTGCGTGCCAGAAAGACTATCAGAAAAATCCAATAAATGTACTATTTTTTCTACTTAAAGGGAAACCTAGGGTTTCAGAAAAATACAGATGAAGCTGAATTACCAGAAACGGAATTAAAGGTGAAAAGTGATACCGCATTTACATAACTGAGAAAAGACTTGCCTGCAAATGAGAAGATAGAAGGAAGGAACTGAGAAAGGAGCAAAAATATTAGTAAACAAGTTTTAACGAACCAAACAGATCCTTAGTGAATCGAGAGACCAAAGCAATCGAACCAGAGCTTTTAGAGAAAGAAAAGGGAAGATTTCAGTCCAGCGTAATGTCGCCTCTCGCATGAAGCAAGTTGTTTTTGTTGTTCTTTATATGTCATTGTCAGCCGCAGCAGGTGTCGAATATCTTAGACTCCACGCGCTTTAATTGCGAGACGAGATAAATTCTTCACGCGTCGATTAAGGTGGTTCGTAAAACAGCAGCCGTCGTCTATTAATTTCTAGCTATAATACATTTCGATCCTGAAATTATATTTTAATTAATATTTTCACTTACTTATTGTTTAAAAAATTCAGCACTTTACCGTTAATTAAATATAAATTTGACGGAATAATACTATATTTTAGATTAAAGTGTTATTTTTCTAATGAAGAAATCCACAGTGAATTAAACAAATATTAAAACGTCATAATAATTTCTCGACGAACGAGAAATAATTTTTTAATAATAGAGAAATTAAAGTGTTAATTATAATATTATTTAAGGATCAAATTGTATTTTCAGGCTATTATATCACTTATAGATGCATAAATCAACAAAATTATATTTATAATTTTCTCATCTTACCATTTGCTGATTTTCTTTATTTTTTTATCGTTTCTAGAAATTATTTTAACTAAAGTTATTTGTCATTTGAAAAGATTAAAAGTATGAATTGATTTTTTCAATTTTTAGCTTTATATTCAGTAATAACTATATTCTATAATTTCTTAAATTTCACCTTATCCTTTCTCTCTTTTAATTTCAATTTCAATTGTAAATTAATATACAAAGATTATTGAGATTGAAATAATTATGTAAGATAAATAGTAATTTAATTAAATTATAAATATTTTACAACAATATTTAGATGATTTAATTATTTTTTTTAATTTTCATGCAAAACTCTTAGGGATTCATTTAGATGGAGGGTATTTGAAGGGTTTTATGGTAAGGTAAAGAAGGGTAACATTTCTAAGTAGTTTGAAAAGGATAATGAGAAAGGGGAAGGTTTTAAAAGAACAATTTGAGTGTTTAATAATCTCATAAAACTCTCATCTCAACCCTCCAAATTAAGGGATTAAAAACTCTCATCTCAACCCTCCAAATTAGGGATTAGAGAGGTTTTAATTTATAATATATATATATATATATATTTATATATATATATTATATATATAATATATATATATAATTATATATATATATATACATTTGGTTTATGCACCATTGTGTCTTAGTACATTAGCTAAACCTAATCTTATTTACAACCGGCATCAAGCTTATATCGCATACTATAGCAACAAATTAATCATCGACTGTATAGAATAGTCATCTTTGCGTTGCAATGGATACTAGCACATGTGTCCTTAGTACATTAAGCTATATATATATATATACATTTGATTTATAGCACATGTGTCCTAAGTACATTAAGCTAAACCTAATCTTACTTCCGCCGCATCAAGCTTATATCGCATATAGCAACAAATTAATAGTCGACGTATAGAATAGTCATCTCGTTAAATGGATAACAGGAGTTATATACATATATATATATATATATATATTTGATTATAGCACATGTGTCCTTAGTACATTAAGCTATATATATATATATACATTTGATTTATAGCACATGTGTCCTAAGTACATTAAGCTAAACCTAATCTTACTTCCGCCGCATCAAGCTTATATCGCATATAGCTATATCTGCATAATAGCCAACCAAATTAACAGTCGACGTTAGAATAGTCCCCCATCTTGTTAAATGGATACAGGAGTATTATATATATATATATTATATATATTATATATATATATATATATAGACATTTGATTATAGCACAATGTTGTCCTTTAGTTCACATTAAGCTAAACCTAATCTTAACTTACGCCGCATCAAGCTTATATCGCATATAGCAAAAATTAAATAGTCGACGTATAGAATAGTCTATATACATTTGATTATAGCACATGTGTCCTTAGTACATTAAGCTAAACCTAATCTTACTTACGCCGCATCAAGCTTATATCGCATATAGCAACAAATTAATAGTCGACGTATAGAATAGTCGTTGCATGGATAACAGGAGTGTTATGAAACCACATATCTCTTTCATCGGTACACGAAGCTACCTTATTTAGAAGGAGAGCAAATTTTCCACTTCTCTTCAAGGAGAAAGGTTATATCTAATAAATTTTCTAACTTAAGTTGAAGTTTCGTAATGTAGCGATCATTGAGTAAGACATTAATTAGTCTTTTTTATGTAGGTTTAACGCCCGGTTTATCAAAACAAATACTCTTTCCGTTTCATCTTAATAGCAACAAATCAATATTTTATTTTGTTTCACTTTAAATACTCATTTAGGATTTTGATAATATAATTTTTTTTTTCATTTCACTCATATTTATTAGGTGTAATTTTATTTTTATTTTTTACATTTATTTTTCTCTTTTTTTATCATTACTTTAATTGTATTTAAATTAAAATTTTGACTACACACACGACTAAAAGTGTTTTATTATATCAAGGCATAAAAAAAATAAGATGGAAGTACTGCTCTAATGCTGATGCTTTAATATGAGATAAAATTAGCATTAATTTTGTAGTAAAATTAAATAGAGAATTTTTAATTTTAAGAAGGACAATTTAGACATTCTACTATGCATTTTTAGAAAATCAACGTGTTTCAATCATTTTCTTAATTATTAAAATTCCAACAAAATATCAAATTTAGACGATCTCTTTGAGCCCGAATCTAATTTGGGGCTGCAATAGACCTGATTTAATCCGAACTGAGCTAAGACCATAATATACATTAAAGCCTATGAATACCTCGCGGTTTTAGTCGGTTTTACTCAAGATATGCTCGTATCTATTGTCACATAGATTAAGAAAAAAAAAAAAACTCCATTTGTTTCTACTATACACAATATTTTACCTTTTTTTTTCCTTAATGCATAAATTTGACCATATATTTTCATTGGTTATCTTTGTGGCCCTTAAACTTTGCAGAGAACCCATCATGACCCTGTACTTTCACATTTCAATAATAATTATGCACCTTGCTAAAATAAAATAAGAAAGTGTAGTGTCATGATTACACCCTGCAAAGATATTTCAGTTTGGTGAGGAACATAGTTATTATTGAACTGCGAAAGTGTAAAGTTATATTTGAACCCTCGTAAAGTTGAAAGGGTTACAAGAATAATCAGCTAAAGTTCAGGGTTAAATTTATGCATAACTTTTTTTTTCTCTCTATCTGTTAGTTTTAGTGACAAATTCATGCATAAAAATTTATTGAGATTTAAGTAATTAAGTGAGATAAATAGTGACTTAATCAATTAAAAAGTATTTTATTATAATTTGAGGGATTTAATTTTTCCTTAATTACTATAAAAAATCTTAAATGACAAATAAAAATGAATGAAGGCAGTCATTAATATTGTTGGCATAATAAATTATATCTATAATTTTTGTTATAGAATCAAATGGAAAAGTATGTCTAGTTATTAACAAGTTTCCTGTTTAATTATTTATTATAAATTACTTTTTAAATTTTATTGGAATAATTGCGAGACACATAAATACAATTCATCAAAATTCAAATATTAATTGTTTATATTTTACAATAATTTATTGTCTTCATTACAATTAAAGCTGAACTAATTACCATATATTTTTAAGATTATGAATTCATTGTGAAAGTATATAATTGGAATGATGTTTTGTAGTCTTTATCCTAATCACATGAATAATGGCAATAACAACCAAATCATATGCTCATTAATCATTAAGAGTATTACTAATTTTTTATTGTTACCTTCTTTTTAAGAGTAAAGTAATGTCAAGTCATTTTTTTTATTCATGATAAGTCCTAATGGATCCCGGAATAATATTATAGACAGTACAACAAGTGTAGCATGGTTGTATCTTTCAGTAGTAGATTGAACTCAAATTCAAAACAATTTACTCTCCGCTCTTCTACAATATTCGCATAGTATGTTTTTTTTTTTTTGAACTTAATAATGAATATAAGTTAAGTACATCGCAATATTTCTATAGGGATAAGAAATGAAAATATAGAAAATTATATTCCTATAAGAATAAAAAACAAAAATATAAAAAATTGAAATCTTCTGTTTGGAGATGTTGTTGATCTCGCATAAGAGATTAATCTTCCGAGTAAAAACTGGCTCATTTTCAAATAGGATGATCAAAAAAACCTTCCACAATATTGTTCTGAAAACTTATTACAACAGACACTCACAAAAGTTGAATATAACAAACTTTAATGGAGGAACACACTGCACTTCCAAGCTCCACTCCATTGGTAAAAAAAATTTATCCGAACTTGAAAATCTAAAGTCTACAACTACAAGTAAGCAACAATCTATCTTGTATTTCAAACTGCTAGAGAAATAAAAGATCCATGACTTAATAATGAGGAACAACTCTATGAAATTAATAACCCTAATAAGAGGGAACCAAAAACACTTAGATCTATAAACTACTACAAATTTGAGAAACTAAATTCAAATTTTGTTTCAAACGATTAAAGTTTGAAAATTATTAAAAAGAAAACTAAATAAAATAAAGAAAAAAATAGTGAGGATCGAAACGGTGGTTTCGAAATAAAATCTAGAAGACAAAAAGAAGAGAGAGTCACAGATAGAAGGCTAGGATTTCTATATACAGGTTTTTGGTATAAATATTTTACCACAAAATCGGCATAGTATTAATAATTTACTTTAACGGTAATGATTCCTAACTCATGGTGATCCTGTATTATAGCATCTAAATTATTTTATGTGAAATATTGGTTTTGCCATCGCTCAAAATTGATAGATTTTTTTATGGAGAAGAGAGAATTACGATTTGAATTTCAAATCTGCCTTTTTCACCATTTAATAACCCTACACAAAGCATTAATAAGGTGGATTATTAATGCAATCTAGGACATTGCATTTTTTTTTTCCTCATCAATTAATCAAATCTCATTTCACACTTTCATTCTCTATATAAATTCCTGTATATATTATTCCTATTATCACACTTTTGGTTATGTTTGTCAATTTAAGTGCCATTATTGAGGATCACCACGAGCAAACAGCAGTCTTATTTTAACGGTTGAAAACGTATAAAATAAGAGACACGAAAGCTTATTTTTCAATTAATGATAATAATCTTGGAAACAAACAAAAGCTATGACACAATTATGATAAATATAAAATGCGAGAGCCTCTTTAATTATTCAACCAATGGAAGGCAAGAAGCAGCTGCAAAAGTAAAACTCGTCTTCTTCTTGTTTCTTCTTTCCATTAAAACGGCAAATCTCGATTTTAGAAGCCCGATGCGGCAATTCATCTTTGAGTTTAGAGGTCACTTCCTCTTTCTATTTTACTTCTGTTCTAAATATTTCTGATTTTACGGTTTCTTTGATTGCTTTGTTATGTCTTTTTCTAGTTTATGAAGCACTGGAAACTGGAAAACAGTCAAAACTATGAATACATTCTTTCAGCATTACAATTCGTTAAGGAGTTGAATATTCTCTATTGGGTCGGTTGGTCTAGGTTACTAGTACTTGATTCTCTGCAACTATTTGTATTTGGTTTATTATGGCTTTTAAAATTTATTTTAGTTGTTAAATCGTGATACACAATTGGATATGCATGGTTCTTTAGAAAATTCAGGTGGGTAAACTAAATTTTAGCGGAAATGTTTTGGGATTTCTGTGTCAAGTAGTTTTATATAGTATTTCTTTATTGACAATTCAAAACACCTTAAAGATATATTTTTAGCTGGAAGAAACTATTTGTGGTAATAGTAAAGTTTTTGGATCAATATCTACTTTAATTTTGTTATATTGTAAATAAAAGTTGGCTTGGTTAAACTTAAACCTGAGCATGAAGGGTTTTTTATTTTTTATTTTTTTGGATTGCACAGGATTCAATTGTAATTATAGAAAATTGGGAACTGTATTAGTGTTCGAAACAGGGAGAATATGGGATCTGAAGGGTTAAATAGTGTAGTGATCCATGTTACTGGATTTAAGAAGTTTCAAGGAGTACCTGAGAATCCCACAGAGATAATAGTTAACAATTTGAAGGGTTTTGTTGAAAAGAGAGGTTTGCCTGCTGGGGTTACTCTTGGAAGTTGCACTGTTCTTGAGACTGCTGGAGATGGTGCTCGTCCCTTGCTTTACAAAGTCTTGGAATCAGGCACCGCAGCTACAAATGCTGGCAACAATGAACAAGTTGTATGGGTCAGTTTCAAAATTATGCAGCTTTGTGTCTACGTGTTGCATATAATTTTTGTAATTTGGTCGGTTTTCTTAGTGCATGCATATTCTTCCTAGTACTGAGATGCTTTTGGATTCCCAATTGCTGCATGAATTGTGTCATTCAACATGACTATTTAAACGAAATACTTAGCAGATAAGTTGGTACAGATAAGTTGGTAGAGAGAAAAGTTGGGGTTTTTTGACGCATAACTTGGGATTTTAGTGGTTGTAATGAAATACAACATCACAACTTTTAAGCTGAGCAATCAAAACTATTTCATGCCTTTTTTTTCATGTTACTCTTCTGTAAAATAAAGACTTTTCCTTGCTGCATTTGTATGATATTTAAACAATTATTTATTAACTATTCATCAGCTTTGCATACCCTTACTGATCATATCCTTGGTGATCGATTTAAAGTACTTCATCTTTGTTGCTTCTGCAGCTTCACTTAGGGGTGAATAATGGGGCATTGAGATTTGCCATCGAGCGACTGGCAGTTAATGAGGCCACCTTCCGTTGTCCAGATGAGCTAGGATGGCAACCTCAGGTGAATCTGCTGGCCCATTTTAAGAGATCGTTCCTTTTATTTTTATACTGCAGGGCCAGATTTTCTCTCCTGTTCATTTGATCTAGAAGGGGGAAGTTAAAAGCTTTTTTAAATGGTGACTTAATTTTAGCACCCCGTACCATAAAATTTTACATTATACAGATCACATTGCCTTCATTCTTTTTTGGGTTCTCATTTTTGTTTTGCCTTTCCAGCAACATCCGATACTCTCTGGGGATGGAGGAATTTCCTGCACAAGGGAGGTAATTTAATTTACATTTGAAAATTATTGTTGGATGATGCGTAGCTAGCCTACTGATAATGCTTGCAGTCATGCATAAATTGAGGAACTTAAGTGATTTAAATATGCTTGAAAATTAAGGTTCATCTAGAATTATTTACTGCAATCAGTTTATGTGTTAATTTTGCTCTACATATGTGTCTTGACTTTTCATTGTATTTGTTTGTGAAGACTTGTTGCTCGGTTGATGCAATATTAATTCTCTTGAAGAGGAAAGGCTTTGATGTGGCAATATCAGATGATGCTGGCCGCTTTGTATGCAACTATGTCTATTATCACTCTCTTCGGTTTGCAGAAAGGAAAGGTCACAAATCTCTTTTTGTTCACGTTCCTCCCTTTTCAAGAATTGATGAAGAAACTCAAATGCAATTTGCAGCCTCACTTTTAGAGGCTATTGCCATAACGTGTTAATATATATTGATATCTATCTTTAATTTTTTCTGTATCCATGGTCCACGGTGCTTGTACATGTTCATCAACTGGATTGCTATCTTGAATAAAAAGAACAAAAGAAACGAAACACGAATTGTACTTTAGAACTCCTGTGTGCCCTTTATATTTAAGGTGAAAATCCATTGTATGTGGATCTAGTCAATCTGTTTGTGCTGATGGATAATGAGGTCGATGGTTGTTATCAGTTTCACATCTTATCATTTTAGCCTTGTTGGATGCTTCTTCTTCTTCTTCTTCTTCTTCTTCTTCTTCTTCTCTCTCTCTCCCTTTTTTTTTAGTAGTTAGAATGGGTGAAATGTCAAAATGGCCTCAAGGTGGGATAAACATAGAGTTTCCTTGAAGCATGAGACTCCCTTTTGAGGCATGAGTTTTGTCTTTCATTTGTTTGAAGGATAAGCTTGTCATTAATAAGTTTTAAATTTTTTTGTTAAAAAAAAAAAAAATTATATATATGTTCATATGACCAGAAAATAACTTGTGTTATTTATTCTCTATTTTAGTTACCTCTGTCAACTTTTTTACATTTTGGGTTTGTAATATTGGGAGTTGTAATAGTTTACTATAAATCAAACTAAAATTCTTTTTAAAAAATTAAAAAAATTCATAAAAAAAAGACTAACCGTGCTTCAAATTAAAATATTTAAATTATACACAATTCAATCAGTATTGTCATAATATAAAAGTGGTTTAATCTGGTTGTTCTTTATTCTCAAAGTACGACGTCACTTGAATACGCGACCTGAATAAAACGACATACCAGCCTGTTCCCTATTGTGGTTTGGCAAATTCAAATACGATATGCGCTGCGAACGACCGGGACCTCAATAAAATGTGAACGGAACGACAGAATCAAACCATGAATAAGCCTGATGATTCTGTCGTTGGTATCCCTCAATGCTTTCCTCGTTAGAGCTGTTCCGAAAAGCTGTCTGTTCGAAAATACCCAGCCTTTGACGTTTGCAACTCAGAGTTGTAGGTGGTGGTGGCGGAGGTGCGACAGGGATGTGCAAATGGTAGCTGATGTGCTTAATTTAAGAAATGGGAATTTTGAAATAAATTTAGGGTTTTTGATTGGAAAATTTCTAATTTTGACATCGCCGATGTGCGAGCGGTGGCTTTATTGTAGTTCTCATCTCTCCACTATCTAAGAACGCTTCTTTATCTTTCACATCCACTCTCTCTCACTGTGAGTTTTCTCTTTTCACCTTAATTGAATTAATTTCGGTTTCCTCACTATTAGACAATGGGTTAGCATCTTGAACTAAAAGGCAAAACGATTTTTGTTACTTGAATTTCCCCAAAATACAGATGTTTTTTTTTTTTTTTTTTTAATTTTTCTTCCTCTATCACTGTGATGTTTGTTTCTCTTTTCACCTTAATGAATTAAATTTCGGTTTCCTGCACTATTAGACAATGGGTTGAGCACTTGAACAAAAGGCCAAAAACGATTTTGTTACTTGAATTTCCCCAAAATACAGATGATTTTTTTTCTTTTTTTTTTTTAATTTGCTATTGGTTAAAAAAAAATTATTTTGAAAAATTCTTAAATTTTTCTTTTGCGAATTTTTTTTTTTTTTTTTTTAATTTTGCTATTGGTTAAAAAAAAATTATTTTGAAAATTCTTAAAATTTTTCTTTTGCGAAACTCTGGAGTATAAGAGGAGAAATGCGGCTATTAAAGAAAAAATGAAGATTGGTTTATTAAGATCATAAGTTTGTTTTTTCCCCATAGATAAATGTTCTAATCATTATGCTGGGAAATGGAATTTGTTTTGATTCTCAAAGGACAAATTGTAATTAACCCCTTTTCTTACACAAGTATTTTGCAGGTTCTACATTCAGCTAATGGAGAGCAAAGATGAAAGTTGCTGTCCCATTTCTACAAATATCATAATTAGCCTTGTTTTTATTGCAATGGTTCGAATTTTCTATGTCATTTATCGAAGTGGCAAACCGTTGCGCCCTAAATCCCCAAAGCCAATGAGTACTTTGATTGTTTTGGGCTCCGGTGAGTTCACGAGATAAAATCATATTTCTCATGGATTTGTAATTAATTTGCTGATTTTTGTAGCTATAATTCTTATGAATTTGGAGTGGTATGGTATTTTTGTTGTTGTTGTAGGGGGACACACTGCGGAGATGATTAATGTGCTGTCTGTGTTGCAGAAGGATTGGTTTACACCTAGATTTTATATTGCTGCTGCCACTGATAATATGAGTCTCCAAAAAGCTCGGGTCTTGGAGGACTCATTAATTGATACGGTAGATAAATTGTTAAGCTTTATTTAACCTTTTTTTTTTTTTTCTTTGCAAAACCTTTGGTTGTTGTTTGTTTTTGTAATGTCGCCGTTGACAAAAAGGAGATTGATTTTTCTTTTGAAATGAAGAATTTTCGCTGTGGAATGGTCTCAACTGTTTCTTTCTGTGATTCCATTGCCATTGTGCAGATTTTCCAATTGTCATTGAGAGTCAAATTGATGTTACATTTTTGTTGTTATTTCTAGCTTATTCAATTTTGAATGGATTTATACTGCAGACTGGGGACAAGGTGGTCTCTGCAAAGTTTATGCAGATCTACAGAAGCCGGGAAGTTGGTCAGTCGTATATAACTTCCATCGGGACAACTTTAATAGCTGTAGCTCATGCTCTGTGTCTAATGATTAAAATCAGACCTCAAGTGGTATAATTACAATGTCTTCGTTTACTTCTCAGTTTGTCTTAAATTTATTCTTGTTAACTGAGAAAATTCTTAGTTCCGCTTGTGCTAACCGTTTTTCTTTTAAAAATTTTAGATTCTTTGCAATGGCCCTGGAACTTGCGTGCCTCTTTGCATCATTGCATTTTTATTCAAGGTTAAATATCTTTTATTTCAGCCCTGCTCTTATTCTTTACACTTTGCAATGTGTTTCTTTAAGATGGAGCTAGTTTCAATCATTTAGCAATTCTGCTTTGTCTACAGGTGGTAGGAATTAGGTGGTCATCTATTTTTTATGTTGAGAGTATAGCAAGAGTAAAAAGATTATCTTTAAGTGGTTTGCTTCTCTACAAGTTGCGGATAGCTGATCAATTTGTCGTGCAATGGCCTCAACTACAGCGAAAATATCCTCGAGCTCAGCATGTTGGTCGTCTCATGTAGTCCACCTCCGCGTTTTCTCAATTTAATTTACAATTTTCAAGTCATAGTTTTGAATGGTTTCTATTCATGTTCCCAAACTCCAGTCACGCATGATAAGCCCAATCATTTTATCCACTGTTAATGCCCAGGAGATAGAGAAAGGGAGAATAATTGCCATAAAGTTATGATTATTGCATAAATTTGTTGTTTAAACACTTAACAGATGGATTGAATTTTAACTCCCATCAATGTAAATTTATATGAATGGTTATTTTCGTTTCTCTAAATTGATGTTGGCAGAAAAAGAATATGGTGACAGAATTCAGAATCATAAATGTATATTATAGAGATCAATTGCCTCGATAGCGAAGTTTGTTACGTTCATTGTCTAATGTCTATTGCTGTGTTTTAAGCCACTGTATTATCTCTGGAATATTCCAAAAAAAGTCAAATCCCAATTGGTTCTGTCTAGTCCTTGTCCCAGCTGAGCAAAAATCTGCAACTGAACGGAAATTTGAAATTAGGGTTTAAGTTTCCAACAGTTCTTCTGCTAGAGGTTCATGACCCATGCAAAGCACCAAATTACTGCCTCTTGTCCGTACAATAAAAACGTTAACACCAAAATACCTGCCCATATCGTCATGGTCGAGCAGTGCACTGCTGTTGGATTCCTACTGTGAACCCAATCCTCGTGACTACATTTACAGCAAAAACAGGGTTGTTGATAACTTGATCAAATCTGGGCGCTTAGATGCGGCTCACAAGCTATTCGATCAAATGCTTATGCGTGACGTTGTTACGTGTAACTTGATGATTTTTGGGTATGGTAAATATGGAAACCCTAAACAGGCACTTTATCTTTACAGTGAAATGGTTTCAGAAAGAATTGTTGAAAGCGCATCCACATTTTCTTCTGTTTTGAGTATCTGTAGTAATTCTGGGTTTTTCAGGGAAGGAATTCAAGTTCATTGCAGAGCTATTAAACTGGGGTTTGGTTTCAATTTGTATATTGGTAGTTCACTTGTTGGTCTCTATATGCGTTTGGGACTTATTGATTTAGCTTTGAAGTTGTTTGATGAATTGCCTGAGAGAAATTTAGCCACGTGGAATTTGGTTTTGCGTGGATTTTGCGAATTAGGTCTGTTTGATGAGTTATTAGGATTATACAATGAAATAAAATTGGATAATGTGGAGCTTAATGGGCTCAGTTTTTGTTATTTGATCCGCGGATGTTCTAACAAGAGGTTTTTCGATGAAGGGAGTCAGCTGCATGGTCATGTGATTAAGGTTGGATGGGTAGACACAAATATTTTTGTTGCTAATGCTTTGGTAGATTTTTATTCTGCATGTGGGTGTTTAAGTGAGGCAAAGAAATCTTTTCAAGCTATTCCAATGGAGGATGTTCTATCATGGAACTCAATGTTGTCAGTATATGCAGATAATGGCTTATTTCTTGATGCTCTTGAATTATTGTACATTATGCAGTTTTGGGGCAAGAAACCGTCAATTCGTTCATTTGTAGGGTTCTTAAATCTGTCTAGTAAGACTGGCAATGCGCTATTTGGAATGCAAATTCACTGTTGTGTAATAAAAATGGGTTTTGACAATGGGAGTGTTCATGTACAATCTGCATTGATTGACATGTATGGGAAATGCGGGGACATTAAGAATGCAGTATCCACGTATGAAAGTCTTCCCATGACATCGTTGGAGTGTTGTAATTCCTTAATGACCTCTTTGTTGCACTGTGGCATTGTTGATGATGTGTTTGAGATGTTTGGTTTGATGGTTGACGAAGGAATTGGACTTGACGAGGTAACATTTTCCACCGTATTGAAAGCATTATCAGAGTCAGTTTTGGTAAGCTTGGAAAGCTGCGGATTGGTGCATTGTTGTGCCATAAAACTAGGTTATGAATCTGATGTTTCTGTTTCATGTTCATTAATAGATGCATATTTGAGGTCTGGTCATGTTCTACTTTCGCAAAAGGTTTTTGAACAAATTCCTTTACCAAATGTCTTCTGTTTCACATCAATCATCAATGGGTTTGCCTGGAATGGATTGGGAAAACAATGTCTCGAAATGCTTGAAGCCATGATCCGGAAGGGTTTGAAACCTGATAGGGTTACTTTCTTGTGTGTGTTAACCGGGTGCAGCCATTCTGGTTTGGTTGAAGAAGGAAGATTGGTTTTCAATTCAATGGAATCTCTACATGGGATTTCTCCGGACAGGGATCATTTTTCATGTATGGTAGATCTGCTGGGCCGAGCAGGTCTGCTGGATGAAGCTGAAGAATTGCTAGAACAAACACCGGGAAGGGGTGATTGTGTGATGTGGAGTTCATTGTTGCGAAGTTGTAGGGTCCACAGGAATGAAACTGTGGGAAGAAGAGCGGCAAAAATACTGCTGGGACTTGATCCAGAAGATTTTGCAGTTCATTTGCAAGTCTCAAACTTTTATTCTGAGACTGGGGAATTTGAAGCCTCAATGCAGATTAAAGAGATTGCTATAGCAAGGAAGATGACGAAAGAGATTGGTCACAGTTTAATTGGTTTGAATAGCTGCTATTAAGAATCAGAATTCTGCAGGTCAAACCAACCATCAGAGATGGATACTCAGTAATTTCCACTTTGTTTGCATGAGGTGAACCCTTATTGTGAAGTCCACATCTTCTTCATAGATCAGTTATGGAAAGTTTTCTTTTGCTTTAAGCATATATAGTGTGCATGTAGTGGACAGACAAGATATGCCTTTTGTGTCGGCCTGTTAGGTCTAATAAAGAAATTGACCACTTTATATTTCTTAGGATTTTGTGCTATTTCTTTGCAACATATTGTACATACACGTGATAATAAATTCTAAAATTTAGAGAAATTAGATTTCCTGGAAAGCATTTTCTCTTGCAGAAAATATTTTATCCTTTTCTCTTGGTGAGTGAACATGAGGCTTTCTTTTTTCCTCGTTGAATGGTTAACTTCTGTGTAACTGGTTGAAGAGTAAAGCAAACAACATAAAAAAAAAAAAAATTTCCCTTGTACTTTAAGTGTGGGCATGTAGAAAATGTTGTTCCTTCATACACTTTTAAGCCAAGCCATATACTCCACAAAACCCTTCATTTCCAAATCTAATCTGCAGATATAAATTGTAACCCAATCTTTGTGTGTGTTTATGCAAAATCAGTAGCAGACAAACAAAATCATGGATAAAGTACTGATCATTTCCTTCCTTGGTATGCTGACCGTGATTCATGGGGTTGCAGGAAACATGGTGTATGACAACATAGGCTTGCTTGAGGAACTCAAAAGCTTTGAAATAGATGAAAAAGATGATGTGCAACTATTTGATACCCCTTCATGGACAAGTGAACGTGGTGGCAAGGTTCTTGTGAATGTCGATAGCTTTGGTGCAGTTGGAGATGGAGTTTCAGATGACACTAAGGTGCATATTTGAATCCTTGAAAGTGACTCATAATGTTTTTAGTGTTTCACATTTTGTTGATAAGCTTTATTTATTGAGTCTGCATTTGAATGTCACAACTCATAAGTCCTATAATAGCCTGTCAACATTGTACCATTAGCATGACACCTTACTGCTAGATTTTTTTACTAAATTTATCACCTGTAAAACTAGACTTGATACTCACGCAGAAATTTCATGTATCTTCCAAAATTTAACTTCTAATGAAAATATCGTGACATTCTAAAGGATGAAGTACGACTATATCTCTTGTGTTTAAGTTTTCTATTATGTTGTTGCAGGCCTTTGTTGAAGCTTGGAAGACTGCCTGTAGTACTACAAAATCAGTTTTTTTGGTTCCTCCAGGACGTCGCTATTTAGTTAATGCAACAAGATTTAGTGGTCCTTGTGCGGATAGGTTGGTTATCCAGGTATTATAAATCATTCTAACTGTTATTATTTGTGTAGATTCTTCATTGGTTGGTCTTATTATCTGTATTATTAGCAGCATTTCTATATCTATGTTTCTTTTCATTACGCCTATACAGATAGATGGAACAATAGTGGCACCTGATGAGCCTAACAACTGGGATCCAAAATTTCCACGACAATGGCTTGATTTTACTAAACTGCAAGCAGTGATTTTCCAAGGGAATGGAGTTATTGATGGCTCAGGCAGCAAATGGTGGGCATCATCTTGCAAAAAGAACAAATCAAATGTAATTTATCTAAATTACTCTTTTGCTTATACGTGCTCAAGTGCTTCAAATCAACAAAAGAAATAACTCATGTTTTTCTTTCTTTATTCTTCACAGCCTTGCAGAGGAGCACCAACAGTAAGGATCTTTTTCTTTGAATTTTTTGACCACTTCTCTGATAACATACATGCAAAGCATCTAGGACTAAAACTTCTAAATGTGCACCATTTGAGATTTAACTGATGAGATTTTTGCAGGCATTAACTATTGATTCAAGCTCATCTGTGAAGGTAAGAGGCCTTACCATCCAAAATAGCCAACAAATGAATTTTGTGATTTCCCGGTCTGCATCTGTACGAGTATCCCAAGTATTAGTCTCGGCTCCTGAAGACAGTCCTAACACTGATGGAATTCATATTACTGGCTCAACTAATGTTGTTCTTCAAGACTGCAAAATTGGAACAGGTACTTGGACCTCTTTCTGTCCTCATTCGATTTTCATTTACTGTTGTACAAGACATAAGCACTAAATTGGATATCCAACTAAATTTTTTTACATTTATAAGCATTTGTTTTCAAAATAGAAGATAGAGCTTAAGACATGGAAGAAAAAACACACAAAAGACACTAGTATTAGAAGTACATACAGAATCGCTGCATCTACGAATTTCTGTATGAAAAAGATTTGCGCTATTGCATGGGTGCTGATATTATGAGTAAATGACATGTGATATTCAGGTGATGACTGCATATCAATTGTCAATGGTAGCTCTGCTATCAAGATGAAGAATATTTATTGTGGACCAGGACATGGAGTCAGGTATACTAATACGATTTGTGACTCATTGAAGTCAATTTGATCATTCTTCTATCCCATGGAATAGAGAATAAAAAGAACTGAAATTCTTACTTTCCCTATTGACATTTTTTTTATTGCACAAAATTCTGTACTCAGTATTGGAAGTCTTGGGAAGGACAACTCCACTGGCATAGTCACAAAAGTAGTCTTGGATACTGCATTCCTCAAGGAGACAACCAATGGTCTCAGAATTAAGACTTGGCAGGTAATAAAACTATGAAATTTGATTTACAATTGGAAGTCATTAATTGTTTCAAACACTCACATATTAAAAAGCAAAGCAGGATATAGGATATGCTTACATTGATATTGTTATTCTGCTGCAGGGAGGCAATGGCTATGTTCGTGGGATACGTTTTGAAAATGTAAGGATGGATGATGTTGCAAATCCTATCATTATTGATCAATTCTACTGTGATTCTCCAAAAACCTGCCAAAACCAGGTAGTTTAATCTAATTTCTCATTTCATATTGCAATGTCCAAAATTTTACAATTTAATGTGGATTTTTAAAATCCTTATAATTGAGTATTATTATGATTTCAGACATCAGCAGTGAAAATAAGTGAGATCATGTACCGGAATGTTACTGGCACAACGAAGAGCGCAGAGGCCATGAAATTTGCCTGTAGTGACACAGTTCCTTGTAGTAACATAGTCCTGAGTAACATAAACCTAGAGAAGAAAGATGGCACAGCGGAGACTTACTGCAACTCTGCGCAAGGCTTTGGGTATGGTATTGTTCATCCTGCAGCAGACTGCCTGAGTTCTCACGATAAAGACTTTAGCATGGTCGATCAGACAGAAATTGCTCAAGATTATGTTACTGATGAGACCGAAATCGCAGAGCTTGCAGAATCTAGCAGTGAGGCTATTGTTCACACTGAGCTCTGACTCTGCTTCCTGAAGAAATCAAAATGACCATATTATAGCAATTAATATAGCAATATACTAAAATGGGAAATTGGAATGTAGTTTACTAGTAGAGATTTCTTGGAGAGGAGGATTGAGGTGTCCAAGTTAAATTTTATGGGAATGTATAGGAAGATATATGTAGCTATACAAACAAACTGCACTGAATCTAATAATTCCTTGGGTGCAGTTAAAATATAAAGTTTATACTATTTTGTTTACTAAATTGTTTTTGTTCTTCCTCTGTTGTACGTAGCTCTGCGGGTGTTACAATGTCTATTCATGTTCTCTTGGGCCAGAAAGTTTGGATGTGGACCCAAATTTTTTTTCATAATAAACTACAAATTAAGCCCAACCACCAAACCACTTGAAATGGTCATTCTCTGATCCATTTTTTGACTTTTGGTTATTGGAGATAATTCTTGTAGCAATTTTTGTTAGAGTCGAGAATTTGTTCAATCAAATTGAATTAGCTTGATTTTAGTTTATTTAACTCCGAAATCAAATAGTTTAACAACCGATTTAAAATTGAATTAAATTAATTTGGTTTGAATTCGGTTATTTCGAACCAAATTAATAATTATGGGCTTCAATTAAATTTAGTTAGTTATATATGATAACCAAATTAAAAATTAAGAACCAAACAATTATATAGATAAAACGGTCAGTAACCGAATTTTTAAAAACAACTATCTAAAACTAACCGAACTAAGTCTGTTTCATTTGGTTATTGGTTAAAAATTGAGAATTAGTCGCCCCTACTTTTATCTTTGGTGTTTGGTAGAGAACAGAGACGGCAATAAATGGCTAAACCTAAGTGATTTTCAACATGAATAGAGACAAATAGAAACACGACTGGTAGTAAGACAACTAAGGACCATTTCTATATTAAATCCATTATTAAATGCATTAATTTTATTGTCAGCCAAACAGAATTGAACAGTTGTAAATCTCAAAGTGAAAACAATTTAAGAGAGAAGAAAAGAAAAAGATATCTAAAAAAATAATAATGTTTCCAATCATATATAGTCTTTTGCTGTTTTCTATCATAATTTTCTGTTTGAGAAAATTGAATTGGAAAGATTGAGAGAGACAAAATCGAAAATTCCAAACAGGAATACAAAGAAGGCAGCACAGTTTCTCAGTTTGTGAAAAGTAGTAGTTATGTGATGTCTTTAGTTTCAATGCTATGGTCAAAAACAACATAACCAATTCCAAAGAAGATTGATTATATTTGACAATGTGCATTCTCTACAAGCTGCCACCTAATAGCTAATTAGAAAAAATGTGCATCTTTTGTTTTTTCATTTACTTATATATATAAAGAGAAAAACAAAGGAAGAAAACTACAAAAGCCAAATCGATTGATAATAAGACATGATTAGGACATTTTTATTAGGTTATATAAGCAATTTAGCAAGATGGATTTTCATATAATTATGCAATTTTTAACATATTAATATTTTTTTTTTTTTTTTACATAACTTATGCCAATTTTAACATATTAATATTTTTTTTTTTTTTACCAATAATGTCTTTAGTTTAATGCTACTTGAGTACGGTCCCATTTTCTGGTAATCGACAAAAGACAGGTGGCCAATTATATTCAATTGCAACTGAATTCAACTTGCAAATAAGAACTTCAACATGTGTATACACAGTGCACTACTTATAGTACATTATTCTACCTCTATATATATATACTACTATCATCTTAATACACTATAACAACTAAAAATTGGCAATTGCACTGCACTCAATCCGTGAGTGTCCAAGAATAGCTAACCACTGACTTGACAATTCATAGGGCCAAAGCAAAATAAAAACCTAATATCAACATATGAAAAAAAAAAATAGAAGCTTCTATCTCTATTCTCTCTCTCCTCTCTCAAATAGATGTCCAATTGAGAACTTTTAGAAAAAAAGTAAATTTTTAGTAAGATTAAGAAAATGGCAAAAAGATGAAAGTTAAGAAAGGGCAAGATTTGGGGCTCAAAGCAATCCGCTGACATTGCCTTAGATGCTTTTTTAAGGCCTATGAATTTAGGATGTTGTACATAAAAACAAAATGTTGGAGATCAATCATCACTATAAACATATATTACTATAGTTGCGCACATCCAACAACATGACAATTTAGATAAATGCCCTATGCTTTTTCTTTCTTTTCTTTTCATCTCTAAACTCACATGCATTCAACTACGGTACTCATAACATAACTCACCACATAATACTTACAATCTTATATTACTTTCATATTCGAAACCCAAATCTAACACCCAACAACGCAGACCACACCACATTCCAAACTCACCACTAAAGCAACCCACCAACAAAAACACAACATCACATCACTACGCTGCCGTGCATGAAGTATGTGTCTCGTTCATATATTTATAAAGTGAGTTTTTTTTTATTTCCACAGCGATTTGTGTATTGTTTCGAATTTATTATCTTCTAATTCTACCAGAAGTGGATCCTAGTGACTTTTCATGGATAAATTGGCAAAAAATAATATTCAAATAAATTAATATTTAAATTGAATTTTACCACTTCACTGTAGTATGCTGTCGTATTTTTTTTTTTTTTTTTTACCATAATGTTCTTAGTTAGTACTTGAGTACGGTCCCATTTCTGATAATCGACAAAAGGGTGCCAATATTCAATTGCCTGAATTCCAACTTGCAAATAGAATTCAACATGTGTATACACAGTGCATATATAGTAATTATTTACCTATATATATATATATATTATATAAAATAAAAATTGGATTGTGCAATGTGGGTTGTCAAGAAATGTACATGACTTGCATTATAGGGCAAGAAACAACTAAACAATTATGAAAAAAAATAGAAGCCTCTATCTCTATCTCTCTCTCTCTCTCTCAAATGATGTCAATGAGACTTTAGAAAAAGAAATTTAGAAGATTAAAGAAAATGAAAAGAGAAAGTTAAGAAAGGCAAGATTTGGGGGCTCAAAGCAATCCGTGACATTGCTTAGATGGCTTTTTAAGGCCATGAATTTAGGATGTTTGTAATAAAAACAAAATGTTGGAGATCAATCATCATCTATAAACTATATTACTATGTTGCCACATCCACACATGACATTAGATAAATGCTATGCTTTTCTTTTCTTTTCTTTTCATCTCGAAACTCACATGCATTCAACTATATACATATATATTTACAACTTAATTACTTATTTATATATATAAATGTGTGTATGTGTCAATATATCTTCAATTTCTAGAATGATCCGTGACTTTTCATGGAAAATTGCAAAAAAATATCAAATAAATTAAATTAAATTAATTTTACCACTTCACTGTATATAGAATGTGAATTGATGATACATGATTAGCGATTGAATTAAGGTTCCTTTTCCTTTTGTAACTTTGACAAGAAAAAGAATATAATGAAAGACTTTAACTTTAAATACAAGATTCTGATGGAATGGCCATAGATTTTAGTTAAAGTAAGTTAAACTTTATAACAATTTCTCTTTATCCTTTTTCCTTTATCTAATCCATTATATTTTTATTGGGCTGAGCTCGAACTCAACAAATTAATTTTTGGCTCCATTCAATTTGTTTTATAATTATTTATAGTTAGAGGCAGGATTTCTCAAAGTGTCCAATTATTCTGAATGGGTAGTATTTAGCGGACACTTTGTGCTTCATTCTCTGATATGATGTAAGATGTTTTTATGCATTTCATCTGCTGGATGGAATCCAATATATATATATATATATATAGACGACCACCTTTAATTAGGAAAGAACGGCGAAGTCCATCCGGACGGTTTAATGAAAAATTATGGACATAGCTACCTTGGAAGTAAAATCAACTTTTCAAGAAATATGTCATCTTAAATCAAATAAGGGCTTTTAAGTTTTTCAAGCAATCCCAAAGTCTATTTATAATTAGGCTAAGAAATTTATAATAAGAATTACATATCTTATTTAAAATATATAACGCTCAATCAAGATTCTCACTTAATGAACCTGAGATACTCGCTTGAACATTTAATGTCATGTCTCTTGCTGGGATTGAGACAACGGCTCAGTCAAACTCCTATATATATTTGTATTAAGTTGTTTAAACTTTTTTTTTGCTTTCTACTAATTAATTATAATTAAATTAATGGAATATTTTGTTGTCCAAGTCATCATTCATATAATACTTGATTAAAAAAAAATCGCATCTCACCAATTGTAAAAATTTGGTTTCTTTTGGCTGTTGCTTGTTAGCAACTACCAAATTAAGTAATACTCAATAATTTAATTATAATTAGTAGTTACCAAAAACAAAAATAAAAATAAAAATGAAAGAAACACATCTCTGACAGGCCACAATTATTTCAGCTTATTAGTTTAATTAGAGAATCTGAAAGTACTTTTTTGTCCAATAATCAAATGTGTCTTCACATTGTTAAACTTACTGAAATCACTCAAAAGAATGGAAAAAAAAAAAAAAAGAAGATCAATTAACTATTAATTAGATCTTCTGCTGCTTTAATTAATGGAGTTCATTTTTATATTTATTGAATTTGGTTTCTTCCTTTCAAAAAAAAAAATAAATAAATAAATAAAAATTTGATTAATTTAATATCATTTTTATACCTATGCAAATCAAATTTACTCTTTCTAACTAATTGATCTATCACAATAAATTTCCAATTGTTCCACATCAAAAACTTTTTAAAATCGTATTTAAGTAACGTATAGCGAATAGCCGAGACCGAAAATCTAAATTAGTAACGAGTAGTAAATTTAATACTCGTATCGGATCCAAATTCATTTAATATTAAATAGTTGAACAACAATTGAAAATGGTTGAAGAATAGTCCAAAATAATAATAGAACAAAGAAGGAAGCCCTAATCATCTGAGCAGAAGAAAGATCACAAGAAGACTCAAAAAGTTCACGAGCAAATATGCACAAAAAGACGGCTACGAAGCTCCTCTTTCTTTCCTAGCTAAACTCTAACTCACAGACCCAGAAAAGCCATCATTCTTTTGTATACATTCAAATGTATACGTATTAAAGTATATATAAAAATTCTACCAAAAAAATACAGGTATGTATTAAGTAATTTAATATTTATAAAACAAGAATTTTTGTGGTTTTTATGTCCTCAGATATAGGAGACACAAAGGGTTGTTCTTGTTTTATTATTATTATTTTTTATTATGTGGTGCAGACAACAGAATTATTATATATACGTATGTAATAAATCTATGGATGACCTGCATGACAGGTAACGTAAGGTAGTATAAATTCTCATACTTGATAATTTTGTTTCTTTTAGTATAAATAATAATTATATTTCCCCAACTAACTAATTCAATTTTAATTATGTAATATGATTCCTTTTTTTAATTTTAATTTAATTCTTTCGACTACAAAGCTACCAATGTTCATCCCAAACGTGTTTTTCTCTATCATTAACATTAAGGAGTGTTTATGTTTTTTTTTTTTTTTTTAACATTATCGTGCATGAAACTAATTTTATTTCGGAGATCATACAGAGTTATCCCCCTCGAATTCTTTTTGGATATGATATTAATTTCATTTTGGAATTATGACTACTCATTCTCACAATTTTTTTTACAGAATTTATTCAATTATCACTTTTTGTAGGTAAAATAAAATGTAAAATTCCAAATATGCCATCACTGTCTGGTAATTCTTAATTATCCATCTAGTTGGCAGAAAATCACTTTCTTGTGCATGTGACAAGAGCAGACCAACAGAAGAGTTTTTAGGAACGTATGCACAAAACCCACACCAAAACGGATGGAGAGTGTACAGATGGATTTTTTTTAATTTTGGTCTGCTGGTGAGAAATAATATAATGAGTGAAAACGACAACAGCAAAAGGGTCAAAAGACTGTCAGATAAACTTGTAGAGTGATGAAAATGAGGTGTGGAGCATTGGTTTTTAACAAAGGGTATGTTTGTAAATTCCCTATGTATGAGTTCTGACATAAATGACAGTTACATGTCACCAACAGAAACTAACCCTAAGTTCTGCACAAACTAACACAATATACCTTGGCCTGTTGGATAAAATTATCCGATACAGCCCCACTGTCGCTTATTTTTCATCCAATATTAAAAAAAATAACATTTCATAATTCGTACTATAGATATTAATATAAGCGCTGCGTCAACAAACACTATAAATATCAAATTTTGTAAAAAAATATATTTACTGTGCAAGAAATGTGCAATTTTCCTGTGAATTCCAGAAAATATTTTCCTGCAGGAAGCACGAAGTTCTGCAATCCACATGAAGCGATAACAAATCTGTAAATCCATTATTTGACAAAGCTTGCAGCTTTTGCAATCTTCAAGAATTGCCATGCCACAAATTTATAATTACAAGGACAGCAAATTAATATTAATAAACTTTTACCATTGTTGAATAAACACGTACTGATATAATATCAGAAAGATGAATTTAATACAGTCCAATGACAATTCTGAACAGATGGAGATTAAAACATGTGACTTAAAAACAAAGTGTTTGTTTTTCCAGCTGTTGTTTGTACTAAATTATGTTTGGTTGGAAAAACTTGGATGGGATCCTTGCAATTTCTATTATTTCAAGGTTCTCTAAATACAAACCAAAACCAGGGGCGCTTGGAGGTTTCCTCCTTTTAGCCACTGGAATGTAAAGTACCAATTTGCAATTTGGAATTATATATACTCAATCATTTGCACATTTTTCTATTTTTTTTTTCTTTTTACAAAGACAGACCGAGCAATAATGTTCGGACTCTGTTAGAATGTTAAATTAAAGATAAAGAAATACTTTGTGAGAATTGCAAAAATGTATAAAGAAATAGAGAAAACGGAAGGAGATAACAACAATTGCAGGCCTTAAAGTTTCTAGCCATGGATTAAGGGTCACACAAGAGTAAAGAAGGACAAAGAACAAAACTCTTGCCCGTGAACGTTGCATGTGACCATGAAAGAGCTGTTATAATCAGTGCCCTTGACACTTGTAGACCCACTCACGTGTGCTCTTTTGGCCTTTTACATCAAGTTATATAACTTTTATATTTAATTTATAGGATTTTACAATTCCCACTATGGGGAAGACAGGTAAATCAATCAGGACAAACAAAATACAATAGCCAAGTATATTATGTAAAAAAATGTAACTTTGATGAAGATAGGAAGCAAAATAAATTTATACAGCATTTTTTTTTTCCATTTTCCTGTTTGATTCTCAATTCCAATCAATAAAAATACATATATTGCATTTTGATATCAAATTCTTTTCAATGAATAAAGCAATAACAAAAATGGAAGGAGAGATTTAAAAAAAAAAAAAAAACATTTGGATGAAAAACATAGAATAATATATTGACAACTTGGACAAAAAGAGACCTCATTGTGAGCTAAATTAGTCCCAACCAAAATTCGGATGAAAGGAAGGTAATTAATTAAAAAGACAAAAAGAGAAAGGGAGAAAGAACATTAATTAATAGCTAGCATAATCAAAAAAGATTCAGGATAACCAATTTTCATTTAGAAATGCAGTAGTCTCATAAGTTTTGGACTTCCCTCCTTATATAAACGTAACCTTCCACTTATTTTTTGAAGTACAAACACATTCTCTCTCTTTCTTTCTTTCTTTCTCTTTCTGTCTCTCCCTGTTTCTTTTCAGCCATTCATTTTACACTGAAAATGGGTGGCTTTAGTTTCAGAAGCTTCACATTTATGCTCTTCATTGCTTTCCTAGTTTGGTCTTCAAGTTTTGATACTTGCATTGCTAGAAGAGGCAGACATTGGAGACACAGACCTACTTCAGCTTCTCTGTACAAAAAGAAAGGAAAAAACCATGGTAGCAGGAGCAGCAACCATAACCATAATGGAGGGTCAAAACAAAAACCAAAACCTCCATCCCATAAAGCTCCATTGCCTCCTGCTCCTAAGCCACCAAAAGACTATACACCACCATCAACATCACCAATCAAAGGCTCTGCAACCTTTAATGTGCTTGATTTTGGTGCTAAGGGAGATGGAAAGAGTGATGATACAAAGGTTAGTCAACTTCCAATTCCCATTCATACTTAAAAGTTAACTAAATGTTTTAGATGCATTTTGCATGAACTATTTAATATTGCTTTAGAATCCACAAGTAATTTCCACAGCTTGATGCTTCATTACTGCTATCTTGAACTGATGCAAATTCTTTAATTTAATGTTTTCTCTAATCTTTTCTATTGGGTTGAGTTCAAGACAACAAATTAGAATTTCACATTTTAATCATTAGACTATCCTCTTGGAGATGCATATCTGGGCTAGAGCCTATCATAGCCGCAATCAAATTGTCCTATGACACTCGTAGGCAAATGCCATAAAAAAAGAATTTTTTCTGCAATGACATGTCACCTTCACAAGAAAATAGAACATTTATTAATTTTCCTCAAACATGATTTTTACTTAAAATTCATTGAATTCCCAACTTATGCAATTAATTATCACTTGAGGCACATTCAGACTTATAGATTATAGCTCTTACATTTCACATTAATTGAACTTGGATCAAGGTTATATTAAGCAAACACCATTAAGTCCAAAACCACCAAATTTAGATCTCTTCGGCTATGAAAAACTGACATATAGAGCTCATCATAATATTTCATTTTGTAAATAAATTTGACTTAGCCAGGTTTGGAAAGCTTACATGTGAAAAGAAACAAGAGAAACCTAACAAGTAATAGGATACAAATGTAAAGACAACAGAGGCACAAAACTAAATCAAGGTGGGGTCGGCTAAAGAAAAAAAAAAGAGTTTTTGTTAAAGCAGTTTGGTCACAGCCCCAATAATAATTGTATGCATTTAAGCACAAATAAACAATAACAGTAATTCTCTGCATAGAGTTAACCTTACCTAGTAATAAATGGTGTGTTTTGGTGCATCACAGGCGTTCCAGGCTGCATGGGCAGCTGCTTGTAAGGTGGAGGCATCAACAATGCTCATTCCAGCAGAATATGTATTCCTTGTGGGACCCGTTTCGTTCTCTGGTCCATACTGTCAAGCAGACATTGTATTTCAGGTAAAATTGACAAACACATTAATGATAAGGAAAAAAATGCACTGTGAGTATGTTGCTCAAAATCGGATATGACCGTCGGATACACATCGGTATCTAGTATGGCTGCTAATTTTCCCATAGCATTCGGATTCATCATACCCGTGTCTGTTTTAAATTTTCAATATGCATCCCACATGGGGATGTTATGATAAAGTGAAGAATCAGAGAAACATAATTCTAACAACATACTGAAGAAAACTACAGTAATGCAGTTGATCCTTACTAATATTCTATTGAAATTTTTCTCAGCTGGATGGAACAATTATTGCCCCAACAAATTCCTATATTTGGGGTAAAGGTCTTTTATGGTGGATTGAATTCACAAAGCTTAAGGGAATTACAATTCAGGGAACAGGCACTATTGATGGGAGTGGCTCAGTGTGGTGGCAAGATTATCCACTTAACGATCCTGTAGATGATGAAACAAAGCTCATTATTCCACTAAACAATACAATAGAAGAACACCCACCAATGCCAGTAATTACCTTCAGCTTGTACTTCAACTGTAATTACATTTTTGTATTGTCTGCATCTGATCATAATTCTCTTCCAAATTGAGTGGCAGATAAAAAGTGAACTCAGTAAGAAAATGCCAAGCATCAAGCCTACAGTAAGGACCACTCAACAACTAAGTTTCTATTATAGCTCATGACTATGCAGTCACATAACATGATGGGAATATTTTTCTTTTCACAGGCACTAAGATTTTATGGAAGTTTCAATGCCACAGTCACAGGCATTACAATTCAAAACAGTCCTCAGTGCCACCTCAAGTTCGACAATTGCATGGGAGTCGTGGTACACGATATAAGCATCTCATCACCAGGCAACAGTCCTAATACAGATGGAATCCACCTACAGAACTCCAGAGATGTGCTAATTCACAGCAGTAATCTTGCTTGCGGTAATTATATTACTTGGAGATAAATAATATTACAATTCCATGCTTAATTAGGCAACATGGCCACAGGTCAAGATTGAATCCTGACAAACAAGAGTAAGACATGCACTGTCAAAAAGGAGGTCACAGGATTAACCAACACAGAAAACTTGTGAACTTTGACCCAACAGTTGCAATTACAGACAGAAAAAGTCACGTACTTTTCAGTACCGGGGATAGAATTCTGATAAAAAAAATGCATAACCTTATCTTTCTAGTTGAACTGTTTCCTCAAGCCTTAAGCAATCACTAGTTACTTGACACGTAGTAGCCAACAAACTGCAATATTGCATCCACCTATAATTTGACACATGTCATACCCCATCTCTTCATTGGGATCTTACAAGAAGAGCTGCACCCCTCAATTTGTCTCCAGGGTCAACCTAATGAAGAGAAGTGACCCTAGAGACAACAAGAATACTTCACCCCTCAATTTTTCTTTTGTCCTTGCCATCAACTAGAATAATTTCCATCCCCCTGCCACTTGTTCGCTTCTCTAAGTTAAGGCCTGACAAGTTTTAGTATACATAGCAACAAACATTAAAAAGTTTCACATGTCAAGTTCATACTAAACAAGCTCTACAAACAAGAAATGAATCAAATGAACATTCATATAAGAAGACCAGATCTAAAATCAACATATAAAATTAATTTTGATCTTAAAACCAACTAATCTGTAATAGATAGAAAACATAGAAGGGTTGCCATGTCGCATTTATACTTAATGTCCATCAAAATGTCATGATTTAAATGCAGGTGATGACTGTGTTTCTATACAAACTGGATGCACAAATGTATATATACACAATGTGAATTGTGGTCCAGGACATGGAATCAGCATTGGAAGTCTGGGAAAGGATAATACCAAAGCCTGTGTCTCCAACATAACTGTTCGAGATGTCATTATGCACAACACAATGACTGGTGTCAGAATTAAGACCTGGCAGGTATTCATTCAATTTGCAATCCCATCTTCTTCAAAATTCATTGAGATAAGTTGGCTTTTACAAACCAACAAATTGAAAGACAAGCATAAGACTGACCAAGAATAACCTCTTGTGCTAAATTGAAATGCAAAGTCAACATAAAGGTTTCCACTTTCAAAAGGCTTTTTATCTTTAATATTTTATTTTTAAAGCGCTCCCAAACACGCTGCAAACTCTATTTAATTTGCAAGTTACGGAGTAGGAAAATTTTCAGAGATAAGAAGTTTTAAGAAGATACTTTCACTCTTTCGAAAATTGAATCATTGTCCTAACTGAAACTTTGAACACAGTCCAAGCTTGTCAATATCTAAATATAATGTTATTTGTTTCATGTGTAACATCTCCAAGTTCACACTTCAGACTAAAGCCAAAATAAGAATATTTTTATTGGTCTAAAATGTTATTTCTTTGGCTCAGTTGCTCATTTTGCTCCTCACATATCATTTCAAATGTTGCAAATTGCAGGGTGGATCAGGCTCTGTGCAGGGGGTGCTATTCTCAAACATACAACTTTCTGAGGTTGAACTTCCAATCGTGATTGACCAATTCTATTGTGACAAAAGCACATGCAAAAACCAAACATCAGCAGTCGCTCTATCAGGAATCAACTATGAAAAAATCAGAGGAACTTACACAGTAAAACCTGTACACTTTGCCTGCAGTGATGCCCTACCATGTATAGATGTAAGCCTAACTACCATAGAGTTAAAACCACTGCAAGAACACTATCACATGTATGACCCTTTCTGTTGGCAAACTTTTGGGGAGTTGAACACTCCTACTACCCCTCCAATTGACTGTCTACAGATTGGTAAGCCACCAAACAATCGGCCTCAGTCGGATCATGATGCCTGCTGAGCTTTACCAGGTGAATTATGGTGGATTGACTTGTGTGGTTGGCATGATTTTCCAACCCCTATCACACCATTAAAATATTTAGGTAAAGGTTAATATTTAGGCAATCCTTTTTAAAAGGAATTCTTCTTCAGCCGGATTACATTAAATCCTATTGTGTGATAGTAATACAGCCAGTAGTACTATGAGCTAGAGTATGATAGTTGAGTATAAGGAATCTTGTTTGCTATAATAGATTGTTTAATTGTGAGAGAGAGTATAGTGCTTGATTGTTGGATGTACAATAAATAAATAATAATCAATGGAATTTTGAAATTTCTATGTCACAATTACCAAATAGAAAATCAGGGGACAAAACATCCATAAAAAAAAAAAAAAAAAAACATGTACAGCTGAAACAAACTTCATAGACAAATCAGCAATTAATGAAAGCAAGCAAATTTACTCAGCAATGATTACAGCAGGGTTGACGAACCTATGTAATCAAAAAAGAAAGCAATGCCAACAATTCAGAAACTATTCCACATAAATACATCTATCTCTCATTTCAGAAACTTTATATTCTGTCGATTTTACAACTGCTTTTGTACTGGCATTCAATCATTCTAAATAGTACATACCAACATTCTCCTCTCTTTCCATGAAAGTCTGATAGAAGAAGGTTCCAAACTAATTAAATAATGGCTAGTGCAGAAAGCAGATTTTGAAGATGCTCTTGAATGGTATAAAACGCACTGAAATGGCACATAAATAAGTTGGTATTTATGCTTAATCCAAAAATAGATCTTTTAAGATAAAACCCACGGAATCCAAATATGAAAAATGCCTTAGCCACTAAAAAACCTGATTATTCTCTAGCTGAGAATCATGTGTAAGCAATTGTCAGTTGTAAGAACTGTTGAACTAAAATACAAGCCTAGACTCATTCAATTTGAACTAAATGGCAATTTAAACAGAGATTTTTATCGGACTCATTTTGAATCATGCAACTCAATCAACAACAAACATCACAACTAACAAATCTCAATAAGTTTGAATTTTTAACTTACAAGAGATGAGAATTTCTTTCTCTTCTTCCCCGTCTTGAAAAGAGAGCGATGATCTCCGAGGCAGGAGCAAGCGCCGATCTTTCCCTATTTCCCTTGTTTTGCGTTTTTACAGCAGTCTGACTGAAACAGTGAAACGGAGCCACTTCCCGCCGTTTTCTCTAACTGTTTCCTTTTTCCTATGCGACATCGTTTCTCTTTTTGCTCTCTCTCTCTCTCTGAGTGCGCCCGCTCAGTGTTGCCTTATCTTATCCAATCACTACAAGCTTGAAAAAGATTCATCGACCGTCACTTCAACGTCTAATGGCAATAAAGAATGCTTCTTTTGGAATTCAAACTCAGAAGACAAAAAACATAATCAACTCTTTCTATAGCTCGTTCAATGCCAATGGCGAAAATCTCAGAGAAGGAAGTGTACACTGTGAGAAGAAGAATAGCTTCTGTCTCAAACCATCTCATTCCGGTTCCTCAAGCTTCAAACTATGGCTCCATTGAATTATCCACGACTTCAATGAACGATGCCTATCACAGAATCCATGGGGAAGTATCGACTGAGCCAGTCGTTTGGAGAAATGCCAGTGATGGGTCCAAAGAGGAGTTCACTGACATTGTATACGAGAAAGCAGTTGGCGAAGGGATTGCAAAGGTTTGGTGTGCTTGATGGAGATTATGCTTAGTTCTTGAGAAAGGAAGCGACGATTACCCATAAAGCTGTGATTTTTAGTGTCTCTTTTGTTTTATTTGATTTTGTAGATTACTATTAATAGGCCAGAGAAAAGAAATGCATTCCGGCCGCAGACGGTAAAGGAGCTGATTCGCTCGTTCGATGATGCTAGAGACGATTATTCTGTCGGGGTTATCATTCTAACTGGACAGGTAAGTATCATTCTATACTTTTAAAACAAAGTAAGAATATACATTTCTATGGGGGGAAGTGTTCATTTGTTCTGAAAAAATTTCCCTGCAGGGAAGCAAGGCATTTTGCAGTGGTGGTGATCAGTCATTAAGAACTGCTGATGGTTATGCTGATCCTAATGATATTGGTCGTCTCAATGTTTTGGACTTGCAGGTGCTAGTGTCACACCCCATGTTTTTGAACTGTTCTTGTATTGGATCTTGTTTTAACTATAAATTTAAGCAAATCATGTGCTCTTATCATTCAATTGGTACTCAGTAGCACCAATTCAAAAGTTTAAGGCTCAATAGATATTAGCCTTCAGTAGCAAAAACTCAAGATCTAGGGGCTTTTAAAAGGGGTATTTCCTATATGAGGCATTTTCTTAACTATGTTGTTTTTCACCTTCAATCATTGTGTAATTACTATAACTTCTTTGGTTTCAAAATCGTGTAGGTACAAATTCGACGTCTTCCAAAACCAGTAATAGCAATGGTATACATTTCTCAACCCTGCACATTAACTGTCATGTTAGTATGGTAGCTAGCTGTGAATGCTTGAAATTTTCTGGAAATTTGATTTTATCTGTATACGGCTTTTCTATTAGAAATGCAAGTCCATGAGATATTCGTAGGTTATAGTCATGATACTTTGTATGCATATCAGGTTGCAGGTTATGCTGTAGGAGGGGGACATGTGTTGCACATGGTTTGTGATCTCACAATTGCGGCCGATAATGCTATATTTGGCCAAACCGGTCCAAAGGTAACCATCTCTCCCCTTTTTTTTTTTTATTTTGTACTTTTTTCAGTTTATGTAATAAAGCACATCAGGAATTGTGAGATTCACAAAAGATATTAAACTTTGGTCCACCTATTTATTGTTTGTTTGGCATTGAAATTGAAACCATGTTTCTGGAAAAGTGCTATTTAAGATGATATTGGAAAAGGGAATTTAGGAGTGTCATTTAGTTGTTTTGGAACTTCTAAAACTTGAGTCTTGAACATGCAAAATGCACCTAAGAACAAACTTTAATTCAACAAAATGCTTTCTCAACACAATTCAAACAATAATGTAAGATGGACACCTGCCTTTTCTGTATAATATTCATATGATGAGAGTGGTACAAACAGACATGAACACATATATGCTGGCTCCCTTCATTTGTCCAAACTACTGAGAGTGCAATAAGTTAAAAGTAATCCTAATGTGGGTGGATTTGGTCAGGGCTATACTTTGTTTATCCTCTTTAATCTTTACAGATTATTGCTGTTCATATGAGATGTAAAATACTACAATACTATTGTTTCTGTGATATGCCAGGTTGGAAGCTTTGATGGTGGTTATGGAAGTTCCATAATGTCACGGTTGGTAAGCAACTGATTAAACAAGTCTTTGATTTGATAGGAACCCTATTTCAGATTATCTTCATTGATAATCCATTTGATTTAGCAGAATTCATTTAGTATTTTCATTGCCAACTAATTCTAGAAAATGAATTCCATCCAAACAGATTGGACCCAAAAAGGCACGCGAGATGTGGTTTCTAGCAAGGTTCTACACAGCTTCTGAAGCAGAGAAAATGGGCCTTGTTAACACTGTTGTACCTGTGAGTTCATCTTTCTTTTTTTCTTTTCAGATTCATTGGCTAGTAAAGTACAATCCTGCAAATTTGAATATGCTCATAATGCTTAATGGTTCTTCTCCAGTTGGACAGTTTGGAACAAGAAACAATTAAATGGTGTCGACAGATACTGAGGAATAGCCCAACTGCAATTCGTGTACTTAAGTCAGCTCTTAATGCGGTTGATGATGGTCATGCAGGACTTCAGGTACCCTTCAAACTAACTGCATTCTGTGAAAAAATAATCATACATCTGATTTATGCAACGAAAATTTAAAAGTCTTATTGTTCATAAACAATTATTTATCATTTAGGAACTTGCTGGGAATGCCACACTTATATTCTATGGCACTGAGGAAGGCAATGAGGGGAAGACAGCTTATATGCAACGCAGACGTCCGGATTTCTCAAGATTTCCTCGACGACCTTAGACAGAAGCTCTGAATTTAATTTTCAGTAATAGAATATGAAATGTAATGTACGAGCATTATGTTTTGGTTGAAAAGATAAAATTAATGTAATGTAACAGTAACATTTTTTGTATTCTTTTTTTTTTTTTCCTTTTAAATTACACCAGTTGATGTAATGACTATTCAACCGGTTGCTAGAATGAATTCTGTTCTTTTTTTCAAATCCAGTGATATTTTACCAATAAACGGTTTAATTAGCAGAAGCAAATTTCATTTCTGGATGAACTAAAAGGCAATTTTTAAAATGTTGGAAGACCTAATACCTAATGAGTGACGACAAGTTTATGGTAGTAATTTTATTGCCATGCGTTGCTTTGCCTCCCTAATCTGAATCTGGTCGATTGAGTTTGTTATCTTCATTTATTTAAGAGCTTTGCGGCGACACGTTTAACATGTCCGCACGCCCAAGGGTGTGTCGTTCGACGACCGCGTGAAACACATCAGCACGCCTCCCACATCGAGTCTGGTGGTTGATATTTAAGATAGACGACAGACTGTTCTTATTTTCTCTTCCCCTAACCCAACGATCTGTCGTTCAATGTCCGGTTCCAATCTTCAGTTTTTGTCTTGTTTCCCTTCTAAAGCGAGCTCTGGTTTTCTGTTTTCCCACTCAGCACTCCAACTCCCATTCAAAATTTCTCTTTCTGACTGTCCAATTTCACGCTCATAAGACTCTCAAATCATGAAAATCAATTAGGTAAAGGAAAAAAATCGAAAAAGCATGAGTGGAAACGAGTTTCGATTCTTCTTGTCCTGCGATATCAATCTTCCTGTGACCTTTCGTGTTGAGAGATTAGAAGGATCGTTGCCTTCTACCAAATCTCCCAATTCAGGTCTGCCTTTCACTTTCCATATTCTATTTGAATGATTTCCTTTTTTTTGTTCAATATATAAAGCAAATCTGTTCTCTTAATTGAGCCAATTTCTCGTTATTTCACTTTGATTATATTGGAGGAATCGATCCCGCAGCAGAGGAGAGAAGAGCGGAGCTGTTCGTGGAGTGTGCACTATACATTGATGGCGCACCGTTTGGCCTCCCTATGAGAACAAGGTAAATACATAGGTTAAACTAATTGCCTCTTCTCTCTCTTGTTCTTTTTATCCACTTCATTTTCAAGTTTTGACAATTGTTTTGTAATTCTTACTAGACTGGAGTCTACTGGACCCTCATATTGCTGGAATGAGCTGATTACACTAAGTACAAAGTACCGAGACTTAACTGCGCACTCACAGCTTGCTGTAACAGTAAGTCTGCAGTTTATTTGCTCAAGTTCTTCTACTTTTTTTGGTATATATTAAAGTAATTTATGTGATATGCAAGCGTGTGATTGCGTAGTAGAATATGCATGTGAGGGTGGCTCGGGGTTTATGGTGTGGATGTGTAGTGAGTTGAGAGTCCTTTGTTTGTGGTGCATCTAGAGATTTCTACTTTATGAAAACCCCACAAAGAGCTGGAGCAAAAATTTTCTTCAATATGTGCTTAAGAGTTTGAAGTTCATGTATCTATGTATAAGCTTTGTTTTGGTAAACACTATGTTTATGTATTTGATTGAGATGATCTAGTTGTGATTAGACTTCCACTAAAGCAAAATAACTAACATGTCACTCGTGGTTTTTATATTGTTCACAGTAGTCTCTTGAACTTTATTGTTCTGCTAAGTGCTTTGCCTTCAGTTGATTTGCAATTTGGAAATTATATTAGGTGTTCATGGCAGACATTTCCTTTCTGGTGTGAAAGGTCAGGTCTTTCTTCACTCGTCTGACATATTTAGTATTTTAGCTCTGATGGACTGTCAATCTACTTGGAAATTTAGGTATGGGATGTTTCACGTGGGAAAGATGAGGGATTGATTGGTGGGGCTACTATTCTTCTGTTCAACAGTAAGATGCAACTCAAAACAGGCAAGCAAAAGCTTAGGCTTTGGCCAGGAAAAGAAGCTGACGGATCATTTCCAACAACTACTCCCGGAAAGGTTACTTATATTAGCTATTCTTTCAACAAAGATTTGTGATAATTTTGGTTATATTTTTTTATCCGGATACTGTATTGTTAGGTCCCTAGGCATGAGCGTGGGGAGTTGGAGCGCTTAGAAAAGCTTGTGAATAAATATGAGAGGGGCCAGATTCAATGCATTGATTGGCTTGACCGTCTTACGTTCAAAGCTATGGAGAAAACCAAGGGACGTGAGAGCTCTAGAAATGGAAATGCTCACTTATACTTGGTTGTTGACTTTTGCAGTTTTGAACATAGAGTTGTTTTTCAGGTACTTGCCATTTACAATCATCAGATTATTGTATTTTACAATATCTTGGTTTGAATATGCCTGTCATATCGGTGATCAGTGCCTAATTGTGCATGCCAATATCATAAACTGGTTTGAAGTTTGTTTCTTGTCATGGTGCTCATGCAAGCATGCTGTTGAATTTAATCTTGTAATGCTGCATGTTGGAAGGAATATTGGATGTCATTATAACTTTTGTTTTTTCTCTTTTGTGTTCAATTAACATGTAGGAGTCAGGAGCAAATTTCTTATTACCATCTCCCATAGCTTCAACAAATGAACTTGTTATTGTCTGGGATCCAGAACTAGGAAAGATAAATCCATCTGAGCACAAGCAATTAAAGTTGGCAAGGAGTCTAACACGTGGTATCATTGACAGGGATCTGAAACCAAGCTCCAACGAGCGAAAGTAAGCTTAAAAATCCTGTCTTGATGATCCAAATAATTTCCTGTAAACTCTAGTAAGAATCATTTGAAGTTTATTATACTTTTGTGTTCGGTTTCTTTTGTTTGTGTGTATTATGTATCTCCCTTACACATTGAAAAGGTATGTATCCCATAATTTGGTGCTTCATCATTAGTTATTTGGACATGGATACAGTTAACTGAAATTTTACTTGGATTCTCTTTGAGGTTGTATGCAATGTAATTGCTCTGTTTTATCATTGTTTAAATCTTATATAGCTCAGACTCTTAAATGTTCTCTTCATCTTAATTGTTATCATGGATTGATTTGGTAATGTGTGCTATAATTTCTCTGCAATGTTGCTGACATTAATTATTTGTGGCTGAATTTCCTGAGTTGGAGGTATTTCATTTTACCTATTTGTTGTTTATAAGGTCGATACAGAGAATTCTAAAATACCCACCAACAAGGACTTTGAATGGAGATGAGAGACAGCTCCTCTGGAAATTTCGTTTCTCATTGATGTCTGAGAAGAGAGCTCTTACAAAGTTTCTTCGATGTGTTGAATGGAGTGACATTCAGGTCAGCGTTATTTTATCCTTTGTTTTGTTATTCCTTATAATTTGATTTACAAGTGAGCTAGTTGAAACATTGGTCTATCTTTCTGTTTCTTCTTTAATTTCTTTTCCGTTTCCATTTTATCTTGTGGAAAAATTTTAGATATTGACTCCATAAAATCATGTAGGTTTGGGAGTTTCGATATCTTATGTTAGCTATTGATTCAGTAGTTGTTTTAGATTAATCAATCATATCATCATTGTTTTATCTTAATAAGCAAGTTCATTTTGTTAGTGAACACGATATAGACTACTTCTCTGAAGATTTTTATTCTGGTTGATGCATTTGCAGGAAGCAAAACAGGCACTTGAAATGATGGGTAGGTGGGAGATGATTGATGTCTCTGATGCATTGGAGCTTCTGTCACCTGTTTTTGAAAGTGAAGAGGTAGGTGTGCTTAAGATTAGCTTCATTCCTTTTCCACATCCTCCCTTACCACATTCAAAGAGATATTGTCAGTGGGTTGTCCTTGTAGAAGGCCTTTGAACTGGGTGTCTTGAAGAAGTTTCATTGGGGATGATATTTCAAAATTGTCTCAAAATTTCCCTTACTGGACTTCAAATAGGGGCACCATAATTGGATCACGGCCTTTCAAACATGGAAAATGAGTCAAAATGTTTTCTAAAAGAATATATATATATATGTGTGTGTGTGTGAAAAAAGATTTCACTTCCCTCATCATCGTAGTGTGTAAAGGCTCTGTGGGCACATAACATCCTGTACATAATTTCGTTAAAAGTATAGGTAGCTTTGTATGTATGTTATACACATACTCATGAGTCCTGACACAATGGTGACTGATTGATTGGAATTCTGCTTCATAGGTTCGTGCATATGCTGTCAGTGTTCTTGAAAGAGCTGATGATGAAGAATTGCAATGTTACTTACTTCAACTGGTGCAAGCTCTTCGGTTTGAGCGCTCTGATAAATCTCGCCTTTCTCAATTCCTTGTCCAACGCTGTATGTCTAATATAATATGTAACTGTGTTGGCTTGCTTGCAAATGTGCATTTGTGTGCACATATGCATGTAACTGTATGCATGGCGCAGTCATTTTGTTTGCCATAACTGAGATTGTTCTTGGTTTTTGACAGCATTAAACAACATCGAGTTGGCTAGCTTTCTCCGTTGGTATGTTGCTGTGGAATTTTATGATCCCGCATATGCCAAACGTTTTTATTGTACCCACGAGATCTTGGAGGAGAGTATGAAGAAGGTGTGTGAATTCTTAAGATGTTCATTAGCTGTTTCTGCAATTTGTTTTCACAAAAAAACCAGTGTCACTATTTTATAGGAGATTATTGCCAGTTCTTTTCCTCTCCGTTTAAGCGTATCAGGTGCAGCTTTATGATAACTTTTGGGCTTGAAATTTATTTTTAGTCTATATTACTAAGATCTCAATTCTTCCATGTTTCAGCAGTAGCATTATTCCATGAAAGCTCCTGAGAATGATAAATATGGCATTGTTTCCATCAAAGACTATGATAATAGTTAAATATGCTAATTACATTTTTTCTGTACAAATTGTGGAATATGCCTGCATATTCCTCATGTAACATAAAATAGAAGTAACAGAATGACATTCTCTACCAATTATAGAATTACGTAAAGGTTGGCATTTGAAACAAAGCCAGAACAGCAGCTAATAGTTAAACCTGCAATTCCTTTTGAAATTGGCAAAAAAGTACTACTTTGGCTGCATAGAAAATGCAATTTTGTAGATGAGATGAAGCCAAATGAGATGTCAAGTGGTGCTAGCATATTATAGTTATGGCATATTGCGCAATTAAAATGTGAATCTTAGGATGATTATATAATTTGGATGTGCAATTGCTTCTGTCTGTTCAATAATTATATCAGGTTCATCACAGTTATCAGGTGGTCCAAATGGAGAAGAAGATGGATTGAAGTTGTGGCAAAGTTTGGTCCGTCAGACAGAATTGACAGCCCAATTGTGCTCTATAATGAGAGATGTAAGAAATGTGAGAGGCAATACTCAGAAAAAAATTGAAAAGCTTCGACAACTTCTCTCTGGTCTTCTCAGTGAGCTTACATATTTTGAAGAGGTATGTGTTGAATTATAACTTACTTTTTCATTGATTACACTGTTAATCGCTTCTACAGCCTTCTTGACTTTTCATTATAGTAGTTGTGAATTACAGATGGCTGCTAAAAAGTTTGTTTATTGTGTTGAAGTAATTTTTTGGTCTGTTACAATTCCAGCCAATACGATCACCACTTGCTCCTGGTATCCTCATCTCTGGGATTGTACCATCAGAGTCATCAATATTCAAAAGCGCACTGCATCCACTTCGTCTGACTTTTCGAACACAATGTGGTGGAACTTGCAAAGTCATATTTAAGAAGGGTGATGATATTCGGCAAGACCAATTGGTAAATGCTTAAGTAGAATTGGTATTCTTACCTACTTTCTTTCTCCCTCTTTTAGACATACACAAAAGCGCACACACGCATATGAACTGATATGTGCTTGAGAGGAGTGTTGGGAGGCCTTGGTATTTCTTATATACTTATATATGTGGTCTTGTAGATTGTTCAAATGGTATCTCTAATGGATCGACTGCTTAAGTTGGAAAACCTTGATCTGCACTTAACTCCATATAAAGTGCTTGCTACCGGACAAGACGAAGGCATGCTCGAATTCATACCATCACGATCATTGGCTCAGGTATGTTATCCTTTGAAAGATGATTCTTTCATGGAGAATCCAGTCACTGCTTGCAATTACTTTTTTTATTCAAAATAATTCTACTATGCTAAGGTGGAGCTATAGCATAGTAAAATTGGAGGACATGTATACTAGCTGTTCTCTTAATATTTTTCTTTCCTTTTCATCTTGTCATGCCTTAAAAATGCTCAAAAACTTTTAGAAATTCATTGTACAATAGTTTCCATTTTTTTGGAGAAGCAATGAAAGCAAAGAATTATTCCTAAGTTAATTGCATTTTTCAAAGGTTAGTTGAAATGTTAGAGTTCAGTGCACTGAACTTCTGCATAAAATATTTTTTGATAGACTGCAACCTTTAAGTTTAGCATTTTGCTTTTCAAATGACTGCCTCATTGCCTAGCAAAGAAAATTGCTCGTCTATTATCACAAAGGATGCGAAACTTTTGAAAGATAATATTGAACTACATAACCCTCAATTTGGTCTCATAAAAATTAGGAGGGAAACAAAGGACAGGAAAAGGACCTTAGTATATCTCAAGACGCCTTGGAAACAGATCCATCAAAATTAATGTTCTTTATTCCTTTCCTTGTGCTACTTGAGAATCAAAAGCTCTTAAATTATTTACATTTAATGTTCATTGCGCATGTTTCCCAAAGTGGATTTGTGAAAAATGGCCATGCATGTACTGTTTAAGAAATTGATCTGCAACATGTTTATTTACACACCATGTATTCACCAAAATAAAAAGATTTACAATGTGTTACTAAGATGTGTTTCTGAAATCCAGATTCTCTCTGAGCATCGCAGCATTATAAGCTATTTGCAGAAGTTTCATCCTGATGACCATGGACCATTTGGTATTACAGCCACTTGTCTCGAAACATTTATAAAAAGCTGTGCTGGCTACTCTGTCATCACATACATACTGGGCATTGGAGACAGGTAATTATTTAGTCATGTACATGAAAGTGTTTAAATATGCATCTTGTCAACTAGATAGGAACTTTTAACTTTATCTCATTTTGTAGTGAGGCTGTAAGAAAGAGTGGGGTTGGGGACAGCAAATATGTAATTCTTTAAAATTGCAAACCTTGATATTGAGTTGTCTTGGGGTATTGAGTAGGAACTGAATCTTATTAACATCTCTGTGATGCAAGATGTAATTCCTTTTTGAGGAGTATAAACATATTTTGTGGATTGCTTGCATGACATTTAAATCGGAACCAACAAAAAAAAAAAAAAAAAAAAAAAAAAAAGCCAATGGGTGGTCAGATTTCTATTATTTCTATGACTTTCTGTTGCTGCTATCACAATTTTGTAGAATTTTAATTGTCAATATTCTAAAATTGCAACTTCATCTCTCTGCTAGGATTTTAAATTTTACTTCCCAGGGTTATTGATGCTTTCAAGTGGAAATGAAATTTTTAAGACACCAATCTTTTTGGTATGCAGGCACCTTGATAACCTTCTCCTTAGGGAGGATGGGCGCCTTTTCCATGTTGATTTTGGTTTTATTCTTGGCCGAGATCCTAAGCCCTTCCCACCACCAATGAAGCTCTGCAAGGAAATGGTCGAGGCTATGGGTGGTGCAGAAAGGTCTTCTTCCTTTTCTTTTTCACCTTTTTTTCTATGTCCATGTGCTTCTGTTTTGTGTGCAGCCTGCTATATAAGTAGATTTATGACACATGACTCAGTACCTCATTACATGTGGTGGTGGAAATCTGAGAATACAAAGTACAAGATGTTTGATTACCCTTTCCTACTTTTTTCTGCAGCCAATACTATACCAGGTTCAAATCATATTGTTGTGAGGCATACAACATCCTCCGAAAATCTAGTAACCTAATTTTGAATCTTTTCCATCTGATGGCTGGTTCCAATATTCCTGACATAGCGTCTGATCCTGAAAAGAGCATTCTGAAGGTACCTTCCTTTGCATTCACGATCTAGGTAATGAGCCTATATCGTCTTTATCTTTCTTCTTATGATTGAAGCTCTGATGATGCTTGCAGCTTCAAGAGAAGTTCCGGTTGGATTTGGATGATGAGGCAGCCATACACTTTTTCCAGGATCTTATTAATGAGAGCGTTAGTGCTTTGTTCCCACAAATGGTTGAGACCATTCATCGCTGGGCTCAGTACTGGCGCTAACCCCAAAAGTAATTTAGGTTTTAGCCATGCTTTTGTAAATAGCTAGGTAATATTTTGGTTCTGCATCCTTTTGCATTCCTTTCTCCTGAATTGCTTGAATGCTTTCTTCATTTTTAAACACTCGACTCTTCTCTTGCAAACAATAATGTTCTAAGGGCAATAGAATCATGAACTGTACCTATGATATTCCATGCTTTTCTCCTTTTGTAATTTGACGTGCTTGTCTTATTTGCAGGCAGTGTCTAGAAAAGACAAAACCAGAATGCAGATCTTCAGTGGTGTTCATACACTTTTATTCATGTAAATGATATATTAGAAAGAAAATCCAAGTTCATTGACTACAGTTTCTTCTGCTACAGCGACTTGGTATACATTTATCCTGGTGTTTATATTGCCTGAATTTCTTTAACCGTTATTTATATCGGTCCATTTTTCCAACTCAAACCATTTTCATATGAAGCATCTTGGTGTACATACTGAAATAGATGGTTAGGTGCTTTTTTGTCTATTTTTTTTTTTTTTTTTTTTTTTTTTTAATAATGACCTTTTTCATTTTCTCATTTTTCAGACTGGAAGTCACTTTCATGGATGAGAGACGCCTAACCAAATGGAGTTTGCTCAAGGAGTCAAGTTGGAGGGAGAGGGAACCAAAGCTGGTAGCAGTTGTATATATAAAATTAAGTTGTACAAGCGAAAAAGAAACAATAAAATTAGATGCGTATTTATTCACTGATTCTGTATTTGTAGGTAGCCTAGAAATAGGATTTCGTTTCATGGGTGTCTTTCAGCTCTTTTTTAAGATAATGTCTTTACCAAATTCAAAATCCTTAAGATTTGAATGATTATAGAAAATCATTTCTGAGATCTAGATTTGCGGTGTTTTAAAAATTGAACTGTTCTTCTAATGGATTACCCATGTATTTTGACATTGCAAAATTATTAATTTTATTATTATCAAATAAAAGAATAATTTGATAATATTTAAATCTGAAATTTTTTTATCAACCCGTTAATTAGTTTGGTTGGTTCTTGAAGCTTGAGCCTTAAGCACCAAATTTACAGAGTGGCCGTAATCTTAATTTTCTTTGTTTGGCATTTGCGATTTAGAAAACAAAAACAGAGATAGAATTTAAAAAACCGCCTCTTGTATTCAAATCGAGGTGAACCAATGAGGAAATTTTCATCTTTCTAGAAATTTTTCATCAGGTTTTCAAATGTGACTTTGAATTCGGAATTTGAATATTCTCTTTATTTTTTTCAACCAACTAGTTTAATTTAGTCACTTAGTTACATTCACATTTTTGGTTGACGTGGCACTGCGCTATTGTTGCAATCCCTCACCTCTGAGGTATAGTCCCGTTATTACCCCTACAAGACCGAAAAGCAACTGATCCATTGAATCAATAGCAAGTACTAATCAATAATTTTATAAAATATGAAGGGCATTTCCGTTAATTCAAAATCAAAAATCAAAATTTCCGTTGCCTTTATAACTTTCTCCTATTTCCAATTCTCACTTCATTGTCTTTCGCGTCGGTGTTAAGCTTCGTTTCTCATATTCGCTCGCTAGCTTTGTTTTTCTCTTACAGATCCATTTTCGAATCCTTCTCCAGAGAGGTAATTTCTACTGTTTACGATCGATCTCTGCCAATTCTATTCGTTTCAATAAGTTCTCTATAAATATTTTCGACATTTTCAGTTCATTTTTTTATGTTATTTAGGGTTCGGTAGTTTTTGCACTATTGAATTTTGGTACGCTTGTTTCATATCTCATCTGATCTGAGGATCTGATGTTGAGATTTCCTTTAGATCCGTCGTGTGATTACAAAATGGAATTGGAACCTTAAAATGGAGATTTGGTGTTTTGTTTTCTCTTGTCATGAGTTGATGTTGTTGTACTTGGTTCAAAATTTTAGTGTTTGCTCTCTAGGTTCATTTGATCTGTTGTTTCTTTTTCTTAATTTTTATTTGGTAGCTTAATTTTATGGCTGATATATATGTTTTGCAGCGTAAGGATCGACGGTTGAGAAGCGGAAATGGGGTTGACATTCACGAAGCTTTTCAGCCGGCTTTTTGCTAAGAAGGAAATGCGAATTCTGATGGTGGGTCTTGATGCTGCTGGTAAGACTACAATCCTCTACAAGCTCAAGCTTGGAGAGATCGTCACCACAATTCCCACTATTGGTGAGTGCTTTCTGCTGAACTCTTGCTATGTTTTCTGCAATCTTTGAGCTGGTCTTATGGAGTATATTGAAAGTACATTGCTTTGTGGGAGTTTGTTGGATAAGTAGAAGCAATTTAATTCTTTATTTTTTTATTCTTATTCCTTTGTTTTTTTCTTATACTTGTGCTCTCTTTAAGTCACCATCATAGCTGGTTATATTGCCTTTTAACTATGTTGCACGGAAATGGGAACGCAATGCCCACCTAGGAGTTTTCATGCATCATAGCCTTTTAATCTAGAATTCCTATCTCGAGGGATTTATATGGGGATTTATAGCCCTCTCATTTGGAAAATCCAATCTTTGAAAATGTGGATTAATGAAGAAAACAAATCTCAGCAAACTTTGGAAATGCAATCTGGAGGATATGGTGGCTACAGTTTTGTGATAAACTCCAATGTCCTGTTCATATCTGCCTATAGTACATAAATTCAATTGCTTTATTTTTTTGATGGTCTTGTTTCTCAAGTTTATCTTCTGATGCCTGGCAATCCCTTGGAAAATTTTGCACGTTCAATTTGTGATTGAACAGATACTCTTTTCTGCAGGATTTAATGTTGAAACTGTGGAATACAAAAACATCAGCTTCACCGTGTGGGATGTTGGTGGTCAGGACAAGGTATGAGATGTTGACATATGTATTTCAATCTATTTGATAGAAATGAAGCTTTCTCATTTTTGACCATCTCAATTAGATAGCACCATTTCCTTACGATGGTTTAAAATGAATGTTGCAGATTCGTCCGTTGTGGAGGCACTACTTCCAAAACACTCAAGGTCTCATTTTTGTGGTGGACAGCAATGACAGAGACCGTATTGTTGAGGCCAGGGATGAGTTGCATAGGATGTTGAATGAGGTATGCCATTTCGTTGGAGCTGCCAACCTATATGTTTAAGTTACTGATTGGTTTCATGTTCATGTCGCCAACCTATTATCACTTACCTTCAATGGAATTGAGATCTAAAGTGATAGTAGGCCAAATCATTTCATAGCAAAGTACAAAAATATTAAACAGTCATGAAAGTTTCCCTAATGAAATTCAATATGTGAACAATATTGAGATGTGATGGTATTGAAAAGCTTGTGTTTCAGATTGTGATATTGATATTGAGTGGCTAAATAGTGTCTTGCTAATAATGGTCACATGAATAAACGCATTCCTGCATTTTAGAGGCACGTCGCTGATAGTTTATATTGTTAGTATCATTGAATATGTCCAGCATATACTTCCTTTCTTTGAATAATTTGATTGCTGGTGGTGGAATGTAGCCATCCATTACTGTTTGCAGCTATTGATGTTGATGAGACATCCAAAGAGTCAGTGGATTGTGTAGCACAATTATGTGATGAAGCTGTTATCTTATTTGTTGGAATATGTTATAATTATGTGGCAACTTTTTTTTCCCCAATCATGATATGTACAATTATGTGGAAATCCATTAGCATTTGCTTGTGGGAATCTGGTTCTTAAAAAAAAATTGATGGTGGAAACATCTGTTGGTGGTGGTATTGGCCACAACCTTGCTCCATGTAAGAGTTGATGAGATTTTTTTGCACTCATTGAAAATTGGCTGAAGTTCTTGCTCTTTTTCATTTCTTTCCTGCAAATGTTTTACCCAAACTACTTCCCATGATGCCATGTTTGACAAATCAATCCAAGGCATTGAAAGCTCATTTTATTGATTCTGTAATGGTTGATGGTTTCAGGATGAGTTGCGAGATGCTGTGTTGCTTGTATTTGCTAATAAGCAGGATCTTCCCAATGCAATGAATGCTGCTGAAATCACTGACAAGCTTGGGCTACACTCTCTCCGCCAGCGTCACTGGTAAACTTTCTGTTTGTCTCCTTTTACTATTGATTATCAATTTTGTCCTCCCTAAGCTTTCTCGTGTGCCTACCCTGTTCTAATTTTATTGATGGGTCAAAATATGATTGTGATCTTTTTCAGGTACATCCAGAGCACCTGTGCAACCTCTGGTGAGGGGCTCTATGAGGGCTTGGACTGGCTCTCCAATAATATTGCTAACAGGGTAAGATGGATACCTTTCTCTCTGTTGAACTTAAACTTGTATGGGTTTAGATAAATATGTTCAAACTTTTAGTTGTTTGTTTTGGTAATGTAAACTAAACTGTCAATAGTTAGTCAAACTTCGTGAATTTCTGGTTTCAGAATATATGCATTTCCTTCTTCCATGCAACTGCCATTGTTTATTGTTTGTTTAAATAAATAACATTGAGTTTATCTTATCGAGTAATGTCATCTTTTTCTTCTTTCAAGTCCCTAATCGTACTTGTGTACCTTTCCCCGCAGGCATAGTCAAACAATGAGACATTTTGTGGATTGGCAATTCTGGATGCAGGGTGAATATTATCTAGTGTTTTTCTTTTTCTTTTTGAGAGAACTGGATTGTGTTTAAGTCTCTTTTACCTTTGGGAATGATCCTTCCATCTAGGACCATTTTATGGTTATAATGTAATAGAATATGGGTTGGAAATACTATTGAGCAGTTTTCTGCATTTGGTTGAAACGCTTCTATTTGTAATTGAAATGCATTTTGTGCTCCATTCCTTTTTGTATTACATTTCTACCTCGTCTGTGACTCTTCAGCAAGCAATGTTATCGCACAGTAATCCTATTATATGTTCTAGAGTAACAATGTTTAAAGGATTCATATGAAGGCCTGTGGTGTGATTATCTATCTTGTATATTAGTCTTTGGCAATCAAATAACCGGCGAATGTGCCAGGAATGGTTGTGGTTCCTCGGCCATTATATTCTCCAAGAGGCTGGAACCGCTCGATTTTGTTCGGGGTGGGTTTTGGAATGTTGATTTCAAATTGAAAGAGACTGGCCTTTATGTATTGTAATGTAAGGTGGCAGGTTGATTTGGTGTGCGGAATGTAACGTCTGATATAATGGCTGGCTGTGGCCGTGGTGTGAAGTTCTGGAGGAAAATAACCAGCGAATCATGCAAGCGACAGGTTGAACGTTTTTTATCATAACGAGGACTTTAATGAAGTATTTGCGCGGTCCTGATTTGAACAGCTCCTTTAATCACAGAAAATTGGGGAGAGTTCCTTAGTGGAGGAGACTATTGTACTTGTCGAAAATTGCCAATCAACTGGGAACCACATTTGAATTATATGGAAGAGCACCCTCAACTCAACAATACGATAAATAAGTTTCTTGGTCCCCTTTGACATAATTAAATAAGAAATTGCTTCTAAAATATCCACACGTAAAAACAAAATTTGTCTTTATATCGTTATTGGTTGGACTCAAAAAGATCTAATGATCAAATTTACCCCAATCCTTCAATCTTTTTTTAAGTTCATTTATTCTAATTTGACAATTTATCTGCAATTATACCCCGTAACCAAGATTAACTTTTTTAAAGAAAAAAATTAATGGCTTTTGTATATGAGAAGAAAGCAAATCAAAGTAGAAAATTTACTTTGGATATTAACCATTAAAGCAGAGAGAGCAATATTCCTATTTCTCAATAAAGTTGAGTTTCTACTTCAACTTTAACTTTTTGCGCATTGCTATTCCAAATTTCCTGTTTCGAAAGTTAGGCATATTATGTATCATGTTACCATGTAATGAAGTTTCTGATGGTGCAATACTTTTAGCTTCTATGGTCACGCATCGCCACTGGTTAGTTTCCAATAGAAATGGAATTAGAACTAGCTCGAATTTCTTAATCAGTTAAAATTTATTTACGACGGTCAATTTAATGAATCGTACCAGAATCCACCATTCAAAACTCTATTAAATTTATTTGGTGGGATACATTATAACAATGATTACATATTATAATACGAACAAGTTTTACATATATATATATATATATACATAATGCTCATGTCATAAGTGATGTTGCTTTCTTTGAATATTTTCTTTGTTGTTTTCACATTAGAAACTTGATAGGCATATTTGGAAAAAAAAAAAATTATCCATTTAAATAGATATCCAATTAAATTATATTTTATATGCAGCATTAGTGATAGGGTTGATCAGAATTTAAATTTTCTAAAATGTGTTGGGCCTCAGTTGTTGGGCACTCACAAAGAATTAAGAGAAAATTGACGCAGCGGAAAAATAGAAATGGGACACACAGAAATTTACGTGGTTCATCCTCAACTGTTTAGGGTTACGTCCATGGGACAAACTTCGAATAATTCTTCCACTATTAAAAATAGTAGGTATACAAGGAGAGTAATACAAAAATAGTGGCACTCAAAGTGTTTTCCAAAAAACATCCCATAATAATTTCCTCATTATTTTTCCCTCCCTAGTTTTAGGAAGATTCCTAAACCTAGATATCTCTCTACATTTTTTTTCTTTCTGCTGTGTATTGCTTGAGGCTTCACTACCTCTATTTATAGGAGAGGTTACGAGAGAGCCGTGTATAACTCATTCACGGCTCTCCATTTTTGTAAAAAAATTGCATGTCAATTTTTACTTTCCTTTTTCTTCTTCCGCGACTTTCTTTGACTGCCAAATTGTTTTTTTCTTTTCAAATGTATGTGGGTCCCACATGTCGGAAGGATCCCACAACAAAATGTCGACTCTTAAATCAAATTAAACATTAATTATCTCATTATCCACTTTTGATTAAATAAATATAATAATTTAGTTAACTCATCAAAAATTCAACTCTATCTTTCATTTTAATCTTGAATGTTGTACGTGTCATCACTTGCTCTATGACGTTGTTTTCCTTTTGAATGTGTATGTTTCATTCATTCATTTATTTATTTCTGTTGGTCATGTTTGAAAGATTTTTCATCAACTTTTATTTCAAGCTAACATAATCTTTTAATTTTTCAAATTGATATCAGTCATTTTCTTTACAAAAGAGTGTTTATTAAATAAATATACACTTGAGATTGCCTTTTTTTTCTAAAAAAATAATTATTAATATATGATATTATTTATAATTAGCTTTGGACAACAACAATTACAATATATAATTAGCAATTTGGTGTGAGATTTTGAAGCATATATTTGTGTTGGTTAACTTTACAAAAGCAAAAGGCAAAAATCCCATAATCAATGGAATGGAGTACAGTAAAAAGCCAAAAATTAAACAAGTATATAATTAAGAAAACACCAATATGACAAAAGATGAATATAATTCCATCTCCTTTTCCTTTTGATGCTTCGAATCATTTCCTTTCTCACTTCAAATCAATTTATTTGTACTTCAACAGTTCTTGTCTCCAACTCACTCACACAAGGAACCTTGCATTAATACTCATAAAATGGTAGAAGACACCATGGAATATCATCCCACACAAGGAGTCAGGCATAAGGATAATAATAATAATAATAATAATAATATTATTATTATTATTACTACTATTAACTTTCTCTGAATTTCACCGAATAGTAATTTGAATATTTGAATTATGAAAATACATTTACGAAGAGTGACAGTTATGATTCCCGAAAATTTATATAGCTTGTGAAGTAGCCAACGGCACGATATTGTGCAGTCTCAACCGCTTTTTCTTTTGTGTTTGATTTTCACACTCCTTTCTTTCTTACCAATTCTTTGTTGTGTGTTATCTAGTGATTGATAACCTGAATATTTCCTTGCCAATGTCATGTCTTTCTTCTTTCCTTTTTTTTTTTTTTTTTTTTTTTTTATGATATGAACCATGTGCAGAAGTTACCGTTTTTTTCACTAAAACTCTCTGTAACAAATTATATATATATATATATATATATATTGTCTCGCAATACATTTAGTTATTGGTGTGGGATCCCTCCAACATGTGGGACCCACACAAGTTTGAAAAAAGAAAAAAAAAAGTCACGTTTTTTTTATTGTTCAAAGAAGGCTGCGCGCAGTCGGTGGATGCGTTGATTAATGCATTCCCTTCTCCTATTCCCTAAACTAATGTATAAAAACAAAAGAATAGAAATAAATAGAGTGTATAGAATTTTAGAAGGGGTTCCTAAAATTGAGAAAGAGAGAAAATAGTGAGGATTATAATTTTTGGTTGTTTTTGGGAAACACTTAGAGTACCACTATTTTTGTAATCTCTTTTGTATCTACTATTTTTAGTAGAAGAATTATTCAGAGTTTTTGTCCTATGAACGTAGCTCATAACAGTTGAAGGGTGAACCACGTAAATCTCGGTGTCCTGTAATTAGGGATCAGTTATAATCCCAACAACTGGTATCAGAGCCTGGTTGGTAAATTCTATCAGTTTTCTACAAAGTTATTATTCACATGAATAGTGAATTTCGTGAATAGTAAAAAATTCACATGCTAAACGACAGGGCAAATGACAAATTGATGGATTCGACATACTCAATTTGGAAATAATCCAAACGAGACTACCTCAATGCAAAGATCTGTGAGATCCAATTGAAGTGAACAGTGGCAAAGCCAGAAGAAACAAAGAAAGACATGGAAAAGTAATAAAAGCAGGACATTGGGTACAATAGCCAAAATGATAGATGCTAGCCTCGACACACCAACGTAAAAAAAATCCCAATTTGCTTGAAAAAATAACAAAGTACGAGCTACGAATGCTCAAGGAAAACTCATGATTCGTTAAAGTTCAGAACTGAAAGCGGTCAAGACGATCAATTACACAACAAGCCTGAACGATTTTGAAGGACAGTAAATTGAGGTTAGCAGTTAGCGGGTTGTCCTTAGATGACGAGAGCGAGGCATCACTGTTTGGATCTCTTACCTGAATAGTGGTACGCTTAGTGGTATCATCTGAGTAACTCGACTCCAAAGGTGTGGTAAAGCAATGTCGCAGGTAATAGAAGAGATTACTTAGATGAAAACACGAAGAAGAGACGTTGGCCAGTACCGCAGTTCACTAAGCCGCTGTCACAGAGAAATAGGGCCGAAAAGAGTAAGAGTCCAAGGCATGGAAAAATCCAGAAAATCCAATCCAGAAGATAAAAATTTACCATGTGCGAAGAGAGGGTCCACCAAAAGAAATTGTCCATTTACCCAAACAGGAAAGCATGCAAACCGAAGACAGGAGAATGAAGAAATACATCCTAAATTCTCAGCAGAAACGGGTGAGTGACTTAAGTCCCTCAGAACAGATGCGTCCATGTTGAATGCACGATAACCGAGTGGAATTAACCCGTGCCCGATACCACGGTTCCAAAAAGGGAATAGCTTTCCCACCATAAAGTATGGAGAAGTTGGCACTATAAAATGGAAAAGTAATAGTGTCTCCAAGTGGTGGAACAGTGATATCTGCATAAAGACAAGTGTCGAGTGCACATTAAACAACTAAAAGAGGAACAATTCCGATCTCGTTGAGACATGTGTGTAGGATGTAACTGAACCTAGAAGCCACACCATCTATACAAGTGATGGTAACAAAGTGAAACTCACAAAGCTTTAGTGTGGCGAAGGAAAATTATGTGCTCACGATAAGACGCTACGCAATAATATTCGGCAACGTGAATACCATGGCAGAGTGAATTGCCTTCCACAAATTTCAGCATAGGTGCTGCGCACAGATGAGAATAGGGTTGAATATGGTTTGGCTAAGGAAGTCCCTCATAGCCATAGCCAAAAGGTAAACATAAACCCCTTTGGTGGATCAGGTTTGATTGGGAACAACAATCGGTCTCATTTTTAAGAAGCTCTAAAAGGAGAAGACAACAAGTGGATTGGTACACTCTGACGAATGTGTTCCCATGGAGGTTGAAACACTTTGGAGAAGTGAGGTATCTTACCTCATTGATGAATTCTCACAAAAAACAGGATTATATGTTCACACAAATAATGACCAAGATCAAGCACTTCAGCAATTCCATCGAGAGTGGAAAGGAGACGGATGGCAGAAGTGTCGCGACGGATAATGTGGTGATATATCTCTAAGAGAGAGATTAGAAGCAGCACGGTAGCAGGCATAAAAACCATTCCTGAAGACACTCAACACAATGGCATTGCCTGAACGGATGAAATCGCACAATAAATTGAAAGAGTCCAGATCCATCTCGAAAATGGCACTACCTGAAGCCATTTGGGAAAACTGTCGAGATACGAGCACCGAATCAACAAGACACCTCAACACCGTTTGATGTTGTACCTGGAGAAGGTCTGGACAGTAGAAAATCATACTCGATGGCTGCAAGGCATTTATGCATGTTCCAAATGAGTAGACATCAAAGCTTGATGACAAGTCAGTTCCTTGCACTTTTGTTGGTTACGGAGACGAAGAGTTTGGCTACAGGTTGTGGGACCAAGTGAAAAAGAAAGTTATTCGGAGCCGAAACGTAGTATTCCATAAGAATGAGATCATGGCAGATACAACTTATGAAGAATCTACAAGTGATGGTGTTGTTCATATTACACCAGGAAGCATTCCTACAGATGATGCCACAGGAGGAGGAATACCAGAATCAGAACGAGAAGAAGAAGAAGAGCCAGTCGTAGGGGATCAAGAGACAATTGTAGATGATAATAGTGATGTAGAGGGTGTTGAGCAGGGGGAGCCAGAGAACCCCATTCCACCCGAAGGAGTTGAACCTCAGTTAAGAAGGTCAACCAGAGAACGTCAACCATCTTCAAGGTACCCTAGTTCTGATTACATTTTGATTACTGATGAGGGGGAGCTAGAGAGCTTCCAAGATGTGCAATCTTGGAAAGACAGAGATTCCTGGACAAAGGCCATGCAAGAGGAGATGAATTCTTTGAAAAAGAATGACACGTATGAGCTGGTGAAACTTCCAAAAGGGAACAAAAGGGAAGAGAACATTCAAGAACAAATGGGTGTACAAACTGAAGAAAGATGATGGCAACCTAGTGAGATACAAAGCTTGATTGGTCGTCAAAGGCTCTACTCAAAAGAAAGGCATTGACTTTGATGAGATTTTTTCACCAGTTGTGAAAATGAGTTCTATTCGAGTTGTGCTAGGTCTTATCGCCAATTTGAATCTTGAGTTAGAGCAGCTTGATGTAAAGATCGCATTCTTGCATAGGGATCTAGAAGAAGAAATCTATATGGAACAACCAGAAGGATTCAAGGTCAAGGGAAAAGAGGACATGGTTTTTCGCCTGAAGAAGAGCTTGTACGGGTTGAAACAAGCGCCGCGACAATGGTATAAAAAGTTTGATTCTTTCATGGTAAAGCAGATGCAAGATCCTTGTGTAAGGTCCAAAATCCCTGAGGTAATACATTCTCTGCTTACTTATATGAAGCAATCGTGGACGCAGATGCCACGAACAATACAAGTTAAAGAGTGATGCAAAGCATTTGGAAGGAGTTTGGCGACAGCAAGCGAATCTCGAAGTGATGAGTATCCGAGGACAGAAAAGCCTCCGAGGTGTTGTATCGCAGGAAAAAGGTAGATGAAACGAGTTCTGATAGAGGTTCAAATAGAAAACTAACCAGGTACACCTGTTCCCGCTTACTTCAATTGAGTAAGAAATCCTACCCATCAACAGAGAAAGAAAACGAGATAGTCAAATGTTCCATACTTAAGTTCGAGTTTGATTGACGCAATATGTTACAGACAATATCGCTCCATGAAGTTGGCTTGGAGCCGATTCGCGTCCAAACCCCAAAGACACATGGGAATCAGTGAAGTGATCTTCAATACCTGAGAGAACTCAAGTTATGTTAATTTTGCAGTGCAAAAGTCTGCACTTTGTACACAGAAGCCGATAGGCCAGTGATCTTGGATGAAAAGAAAATCTACATCAGATACTATGTACAGTTGCTCAGGGGGAGCTATTTCATGGCAGTCAGATACAGAAATGGTTCGTTATCAAGTGACTGAAGCAGAGTACGTTGTCAGGAACGGAACAGAAAGGAAATGCTTTGGTTAAAATGCGACTCCCAGAATGGGTGTGCAAGCAGGAAGAAAGATAGTGTTTATGTAAAAGTTACAGTGCGTTTAGAGCATGTATCATGCACGAACGAAGCACATTGATGTAAGATATCATTGGCTTAGACTTGCCATTGAAGAGAAGCAGTTCCAGTTGCGGAAAATCCACACAGACAAAAATGTTGCAGATATATTAACAAAGGTCATTCCGAAGGAGAAGTTCGAACTGTGTGTCAAAGCGGCAGGAATGTAGAGTCCCACCATGTAGTCGGGAGGGGGAGAATTGTTATGGGATCCTTCTAACATGTGGGACACACAAGTTTGAAGAAAGAAAAAAAAAAGTCACGTTTTTTTTTTCTTGTTCAAAGAAGGTTGTGCGCAATTGGATGCATTAATTGCGCGCAGTCGGTGGATCCGTTGATTAAAGCATCCCCTTCTCCTATAAATAGGAGAAGGTTTTCCCTAAACTAATGTACAAAAACAAAAGAATAAAAATATATAGAGTTTATAGAATTTTAGGAAGGGGTTCCTAAAATTGAAAAAGAGAGAAAATAGGGAGGATTATAATTTTTGGGTGTTTTTTGGAAACATTTAGAGTACCACTATTTTTGTAATCTCTTTTGTACCTACTATTTTTAGTAGAAAAATTATTCGGAGTTTTTGTCCCGTGTCGGAGTTTCTTCTGTCCCATGAACGATAGAAGCCATATACCAGTGAAAAGAGGTTGAGTCACCCTAAATCTCGGTCGTTCTTATTTTTTTCACTCTGGCACTTTCACAGGTAATTATTTAATTCTTTATACGTCGCGATTATGCTGTTTTTCTGTGGGATTCGCGCTTGAGTAATGTTCAAATTACGTCCAATACGTAATTTAGTGGCGACTCACGACATCTTTTAATACGAGAGAGGTCTCACATACTCGGATCACTCGTAGTAAGATCCCAACAGTTATAAATCGCATTACTCTTCACCAATACTAAAAAGAAAAGAAATAGTTGTAATGATATAATTAAACGTGTCGATCTATGTGCTTGATTAATATTTATTTGAATGTGAAATTTAAGCTAAATAGATATTAAGTTAAATAGACTAATTCAATTACAAATCGCTAACTAATAGTCACACTTAACATATGTAACGAATAAATTGTATTTGAGATGGTCTAATAGCAAATCCGTCGAATTGGACTATGATTATCACGTCTTGTAGACGTCATACATTCCTTAACTCACTCAACCGACTCTGCTTTTTTTATGATGGTAAGGCTCATAGGATAAAGTTTTCAGCGTCGACGAGCAGAGAAAACAAAAGAAACATAATAACCGAAAAAAATAAGAACACGTTTCGTTAATTCATTTCTATCTACCTTAGCGTGATGTAGAAAAAAAATAGGAATATACAGAGAGAGATATACAAAATGTGTGGCATCTCAAAAGGTATATATACAAAAAACATACAAATCACACGAACTTACCATAATAAGAGTACCACTATTTTTGTAATCTCTTTTGTACCTACTATTTTTAGTAGAAAAATTATTCGGAGTTTTTGTCCCGTGAACGTAGCCCATAACAGTTGAAAGGTGAGTCACATAAATCTCGGTGTTCTTATTTTTCATCTGGCATTCACGGTAATTATTTAATTTTTATCGTGGTTATTGTTTCTGGTGGATTCGAATGTCAATATCCAATACGTAATTATCGGAGCATTTTTTCGAGGGCCCTACTCGGATCAGTTATAATCCCAACAGTTATAATCCATCTTCCTAATACTTAAAAAGAAAAAAAAAAGTTATGATATATATTAAATTGACATATATCCTGATTAATTTTATTTTGATTGAAAATTTCAACTAAAGATAGAATTAAAGTTTTAAAGACTAATTCAATTCATTAACTAAGTCCTTAACATATGTAAGTATTTTAATGGTATGAATCCTCGAATTGACTATGACCATCGTAACCAATCTAATCTCAACCGTCCATTTTGTTGATAAGGCTAGATAAAGTTTAGCTGCACACAGAAAAAAGAAAAAAAGAAAAAAAGACACGTTGATAATTCATTTTTCTACTAATGGAGAAAAAAAAGTATAACGACAATTAACCATATAGTTGATATCTAAGCCTTGAAAAGGAAATGACCAACAACATGAAGAAGTTACATTCAAGTCTCATTTCCATTTCATTTGGCATGAATTTACTCTACATTTTACGTCTATATAAAGAAGGCAAAGGCGCCATTGAAACTCAGGAAAAAAAAAAGGTTAGTAAGGTAGCATCCTCAGTGTTGCTAATTTTACTTCCCCAAAAATCCTCAAAAACGAGTAAAGTGGTCAAACCTTATAAATGGCTCCAGGAGTTTCGGTGGACGTATTTTCGGGTTCCGGCAAGGTATCAAGCTTGAGCACAGGCTACTCAAAAAGGGCATACGTCACGTTTTTAGCTGGTGATGGAGATTATGTGAAAGGAGTGGTTGGATTGGCTAAAGGTTTAAGGAAAGTGAAAAGTGCATACCCTCTTGTTGTTGCAATATTAGGTGATGTTCCTGATGAACATCGCCAAATCTTGGAGTCTCAAGGTTGCATTGTTCGTGAGATTGACCCTATTTATCCACCAGAAAATCATATTCAATTTGCTCATGCCTATTATGTCATTAACTACTCCAAACTCAGGATTTGGAATGTAAGTATATATTTTATCTTTTATCCTTTTTTTCTGGAGACTAATCTGGTTTCGGAGTTCATTTCTGCCCCTTCCCATAAAATGTTTTGATGTTTTTAGTTGATCTCGGAGCATATCATTCTTTAATTAGGGTTTTAAAGATTTCCTACACAGAAACAATTTTTCAAAGACGTACAAATTTAAAAAGTTAGGCTTTGTTCCACGATAACTTTTGTTAGTTCTTAGCATTTTGAATAAATGTTATTTTTTGTGTATTCGGTAATATAGCATTTAAATTAATTTTTATAAAAGATTTCCTAAGATAGAACCAATTCTTCGAAGACTACAAATTTAAAAAGTTAGGCTTTGTTTCAACAACAACTGATTAGTTAATTTTTAGCGTTTTCACTAAATGTTATTTTTTATATATCCAGCAATATAAAATTTAAACTAGTTTTTATGAAAGAGTAATCATGTGCATTTAACTTTTAACATTTTATAAAAAGTTACTCAAAAAAAAGTGAATTCTACTAAAACAGCTAATTTTAAGGTACGGGGATCAAGAAAAAGCGCACAGGACACCATGCACTTAGCATTTTTAATGCATAAAGAGCAAATTATGGTAATTAATTATGGATTAATTACTGAATTATGCAATTAATGAAAAATTGCTGTTACAGTTTGAGGAGTACAGCAAGATGATATACTTGGATGCCGATATCCAAGTGTTCGAGAATATAGATCATCTTTTTGACACTCCAGATGGTTACTTTTATGCTGTTATGGATTGCTTTTGTGAGAAAGTATGGAACTATTCCCTTCAGTACAAAATTGGATACTGTCAACAGTGCCCTGATAGAGTTCCGTGGCCGGCGGATATGGGCTCTCCTCCTCCTCTCTACTTCAACGCCGGAATGTTTGTTTTCGAGCCCAGCCGCTTGACTTATGAAAACCTCCTTCACTCTCTCAAGATCACCCCTCCAACTCCATTTGCAGAACAAGTATGTTTTTAATTTTTATTAATCACCATAAAAAAATTTCCATTACTTTTTTTTTTCTTTTCCAAAAATAATACAGGACATGAGAAATTCTTAAATTAAATTCATCACATATTGTGTAATGATGGTTAAAGATTAGACTTTTATATCCATATAAAATTTATCATGAATGAATGTTCTAAATTTATTAATGACATGTCTCATTCTGATAGATTTTCTTTTTATTGGTTAAATATGAAATACAAAACGTATGTGTAGGTAAGAGATAGAACACACTCTAATTTTGATATTATCACTTATTTTCAGGATTTTGCTGTCACTTTAGCCATCAAAATTTAGGTTTAGGAAAAGAATAAAGATAAAAGCAAGACTCATTATAGAAAATTAACTATTACTTTTTTTTTTTTTTTTTTTCGATACTGAAGTTATAAAGACCCCAATTGACCAAAAAACTGTAACATATGTGTAAATGCAAGGTATAAGAAGAATAATAAAACTATCACATACAGCGAATAATTGATATTATCAACTCTATTCTCAAACGATCTTGCGATAGTCACTTTTAGGCTCATCGAACAAACAGATAAGATATATTAATATCGTTATCATCGGCATAAAGAAATTTCTCATTAATGTACCGACTAATGCGTGACATGAACATATCCCATTACCATATGTGCGTGCTTAATTACAGTAAATTTACTTTTCCTTTTATTTTTTTTTTATTTGAGAACAGATAGTTACTGTTACAACTTTTAATTATTATAGCTACTCTCACAACAGGATTCTTATGTATCCAAACTCACTCACACATTAAATACTATTTCTCATTACTATTTCAATCTCGCTCTCAGTGAGTGAACACCAATAGAAATTAGATACTCAATGGCACACTTATCTCTTCATGGTGGCTATTGATAGTATATATAATGAATAAGACATTAATTACAATAATGCCACTATACTCCATTCCATGGTTATTTTTTTTTTTTTTTTTTTTTGAGAAACAGAAAGTTACTGTTACTATAATACTACTTAGATAGTGGTACTAATCTTTTTTTACTTTTCTTGTGAACAAAAATGACAGGATTTTTTGAATATGTTCTTTGAAAAGACATACAAGCCACTTCCTCCAGTTTACAACCTGGTTTTGGCCATGTTATGGCGTCATCCTGAGAATGTGGAGTTTGAGAAGGTTAAGGTTGTCCATTACTGCGCTGCTGTAAGTATACGAGTAACAATAATAGTACCCTTCTTAATTAATTAATTAATTAATTAAGCTCATTAAATTAAATATTTATATAGGGTTCAAAACCATGGAGGTACACCGGAAAGGAAGTAAACATGGACAGGGAAGACATCAAGACACTAGTGAAAAAATGGTGGGATATATACAACGACGAGTCGCTTGATTTGAGGGCTGAAAACTCAGTACAAACAGGAGAAGAAACTTTCTCAAGAACATCTATCATGGCTTCCATGCCTGAGCCTGCCATTGCCTATATCCCTGCACCTTCTGCTGCTTGAAAAATCATCTTACTCTCTCTCTTCCTCTATATAATATATATTATTATATATATATATATATTTCAATTGTTTGGATCGTATTCCCTTTAATATATTTCAATGTTTGGTGTATTCCTTAATTTATATATAGTTATATCTTTTGTTTTACTTTTTTTTTCTCGTTTTTGGAGGCTAGCTAGATATGCTTGGCCTTGTTTTGTCGTTGTGTCGTAACTTCACACTAAATACGTACAGTGTGGACAAAAGGGTGTATAAATAACTTTTTAAGCTTGAAATATATAATTAACTTTTATAATATACATATATATGGTTGAATTAATTTATTTTATTATGTCCTGATCTTGTTGAATTTCTCGGACCACGAATACCGCAAGACGAGATAAGAAAATATACACATACATACATACATAACTTTCTTTTAGCTTCCTGATGGGAATGGAGCTGGACCATCGCATCGTGCCTAGAACCATCGATCTTGGCGATAAATTTCTCAATCGGGGCCCACTAAGGAACATTCCAGATTTTGGAAACTCAAAAGCACTTCTCACTACCGAAGAAAGCAAATCCCAAATGGATCGTCGTATTCATAGAAATCGACACATTCAACTTCATTCGGTGAAAAGGGAGTGTCCGGTGGTGGTAGATTCACAACCAAAAAAGAGGGAGAAACCACTCAGGTAACGACATTTTGCAATCAATAATGCTATTTTTCAAAACAATTATAAAACAATATATATTTTTAAATTTTTTATCCTCTTCTTCCTAGGCAAAATAACAAATATATTCCATAGTACTTAATGATCCAAATATTAGCTCTCTAATGTAATCAATAAGATGGGAAATATACAGCTTCAACGCGAGACATAATATTATTTAGTAGTTAATCGAAGTAACTAAATGCATCCTCACCTTCCTCGAATTCCATATCTTGAGAGTTCGAATTCCAGAAGCAGTCTCCTTCGAAAAGAAGAGGTGCCACTGCCACATCTTTGCTTCTCTGAGATTTTTTATCATTCACATCTATAATTGAAATGATTTTCTCCTTAATAATTTCTTCAACAGTTTCTCCTCTAATTTCTCTTGATTGCAAACCAAGAAGAGAAAAACATTCTTCTTGAAAGTCTGGATCATTAGATGACAACACAAGACCCGCAATGGATCTTGCAAGGTCAGGAGCATAACTACGAACCTGAAGATTATGATACTTTCAAATTTAAGTACAAAAAGCAGACATAATTACATAAATTACTAGATAATATATTTTCATTTTAAAATGCCGAAATAATAATTACTGTCACAAACAAGTAGCTACATCGTGTCCACGGTTCAGGAAATAAAGGCCAAATGGATTTGCATATTTTATACTTTTTGTTCCAAAATTTAAACTTAGTTGTTTCATTAATAAGTGTGTTATAACATTTCTACTAATTTTCTTTTTTTCTACAAGCTTTTAAAGAATCTACAATAGATAGACAGAATTACCTTGATGGCATTTTCACTTACAAGAATTCCGGCATGTTTCTCCTTCAAATCATCTAATGCAAGTTTAACAGCCCTTTTTATAAGATGACGATTAGTTCGAGTCATAGGCCTTGCTGATGGCGATATTACTTCCTTGGCAACAAGTCAAGGAAAATATAGCGTTGCAAGTACAACAATAGACACATATAGGAGCAGAAGTGATGAATGTAGCATAAAGTTTAAGCAAATATATAAAGTATATAATTCAATGAACACGGATATTGCTTATGGTAGCAGTGAAGGACCATAACCATACGAGTATGAGCTGGTAAGTTTGCCCCTATTGGCAAGTTACCTCCTTCATCCACATTGTTCCCTAAAGTTAATCCATAACTTTTCCAGTCAATGCTAGTCAATGCATTTTGGAGGGATTCAGAAATTGGACAAGGTTTGAAATCTTCAAAATACAAGACCTGGAAATTAGCAGGACAAACAAATGCATGTAAGAAGAGCAATAGATATTACAAAAAGCAATACTATTACACGTGCAACATTAATGTATGCAAAAAAAAAGCATTTCATCAATTACCAAATCCCTGAAAACCGGAGACTACCCCTGTTGCAAACGTAAAAATTCATTCAACATTGGGACTTAATACTTACTAGTACATAATAAAATTGGGAAAGGAGATTAGAATCACTTAGGCTGACCACCTAGTTTAGATGTTTTCTTGATCTTGAAATCTAAATTTCAAATTTCAATTCACTGTTCGTAATGTAAAGTTGTAGACTCCTATAGATCAAGAAAATTCATTCATATTATGGTGTTTGATGTTACAACTTACAGCTGTCAATATACTATTGCATTTTAGAATTCATCATGCACACATCCAACCATTTGAAATTTGAGAGTATAGACCAATCCATTCAAAACAAACAATATCAATGGAATCTTTCAATTTCTAATATATGTTGACTAGCAGAGTCATTTAGGTTCTTACAATCCTTTATCTAACCAGTGCTCTGACATTTCCTTAGATTCATTGTGACTTCACGTCTCAGCCTACAGTTGACCAGGAACTAAAGCTTAGGAGGAAGAATCACTCAATTTAGTCATTAGGCCCAAAATAATAAAAAGTAGAAATGACCGTCATTTTCAACCTTCTGCATTTTGTAGCAAGGATGCATTATTATTTTAGGTTTTCCAATCCCACTTTCCTTAACTTTGCAACTTGCCTTTTGCTGGCACATCTTATCAGAATATATCCCACAACATTATAAATAGAAAAGGAAAATCGTAAAGGAGCAGAAAGAGAGGGGAAAATAAATTGATATGTACATCTGTTTTTGAGCTGCATTTCCCATATGAAGGGCAGGTTGGCTCTAACTCACTTATTATAATTACCACTTCCATCATCAGTCCAGGTCCAGAACTCCTATGGCTTTCCAGGCTGCATGCTGTTCCATTCCCAACCTTAAGATTTTCCCTGTAAAGAAATTTAAAAAGAAAGTGAAACATCTCCACCATATCTTAACTACATGTTTCAGAAATAAATGAAACCTGTAACTTCATGATAATGCATTAAAACTTTGCCCATAAAAATTCAGAGTGAAAGTTCAATATTGAATAGAAAGCCTGCTAAAAGCAAAAGTGATATAATTTGACAAATAAAGAAGTCTTCAATTCAACTTCCTGCAATGGTGATAATTCTTATGAAATTTACATCCTGCAATGGTGACCATTCTTAAGAAATTTTGGTGATCCTAGAGAAAGATACATGTCTACAACATTCAGATGGTAATGCACCTGGACAAATTGAAATTTTCTACAAGAGTGATGTGAAAATATGAGTTTCTTTATGTGTGTATTTATAGAGCATAAAACTTGTCACATCAATCAAGTGAAAGTTCTTTCTCATGCACTTTAAAGTCATTAAAGACTGCCATCAACCTTCCTCCATTTCACCAATTCCTTGTAAATTCTGCTCCTAAGAACCTAATTAATCATGACAGTGTTTGGAAAGGACATTTAAAGTGATAATATGTATACAGAAAGAGAGAGGGAAAGAGCTGGGGAACCGCAATACAACATCTATACAGAGAATGAAGGTTGAATGTCCATTAGAAAGGTGAATTCTAAGGCCTACATTGTTCAGTAACCCAAAGATTTTGGGGTCAGAAGAACTGGAACGTAAATGAAGGCAGGACAGGAAAGCTTGATCCACACTGCTACCTGAAGTCAGTGAATTGACTCAAGGCATTTGCAGAGTTGCATGCAAATATATTGAATCTGAAAACTTTTAGTTCTCAATCAGAAAATCTAATATATAACTGAGTTGTGAACTGTTATAACAACTCCTGAATGAATGTAGAAGAGTCCAATTATGAACATGAAGCTTCCATGAATGGACTATGAGCTCACCCAGTTGGAAAGCATGAATTACAAGTTTGATTTAACATATGTCCATGCTTTAAAACATAATCTTCAAGACCAGATGTCAGATGCTCAACATTTGATATTGAAAAAGGCAAGGGATAGCTGTCATCTGCTAGAAAGAAATGTTCACTGTGTGATCCAGGGACATCCTCGCGTTCAACCACCATTTCAATTGCAACATTCTGGAACAAAATGAAGTTGCTCAGCTGCTCAGCATCACAATTTACCATAACAGTTGGGCAAATTAATCCATCTCTATACATTGGAACTGTTACTATATATTACAGATATATCCTGGTTTAAAAAATTTTCTATGTCCTAATAGTCATCCATCTCAATAATCATACAAATGCATAGAGCTTATCTCATTGCAGTCTTGAGATAAATCTTCTCTCCATACCCGCCCAACAATACCCAAAAAGGAAAAAGAAGAAAAAAAACCACAAAAAGAAACATGCCTTCAGTTCCATTAACAAACTCTGTTTGACATAGGCAATAACCCAATAACATGAATCATTCAATAAAAAGAGCAATAGAGCTGCAACTTTAACTTACAGAGATCTTTAGAATGAGAATCTGTAAAAGAAATAAAAAGAAAATTGGGGTCAATAGTGGAAGCATTCAATAAGAGATCACTTGTGTTGTAGAAAAATATGGAATATTCAAAGTTAGAGCAAGGATTATTAATGCAATAACAATAGTTGTAAATAAGTTAGTAAGCCCAAGAAAGCTTATTCTGAATTCCTAATATAACAAGAACTTATCTGTGCTGATAGCATTAAATTAACAAAATATAGTGCTTGCTACAAAAGCAATGCAAAGTTAATCCTCTCAGATTGAAACTCAACAATGTAAAATAAGAGGGTTAGCTTAAGACACCAATTTGGGCACTGTCAGCCACAAACTTGCTTCACAGAACAAAATATTCAGAAGTATCCCAAGAGCTCTTTAAACTCAACAATGTATACTGGTATGATACTACTTGCTTTCTTCTTTAAGTTGTGTTGACATCAACTCGATCCTGGTTGAAGTAGTATCTTACTCAATGCCTTACCAAAAATTTCAATGTAGCAACAACTTAGCACCAATGCTACACCCAATGAAGGTGATGATTATTGAAAATTATGAGCTACTATCTCTAAACATCTTCAGAAATAAGTTTGCAACATTGTGTCCATCTTCATTCTTTTTTCCTTTTGTATAATGTTGTGCTGGTAATAATGAAAAATGAAATGGTCTAACAGGTACAATCAATTGTCTTAGGAGGGCAAAGCCTACTCTTACAAAATGTAATAAGATAAAACATATTAGCTTATGTGACATGACACTTCAAACTTCTAGAATAGCCAACAAACCTTGTGAAAGAAGCAATTGATCTGTGACACTAAAATATCAAGTCTCTCAGAAATGGATAGACGTGCTTCAGTCCCACTGCATAGAGGAATTGTACCAAATATTACAGATGGGGTGCTAAAAAAACAACAATATGAAAGGTCCAGAACTAGAAGTATATTGCATGCCTGAATTTTGTGCCATTCTTTGGATTTGAAGGTAGCCGAGTCAGTCTTCTGCTAGAAATGGTTTCTCTTAGATTTAAAAGGTAATGATACACCTCATTATCACAAAAGCCTGCAGTCTCCACAGACAATAGCAGATAAAACTGAAACTAGATAGAAAGAGGAATATCTATCATCAATTAAATCACATTTCTAGCTGGTAGCCTATCAATTATGATGCGAAATGACTTCCCTAAAAAGAAAGGGAAAAAAAGAGCAGGAGAAGAAGAAAAAGAAAATACACAGCCTTAATTAAGCAATTCCCTGGGTTATAACTAATAAGTACAATATATCATGCTTATGATTGTTAAAATTTGCAGGTCAGAGAAAAGAAATTGAAATATTAAGGAAAAAACAACATAATAATTGATGAAGCTTTAAATCCTAATATAAGAGTTAGAAAGCCTGTGTGACACTGTGACTCGAAGCATTGTGATCATAATCATGTGACACAGTCAATGTGGCAGCCAGCAATTCACTACTTTTTTGCGATTTAAATGACAACAATTTCAATACCGTTACCCTAAGACAATGAGAACTTACTGGTAGTCGTTACAGAAAGCAATCCATCTGCACCAGAAAGATGAAACAATACATTAAAATGGACAATGAAATATAGCTTTCTGCCTACGATTTGATAATTCGATGTCCTTTACCATAATAAAAAAGAAACAAATACATATATATTAGTTTCTTTTTCTTTCCTTTTGCTTTGTCTTTGGATTGTTAGAATAATGATTCAAGCTCTTAGTTCTTACCCCATATTTCGGCATTAATGGCTTCCATTCTGCACCTCAGGTTCTGAAACTCTTCCAAGCTGCTTCCAATGCCAGTATCAGAAACTGAAAAAAGAAAAAGTTAGGCAAAAGATGTACTAGCAGTTCACTCGCTAGAATTGAAACTATAACAGAAAAATCAAACAGATAATAAGCAATTCACAACAGAGATAGAGAGTAATTTACTCGAAATTTGAATAATGGGAAGATCAGAAGCTGGAGATGATTTGAGAAGAACAGAGAGTCTACAAATATCGTCAGATACACGGCATCTTTGGAATGCAGAAGAAATTAACTGCAAAATTACATGAATTTTCTATTTTTTATTTAAATGAAAGAATGAACGAGACTACCAAAAAAAAACCGGATGGTTGATATTTTTTTCAGAAGCTTTGAGGCTCTAGTGAAGCTGATTCTAACTCACTTGTATACAGAGCTCTGACACCGAAGAAGAAACCGCCATTTGAGAAATTTATGTGTGCGAGTCGTAGAAAAAATGAGAAATGAAAGAACCTCCCGCGCGACGTTGAACAAAAAGGTGTGCTACAAAAACAACATTAGAATGAATGCACGATTACCTGTGAAAACGACGGCATTTTCTTTTTGATAAAGCGTTAAGCATCAATCTCGTCTCGTGTACGTCTTTTCTGGTGGGAGTTAAACGACACGACGTACTGTTTGCCAAGAATTTGTATCCGTGTTTCTTTTGGAGTCTTTTTCTTTTTTCTTTTTCTAAAATACTCTGATCTACACCACCTGAGCAGCTTATTCTTTTATTCACTTAAATTAATGAAAATTTTGAGGACTCAAATATAAGATCTCTTACTTACCATATTAATGAGAAAACTAACCAAATCAATCTGATTGACATCTTTTTTATTAATACATGTATGCATATGACATGTGTAATATATTGTCATTGATCTTGGAAAATCTAATAAATAAAACATATAACAACTATAATTAGTACTCAAACTATGATTGGAATACTTAATTAATCCTCTCTAAGGAGATCAATCCAAAAAAAAATGGAGAGATGTTATGGTCCAAAATTATGAAAGCAAGATATTTTTTTTTCTTTCAAAAATATGAAATCACGTTTGCTTTGAGTTAAAGTCAAAAGATGAATGGTATAAACATGAAATTCCAAGTCAAGGTAACCAAGCATCGAGTTCATCTCATCTTAAGAGACTTATTTTTTTGCTTGATCTATAAAATCATTGGGAATGCTTAATTAATAATTTGAAGAATCGTGAGAATATTATAAATTTATTCTTATTTTATAATATAAAAAAACATACAAATAAATGACATAAAGAAACATGTATATTTTTCATTTGTAGTGTGTTTTTTAAAGTCCTTTTAGTATGTATTAATGTTGGCCTAAAGCAAAACCTAAGAGGAAACTCAAAGTCCACCTTTAATCTAAATTATATATATGAGAGAATCGTTGAAGAATAAATTATAAATTTATTTCTTATTTTTATAATTATAAAACATACAAATAAATGACATAAAAGAAAACATGTATTATTTTCATTTGTAGCTGTGTTTTTTAAAGTCCTTTAGTATGTATTAATGTTGGGCCTAAAGCAAAACCTAAGGAGGAACTCAAAGTCCCACCTTTAATTCTAAATTATATTATATATATATATATATATATATATATATATATAATATATATTATATATATATATATATATATAATATATATATATATTAAATATTAACTGAATTCTACCTAACATTAAATTCTAGTAAACTGAGGTGCTTCAAATCATAAAAAAATGAATTTTTATATATATATTAAATATTTACCTGAATTCATACCTACATATAATTCTAGTAAACTTGAGGTGCTCAAATCATAATAAAAATGAATTTGAGGTGCATGAGTGATATTTTGCAAAATTAGGTTGCAATGGAGTTTTTTTTTTATTATTATTATTATTATTAAGTTTAGGAGGGCAATCTATGAATTTAGCCATTAAACATTCAACATTTATTAAAATTGTGGATAGTTCAAGCATGTGGGTAGTTTACATAGAAAGTGAAGCTTTTGTAGCATTTATCGTACTCTACGGTGAAGCTGCCGCCAAATAAATAATCACATGGAAAATGACAGTTGCTATTCAACCTAACCTTTCAATAATTGAAGAGTTTCAATTCATATCAAACCGAAGTTTTCATCAACATACTTGTTTCTTTCTCAACCAATTCAGTTTTACAAAGTAATTTTACCTCCAACTTTCTAATTAAGATCTGATTATTGGAGTTAACCGGCAACTAATTATATATACTCTTAGGGATTATTTGTTGAGCTGAATTTTAAAAGTTTATTCGGTAAAATAAATTGTTTAGAGTTAATGATACAGTGTAATTGGTTTTGATTTATATAATTATTTATAATTCCTTATATTATTATTAATAATGAATTATATTAAAAAAAAAAAAAACATTTTGAGGTTGAATTACCGAATCAAAAACTGACTCAACAAATTTGATTTTAGATAAATGATTCAGGAATCGGTTTGAAAATAAGTCAAACCTACATGGCCTACCAGTTAGGTTGTTGTTTAGATGCCTACCGGTTAGGTTATACGTATACAGTATTATCCCGCGACGTGTATACTATTCTATACCCCTACTAAATACAATACTCATCTTTGTTTTGTTACCAGACACACATTAAAGTCAAAGTATAAAAATAATTCGAACTCATATATTTTAATGTTGAATTTGGTTTGATTTGATTCAAAAGTTTCTTAAAAAAATAAAATTCAAAAGTAATTTTTTGAACCAAATTTAGAATATAAATTTTAAACTTATGATCGATTTACCTAATTTTGGAGGAAAACTAAATAACAAAATCTTAAGCTCTTAATTTGTAAAATAACAAAAAAAAACATTTAAACATCAGAATAAAAAAAAAAAAAGCTGAAAATGGTGAAGAATTCTCATTCGTCTTCAACATCTTCTATTTTTGAAAATAAAAAATCTTCTGTTTTCAAAAATAGGATAAATTAATATTAATTTTGAATTTTATGTGCTCTTACCATTAATTTTTGACCAAATCTAAGGAATGTTCGATTTAGTTAATTCATGCAATAATCAGTTGGTTTACACCTAACACTTAAACCATACGGATTTAGTAAGAACTTTTTAATAAGGATGAGATGGCTTGCTTGACTAAATCTCACGCCGAATTTGACGGGTCTAGTAAAAACTTTAATACAACTAATTGCTAATATAAATCTAATTAATTGTGTTTTTGAGTTTTTTTTTCTATCAAGTGATTCCCTAATTTGTATTAGCATATGTTAACTTCATAAAAATAATTATTGTTAATTTTTTTAAATTAATATTTTTATGTGATTATTTTATTTATAATTATTTAAAATAGAAAACAACTATAAAAAAATATTATAAAAAAATTAACTGTATGTTAATTTTATGACATATTAAATAAAAATAAATAATATAAACAAACAAGTGAACAACCAATATTCTTAATGGTCATATGACAAAGGACCGCACCTTTTTCATATTCTCTCTCTTCTGTACTGAATCCACGCAACTGGGCGTTTTTCGACAAATAACTTCTTATTACTGCGGATAAAAGCCCTCCATTTTATTTTATATAGTGGGTCAGCGATGGGTTAGGTGCAGTGCAGATTGGCTGGTATAGTAGTTTCAGCTTCTGGGTATTATAAAATTTCGACTCTGTGGCAGTTGAAACTGTTAACACAAACGGAGAAGAAAATGGATCAAAGACAGACTGCAATTGTAGACAATCCAGACCCGAGCCAATCTCTTGGTCAAATATCTCATTTGGCCCTCGATATCGGAGGTAATCTTGCACTTTCTTTCTTATTTCTAATCTTTTAAGGTTTATTTGTTTATTTCTTTAATGAAGTTTGATTTCTCAATAATATGGAATTTGGGTTCATCCAACATCACATTTACCTCGTATGTATATTGAATCATATAATATAGGGAATTTGGGTTCATCCAACAAATCACATTTACCTGTATGTATATTTGAATCATATATATTATATATAATTATATTATATATATATATATATATTGTAATCATTAGTTGGAAACATCAGGACAAGCATATCAAGTGAAAGTTGAATACGCTGCTATAATTGCTAAAGATATTACAACATGCTGCTGTTTATTTATTTAGGAAAAGACCAACGTGAATCTTTAGAGTTGTTGGTTTCAGGATCTCTCGATCAAGGCTGGTGGCTTATTTTTCAAGAAATAGGCATAGTTCTGTTGCATCATAAAGGGGAGAAGCTCTTCAAATATAATCCTGGAGTTTTCAATGGTAATAGGAAAGCATACATGTTCTTAAAAATATATATATATATATATATATATTGTAATTCATTAGTTGGAACATCAGGACAAGCATTCAAGTGAAGTGAATACGTGCTATAATTGCTAAAGATATTACAACATGTGCTGTTTATTTATTTATGAAAAGACAAGTGATCTTTAGAGTTGTGGTTTCAGGATCTCTGATCAAGGTGGTTTATTTTTCAAGAAATAGGGATAGTTCTGTTGATCATAAAGGGGAGAGCTCTTCAAATGATAATCCTGGAGTTTTCAATGGTAATAGAAAGCATACTGTTCTTAAAGGAAAGCTCCATTTTGCTAAGTTTGAGACAAGCAAAATAAATGACTGCTTGGAGTTTATTAGTTCCAAGAAACATCACCTTGGCGGTATGTAATTTGTTTATGGGCTGTGTATTTATTGTCAATTCAAATTGTTAACATGTTTGCATCTTTCAGTGGCTTGCTTTATATGAGAAGGTTTTTAATAGTTTTCTTTTTGGTGCAAATAGTCCAGCTGAAGATTGTTCATAATTTTAGAAGCTCACTTGATTTAGGCTCAACTAATCTTTGCAGACGTCATACATGTCTTGGTTAGGCTCAAGTTTTTTCATGTTTCAGATCTTAGACTTCTAATTTGCTAATGTAGATGAGTAGTAATGCGTATGCTTGGCTTCTCAGGCAAGCAATTCCCCTCCAGGTCCACTTTTGCTCGACTTTATAGCGAGTATGCACCACTCATTAAGCCCCCTATCACAGTCTCAAATGTCGATTCTGTGACTTATGTTGTCAACCTTACTGCTGGCCTTGTTTGATTGCCGAGTAGCTCTTAAAGTCAACCTGAGGAATTAGAGTCTCGGTTCAGTTGCTTTATGCTGCTTTTGATTCATTGGAAAAGTTTTATATGGCACAAGGAGTAACAGCATTTTGTGGGAACACCAAAATGGGATGGATTTTGGAAATGGGCAGTTCATTTTCCTAAGTAGTTTGTTCTGAGATATTTTTGGAAAATCAGGCATGAGTAAGAAATATTTGTTTTATATATGTTCGTAATGAACTGTTTCCAAAAGTTCAATAAATCATTTCAAAATGTTACATATAACTTGGTTGATAACTCATTTCATTGCTATACTCGCAGTTGGCTTTTTCATAGAGTTGCTTTTAGATGCACATATTTATATGCATTTTTTTAGCTGTTTCTTTTCATTTGCTGATAAATGAAACTGAACTCAGGTTTCCAGCATCATGAAAATCCTGCCAAAGACAAGAAATTCATTAAGGTATGAGTAATTTTGTGTGTGGACGAACTGTGATTTTTATAAGAAGCTGGATGACTAGACTAGATTGTGTGTCCTATTATGAAGCTAGGGGTTCTTCTCATACTATAATCAAAGATTAATGGATAAAGAATCCTCTTTTTTAGTTGCTTGTTGATTCCATATTTTCTAGTTTTAAGCCCCAGACTTCCTTCCCAGTGTTCACATGATGCCTTTTAAACTCCTGCTTCAGTGCATGGCATATTCAACATGCTAAACTAATTACATAGAATTTCACAAAATTTTACATAATTTTCAAGGGTACTTTCAGGTACTTTTTTTTATATGGGGTGAAATAGAACCACTGATTTTGGTGAATTGTTCAGTGTTTTATGCATTGGGATTGATATCTTGGACTTCTGGCATGTACATTTTGGAGTATGCAAATCTATCAACTAATTGTTGTTTGTGTGAAGGCCACAGGTGGTGGGGCATACAAGTTTGCTGAGCTTTTCAAAGAAAAGCTTGGAATTGGTCTTGACAAGGAAGATGAAATGGATTGTCTTGTGGCAGGAGCAAATTTTTTGCTTAAGGTGAGGTCTTAAAGCCACATACATTTGGTATGAATTGGTATTCTTCAAAATTTTTGAGTCCTCTTGTCTAGAACAAAGTTTCCCCCTATCTATTTTTACCTGACTTTTCTTGTTAGGTTTGAGTTGTAGATGGCTGCATGCGCATCAATATGAATAGTCTGCTCTTAAAAATTTGTTTCACAATGAAGAATTTTAATTAATTACAAGCAGATTATGCATCTCATTTTCTTTAGATTTTTGTGGTGAAATTACATGAATGTTGTTTTGTATCCTTATGTTTGCTCTATGACTAGTGCTATATATCATTTGATCGGCTTGCAGGAAAGATGTGACCCCATAGTTGATACATTGAACCAATATTTTAATTGAACAAATGTATGTATCAGCCAAAGATGTTGGGTTCGATTTGATTGTCATTATTCATTAATGTATACAGTTTCAGAAAGCTATTGAAGCGTAGGAAGACTAAGCTTCAAGTAGCATCATGCATTAGGTCGCTGGTCAGCATATAAGGTAGTCTATTCTGTATTTTAGTCACCATCAGTAAGATAGTGTATTCTTAATATAGCCCTTGCCCGATTCGTATCATGTAGGAAATACATGTTTTGTGTGTGAGACGATTCATAATTGACCTTGTTCTAGGCTCTAATCTATCAGAGAGGGTCAAGCTAGTCATTTTCATATATCATTTTTTTATGTTTGCATCAAAAAAAGGATTTGAAAATTCTACTTCTTCTTTCACATTTGCAATGAATGCATCTCAAAAAATATAGCCACTGTCCAATCCATATATTGTAGGAAATACTTGTTTTGGGTGTGAGACTATTCATAATTGACCTTGTTTTAGGCTCTAATGTTTTCTCAAAAAAGGGGTTTGAAATTTTGTGCTTCTTGTTTAAATTTTGCTATAAATGCATCTCAAAAAATAGCTGATGAGAATCATGGTACAATGCAGCTACAGTCAGTGTTCAAAATTTTGTGTATAACTGTGCATCTGTTCTGTGGCTACCTTGCCTTTCCTCTTCAAACAAAACTTTTCTTTTTCTGTGTGCATAAAGGTGGGACGAAGATATCATCCGTATTGCATATGGAACTGCCATAACATTCTAATTTTTGTTAAAATTTTCTCATCATATGCTATAAAAAATAGTCCTACTATTTTTCTTGTTTATCTTACAAATGTTTAATCTGCATTGTGTTTTTCTTTGAGTAGGCAGTTCCTCGCGAAGTTTATACATATGTGGATGGCCATAAGGAATTTTTGCAGATTGACCACAATGATCTATATCCGTATCTCCTTGTGAATATAGGATCTGGTGTTAGTATGATCAAGGTACTCTTATCAGATTAGCTTACTTTCATTCGCAATATATATCTCCAAACTCTAAACCTTTTTTATATTTTAATTGATATTCAGATTTGTGTTTATATAGGTTGATGGAGATGGCAAATTTGAGCGAGTTAGTGGAACAAATGTTGGAGGTGGCACCTTTTGGGGTTTGGGAAGGTTATTAACAAGATGCAAGAGGTAATCTAACCTTTCTCCTATTTGTCTAATTTAATATTCCTTTATTATGTAGTTTCTCACTGGGTTCTGTAAATGTCTCTTGTCATAGTTTTGATGAGTTGCTGGAGTTAAGTCACAGGGGCAATAACCGAGTGATAGACATGCTTGTTGGGGACATATATGGTGGAACGGACTATTCAAAGGTGTAGTAGCTTCTTTTATTTAACTATTTTAACTTTTGGGTTGTTGCTATATATAATTGTGTCATCATTTTGAAGTGTCCACTCTGGATTACAACAGGGTCCTGCATTCCTTGTTATTTCCATCTTGTAATGCCTAACTGCGTCATATATTTATTCTGATGGATAGATCGGTCTTTCTTCAACAACTATTGCTTCCAGTTTTGGGAAGGCTATTTCTGACAACAAAGAAATTGATGATTACAAACCTGAAGATGTTGCCCGGTCCCTCCTGAGAATGATTTCAAATAATATTGGACAGGCAAGTTTCAGTGGAGCAGATCCTTGCACAATTGTTTAAATATTATATTATAAATCATGCTCGTCTGATCGCTGGGTAAAAAAAATGAAATCTAATGTTAATATTCTAAAAAGATACAGGAAAATCTATTTCCCCCTAACCCTAGACCAGAATTCGTTGCCAATCTTAGTCATTTTAGTGCCTTTTCATCTGTATGTGTGCTTCAGATGAAAAGTATGATTGGAACTATCTCGGCCAATATATTTGTTGCTAGAATCCTTTTTAGTTTGCTTAAGTTGGACGATTAACTTTGATATTTGTCCCATTTTCTATAATGGTATTGGCATCACCTTGAAAGGACATAGAATAGTTTGGGGCTTGAAACAAGATCCAAATGCAATCTGGCATATCCTTTGCCTATGCCTTTTCCCCATTCAGTGTATGGATCATTCAAAAAATTTTGCTTCCTTAGTGATTTAAGTGGCTGTATGGTGTTGATGCAGTTGCTGAACCAGAAGGGATCAATTGCTCTGTGTTCTTTCTGTGTCTGGGCTTATGTGATTGTATTTATTTTTTATGTATATTCTCTTTTACTCTTAAGATTCGCCATTAGGCATATCTTGCTTTGCAAACTGCTTCCTAGAATTGTCATCACCTTTATCTTGAGTATTTGTCAATTTGATCAATAGGGATACATGACATATTTGTAATTTGAATACTATTTCTGATAGCCTAATTTTATCTCTCTGCTTTCAGATCTCTTACTTGAATGCACTCCGATTTGGGCTCAAGCGAATATTTTTTGGAGGATTTTTCATACAAGGTCATCCTTATACGATGGACACAATTTCTGTTGCAGTTCATTTCTGGTAATTATCTGAGACTGCTGTATTCGCATCTAAATAATAATAGTTTCTTTTTAAAGGTATTTGCTTTGCATGTTTTGGCCAATAGCATTGTGGTTTGTGGAGCTGTGAGAGGTTATTAGTTGGAGGTTATATCCTTATGACAAGTATTTTCTTTGTATTATCAGATTCCAGGCACAATATCCATTCTTGTTGTTGCAGTTGCTACCAGAAATTAAGAATGGAAATTAGTCATAAAAATTGACTTCTTAGGAAGTAAGACTTCGTGGGTTCTGGTAAATTAAAAGTCACACGATAAGTACCCAATAACCTGAAGTTCCTACGCAACAATAACCTAGGAGTTTGTCACATTGTTCATTTTGTTTTTGCATCTTTTCCAGGCTACTCTCATGAATTTCTGCTAAGATAATATATGCTTGATCATTTTTATTCTCTTGGAATTTTTGAAGGTCTAAAGGTGAGGCAAAAGCAATGTTTTTGCGGCATGAAGGGTTTCTGGGAGTTCTAGGTGCCTTCATGAGCTACGCGAAGCACAGCCTTGATGACTCGGTGGTTAATCAATCCATGCAATCCTTGGTTAATGGATCCTATGCCTCAGATACAAATTATAACCCACAAAATGGGGATTGGTCTGACAATGAAAGTATACCTTGCAGTTTATACACAGCTTAACATTGGCAGTGGCTTTTCCTTCTTGTGCTTCGGCACGAGTAAGAAATTTGTACAATATCTACCATAATTGAAACATGATAGGACCAAAAATTTATATTAAAAAGATCATAGGATTGATACCAATGAAGTATCAGAGAAGTATGAAAGAGATGTTGAGTAGTCAAAATAAACCTTGTTACCCAAGTGACAGTCTAGATTTGATTGTAATTGACTGCCATATTCTGTAGAAATAATCCGTACAACTTAATTTTTCAGTGAAATTGACTTGTTCTATCATTGGAGGTTCTTTCCCCAGTTCAATTATGAGCGCTCAGATTGACATGCTGTGCCAGAACTGTTGTTCATTTTCAATTTTACTTGCTACATTTTGCTAGGTAATCTACTAATCTGACAAAATTAAGGATCCTGCTCTAGCCATTAAGGAACTTCCTTACCCAAAGAAAACAGAGGGTGAAAGAAACTTGCAGAAACATTATGTGAAAAATATCAATCAAGATGCACTGAATGCCGCCTGCTGATATTGAACTGAGAATACATAAAACTGGTACGCTTAACATTTTAAGAATGATGAAAAAGAATCATAATCTTCTAGTATATATCTAGGTGTGGCCAGCTTTATCTTATGGAGTTCATATATTACAAGAAATACAACAATAGAGAATACATAACAAAATTGAACAGGTAATTGGATCATCCAGCAGTCAACAGCCTTCTTCTAAGATGCTTCTTTGCACTTCTATGCATAGCCCATCTCTCTTTAATGTCAGATGACTTGGCACCACTTCGGCATTCATCATTCGAGTTATGAGATGTTTCTAATTCTTCAGACCTCACAGTATTAAGATCCCCCCGGATTCTGGCAGCTTCAGCAAGCAGATCATATACAATCATTTCAGTGGTTCTAGAGGTGATTCCTCTTAGATACCAGGAAATCGGCGGGGGTGGAACTATAGTCGGCTGGATTAACTGCTCCAAGCTCACCTTTGATCCTATCCTTCCTTTGCCTCTTGTACATGAATGATATTCTGCCCATGTTTTAGGTTTGAATGGATAGCATATATCTTCATCGACGAACACAGGTTCCACTCTCCAGCATCCTTCAAATTTTTCCATGAATCCGGTTTTCACTTGCTTGAACTTCATCTGTCAAGAGATCATCAGATATGGGATTATGAACATTGGGTTTGAATGAGTTTATTCAAGGATATCGGGCTCTAGCTAAGAGAAATGTAACAACCATAATAGGATAAAAGAAATGTAAAATCCTTACTGTGAGATCTTTTCTGTTCTGATCAACTAAAACATGAACTGAAATGGTCCCTGACCACCAAAGGAATTTCCATATAGCTGCTTGTTCTACTTCAACCACCTGTCTATGGCCTTCATCAAGCAGAACTTTCCTGGATATCACTTCCTGAAAAGACAATAGTTTTTCCCCTTAAATCAAAGTAGGAATATTAAAAATGCTTAAACTTCCAATTTACAGGAATAAGTACTGCGAAATATTAAACAAATTACAAATAGCATCCCTAACTTTGACCACCTAAGCAGTTTTTAAGAAATTAGTTTTACAAATAGAACAAAAGTGTAAAGAATGGAAAATCCAACTCACCTTGATGTTTTTGAAAACCCTCCTATTATCAGGGTCAATCACAATATTGTACACTGCATCTGGTGGCAACCCAACATTGCATTTCACATTAAGGTTGCAGAGAGAACCTTTTGGTACACTGACCTGCCGAGAATAACATCAACTCCAAATAAATTGCTATATAATCAAAATTACAAAATAAAATGCAGCATATTTTCCAGCCATTTCCTTTTCCCTCAATGCCATATTTTCAGAATATAACAACCAAAAGTATCTCACCTGATGTTATGACCTTCATGAAGTGATATAACAACATAACACAAGGAAAGTGCCAGAAATTCTTCAAAGAATAACATGCTCCATCTAACTTAAAAAGTTTGATTGATTTTCTCTTTCTATTGACTAATATTCAACCTGATTATCGCTTTTTCTAAGAAAATCAACTCTATACAAAATGTAGTCTTTTTTTGCCCAACTCTTTCTCACCTTTATTTCTGGACTCTGATCAACCCAGGAAGGATTTTCTCTCCAGTTCTGTAATTGCCTCTCCAAATCAATCCTCAAAGCACTAGGCAATACTTCTTCCTTTCCCACTGAGGTTGCTCCATCATTGTCTTTAGCTAATTTGCTAATCTGTGACTGTAACAATTGAATTTCATTTTTCTCCACCAACTTCTGGAATATCCAATAAGTTATCGTACATAATGTTCTAATAAAATGACTAACCTTTAAGCAATTCTGAAGCTTGTTTTGTAGTTGCACAAGAAATGATGGATCAAATGCCTTGTGGCTTCTGTTCCTCACACTATGGGAAGTTTCCATGCCTTTTATTTTCACATCTTTCTCATCCATTACAATCTGAAATATATGCAAACAGGAGTTTATTTGAAATTGTATTCTCTCTTTAACCTTATGAGGAAAACAAATGTAGATTCGTTGTTAACCAATATTCTACTTGAGTTTCCAAAATTTTTTTGCTAGACAGTAGATCAATATTATAGAGGACAGAGAATACATTTGCAATCAAATATATTAGACACCCCAACATATCCAAGATTGATTAGTATTTGTCAGAAAAATCAAGTTCTGAGCTATGAGAAAAGACAGCAATGGGCCAATTGAACTTTAACGCAACAAATCTCCATTGCATGCCAGACAACTGAATCTACAAAGTGTTTTTCAAATTCCATTAAGTGATTTTGGGTGCATAACCAACAATTAACCGCCCAGCTAGGCAGTTACCAGAATTTCATAAAAACAAATGTCGGAGACAAGTAAGAAACTTTAATCAAAACTAATACTACTCTTTTACTATTTGCTAAGTCAAACAAGCAAGCAATAAAAAATTCTAACAATTCCCAACAGATGAGATCAATCACAAAGCTTATATTAAAAATCCAGACGGATATATTCATAAAAAAAAAAACCACAAATGCAAGACAAAATTTATAATCACTAAGCAATCAGGTAACCCTTTATAACAGAAATCATTAACAACTATCACCCATAAGCTCACGAATAAAAACAAACCAGAGAAAATAAATCCCATTAAGTTCCAATAAAAATAATACTAATAAAAGAGACCCAGAAATGCAAAAAGAAGAAAATGTGACAGAACTTAAAAATTTAGATAATGCTGAGAAATCAGAGAGAATTGGATTCACTTACAGATGGGATCCCAACTGCAAAAATATCTATTGCGACGAGGAATCTCTTGCTTCAATATTAAAGTTGTGTACTTCCGTTCTTAAAAATTCAAAGGGTGGCAGGCCAGCACGTGGTGGCTTTCTACATGTAAACGCAATTATCTAAATTGTGAAATTGCAGGGAAAGCCCCGAGAAGAACCACCGCCCAGAATTAGAAGTAGAAAGCTATTTTGACTGTCTACTTTCCCACAAGTTTCTACCCGTTTTTGAGGACCCAATCCGACGGTAATCTCGGAGTCCATATTGTACTTATTGATGTATTGTGTCCGTCCACGCGGAACTCTTACACTGTTTTTATGAGCGACTTGCCGTTTCTTTTAATCACACTCGGTCCGTGGTCAATGGAAAGACACTGTAGGGATGAACGAGTTACGAGTAATTATAAATGAATTAGAGATGGGGATTGATAATGAAATTATTGCCCGCGATGGATATGGGTAAGATAATCTCTGGATACTCACTGTTGTTATTCATTATATTAGAGGGTTTGATCAGAATCTGTGTCTTATCCAATGTGAGATTCTTACTCTCCCCTAAGTGCGTATTTTCTATACCACTATACTAAGTTTTTTTATTACCGGTTTACAAGCAAACCATAAACACAAACCATAGCCAATGCATAGTAGAACACCACCATAAAGAAACAGCAACTAGCATTGTTCAAATTTTTACAGAAGCAAATTCCAAAACCAAACACAACAAGCAGCAAGCTTACCTTATTCTTTATTTATTTATCATAAACAGACAAAAGCAACTCCTTAGTTCATTTCCTTCTTTCTAAGCTTTTCTACAAGTATCTCCTTGGCAAATCCGTCCCTCCTCACCTTTTCCTTCTTCACCATTTTCTTTTTTCTTTAAAGCACAGTTAGGGTGAAGATCAAAGTCACATTCTTTGCAATAGAAAGACCAGCCATGTCCCATCTCTCTACACCCATTGCAGACAAATCCCTTGCGTTTAATGCGTACAAGCTCATGCTCTTTGTGGAGTTCGTGTTTCAGTTTCTCAGGCCACCCCTTTGCTATTTCCTCAAGCTTTTCTTTTAATTGCTTTAAATGTTGTTCAGTGAATGGATATGCGTCTGCACCATAAGCTGTTAAGTGTTCTTTAGCTTCTTTAGTTACTGTCTTGCCGCTTGAACTAATGGCTATGGCTGCAGGAATGCCTTTGATTTTGAATTTCTTTTGCAGGATTGTTTTCCTTTCATCGCCAAATGGAAGGGCTAACCAAGGCATACCCGAATAGAATTCTTCGAATGAGGATTGATCGCGATCACTTGAGACGAAAATTATCTCAAATCTACTGTCCTTTTCTTTAATTTCTTTGTATGCTTCAATTAGCTTGGGTAAAAAAGCACGGCAAGGAGGGCACCATTTAGCTGAGAAATAGAGAAGAACGTTCCTTCCAGCTAATTCAGACACTGGGACCTGAAAAACAAAGCAAAAATTGAAACTCTATACCAGACAAAGCCTGGTAGAAATTAAAGAGCAGGGATTTTTACCTTCGAACCAGTTTTTTCGATCACAAAATCTTTATCACCATGAACCAAAACAGACTCTAGTGTCTGTGCTTCAAGTCTAGCCTTCTCAATCTCAGCAAGCTCATCAAGCTTATCTGGAGTAAATGGGTAGGCTTCAATACCATGATCTTCAATAAGTTCAGCTACATTTTGGTTCAAAGTCTTCCCATCTTCTCCGATTATAACCAGAGAAGGAAGGGCACTAAGCTCAAAATAACGTGCTAATTTTTCACGGCCTTTGTCCTGAAATGGCAATGCTAGCCAAGGCATTTTTTCAAAACTTTGTTTGAAGTCCTTCTCGTCATAGTCTATCGATATCAGTACAATCTCAAAGTTCTCTCCTTTTTCCTTGAGCTTTTTATATATTTCAACAAGTTTAGGAGTAAATTCTAGACATAGCCGATGAGGATATGCCGAGAAATACAAACCTACCATTTTCCCTTGAAGATCAGACACTGGGATCTGCCAATGTAAATAGTAACATTTACCAATAATGGTGTTAAATCATTAACAACATGTAATCAAAGTATATCTACATACCTTAGTTCCCTCATTTGATATCAGATAATCGCGAGAGCTTGAAACCAGGATAGAGCTTATCGTCTGATTATTCTTAGCATTCTCTTCTTCCTGTCTAAGATAGTCAAGTTTTTCTGGGGTAAACGGATAACCTTCTGCTCCATAGTTCCTAATGATGTCGACACCTCGATCACAAGAAACCTTCCCATTAGCATCAAGAACAACCAGATTAGGAATTCCCCTCACTTTAAACAACTCCTTCAGGCGCTTTAGTGTTCCCTGATCAGGAAATGGAATGGCAAGCCATGGCATTTTGGAGAAGTAACCATTGAAAGATTCATCATCTCTATCAGAAGAAATGAAAACCACTTCAAAATCGCCTTTCGATGAAAGCTCTTCATAGGCTTCGACCAAGATTGGTGTGAAATGCCTACATGGCCCACACCATGATCCAGAGAAATATAATCCCACAATTTTTCCAACCAAGCTGCTGATTCTTATCTATCAGTATATCAAAAAATATTTCATTTTATATCTTAGGCTCTCAGTTTGGTAAAGAATGAATTCCACAAATAGAATCCAACATAAACTTCCAAACAAAATTTGTATCGTTTGTATATAATTCCTAACATATATTTCAAATCATTTGTACCAAATAAGAGATTAAGAGACAACATATAAAAGAAATCAAAGTCAAACTGAGATAATCAAAATCACATGCTCCATATCAACTGAATTGGTGGTCAAGATATATGCATATTTTGGTGAACATAACAAGATAAGACTTTTCTAGAGTATTTTTGTGTACGGAATGAATACCTGATCACCGTTGCTGCGGATCACAAAGTCTCTGTCGTCTGATGAGAGAAGTGACAAGAGATCATGAGAAACACCATTAACAAGCTCAGTAGCCATTTTCTTTAGTTTCCTTTTTCTGTAAGACTCTCTTTCTCTATTCCCTTAATTATTATCTCTCTCTTTCAATAGAATTGTCTTAAGTGTGTGTTGATTCTTATCTCCTACAAGACAAGGAAATGTAATCTTTTTCAACCTTCGATTTATCCGCGGGGTTGTTAAATAAATAAATGCTAGACGTAGTGGCTAAGAAATACAAGCAGTTATTAACTTTTCTTTTCTTTTTCTTTTTCTTTTTTTTTTTTAATGAAAAAAAGAGAAGACTTCTGAGTCAACTAGAATGACAGATAGCAGAAGAATAGCAAATCATTCCACTGGTTGATATCCCAAGTGCATGTGAGAGTATTATGTACATGAATTCTATCCCTTTCTTATTCATGCCATTGATTTTTTATTTTATTTTTTAATTTTTAATCCAGAGATTCAATGGCTTTTTGATCTACATATGCCATTCTCATTTAGAAAAATAGAAAAAGTGAGGTGGAATGTTGAAACATATGCACAAAGGTTTAACCAAAAAATAAAAATTTCTTAATGGGTTACCTTCGTTCTTTCTGATTCTACATCAAGATGTGATAACACTAGCTTTTTCTACTCTATGCTTTTGCCAAAGGAAGAGGGGAAAAAGGGCTGCCATACAAAACTCAAGTGATCAAAACACATTTTGCATGTAACCTACAAACTCTAAATAATACTGCTCACTTAAACCTCAAGAAGATTTTCTGCAATGTATCATCCATGGTCCCGCATAATTAAAGGAACATTCCTTCAAATACAAAATTGGAGGAATTAGACAAAATGTGATTAGCCAATTAAAAGAAACATGTTTGTCAAAAAATGAGTAACATGGTAGGCCGATTTGTTTCCTTCTTAATATCTAGTAACTACTAAGAATATTAAATAGACAAAGCATAATAAAAAGAACAGGCAGCAGATCTGAAAGGCAGACTGCATAACAAATTATCATTGTTAAAAAGCCTGCACTGATGTCAACTCCGTTCCATGACACAAATTCGCTTCTTGGAATCCGTAACTTGAACTGATTCCAGTGGCACCCAACAGAGGGATAGAATTCCCAATATTTGTATTGTAAAATGACTTCATTTATATATAATACACGTAAGTCTATAAGAGATAACTCACAGGTACATGAACAGAGTTGTCTCTCAAACATCATAATAATTAAATGGAAACGAGGAAAAGAAAAAACCCACACGAACATATTTCAGTACAAAGTATTAAAACATTGATTCCTCAAGGTTTAAAGCAGACGCCTCCTTCACAGATCCATCCTTCTTTAGGCTCTGGTTCATCCTCATTTTCATCTTCTTTGGTTTTTGTGCTTTCTTCCAGAGCACATTTTGGATGAAGATCATAGTCACATTCTTCACAGTAGTAGGACCATATATTTCCTTCTCCATCACATCCATCACAATTATAAACCATTCGACGTGCAAGCACTAGTTCATGCTCCTCGTGAAGTACATGTTTCACTCTCTCAGGCCACCCCTTTGCCATCTCCTCATATTTTGCTTCTATCTCCTTCAGATGCTCATCAGTGAAGGGATAAGCATCAGCACCGTGAATTGTAATGAGCGATCTGGCCTCTTTTGTAATAGTTCGACCAGTAGGTCCAAGAGCTACAAGCATAGGTATACCTTGGACCTTAAATTTGCGACTCAAAGATGCCTTCCTCTCATCTCCAAAGGGGAGTGCCAACCAAGGCATCGTAGAAAAGAAATCGTCGTAAGAGGCTTGATCACTATCACTAGAGATGAAAATCACTTCAAATGCATTATCTTTTGCCTTAATCTCATGGTAGGCTTCAATGAGTTTAGGTAGAAAGGCTCGGCATGGAGGGCACCAATGTGCCGAGAAATAAAGAAGGATGTTCTTCCCAATTAGATCAGACACCAGAACCTGAAATAGAAGATTGCTGTCATCATCTGCCCCAAAAGTAGGAAATTAAGAGCCGCAAACTGGGTAGGGCAGAAAATTAGTTAAAGAATGGAATTTTACCTTAGCTCCATCTTTCCCAATGACAAAATCCCGGTCCCCTGAGACCAAAACCGATTCCAGGGTTTGGGAAGCTTCTCTTGCTTTTTCTATCTCTGCAAGCTCAGCAAACCTTTCAGGGGTAAAAGGATATGCCTGAACTCCATGTTCTTCAATGGCTTCGGCAACATTGGAATGGAGGGTTTTCCCATCTGGTCCGATAACCACTAGAGTGGGCACAGTAGAGAGCTCAAAGTACCGGACCAACTTCTCGCAGCACTTGTCCTTGAAAGGCAATGATAACCAAGGCATGCCTCCCAAGGATTGCTGGAAAGTTTCTTCATCATCATCTAGTGATATGAACACAACCTCAAAGTTCTCCCCCTTTTCTTTCAATTTCCCATAAACTTCAACAAGCTTTTGAGTAAAATCAACACAAGATTTGTATGAAGCCAATGAGAAAAACAAGCCTACAGTCTTCCCTTCAAGTTCAGATATGGGAAACTTGAAAATAAAGAAAAAGAAAATCATGTCAGCTGAAAAATAACTTCAATGAAACCATGTATAAAGATATTAGAATAACTACATCAGCCTTTGAAGGAAAGAGAACAATCATTGAACTAACCTTCTTTCCATCAGATGAAATTACATAGTCACGAGAATGGACGACCAAGATAGATCTCAATGATTGATTTCTCCTGGCTTCTTCTTCTTGCTCTTTTAATTGTTTGATCTTTTCTGGTGTGAAAGGATAAGCTTCAACTCCATATTCCCGAATGATCTCAACACCACTCTCACTTGACACTTTCCCATTTTCATCAATGATCACAAGGTGGGGTATTCCCTGAATCTTGAATAGCTGATCTAAGCGATCGCGTGTCTCTGATTCAGAGAAAGGGATTGCAAGCCATGGCATCTTTGAAAAATACTTTTTGAATGATTCATCATCTTCATCAGCTGAGATAAAAACAATCTCAAAGTTGCCTTTTGGAGCAAGTTCATTGTAGGCTTCCACCAAGACTGGGGTGAATCGCTGACATGGGCCACACCATGATGCCGAGAAATATAACCCAATCTTCTTCCCCTTCAAGCTGTCAATCTTAACCTGTAAAATGCAGAATTTCATTAATAACTCCCTTCCCAGTCATCCCAGTAGCGTGAACAAAATTATGATGATTAATTTCTTAATAAAAAATCCTTTTGTTCTAACTATGCAAGATATGCAGAAAGAAATTCATGGTTTAATTTGTGAAAACTGAGTCCATCAAACCTAATCTATGGTTGAATTGATAGAATGAATCAGCAAAAGTTGCAGCTACAGTTCACACAAAATTTCTGCTTGAAAAGAACGCATAGTTACTTTTAGGACTAGAATAAGCAGCAAAAAATCCATCTAAGCAGAGTCACAACTGCATTGCAAGAGTTGGGAAACCCACCTAGTGCAACGCAAGGAGTGGCAGACCCTCAAGTTTAGAATCAAAATAACCCAATTTATTTTTGCACCCGTGGCTATTAAGGTAATCAAAATTTGCCCAAAAAATCGAACATATCATTTATCATTTAACCTCCTCAAATTTCCACCAATCTCAAACATGGAAAAAAAATATATATATAACCAACCCAGTCCCTCACTCCCTTCCATTATTAATAGTAAAAAATTTAAAATCCCAAGTTTGATAAGTTTGCCAAGCCTACAACTTCTCACATAAATAAGAACTCAAATTGATACAGCGATAAATCCAACTTCAAACCAATAGCAACAAAATCATTGCAAAGAAACGAAAAAACAAGCGAGGAATCTCAAGCAACAGGAACAAACCCATTAAAGAAAAACGTCAAATAAAAAATATAATCACCTCTTACAAACAGAAAGAAACAATCTTTTGAGTACAGAAACAATCCCAGAAGAATAATTAACAAGATAAAAACTGTAGGAGAACAAACAAAGAAAAGGGTCTTACCTGATCACCGTTGTTGCGAATAAGGTAATCACAATCTGACGAAGAGAGAAGCGAGCGAAAATCATGAGAATCGCCGTTAGCCATCTCTGCCATTACTGTGAGCTAGTACTGTTAGTAGCTAGAAAGAAATATTTGCGTAAGGCTGTGGAGGGGATATAATCTTGTATTTATAACCGACGAGGACAAATTGGTTTCGCAGACTTTTTGCCTAGTGAAGAAGAAAAGTTGACTGAATATTACCTCTGCCTCTGCGTGAAAACAACGGGTCTAGAAGATGATTAACTTCCCAACCCTTTTTTTTATTATTATTATTATTTTCTTTCTTTAGGGAGAATCCCTAATCTTTTCTTCGTTTCTTCTTTGGCTCTTTTTATTCTTTACTTAACTAATCTAATTAGCATCGATTATTTAATTTCGGATCTAGATATTGGTCAAAATTACTATTGTATTTTTTATTATTTGAAAAAAATCATTTATTCATTTCGAAAATTTTATTTTTTTATTAAATATTTTATAATATTAGAGTATTTGATTACTTTATTCAATTGCAAAAAGTACTGCCCTTCAAAGTTCAAATATATAAACTAAATAACTTAACAAGATTAAACTTCAAAACAAATCTATAATTTCAACCGTATGGTATCCCAACCATGTAGAGTATACCATAAAAGGATGCGAAATGCTCTTTCTTGAGTGTTTTAATCAGAGCTCGAAATCACCATATTTAATTAACAAAAAAGGATTATTGTTATCTCGCCTTATTTCTTAAGAATAAATAAATTTATAATTTTATTAAATAATAAAAATATGGTAATAATTTTAAAAAAAACAAACTAAACAATTAATTACTTTTTATTTTTTTAAGCTTCTTTTTAATTGGATGTCTTAATTTATTTTTTTATTTTTTTATTTGGCCTACCAACTAATTTGTGCTTTCACACTTTTCTAAAGAACAAAACAGAACTAAAAAATTGGCTATTTAATTTTTTTTTTTTCTTTACGACATTGACTCCAAAGTCTTTGTTTATTTTTCAAAATGAATGCGCAAGTCTTTCCTTTGAAAAAGAATTAAGTGGGAACTTCTTCTTATTCTTTTTCCTTTTGTAATAGACAAGAAAACTGCATTGGAATTTTAAGAATGGGTCATTTTCTTTTTTTTTTTTTTAAATGGGTTTATAAAATCATTGGTGTAATTAATATTATAAATAATTGTTGTTTATTGACTAATTTTTTAAGTCTTTTAAATAATCTTTTTAGTTTTAAGTATATTTATTATTTTTCTTTTAGTGTCATCATTAAGTAATTATTTATTACTTGTAACTTTGTGAGAAACTTCTGAATCTAAATGTGGAAGAGCATGTTGAAAAGCAGGAAAAAAAGTATCCTACCTTGAGTTCAGTTATTAAAAAAAAATTAAACTTTACAGAATTACAAACGACGTGTCGTGCACTACACCCCACGACAACGATATGACTTTCAAATCTCTTATCCTCCGTTGAAAAATTGACCATTCTTCCTGTCAAAATTATGCTTCAACAAGGATAGATTTTCTACAGCCAACTTTGCATGCAACGACAAGTAAGTGCATAGCGATCAACATTCATCTGATTCTGACAAAACAAACACAACTTGTCTTCCCTTAGGATGATCATTCTTTGTCTCTCTTTGGCTGCATCAGAAAATGGATGCTGTTCCTGGAAAAACTGATAGTTTCTCCCTCAAAATAAGTTCTGAGGTTATCTGCAGACTTTGGCCATAGACATTGAATTGTGAACCCTCATATTTTAATATCTGGATCCAATCCAAGAACCAATTGAACCAATTATGATAAGACCTTGAATGATTGGATTCTTTATATTAATCAAGTAAATGATTAGAAGAAAATATGGTCATCTAATAAGCACAAGATAAACTGACAGATAGTTAGAACATGAACTTGGAAGGTGCATACCAGAAGCATAGTAGAAGGCCTAAAACACGCATTACAGTGCACCTTTCTCTGCCAGGATTATTTTCAAGTGGCTGTAATTTACATGAACGCGTTTGCTGGTTGTGGTGGGATAATATGATATGGGGTTAGATGATCAAACAGATAAGATAAGGCCTGGGATTTGATGAATTTACTGCGATAATCATTGATTTAACTTGCTATCTTCTAATAGTTGCCATTATTTTCTGTTAATCATTTCATATATTGGTGTTATTTTGGATGTAAATACAAGCCTAAGCTGTTTGTAGCTTTCATCCAAGTTCAGGAATTTATTTTAATTTATAATAATTAGATCTTAATTGTTTAGGCTGCTGCAGCAATTTTTCTGCAGAATTTCTATTTTGCACTTGTTTCCTCACTAATATATATTCATGTTTATCAAATGGAGAAGTATAGTTTGTTTTTACCAATTGAAACTTAGATTATAAGCCTTATTTCCATCAAGCCCAAAAATCCCAAAATGCTTCTCATACTCTTCTTCACCTTTCCCATTCTCATCAAAAAGACCAAACAAATAAGCTTCCATTCCCTCTTTAGGCCTTTTTGGGGTTCCAACATTATTCATTATCTGTCTTACCACCTCTCCATTATATGCTAATGCATTTTTCACATTAGCACCTTCACCGCCAGCAGTTGGCCAACCGGTCTCTGTCACGACAACCTGAATTCCTGGATAACCATCTTTCTCCATTGCATACAAAAATGCATCAATAGTCGCGGCAAAAAGATTATTATACTTGAATGCACCATCTTGTACAGCTCTCTTACTCTTGAACAACGCATAATCTAATTGAACTTGTTTCAAATTATTTACATAGCTAATATAAGGATACACATTAACCATTAATGGTGATCTACTATCATATAAAAATTGCAAGAAAGGTTTCATAACATGATCAAGGTAAGGATCAAATGTTCCTGATGATGGAGGGTAGGAAATAGAGAGTATAGACGAAGCTTGAGGGGAAGATAGCTTAATATTGTTCAAATTTAACATAAGTAATGCTTGATAAAGATTTAACATGGCAGGAATTAAGTAAGGAGTGTTGGATTGATCTTTCAGAAATACTTCATTTCCAACTGCAATATATTTGATTTGGTTAGCTGGAATGTGTGAAAAGATATTGGATTGCAGCCATTCTATAGAGGTATTTATATTGGCATTTGCAAGAAAAGGGAGATTTTGGTTAGGGACACCAACTATTAGGGTTATTGCGGTGCCTGAAAAGGATTTTAAGATTGTTGGATCAGCATCGAAAATACGAATGTTGTTTATGCCATTAGAATTAAGGAATTTAACAATGGTGGATGGTGACGGGAACTGAATGTTCGTGACACGACCATAGCATATTCCAATAGGTGCAGCAACTGCAGTAAACCAAATTTAACAATAGGTTAGAACATTTTAAATCTACCTAAACCTTTTTGATGTAGTAATTCAAACGAGAATGTTAAACAATCTTATACCAATTATTCTAGTATTACAAAGAATAATAAAAACCTGATGAACTTGGAGGATTGATGAAAAGGAGGAAAATGACTGGAAGTAGATAGAGGAATAGAACATTTTGAATTCTAATGAGCATATTTGTTAATTTTGAGTTCTGAAATTGAAGATGCATTGATTTTTTTCTTTTTTTTTAAGTTTTAGATAGTGAGATTTATGTTATGTACTATCGGAATGGATGTTGTGGTGGAGTAGTTTGGAAATGGATGAAAAAGGGTAGAATATATTATTAACTTCAAGCTAATTAAAATTAATACTGAATGAGTGATTTTTGGTTTGATTTTGGTTTGAAGTTCTAAAATGTGTGTGCTTTTCTTAATTTTAAATAATAAATAATAGGTCCTTATAATTTTATTATTTCAAAATTGGGTGGGTGAATGACACTTTATTCCCTGTAATTTATTGAACTTTTACAGGTCAGGATTTTTGTTCTTCAAAAAAGCAATTAACAAGTTAATTATTTGTATCTTCATATTAAATTATTAAATAAAATTTGGTTTTTTTTTCTCTCAAAGGCAAAATAGAAACAAAAGTGTTTTATTTAACTTTTTTTAATTGAATAATTAAAAAATAAATAAAATCTTAAAAATAAAATGAATAATTTTTAATTAATTTTAAAAATAAAAATATTAGTTCTTAAATTTCGATAAATTATAGAGACTATAAATAATAATTCGCACAATTGGAAATGAGATCTAAAACTAGATATAGCCCATACGAATTGCCATGGGGCTTGGGCTAGAAAACGTTTGACATTTTCTTAACTGGGCTCAACTAAGTCTTGGATCGAAATCTGTTGGATGTTCTCGCAGGCCCAACGACAAACATTTTTCTGTCTATGGCGAACGACAGAGAAATAAAAGGAGGAAACCATTTTCTTCCGAAGGATAAACGACCGAAAGCCGCTAGATGCTCTCCTACGATTTAAACGACCAATCCTCCGTCTAACAGCTAGTAATTGAAACTCAGAGCCATTTCTCTTATCTTTAACCAACTGCAATCACCGCGGCGGCGGAACTGACGGGTGACAAGATAAATTGTGCTTCCGCAGGTACAGTTTTCTTTCTTTTGAAGTTCAATTGAGGGGTCATCAACCCAACTCGGTTATCAAGAAACCACTTCCAAGAATTAAGTGCGAAAAAAAGGGACTTGAGTGATATATAAACATAAAAGAAGTCCACTGATTTCATCTTTCTATATGGATATTACACAAACTTATACACCTCTCGAAGCTCATCTTAGGACAATCTCCATGTCAATGACTGAAACTGGAGGTGGCTCCTGATAGGAAAGTTTTATAACTTGAACGTGAAAAGATGTTAATTGGGTATGAATTCATTATTTTTATTACATTTATTTAGAAAAAAAAAAAAGATATTATAAAACTGATAAAAGCAACACACATATGCGTTTAATTGTAGATTCTTGATGCTTATACTCCTGTAATTGCATTTATATATGCTCGATGTTCTTAATGAATCATTTTCATGTGAGAAAGAATACTTCATCAACATATTATATATTTATAGAAAAAGGCATGCAGAGGTACCTTATGGTTTCTGAACTGCAGAAGGGAGTCTTGTGACTTGTACCAACCTGTTAAAAGATTCTCATTACTAAGTTGTACATCATTGCTTTAATCATTTGTCATCTAAATATAGAAATACAACAATATCCATTCAGCAGAATCAGAATCCCAATTAGAAAAGAAAGGAATAAAGGTTGCAATTATGCAGAGATGGCTTCTTAAGTATTAAGCAGATAAGATTAGGAAAGGTACTAGAAAATAATGCATCATTTGTCTTTTAAACATATTTTAGGACCAAAAGTTGTACATCATTGTTATTACCTATATTGTTATTGTTACTGCTATTGTCATAAGAACGTTTTTTTTTATATAAGAACAAGATATCTAAACCGTTGGATTACAATTTGTTCATATTTTTCGGACCAAAATGCTTATCATTGTTCATATTTTGAGTGGGGTTGGTCTCAAATTTAAACTTCAATTACAATAATTGTTCTAATCATCAAAAGCAACAAGATTAAGCTCTGCCCACTCTAGCAGAATCATTCTTTGCATTAAAAGTGGAATAAAGATGACAATCAAACATTAAACAGACTGTGACCCCATTTTTTATTTCTTTTATTCAAAATAAGAAGATATTTTTTGGTCAAAAAAAAAAAAAGAAGATATTTCAAATATCAGTTTGACCCCATTGACCGCATAACTCGAGAAAACCTATGCAAGATTTGTTCTTACACAAATCCCAACATTGGACCCCATAATTTTGTCTTTCTAAAGTTGCTGCCACACTGGCTATTTGGACCAAGATCCTAATAGAAGCAAGATTTTGGCACTATACATTCCTAACTCATTTGTTTTTCTTTTTTTTTTTTTTTACCTTCTTTTTCCCCTTTAATCTTCTTTCTTATTGTACATAATTCATAAGTTACCAAGTTTTTTTACATTTCGTTATATATCATTAGTAGTATATATAATTAATATGATTAAATTAATTCTTTAGATTCGCATTCGTGTTTTTACTCTTTTAGATATAATTAAATTAGCAAATATAGAGTTTGGCACTATATAATTAATTGTGATTTTGCTGACATTAAATTTCTAACTACTAAAAAAAGAAAAAACAAATATGCAATTATTTGATTAGTGCAATAAAGAGAGGTATGTCCTGTACAAATGTTGCCTTTTCTTAAAGGCCATTGAGGTTGTGTCTATCTAAAGACACCAAAATCTCACTTTCTCTCATTACAAAGCAATTGCAAGTGCCTTCTTATACGCGCTAAACAACACAAAGAATATATCTTTAGCTCTCTGTCTTTAATTAAAGAAAGTTCTACATTCCTTTATTGAATAATTATCAAAAGCCACGAACTCACATTCACATTTTGAAAACCCAATTATATACATAACCTCATCTACCAGCAAGAAATCTTAATTCTTAGCCTGCACTCAAAGAACTAGACCTATACATACAATCTTAAAACTAAACCCCAGACCTCTCCATCTCTTCTCCTACCAAGAAAACTATCTCAAAATGTCAACCCAACCGCAACAACAGCCGGTGGTGGTTTATCCCAACACCGTCGTCGGACAGCCCCCGCCGGCTTCAAACTCCCACTCAAATGGATCATTTGGGACAGTTTTTATAGTTCTTGCTGTTATTATTGTTATATCAGCTATTGCTTGTTGTCTTGGTAGACTTTGCAAAAGACGTCAAGCAGCAGCAGGAGGCAACCATAAACAGGGTAATAAACCTAATAATAAGCAGAGCCAGCAAAATCCCAATTTTAGACCAAAAGAAAGGGGAAGGGAAAGGGAAAGGGAAAGAGAAAGAGAAGGGGACGTTGAGTTTGGGTTTGACAAGGGTTTTCCAGTAGGCAGGTCAACAGGAAATGGAGATGGGAGAGGACATAAGCTATCTGAAAATGGTCATAATAATATTAATGGCCATGGACATGGACATGGTCATGGTCATGGACATCATATGAAAGGTGAAAGTTATTCAGTTGATGATGGACAGCTAAAGCCTGGTCCATAAGGTCATCGAGGGTTGTATTAATTTCTTCATGCATGTTATTTTCTGTTTGGTTAATTTCCATTTATATAATACTTCTTTTTCTTATTTTTTAGACTGCAGCTTGAAATATGTAATTAATTAATGAAACTTCATTAATTACTCTCTTCTTTCTCTCTTTTTATTTTTATTTTTTTAACCATGATATATGGTGAAATTTAGATCATTTGGTTGGTAATTGCCTTTTCTTTGAATATATATATATATATATCATTTCTTTTTACTGGGCCAAATTAAGTTCCAAATGGCCTGAATTTCAATTCCTTATTTCTTCTATCCTTTCTTAAATTTGACTTATTCGTGTTAATACGGGGATTTGTTTTTTCTGTTATCAATTGATGAATATAACTTTTATATTTTCCTCAATTTATTTTCAGATCTCATAAATTCTGATTACATAAAGAGCAATCCATGTCTTAGCTTCTTGTTTATTCCCCAAGAAGTAAAATTTTAACTAATATAGATTTTGAAATGAGATAAAAATTTGAATTTAGGTTACATTTGCGATAAAAGGTTCACTATAATTTAAATTAAGGGTGCAATTATGATAAAAAGTTAGAATTAAAGTGTATAAGGATTAAGATCGTTTTGGATGTGATCGTTATTTCGTGCAAAGTTGAAAGTATTTTATATTCATTTCGTCCTATTTTGTTTGTTTGTTATTCCTTTTTGGATGTCCCAAAATGTTTACGAGATTTTTAAATTTGTATATGTAAACAATTATTTTTTTCATGATAACCTTTATAATCTTTCATTAAATGAAAGACTTTTATTAATATCTTAATGAATTAACGATGAAAAATAGCAAAATAACTTTTATTGACTAAATGCTTAATATGCGTGTTTTGTCAAACCATGCAAATAAAATAGAACGAAGAGAGTATAATTTAGTCAGCTCATTCCTTGTGTTAATCTGACTCAACTATGAGCCATGAGACCTACATTTAACATATTTGTATTCATTAATTTTGACTAATTTGAAAATAGTGTGCAATTATGACAAATAAAAATTGAAATTAAGGTGTGTGGGGGATTAAATTGGAGGTTTATTGTCATGGCCCACACCTTAAGTCACTACGCACTAATTCTCTAAAATTCTCCAAAAATATTCATTACTTACTTTCTACCCATAAAAACCATGCATGCATGCTCCAAAAATTCTCTAAAATTCTCCAAAAATATCATTACTTACTTTCCTATCCCATAAAAACCATGCATGAGCTCCAAAAATGTGATAGAACCTATTACCTATATATATAATTTTTCTAGACCAAAATAATACCGACTCCCGGACCGATAGTAATTCACAGAACAATACCGACTCCCGGACCGATAGTACTATTCACAGACAGATAAACTACTATTTCAACACAGAAAAAAATAGGGCGTTACATTTATGATGTAATTATTACAAGACTTGAAGTTTGAAGCCTTTTGAATGGTTTAGCCATTAATTGTGTGTATAAGAGAGAAAATTTTCATTTGGAAAAATGAGAATAGTTTAGTCTTTTCACTAATAAAACAAAATGATACTAAACTTCACAAAAACGCAGTTTAGCAGCCCAGCCAATAGCCGTTCGATATAAGTGGAAGAGTGAACAAAATCTGTCCAACACGTAACGAGGCCCATTACTTACAAAGGCTACATTTATAAGTCGGTATATGTTCGTAGAAAGGCTAAGCCCAAACTTCTGCGAGTTTTTTTTACCGTTGGTAGTATAGTAATTCTCTTTATATTTTACGATCACTCGACGGAAAAACTAACCGTGGACCTGATCATATAATAGAATTACAATACATGGACTAAATAATGAAAATTTGAAAATTAAGGTCCTTACCTATATATTTGATAAAAATATTATGGAGTATATAATAATTATCCTTGTTGTTATTGTTATTTGATGATTGTCCTTTGTGTACAATTGGGAAAGCTGCAAGCATATGATCTAACCGTACAAATATTCCCTTCCCTAATAATTATATGGTCACTCTTTCTCTTACTCTCATCGTTTTGTAACTTTCTTTTATGTAATTATGATTACTACTTTATTAGTGTAGCATGGATTATGACCTAATGATCAAACTCAAAATATATAAATTCCCAATAATCCTCAATTTTTAAGAGAAATTTATTGTTCTTCTAAAATTATAAATTTTAGAATATTACATACCTTTTTATTTTAACAATAATAATTTTTAGATATTTAAGCGCAAAGTATTGATTTTATAATATTATTAATATCAATTATGATTCACATTTTCAATTATTTAATATTTATTTACGTAATCTAATTTTGCAGTGTTAAAGTATTCAATAAAATTTATAAGATAAATATAAATTTTTAAGTTAAAATGTTCAATATATCAAAATACAAATCAAGAGTAAGACAATATTAAAATAACAAAGATCGGATATGAATTTATGTATTATGCCAATAATCAAACAATCCTAATTTTTTCATTTTTTTTCAAATTTTATCCAGTATTTTTAATTGAATTTCAACCTAATTTAAATGATAAAAATAATTTTCATATGCGTTAATAAAATTTAATTTCGTCTCCGTATATTAATACTTCCTTGAAACTTGAAAAATATAATGAATAGTTAGTATTCAATATTTCAAAATTAATTATCTTAAGACTTTTTTTTACACTACCTAGTAAATTTAATATGAAGGCATTTTAAAAAAATGGAAAGAAAAACATTACCAAAATTATAAATAGAATTATTATTTTAGAACGTGAAAGTGAGATTATAATTTGGTTACGGGAGTATTATTTATTACTTTATATGTTCCTAACTACTTATTAGAGAAAATAACATGTTTTAAAATATTTATAATATTTGTTGTTTGGAGGAGTAATAATTTTTTTTCATGTTTATATTTTGTATTTGACCAATAATTATTATTTTAATTTTTTAAAATTTAATATTTAAATATAATAAATTAAAAGTAATATAATCAATTTATTCGATCATTTATTGCAATTTAAATAAATTTAATAATTTTATTAAAAAATATAAAATTCTAAATGTTACAAGCATTTAGGAGGTAAAATAACATGTTTCGAGTTTAAGAAATTTGACTATACCGAAATAAATTAATAAATTCCTGATTAAATTAGAAGAGCAATAGATGGGGAGGTGGGATGGACATGCATGAAAGGAGAGTAGCTATAGCAAAGGAAAACATTCCACTGATGATTGAGTTGCAGTTATGGGTACCTTTCACTGCTTTTGAACCATTCGATGGCCGTTTTCTTGGGAGTGATGATGATTTTCTTTGTCAGTCAAAAAACCGACTCTCTCTGTCTCTCTTGCAGAGATCAGATTCCTCTCTGTCACAGATTTGCTACTGACTCGGATGATTCTCTTTCCCTTTCTCCCTAATAACAATAAAAAAAACCAGCTTTGTTAGCTTTGTGTTGTACTGCTCTGTTAGCTGCTAAAAGAAGGCGTGAAAGCTGTCTCTATCAGTCTATCTGCTATTTAATGAGACAGGGACAAACAGAAAGAGGACTTGCTGTGAAAATAGGAGACATGAGAGGACTAGAGAGAGCAGTAGAATTGCTTAGACCTTTTGTTGACTCAAAGGCCTGGGATTGCTGTGTTGTTTGGAAATTGGGTGATGATCCTTCAAGGTGCATTTTAGTGTTTATTACCAACTTGTTGTAATTGGGTATGATTTATCTTGTTTTAAATTGTTGGAAGATGTTTGTAGGTTTATTCAGTGGATGGGTTGCTGTTGCAGTGGCGGTGGTGGCGGCGATGGTGGTAAAGTTAAGGAGGAAAGAATAGATGAGAATGTAGGGATTTGCAGGGATTTGTATTTTAAGCATCCAATTAGGACCAAGGCATGTGAGGCTCTTGCTTGTTTCCCTTCTTTCATGCCTTTATATTCTGGGTAATCTCTAAATCTCTAGAACCTTAGTTGATTTTCCTTTTTTCTGTTTAATATTATGCCCTAAGTTAAATCTGATATGTGAGTCTGTAAGCAGAATTCATGGAGAGGTGGTATTGTCAAAGCAATCAAAGTGGGTTACTCGTGTCAATGCCTCAGACTCGAAATTCTCTCATGTAAGTTCTTCAATCTCTCCTTTTATCCATTTCTTGTTTACTACTTTCGAATGGGTCCTTCTGTGTTTTTTTTTTTTTTTTTTTTTTTTCAATGGGGTTCCTCTGTGTTTTTTTTTTTTTTTTTGATTGGTGAGAGAATGTGATGGAAACACTTAAAAATTTTTTTTTTTTTTTTTTTTGATTGGTGAGAGAAGTGATGGAACACTAAAATGAATCCTTGATCTTTTCTAGCTTTTAAAATGGTGTTGTAGTCACGATTTCTAACAAAGAACTATGAACTAGAACTGATACTGTGTCAACAGAGTTTTGATGAGAAATCCTGTTGTTTCCTGATTTTTAATTTTATCAGGAACCAGAAATAGTCTTCATCCTTTGGTATGAGGCTTGAGATTAACAACTCTGTCTTAATTGGATGCAAAATAAACTAGGTGGATCATATGATTAAATTGAGAAATGAATGTGACAGGAATCAATTGGAACTAGAGTTCTAATCCCAGTATCTGGTGGACTTATTGAGCTATTTGCAGGCAAACATGTAAGGTTTCTTTATTTGGTTGGCATTTTACTAAACTTAATACTATGATTAAGATACAATTTTTTAGCCAATGAAAATTGTTCATTTTTCTCAGATACCCAAAGATCAGAAGATTATAGAATTTATTACATCACAGTTTAATGTCCTAAAACAAGAGGTCATGATTGCACATGGCTTCACTGGCCTCAATGAGCTCTGCCTTGATCCATTTCTTGAGCAGAATATGCAGAACTTGCCAAAACCTTGTCAGTTGTTAAGTTTGATTCCTCAAGCGCAGGTCCTTCACCCATTAAACCAAACCAATACCCATTCTAGCTTTGTAGTTTCTTCCAGTGGTTCCAGTCCACCAAATGGGCTTCCATCATTGGATTCACATTCTAGTTACTTACCTCAGACTGTAATTTCAAAGCAATCTATCGGAAAACGCTCTGCCCCAAGAAAATCAAAGAAACAAGCAGGTCTATTGCCAGAATGTAACAACAAAGTTGCAAAAGTTAATCAGAGATCTGAAAGAGATCAGTTCCGATCTAAGAATCTTGTTACTGAAAGGAATAGGAGGGACAGGATTAGAGGTGGGCTCTTTACCCTGCGTTCTCTAGTGCCCAAGATAACTAAGGTGGAGATAGTTATATCTCTCAGCTATTGTAATAATTGTTTTTTTTTTCTCATCTACATTTCTCTTAGCAATATGTCTTGTTCTTGAATAGATGGATAAAGCTTCTACTCTTGGGGATGCAATCAATTACATTGTTGAGTTGGAGGAGGAGGCGAAGAAACTCCAGGATGAGCTCAAGGAAACCAAAGCAGAGGAATGCAAAAGCTCTGATGCAGAATTGCTAACTCTCAAGTCAAAGGCATTACAGGATGGCAGCAAAAACATGCAACCTCCTGATAACAACCAAGATTTTTCTGGTTTTGGTGAAAATAAGAAGATTGAGGTATACAAAAACCAGAAACAATATTTTTCACTCTTCCTTGAGATTTTGAATCTTTTCTCAAGCAAGCTATTTAACTCTTTTTATTACCAATATCATATGTGCTTCTGATCATTTTCATTTTATCAAATTTTTGCATTTATTCTCCTCTCAGTTGCAGCTAGAAATAAACCAGATTGGTAAAAGAGAATTCCTGATTAGGGTCTTATATGAGAAAAAGCAAGGAGGATTTGGAAGGTTGATGGATGCCATACATTCATTGGGACTTCAAGTTGTTGATGCGAATATGACAACATTTAATGGCAAGGTCCTGAACATTCTCAGGGTTGAGGTGAGATTTATATTGTGAATCCTAATATTTATTGAAATCATGTTCTGCATAATGCATTTAGGTTGGCATTTTGCAAGGAATTCAATTGGTATGGTTTGACAAACTAAGGATTTGGAAATTTGATATTAATAAATACTATCACAGTTGCAAAAATAATTTTGTCAAAAAAAATAATGAAGGGAGTTATTTTTGAAGCATAATTTTCATGCTTAACTTACATGGCCATTTCCCCAAAGAAGTTCCCATGGCATTCTGGTGTTCTGATTCTGCTATATTTTGTTGAACTCTCTCCAATAAATACTAAAAATTGTATCTGTTCTGCAAGGCTGATGAAAAGGAAATTCAACCAAAGAAATTAAAGGAGTCATTGCTGAAGCTGGGGGGATAGACAGTCTGGACAACAGATTGTCAAATGCAGAAGAATCGGGAGAATAATTTTGGTCTACAGAAATTGGGAGAGTTAAAAGAATTTAAGTTGGAGGCTCTTCCGTTCATGTAATGGCAGTTAAGGTCGCTACAGGTCTCCTCCATTAGCCCTGAGATTCAAATATACAATTAGTTGTAAACTTGAAACTCTTGATGTAGCTCATACAGAATTACATATCCCCCGTCAGCTTAGCCTCTGTGGGAAGATTTTCGTTGTGGGGATCGTGTGTAAATCCTTTCTTACTTAACTTTCATTACAGAAGCGCGATATGATCATTGAAGACTCATTGTAGAAATGCGTTCCAGGTTCTATTGTTCCTTTGTGGTATTCTCTTTCCTCCACAAAGTAAAAGTTCCTTTGTTTTTCCGCATAAGCAAGTATCTATATTCATAACAATGAAAGAAGTGCAGAATACATCAAAATATGAAGTATCCAGGGAAACAAATTCCTTTTTTTTTTTTTTTTTCCTTTTCCTTTAGTGCAGAATATCATCAAAATATGAAGTAATCCCAGGAAACAATATTCCTTTTTTTTTTTTTTTCCTTTTTCCTTTTCTTCATCTTCTTCTCTCTTTTTTTTTTTTTTTTTTTTGACTTTATATACATTAATTCAGAAGTTTCTTACAAAAAAAGTAATCTTACTATATTGCACTCTCAAAACTGGAATCCCAATCTTTTCTCTAGCAATTGGAAATAAACCCACAATTGCTTTTTTTTTTTTTTTTTTTTTTTGGACTTTATATACATAATCAGAAGTTTCTTTACAAAAAGTAATTACTATATGCACTCTCAAAACTGAATCAATCTTTTCTCTAGCATGAATAACCCACAATTGCTGGTTTTAATGATGCAAAAAAGAAAATAATAAATATACATGAAAATTCTCTGGAGTAAAAAAGGCTAACAAATTTACAAGCTTTAAACTCCATTTCTCATTTGAGGCAACCAAAGAATGTAGTCAATTTTCTAGAAAAAATTAACAAATTAAGCATTCTAAGTCCAACTGCAAGTTATTTCAAAGAAAGTTGCCACTTCACCTTTATGTACAACATAACATTTCATGCATTGCCGCTTCACCTTTGGCTGCCTGAGCTTTCTTGAGCTTCTCAGCTATCTCTCATGTCTCGAGTTTGTAACTATGCCTGAGCTTTCTTAAGCTTCTCAGCTATCTCTCATGGCTCAATCGAGTTTGTAACTCTGCATTTGTGTAATTAGAAATTGTCGGTCCATGGGATACTTGTATAGAGCTGTATTCTCCACTGTTTGTGTTAAATTCTGAACTATCTTCACTGCTAAAAGCTGTTCTTCTGAATCTAATTATTTCCTCACTGTATTGACCAGAATCATATGCTGTGCTTTGTCCATACTTGACTCCATTTGTTAAATCAGACATTTCTTCATTATCCAATGCTCTCACCACCTAAAAAATGATTCAACGATTACAAACTTTACATTTGACTAAACAATTATGTTATTCTTAAAGAAAATTGTATCAACAAGATAGTCACCTGCACCATCCTGGGTCGCTTTGGAGCAGAATGGCGCACACAAGCAGCTGCTGTTTCTATCATTCTAAATAATTCACTCTCTACATATCGTTTTTGAAGCCTAGGGTCGACTATATCATCAAGATCACCGGTTTCAATAACACGAATGAGAATTGGGCGAGCCTGTCATGATCATTTTTCAACGAAATGAATTAAAGGTCCTTTCAACTGTTAACTGTCAAGTAAAAAGAAAATTTCTTTGTTCATACCCATTCAACCAAACTTTCATCCCCTAAAGGTTGAGTAGGATCAACAGGTTTCCGTCCAGTTATGAGTTCTAGAAGCACAACTCCAAACGAATATACATCAGACCTATCTGTCAATTTTCCACTTGATGCATATTCTGGTGCCAGGTACCTGAAAAAACCAAATTGAACATCAATCAAGGCCTCATAACTCGTGCATTAATTATTGACTTATATTTTGTTAAAATTACAATTATAAGCTTTATAGTAAAGAAAATGTGAAAATGGAGACTATATATTCAGGCCAAAAACTTACCCAAATGTGCCCATGACTCGAGTTGATACATGGGTGTGAGTTGTATCGTTTAGTCTAGCAAGACCAAAATCTGCTACCTGAAATTAAGCAGCTTCAGAATCAAAAATACATGACTTCAATATTCACAGTTAGAAAGATCACATCTTGAGTAGCAGGAGGGGTAAAAGAAATCTGGAAAAAGAAAATCTAAAAACACTTGCCAATGCATCAAATTTTTCATCCAACAAAATGTTTGCTGACTTGATATCTCTATGAATAATTCTCGGATTACCTGCAAATTAGTCAAATAATTAGACAGTTTCACATTTCACATGTTTGACTCTAAAATTAACAAAAAAGAAAAGAAAAGATGAACTTAATTAAAATAGATATTTCTTGTATGCATGAATTAGAATGCTTACAATCTTCGTGCAGATACGCCAAACCTTTTGCAGTACCTATAGCAATTCTGAGTCTTTTAGGCCACTCTAGCGATGGCATTCCTTTTGCTGTTGGCACAAATAACCGTCAAACTACCGTAAGAACACAACTTTTGGAAAAAACATGAAAAAATGAACAATAAAAGAAGAAAGATGAGCATACAATGCAAATGATGCTCAAGAGTTTTATTTGGAACAAATTCATAGAGAAGCAAGCGTTGGTTATCTGAAATGCAATAGCCCACCAAAGATACCAAATGTTTATGATGAACACGACTAATAATCTCAATTTCGGCCTTAAATTCGCGATCGCCTTGTCCACCACCTATCTTAAGCTGCTTAACGGCCACTTCCCTCCCATCCTGCACTTTCCCTTTATAAACACATCCAAACCCACCTTCACCCACAATATTTTTTCGTGAAAATCCATTTGTCATCTCCATCACTTCTTCATAGCTAAAATGGGTTTTAGTACCACCTATGACACTAGCCTCTCCACTAATATCATTACTCCCAAAACTTTCTGGTGAATGTGAATGTTGTGAACCATAAGAATAATTTCCTACGTTAGAGTAACCTGCCATATGTGGCTGCTGTGATCCAGAATAATACCCATCTGCATTTCAAAACGAAACCATAAGCAACTGGGGAGCCTCATACAAAAAGGATTAACCGTCTGTTCAGCATTATGGTACAGCGTTTATAATGCTTAAGGCTTAAACTTCATGATTTTTTTGAGAAAAGTTAGATTTTTGACATTTCCCAAATCATGATTTTCCAAAAGCAATTTGAAATTTCTTTAAAGAAGTAAAAGAATTCAAAACTCAATCCCGAACGAAGTCTAAGACTCTTACCTGTTTGAACAGCTAAGTTTGGAGGAGGCATGTAATACATATCATGCCTCCTCTTTTTCTTCTTCAAAACTAAAACGACTGCCACTACTGCAATCAGTACTAATCCCACAACTATTGCACTAGTTAGTAATTTGCTTATGTTTGCAGACACACCATTCTCATTTGTTGTATTGGTTGTGTTTGAATCTTTTGAATTATTAGATGAAGCTGATGATGAAAAACTAGTTGATGATCCATCAGAGACCGCAGGACTTGCAGATTGTGTTCCAGGAGATGCAGTTGTTGGCGTACTATCTGTGTTCAATGACGCACTCGCCAAATTTGATGAAATTGGAGAAGGAGCTTTAAATTCTCCCGGCGGAGGTGGAGTTAGAATTAAAGTACCTGTTGTGGACTGTGTAGCAGCAACTTTATCAGGTGGCGGAGACGTGGCTGTGGATTTTTCTGCTGGAGGGGGAGAGGATTGGCCGGGTTCTGCCGGCGGAGGAGAAGAGGAAGATAATGATGGTGTTTCCTCTTTTGATGATGGTGGTGGCGGCGAGGCTGCAGGCCGCTTTGAATTTGATGGAGTTGGTGGTTTAGGAGGAGGAGAGTCAGATGGTTGCGGTGGCGAAGGAGGAGGAGTTTTAGAGCTATCTGTTGACGCTGGCGATGACGAAGGCGGCGATGTTTTAGTTGGTGGTGGAGAAGCATTCTTATTATTGGTATTAGAAGGTGGAGAGGCTAATTTATCACTTGCAGTCAATGCCTCAACGAATGATGGTGCCGGTGCTGGTGGCGAGTTTTCCGGTGGAGGTGAATCATTTTCAGGTGTTGGCGGCGAGTTTTCCGTTGGAGGTGAATCATTTTCAGGTGCTGGTGGCGAGTTTTCCGGTGGAGGTGAATCATTTTCAGGTGTGGAGGTGAATCATTTTCAGGTGCTGGTGGCGAGTTTTCCGGTGGAGGTGAATCATTTTCAGGTGCTGGTGGCGAGTTTTCCGGTGGAGGTGAATCATTTTCAGGTGCTGGTGAAGGAAATTCTATTGAAACACTCGGCGTCTCCGCCGAGTTTGACATTATCTTCTTCCTTAAAACAATTTCTCTCCCCCTTCTCTTATATTTCTTTCTTGGACTCTGTCAATTGGTTTCTTTAATCTTCAACTTTCTTGATTGATTAAAAGAAATTGATGTACCCAAACCCTAATCAAGAAAACAAAAATACCCAAAACCAATACCCAGAAAGTAAAAATTTAGACCTGGCCAAAGAGGAAAAAACAAGAAGGGTATAAAAAAAAAAAAAATCAGCACATGAAAAATTGAGAGAGAAGGGAAGGAGCAAAATTTGAAGACACAAACAAACCCAAACAGAGAGAAAAAAAAAAAAAAAAAAAAAAAAAAAAAAAAGAAGTGAAATTAGGGAGTTGTAATGTGTCTTTTCCAAGAACACCACCACCACCGGCCACCGGAGAGCTAAGCACCGACCCTAAAAATTTATCTCTCTAATCTTTTTGGGTTGTTGTTGGGTTTTTTAAGACCAAAAAATGCGTTTGATTTTTCTGTTTTCATCGTTAATGCGTAATTTTGGTGGTTTCTCTCTCTATTACTTGTACCCACGATTTCCGTTATTGCTAACTGTCACTCCCTCCTTTTTTAAAAACATAGTACTTCTCCCTCCCTTGAGTTTCGGGTTGCCGCGAAACCTTAACCGGGGTTAGTTCTTTTCCCGGGTAAAGGCCCAAAACCCGATTTCTTTTCTGTTTGGCCCAATAAAACACCTGACTTAACAATTGTAACAATTCCAAAATAGTTTCTGTTTATGTTAATGTTAATTATGCTTAATTAGGAATTTTTGTTGTTTAATAATAGTTTTCTTGTGATTACTAGTTTTCATAATATTATTTAGGAATATAATTAATTCAAAGCAACAACTCAACTCAACTCCAATTTGGTTTAACTTTAATAAACTCAACTAAATAGATTTATCATCGGAGGGAACTTAAATCATAATATCCAATTTCGATACTAACATGTTACCTGTACTCATTTCTTTTTTCACACTATGAGTAAATGTAATTATATATATATAATTTTTAATAATGTTTTGTTATAAATTATTTGATTATGAATAATTTATATTACTAAAATCTAAGATATTATAAAATAGAAAAAAAAAACATTTTATGAAATAATAAAATTCAATAACTAAATAACTTGTTGAATAAATAGTGTATTTAATAAAACATTAATATAATTTGACAGTCAAATTTTCATGGAAATAAAATTACTTATCAATCATGTTAAATTTTCTTATAACAATTTTAATTTAATTAACTTAATTTTTTCCGTGTATAATATATTAGCATAAACCATTTGTACTACTAAAATACGAGAAACGTATTTGCTATTATAATAATTAATATAAATTTCACTGTTTTAGTGCACCATTTACAATTTTTGGTATTTTTCTTTTTTTTTAAAAAAAAACTTTTTGCTTATGAGCTTATGATTAATTTTATAATTAGGTAAAGGTCCGCGCGTTGTGCAGAATTTTTGATTTTTTTTTTTAAATAGATTTAGATGAGATATTTTGTGAGAGATCAATTACTGTTATTTGTGTTGGTAAAATTAAATTTTTGTGATATAATTGGGCTAATTATTTTTAAACTCCTTTTTCATTTTTAAGAAATTATTATAATTTTGACAATCGATTATACAAACTTTTTTATCCAAATCTTTATTTATTATTTTTTTAAAATTAAAATCATAAAGTGAATATTGAATAATAAATGATAGTTGTACCACATAATATTGTTGGTAATTATCTTCAAATATGATGGCGATATGAATAAAATTATTTTATCAAATAATTTATTTCAACAAATATAAATAAAATTATTTCATTTGCGAGTTTCTTGATAATCTTCAAGTATGATGGTAACGAAAATATATAAATATAAAAATAGATGATCATTATAAATAAATGACATAAAAATAAAATTAAACTGTATGATTAAAATATTCAAAAATTTAAATATAAATTAGATAATTATTTTAAATAAGTAATAAACTGTAGACTTAAAAAAAAAGTATCTTTTAAGTGATCTAATAAAAAATGAAAAAATTTCAAAATTCAAAATTGAAATATAGCTATAGATAATTATTGTAAATGAATATTAATTTTAAAATATAATTATTAAATATAATTTTAATTTAGATAACAAAATTAAAAATTAAATGTTAAGAATATCATTTAAATAATAAAAATAAATTTAAATGATAAGAATATAATTTCAAATATAATGGTATCTAATTAAATTTATTTTTAATTTATTAAATATATTTATTTCTAATTTATTAGATGTTCTTTTACAATCTGTCCTTATTATTTTAAAGTATTTATTGAATTTAATATTTAATATTTTTTTGCCTTTTAAATCAATTATGTAAATAATAATAATCTCCTAATTTAGTAAGCAAAACACATAAAAGAAATGATATAATAATAATAATAAAAAAATAAATAAATAAAGACTGGCCTCTCATTAATAAGCATAAAAACTACACACACATAGAAAAAACTACTACTAAACATGCTCAACATCATACAACTTATTGTATAAAGATTAAAAATAAAAAAAAATTGAATAAATTATCAAAATAATGAGTTTTGATTAACATCCATCTCATTTGTCTCTTTCCTTTTTCTGCTCCTATCTTTGCCTCTATCTACTTTCTTTTATATAAACCTCAATTGAAGAAGAAGAGAAGGCGGTAATATATGCTGATTTAAATTGTTAGTATCGTCCTTTTGTGATTCAAAATCTGAAAAACATCAATAACAATATATATTAAAATGAAAAGATATATATGATTAAAATAAAAAAATAATTTATAGAGCACAATCAAAACTCAAAAAATTGAAAGCAAAATAATCCAAAAAAATAACAAAGCAATAAGAAGAAACCATTGTAAAAAAAAAAATTATTGAAACTGGGAGATATACATAGATATATGTATATAGCTATATAAATCGAAATAAGAAAAAAATTAAAAATTTTTAAATTCAAAAATTAAAAAGTTTTAATGTTTTAATTATGCAAAATTTTAGATTTTTTCAAAATGATGATTACCTCTAAATATATATTGATCAATTATTGTTATAGAAACATTTAAAAGAATCATCCAATCAAAAATTTCAGAAAATAAGGTAAAAATTTAAAAATTTATAAAAAAAAAAAGAGAAATAAAAATGCTTATATTAATTAATTATTATTATAAAAACATTTAAAAGAATCATTCAATCAAAACTTTCAAAAATAAGATAGAAATCCAAAAATTTGTAAAAAAATGAGAAATAAGAACGCTTGATGGAGAGAGTATTAAATCATATTCCTTTAGATTTTATTTGTTTCAGGATTATATATATATATTGCTTTTTTTTTTAAGAAAAAATTTCTTTCAATCTATCATATGATTTACTAATATGTTATAGCATAATTATACATATACGCACACGTATATACAATGAATTTTATTTTTTATTTTATATCAGATAATAAATCTTTTAATATATTCCTTAATACATAATAATAATTTATATATTTTTTTAGAATAAGTTACTTGATAATTATAACTAATCAAATTAAAAATTTATTAAAAATAATAACTAAAAATATTATTATTTTTTCATATATAATAAGTACCTTATATAGTATAATATAACCAATCAAAATTAAATTTTTTTTTTCAATCAATAAAATTAAAATCTTTAAAGATATCATATTGTTACCATATTTAATATATACCTTATGTAGTATCCATCAAATAATATTACCATATTATATTATATTACCATATAAGATATCATATCATATTATATTATATTATATTACCATATAATACATATATCTTACCATGTAGTGTAATAGTATTACCATATTATATTATATTACCATATAATGTAATAGCATTACCATATTATATTATATTACCATATAATATGTATATATTACCATATTTAATATATACATTATATACATTATATTACTTTATAATATATACATTATCTACATTATATTATATTACCATATAATATGAATATATTACCATATTTAATATATACACATTACTCATAAGATAATATTACCATATTATATTATATCACCATATAAGGTAATGTATCATATTATATTATATTACCATATAATGTTATAATGTTATAGTAAATTATCATATTTATATATATATATTATATATATATATATATAATTGCATAAAATATATATATATTGCCATATAATTGTATTACCATATAATATGTATTATCATATTTAATATATACATTACTACATTACTCATAAAGATTGTTCACTGTTCTTTTTTGAAATGTCCCAAAATAATTATCCACTTCTGTTTATAGTATGCATTTAAAGTTCCTTTTCCTATTTTGCCCTTCAATTAATTCACATTTTATGTATAATTACATCTAAAAACTTGGAACTGAGTTATTATGTAAATAAGGTAGAAAATGAAAACACATAAATTATCACTACAACATTGTATTTTCTTAAATTTTATAGAAAAAAATGTGACAATTTTTTTGAGACAGAAAAAGTATTATATTATATAATTTTAATTTCAAACCGCCAATTTCAGTTATAAAAAATAGAACTGGATAGTGTTAACATATTTTATATATATCTTATATAGTACTGTACTAGACTTTATGATTAAATAGGAAATTAATATAATCAATCAAAATTAAATTATCTTTATTTTTTTAACCAATCAACTTAAATCCTTAATGATATAACCAATCCATGAATTTAATAGGAGCATTTTTGGCAATTTCAATGTTTTCCACCCATTCCCACTTTTTTATATACTAGTTCTTTTATGATATGCATTGCACATTAATTTTGCTTGTTATATATTCGTTTTTATACTCGTTTAATTTTGTTATTTATACAATAGTATCAATTCTTAAGTAGATTAAAATAAATACAATAATTAATTTATATTGCACTTTTTATATAAGACTTATATATATAATGAATATTTTTTAACATATCTTATGATGTAAAATATAAATTTGATCTTCACGTCAATTATTTTTGTCAATAGCATGTAATATTTTAAACTCGGTGTCTTTACGCAAAATCCAAAAAAAAATTGTTTAAAATTATCAGCTCCACGTAGGAATCAATATGCAGATAACAATTTATAGATAGATGTAAATGAGATTAAATTCAAAAATTTTAAAGTCTTATATATTTATTTAAAAAATATTTGGAAAAAAATTAAACTCTCAAAGGCATAATTATCTTTATCTCTATTTTAAAAAATATATCTAATTAAATCATAGAAAAATAAAATGAAATTCGGTAAATTTCAAAAAATTAAGAATAAAAAGAAAGTTCTTTAATTTTTTTTCTTTGTTTCATCCTTAATATAGAAAAAGTAAAAATAAAAATGACAGCAAATATGCCAATAGCTATTTCTTTCATTAATTCAAACTTTTATAGCCTATTTTTCAAAAAAGATTTCATTAGACTAAAAAATGAAAAACTTTATTACTTGATGTATTAATCAAATACTCTAATTTCATAC